ATTTTTTGTTAAAAAAATTAATTCCCTTTAATTTGGAATAAATTTTTAGGGAGCGGTTTATAAATAAATTAAATGATTTTGAACTGCTATTAAAAATAAAAAATTGAGCATAAAAACTTGATGATTTCGTTTGGAATGTCTAAATCCAATAATAGGTTTATGTAAATATGAATTAATTTTTACTATTAAAGTTATTGGCCAATTTTAAGTTAAATCTATGTAAGTTAATTTTCCCTCTCTTCCCTTGTTGCAAGATAAGCTGCTAAGTGAGGATGGCTCTTAAAAGTCTCTGCGAACTGAAGAAGTCTAGGAGCATTTGCTTCAAGAATAGATCTTGCTGTTGCAGCCTTTTGAGGTCTTAAAAATCCATCATAAAGAAATTCGAAAACAACAAAATCTGCATGGCTTATTGAATCGCCAGCAAGGTGGGTATTGCTTTCATTTAGCCTTTTTTCAATGATCTTAAGCCTTTCTGGAAGCTGCTCTTGTATCCATTTCCCAAGTCCTTCCAAATCTTTATCAATTCACATGAATTTGACAACAATTTGGATGGTATCATCTATATAGCCAACAAGAGATTCTGATTGATAGTTGGCAAAAGGATCACTTGAAATAAGCCCAGCTCTTCTGAGCAAATTAGGTTAGATTTATTAAAGGCAGGCATTAACCATAGTGGTGATATAGTCACCAAAAGACCTCCCGTATGGGAGATTCAACCGCTTTTCGACTTCATGCCAGAGGGTCTTTCCTCCGAAGGTGGATGCCACTTCGGTACCTTCATCTCCTCCTCACCTTGAGGCTTCAGTCTTGAGTGCTTGTGAATTTCTGCGGCCCTGTGGCAGACCATTGGAATAGCTTGATTCTAACTCGCCCCCCCCCTTTAAATTGGAACTAAAATTTTTGTTCCAATTTAAAGGGGGGTTAATTTTTTTTTTTAAAAAAAAATATCAATATAAAATTTTTTATAAAATATATAAAAATTAAAAAAAAAAAATTTCAAAAGCTTATCGAATTAGATCAATAAATTTTGTTTAATAAAATGCTATTTACTCTTTATCCTTTAAAACAAAGCAAGATATAACTAAATTTTCATTATTAGTTAATACGCCACTATTAATTGGTATCAAAATTATTTACACAAAATTTGTTATTTTTATTGATAAAAAAAATTAAAAAAAAATAAATTTTAGAAATTTATCGATCAAAGTGCTAATTTAGATGCTATTTATACTCTATTCTTTAAAATAAAGCAAGGAATAAGTAAATTTTGAAATTTTATAAAGAATTCCGATTGAATTTATATCAAAACTATCCAAATAAAAAATATCATTTTTACCAAAAAAACAAAAATTTTTTGAAAATTTTTAAAAAAAAAAAATTAATTTTTTTTAAAATTTACCAATTAAGGATAATAAATTTATTTAAATAAGATGCTCTTTATACTTTTTTCTTTAAAAAAGAGCAAGATATAAATAAATTTTTAATTTTAGTTAAGAAGAAGCATTTAACTTATATCAAAACTTTTTAGATAAAAATTATATATATAATTTTTTATTATAAAAATTAAATTTTGTTCCAATTTAAAGGGGGGGAGTAAGTGTCTTTGGAGTCTGCCCGGTGCTGAAGTTCTTTTCCTTCGGTAGCTATAGAAAAAAGACTACTCCCCTGTAGCTTAGGCCGAAACCCCCAGTTTCTCGGTAGAAGAATGCCCCCTCGGATCCAAAAGGACGTTGCTGAGTACCTCCATTTCTACAACAGGAAAGCAGCCAAGCCTACCCGGGTACACATCTCTTGAGCCTGCACTTGATTCTCGAATTGGAGTCCGTCCCAGTTCACCGCGGCCATAAAGTCTGGACTGCTTCGCCACGAGGGCAGGTGGCACTTGTCGCCATTTTAATGTATATAGCTCTTCTGAGCAAGTATAATATTTATTTATTTTTCCGGCAAAACTAATAAATAATTTTTGCATAATTATTAAGCAAATTTCAAAGTTAGGAACATATAATCTTCTAAAAAATTGTACCATTCTTGGTAATTGAATTTGGGAATTTATTATTAAAAGAGATATAAAGCATATAAAATTATATTTATTAATGAAAGTGTACTTTTCGATAGCTCTGGACTGAACCAAGTTGTGGCCATCAATTTGGAGTAAAGGCACTTGATAAAATTCTGCTATTCCTGATGTTTTGGTTTCATTCCAAGCCTCACGGGTGTATCTTATATCTTCAAATTCAAGACCTAAATATTTCAATATTATTCTAGTAACTTCTCCTCTGCCGAAGAGATCTAAATAGTGAAACCTTATTTGAGACATTAAATAATTCAACATCTTTAAGAAAATAGATAAGGATTGATTATTCTAGTAAATTACTAAATTTATAACTTACAAAAATACAAATAGAAATCACGTTTATAAACCTTTATTTTTAAACATTACCTAGAATAGTTTTCTATCTATAATTTCTATCAATTTTAATTTTTAAGTTTTTGAAGGGTATTAACTTACTCCTCTCCTTAAATTGGAACAAAATATCAGTAAAATTTCCAATTAACCCCCCTTTAAATTAGAGCAATTTTTTCAATAGGAAAATTTTATAGTTAAATTATCTTTGATAACCTATTATTTAAACAGTTTTCACACTCTCAATTGTTTAATTTTTAAATTTAATTCTTCATAAAAATAAATATTGCGTTCAATATTTTAAAATTTTATAAAATATGAATTAATTAAACCCCCTTTAAATTGGAATGGGATTTTTATTTCAATTTAAAAGGAGAGTTAATATTTTTCATTAATTTATCTTCAGACAATATTCCTCTTAAAATCCCTTCCAAGATTAGCTAATTCCTCAATGATGTTGCAAATGGAATATTCCAATCATAGATAAAACTATACTAACCTTTTTCATGAGAAAGTAGAAAAGTAGAAAGAGCCGGCTCAATCTGAATATAATAAATATGAGAGTAGCATATAAACTTCTAAATTATTTTAGAAAAATAAAATTATTCTATATTTCCGTGAGCGAACAAAACCATTGAAAAAATCCCTATTTTTTGATTAAAAATCTACCTCCGCGAATTAACAAAAATTTTTATGGAAAAAATATTTTGATTATATAAGTGATAATTAGTATAGTGAAATCTCTAGTTAGTTCTGATTTTAAAACATAATTTAAATTCGAAAATAAATTTACTATAAAATTTATATCTCCTCCTTAAGCTAAAATTTTTTTGTTCGTTCACGGAGGGGTGATTAAGCAATTTTTTCCAAAAATATTCAAAATAATCAATAATAAAGCGAAAACAAAATAAGAATAAGATTTAGCTATGAATCTGAACTTTATAATTTTGATTAAAATTTAAAACCTGAAAATGACTAATTATTTGTGTCTAGCCACAGCACTTTTTATTTTCCTGCGCTTTTGGCTTTCCCTTAATAACAATCCCTCCTTGATTCCCCACGTCTACAGATCCATCTTCAATCCTCTTGCAGATTGTCCTTGTAAGTTCCTCAAAAACTTCATTGACCCCTTCTCCAGTTTTCGCAGAGGTCTCTTTATATAGAAGCCCATTTTCTCTTGCAAAAATCGCTGCTTCTTCATACGAAACAGTTCTGTCATCCTGAAGATCTAGTTTATTGCCAACCAGCATCATTGTCATATTGGGATTCCCATTAAATCTGGCTTCTTCCAGTCATTCAGCAATATGCTGAAAAGAGTCTCTCCTTGTGATATCAAACACTAAAAATGCGCCTGCAGCTGACCGATAGTAAGCACGTGTGATACTTTTGAAGCTTTCAGATCCTGCTGTATCTCATATTTGTAAATTGACCTTCGTCCCATCTGAATCAATCATTTTGGAGCCGAATTCAACGCCAATAGTAAGATCATGCTCTTGTCTGAATCGTTTGTCAATAAAGTTCAGCATAATGCAGGATTTCCCGACACCAGCATCTCCTATGATGATATATTTAAACTGATACGTATAAGACGCCGTCGAAGCCGGAACATCGCGCAGGAGGCGCACGTTGGAGATCAAAGCTAGCTGTCCCAGCAACTAGTGGGCCCCGAGCGACGAGAGCGTGGTGGTAGTCCTGGAAGAGCAACCCCGTAGGAGACGTTAAACGTCATGGTTAATAAGTTAAGATACGTATAAGACATTTTAATCAACTATTAAATCAATTTGCGACAAAAAATTGTTGAAACTTTGATTGATCTAGAGGAAATTTAATTTATATTATCTGCTTAAATGTACATTGCTGTAGCTAATCTCTATATACAGAAATTGAATTATTACTTTTCAGTTCTAGCTAATTGCTTCAGCTGTTTACTCTTTTACTTTTTCTTCAGTTTTTCTATAAAGATATTTTTGCATTAGAATGCTATTATTGTAAATATTAATAGTAACTTCTCAATTAATAAAATATCTATATCATATATTTTAATAAATAAATAACTAGGTTATTATATTAAGATTCAATTTATTTTTAGCTCAAAATATTTTAATTTTGCCTCTATTCTCTATCAAGCAAAGATTCAAAAATATATATTTCCAAAAAATTATTTACCTAATATTTTCTTATTCTTTCTTAACCAAAAGACTTACATTGAATTACTATTTAGATACCTTTTCTTTTAACAGCAAAATACTTTACCAAAATTTATGCAAGTTTTTGAACGAAAGTTTCTAATTTAATTAAATAATATGGAAGACCCTAATTGTAAGAGTAATTCAGCTGAAGAGCTTACTCTAAACGAAGACGAAGAAGAAGAGGAAGAAGAAGAAGAGGTCTCTGAAGACGGATGGGTACAATGGTTTTGCAGTTTAGAAGGTCACGAATTCTTTGCAGAGGTCTCAGACGAGTACATTGAAGATTCATTCAATCTTTATGGTCTAAAGACAAAAGTCCCTCATTATCGCGAAGCGTTAGAATTAATCCTTTCAGGGAGCCCTCCTGATGAAGAAGATCTGCAGGATGAGACTTATCTTGAATTGTACCAAGCCGCTACTGACCTTTATGGCCTTTCCCATGCCCGCTTTATTCAATCTGCTCCAGGGCTTGCAATAATGAGAGAAAAATATTTGTCAGGACAGTTTGGGTTTTGTCCTAGAGTCATGTGTGAGCGGCAGCACGTGATCCCTGTAGGAATGTCTGAAGAATTAAGGACGTCACGTGTAAAAGTTTTTTGCCCCAGATGTGAAGATGTTTATATTCCCAAACAAAAATATGCAGACGTTGATGGCGCGTATTTTGGGTTGTCGTTTCCACATATTTTGTTACAGAGTTACCCTGATTTGTATCCAAGTGCAAGTGTTGCGAAGTATGTGCCGAAGATCTATGGGTTCAAGATTCATAATAAAGAAACTACCAAAGCTATATAATTTAAATAGAAATACAATAAGCTCTATCATTATTTTACATATATATTAATAGAGAGTTGAGATAATATACATTTAATTGACCATTTTTAAATATAAATAAGCTGATTTCTTATTTATCGCTCCAAATTTTTTCGCTACTTTTGAGTAAGCGAAGAAACCCTCTTTTACTTACAAGAGCATACTCATAAGCAGTTTGCAGCTCAGAAAACTTTGCAGCTTCAGTCATGTATTTTGAAAACAATTTTACCCAATTAACCAAAGCTTGGTTTTCTCCCACAAATTTTTCTTCAATTATTTGCCATATATGCTCATTCATAATATACAGCACCAACTGTAAAGAGGTTTTCTTAAAAAAAATTTATGGAATTTTTCTAGAGATTTATTTACAATTATTAAATGGTAAAAAAATAGAACAATTTTTTTCAGTATCGCCACTGTAAAGCCCTCATAGAAATTTTTCTGACATTTAAATGCTCTAATTTATGAATAGGTTTTGGCCGCTTAATGTGAAATATGATTTCTTCTTGGCTTGGGAGAGATCCGAGATTCCTTGTGAAAACTAAAATCATACCTAGCAAAATCAATGTCGGTTCATCTTCATAGTCAAGTTCCATGAAGTGGATGCTTCCTATATCAACAGCTGCTTGAAATAAGTTTCTTGAGAGATTTGGAGTATTATCGGTTTGAATTATACTTTCACTGTCTGAAATTACTTTGGTTAGCTCTGGAATTCGCTTTTCTGCGAGTTGGATTATATCGAAGTGAAGCTTATTTCACTTATGCCTTAATCTTTTATTGATGGAGCCTAGGATTATAAAAGATTCCGGTTTTCTCATGAAAGGAAGTATATGATGACGAATTAAATCGAGCGGGAGTTTATCTAGTTTGGCCATTTTTTTAATTCTGATGAATTTGGGAATTATTATTACTGATCAATTTTGAATAATTTTTATATTTTTTGAAATTAAATTAGAAAAGCTGATTTATATTTTATATTTAAAAGAATAAATATAGATTTCCCTTTGTTCTATATGATAGACACATAGATTATTATAAAATTATGCTATTTTTTTGAAATTATTTATATAAGAGAATCTCTATTAAAAATCAAATAAAAATCAAAATAAATTTATTTTATTTTGACTTATAGGCTAAAAGACTTCATTTTATTAACATTAAATTAGATTATTTGCTGTTTATAATCCTTTGTTATATTTAATATTGTATCATCTATCTGCACATGCAAAAACGACCTTTTGGCATATATGATCTGATAATTTCAGAAATTTTAGGATTATTTGATAATTTTAATGCAGCTTTTAATTCATCTTTTCTTCAAGTCGAATTTTGCAGAAACAGTTTAACAACTTCAAAATGACCCCATCTTACAGCAACCTGCAAAGCATTTTCCTCTTCGTTTTTCCTCAAATTACTTTTTAAATGGCAGTCAGCACCATAATCAAGCAAAATTTGTACAGTTTCCAAATACCCATGTTTAGAGGCCTCATATAGTGGCCTTATCCCTTGGATGTTTTTCTTATTCAAATATGAATCAGGATCTTTGAAATTCCTTACGAATCGTTTTGGGTGGTTTTCTATTAGTCGTTCCATATCATTTAAATCTTTTTTAGAAGATCTTTGAATTAAGATAAATAGTTTATCTGTAACTTTATGCTCGTCAAGGACATCGTCAAGCATGGTATGTGTTCTAGGCATTTCAAATCGGGCTGGGCTACCTTGAAGGTCTTGGACAAGTTCATTAATATCTTGCATTACTTTTATCTCTTGGTTTCTAAAAAGATGTGAAGCGAAAATTACGTTTTGCAAGAGTTTTCATCTCTTTTGGGCTTTAGTAGGTATCGGGGATTCCTTGCTGTCAGCAAGGGTATGCTCGCCAAGCGACACATGATCTTCCATTAATTATGAAAATTATTCGACCGAGATAAAACGTTTGTTCAGTAATAAAGATATGTCACTTATAAAATAAATAATATAGTCGAGTTAGTGAGCGATTTATTAAGATGAAATATTATTAGAAAGGTTTTGGTTATAATTAATTAAATTGTTAGGAATTTGGGAAGAATTTGAAGGTTTTGTTATTCTGCTCTTATAATTTCTTCAAGTTCCATTTTATTATAGATTTCTTTTTAGTTAGCATTGCTTGTGCCGATGATAATATCAAAATAAAACTTATGGTAAAAATCATATTTTGGTAAAAGTATATAGAGCTTAAAGTATAGATAATTAGAAAATTTTTAGACACTTTAAATAAAATATTAATAGAACCAACAGTTAGCCTCTCAAATTGCAATCGAGTAAAAGCGTCATAGCCTTTACTCTCGAAAATAGATTTTTAAGGTCGCTGGAATACTTTTCTAGCATGAATCCCAATTAATATAAACTTATCTCTAATGAATTTTTCTAGCTATTTCTATTTCAATCTGTCTTATAGCACAGAGCTCAAAGTTTTTCTATAATATAAATTTTAGCAGCTTATACCAATTTTCCAGACATTTTTGATTTATAAGAAATAATCTATTAAACAGAAATTCTTATTTATAGCCATTAACATAATAAAAATGGGCTGTGGTGTAAGCCGGCAAAAATATTGTTATAGCGTCCCAGTGCATGGATCGGATAGAGAAGGCCAAACGCCTATATTTGTTCATCCTAATGCTAAGCCATATCTTAGTTCTTCACTTTTCAACAACGCAAAAACTCTATATCAGAATTTTAAGTCCTCAGCAGAAAAATATGGATCCCGACCATTTCTCGGTACAAGAGTTTACAATAGAGATGGCAGCTTAGGTGAATACAGATGGAAGACATATTCAGAGGTCTTAGAATTTTCAGTACTAATAGGCTCAGGCTTATCCTCTATAGGACTCCGACAAAAGGACGCCGAAGGTCTATCACTATTAGGAATCTTCTCTAAATCCCGCGCAGAGTGGGTTACATTAGATCTTGCTTGTATGAGCCAAGGGATCACAACAGTTCCATTGTATGACAAATATTCTTTTGAAGTTCTCAAATATATCATAAACCAAACTCAATTAAAAGCAGTAGCTTGCTCATTTGATTTAACTGAAAAACTGCTGAAACATAAAAAAGATAAGCATTTCGGCAGTATAGAAGTTATCATTCAGTTCGAGCCAGTTGATACTCAATTGAGACAAAAAGCTAAAGAGCTTGATATTGAAATTTATAGCTTTTCAGAGCTTGCAATTAAAGGCACACATTGTGACGAACACCCTCCGAAGCCAGATTCAATTTTTACAATTTGCTACACAAGTGGGACTACAGGTATGCCGAAAGGTGCATTGTTGACTCATTGTAATGGTGTTTGTGCATTGGCAGGAATAGTTGGCTCAGGGTTTGTTTTTAGTCCATGTGATTCAATGCTTTCTTATTTGCCTCTTGCTCATATGTTGGAAAGGCTGGCAGTTCATTTTATGATCTTGTGTGGGGGGAGGATTGGTTTCTATTCAGGTGATGTCCATCAAGTAAAAGATGATTTATCAGTTCTTCAGCCAACTATTTTCCAAACTGTCCCAAAAATTCTTACTAAAATCCATGATAAATTAAAATGCCAAGTTGAATGCTCAAAAGGACTCAACTGACTTCTCTATAGATGCGGATACAATAGAAAGAAAAGAATGTATGAGCAGGGGACATTTTCGCCTTCACCAGTTACTGATTGTGTTGTGTTCAGCAAAATTAGAAAAATTTTGGGTGGAAGGGTAAGATTAGTTATTACAGGTTCAGCTTCAATACACCCTGATGTAATTAAATTCCTAAGAATTGTATTAGGTGTTCCTATAATTGAAGGATATGGACTAGCTGAAACTTTTGCAGCATCATTTATAACTCAGCCTGGAGACTATGAAGCTGGACATATAGGAGGCCCTACTCCTAGTGTCGAAGCCAAACTTGTAGATTTACCTGATATTGGGTATTTCTCTTTTGATGTGAATGAAAAAGGTGAATACGCCCCAAGAGGAGAATTATGCTTAAGAGGGCCAACACTATTTAGAGGATATTATAAAGATGAAGAAAGAACTCACCAAGCTATGGACAGTGAAGGCTGGATTCATACTGGGGATATTTTCGTTCGCTTGCATCATAATGGAGCATTCAAATTAATTGATAGAAAGCATGGGGTGTTTAAATTGTCTAATGGCGAATTTGTAGCAACTGGAAAACTTGAGCTAGCTTATGGGAAAAGTAAATTTATTGATCAAATTTTTGTATATGGAGATCCTTCTAAGTCGCATTTGGTCGCTGTTGTTGTACCGGATGATGGGTATGTAAGAGGAGCTTGGGCGCCAAGATTAGGGATTGAAAGAGAAAAAAGTTTGCAAGAGTTGTGCCAAATAGAAAAATTGAGGGATGATATTTTAACAGATATGGAACTAATATCAAGAGAGGATAACCTGCCACCATATGAAGCTATAAGAAAAATTTACTTACTCCTATTAATTTCTTTAATTTTAGTTTGAGTTTTTGCTCATCATTAAATACTATCAAAGGCAATCTATTTATAGAAAAATTAATCCAAAAATCAAAATATTTTCAAAATTATCGTTTTCTAATAGCAGATAAAAATTATGCGTTGTTACTAACTCCCCCCCCCCCCTCCGTGAGCGAACAAAAAAATTTTGTTCACTCACGGAGGGGGGTTAATTTTTTTTTTTTAAAAAAAAATTTATATATAAATTTTATAAAAAATTTTTTTTTCGAAATTTAAAAAAATCCTAATTTGCAAAAATTGGGAAGCAAATATTAATTTAATTTGCAAAATTTATGTTTTAAAACGCAATTTGTTTAAAATTAAACAGAATTAGCTCTAGATTTCATTATACTAATTATCACTTATATATCAAAATTTTTTTCCATTAAAATTTTTTCTATTAAAAAAATTTTTGTTCGCTCACGGAGGGTGGGTTTTTGGTCAAAAAATGGTGATTTTTCTAATGGTTTTTGTTCGCTCACGGAGGGGGGGGGGGAGTAAGAAGTTAGAAAGTCAAAGATGGACTGAAAATGATATCTTGACCTCTACCCATAAATTGAATAGAAAAGCAGCTCGTGACAAATATACTAACATTTTAGGAAGGCTTTACGAATAAGCTAAGACTAATCCAATTTATTTACTTATAAAACCAGATAAGCATTTCAATTACATTAACTTCGCTTCATACTTCAATTTTCTCATTCAAAAATTTACCTATCAGTATTTTTATTTTAAAACTTAATAAATAAAAATTTTTTAATATTTATTTCCATTTTTATAATAAGGTAAGGGTCATTAAAATTTATACACAGTTCTAAATAAATTGCTTTAGTACTATTAAATCAATATTCTGTTTCATTTTCTAAATACCATTATTCAACTTTAATGAACTCTGCATATATTTTTATTTATCTGCAAGCTATTATTTTTATCTAAAACTTTTTATCACTCCCCTTCTTAAATAATGTTAGGATTTGGAGGTATAATTCGTCACACAACAGCTCCTGCAGAGAGATCTAGAATCCCTATTTCAAATGGCCATGTTGCGCCAATTCCTTCTACCCCTTTTACTCCTCCTCCTGCTGCATTTCCAATCCAGGAGGATGGAGAGACTCCAGGACAAATTTCTCGTATTTTTAATTTAGAAAACAAAATCTCCCCTAGTGACATTTCAGCTGACTCTTTGCGCGTAGAAGTATCTGGGACATCAGGAGAATACATAATAGAGAACACTGAAACTTTAACATCTAAAATTTATGCTATTTTTAATGAATTGGTCTAAATTTAATTTAAAAAAATTTAGGAAGAGGTTAATTTGCCTCAGATTATTTCCAAAAAAAGCAATTTGTGTGGGAATTTGTTGATCCACAAGGAAATGATATCGACAAACAAAGGAAAAAGCGAATTGAAGTAAAATTTGGCGACATAATGTCAATTGCTATAAAAGCCCATGAAGGACATCCAGGCTCCTTGATAATTCGTAACTTTTACCATAGTTACAAATAAGCCCCTCTCATTATACAAAGAAAAACAGAATGCTCCAGGTAAAAACACACAATGAGACAAGTCAGAAGAATTTATGAACGGCTTCGACAAGCCTAGAGAAGGAGGAACCATCAAATTAACCACCTACTTCGCCAAGGACGCTCTAACCCGAAAACCAGGCAAAATTTCTCATTTAGAAAAACTTTTGAGCTCAGATTCCAGGATCAAGCACATGATTGAAAGCAACCCTGACAGCTCTTTTGAGCAAGTAAAAGACGCAATCAGTGATACCAATGAAGAGGTTGTAGAAGAGCCTAGCGTACAAAATATTGACGTAATGAACGCTGTGACTCTTGGGGATAGACAGCTTACTGCAGGAGACCTTGGGGTAAGCCAAGAATATTTGAGTATAATCCACTCAGATGATTTGAACCATAAGCCTATTGAAGACTTGGTAGAGCTTGTCTCTAAAGAGCTCAAGCCAAGGTCTTCACAAGGGGGATCATCTAGAAAGCATAAGTTTTTATGTCCTATGTGTAAAGCGTTGAAATTCGAAACTGATGCAAACTTGAGAGACCACTTGTATCAGAAGCATAAAAACTTGGTAGAGCTTGGGTTTGATGTGCTGCCTTCAGGACATTTTAAAGCAAGCCCACTTTTTCTTGTAAATGTGCTAGTGTAAGAGTTATGTAGATTGTGTAAATCAAAGCCTCAACTACTTACTCCCCCCCCCCCCCTCCGTGAGCGAACAAAACCATTAGAAAAATCGCCATTTTTTGACCAAAAAACCCACCCTCCGTGAGTGAACAAAAATTTTTTTAATAGAAAAAATTTTAATGGAAAAAAATTTTGATATATAAGTGATAATTAGTATAATGAAATCTAGAGCTAATTCTGTTTAATTTTAAACAAATTGCGTTTTAAAACATAAATTTTTGCAAATTAAATTAATATTTGCTTCCCAATTTTTGCAAATTAGGATTTTTTTAAAATTTCGAAAAAAATATTTTTTAGAAAATTTATATATAAATTTTTTTTAAAAAAAAAAAATTAACCCCCCTCCGTGAGCGAACAAAATTTTTTTGTTCGCTCACGGAGGGGGGGGGGGGGAGTTTAGAACAATAATGAAGAACTCAATTAATTTTGATTTTGATGCTTAATTTGTAGGTTTAATTAATTTCATAATATACAATATTAGAATATCATAATATACAAATATATAGACTTGTCTGTGATAGCTCTTGAAGCTGATAATATGCACAGCCATTAAGAGAGGAATAAATTGGTTTAAATTATGTATTATCAGCCAAGCATTGGCTTATATGATAAGGTTTTCTATTCTTAATAAAATCATCACTTATCAAAATGAGATTTAATGGTGTTTTAGCAGAAACATATGTTTGTGAGCATATCATTGATAATGCGTGTTTAAATGCCTCTCTGATTAGTTTTATTCTAAAAGCTCCTCTTCCTATATCATTATTAGTACCTTGAGGGCATTCCACACATAAGAATTCTCCTTTTCCTTTGCACCACTCCTTATTTCTCTTCTGAAAATACGACCCATTTCACTTTATATCTATCCCTATATCAGAATAGTTAAACTCATGCCCATATAACTGAAAAAAATGGACTAAAAAATGGCCAAGGGTATAGCCTCCATAATGTTTGCCACCATCTTTATGAGCAGGATGCATTTGAATTGAGCTTATGACCATACAGAATAATAGATAGCTTCCAATTCCTCCATTAAAAGTTTCATTTAATTCTCTTTGCTTTAAATAATATTTCAATACGAAAATAATGTATTTCGCTTCTGGATATTTTACAAGGTAATCTTTAACGAGGTTTATTCACTCCATTCCTTGCCCAATGCTGAAAGAGACATCTATAGATAGACTTGTCGATCTGTCTAGGAATTTTAATAGCGGAACTCTTGCTGTGTAGATTTTTTCGAGCTCACTAGCCATTTTTGTTTTGATAAGAGAGGCTGCAAGTAAATCAATTGAGGCTCTGGTGCTTAGGTTAGTATTTGTTCTAACTGATACATCAATATCACTTGTGGGCAATCATAAACCATTGGCAAATGAGCCAAAAACTTGGATTTCAGCATCTGGCCAAATTGACTTTACCATAGCAGTAAGCCGATTAAGGATATCTTCTTGGTTAGCCTTTTCTAACTTTCAAGGCTGCTGATTGATAGATGAGAATATAATGTAATACAAAATAATTTAAATTGTTAAAATTATGATTAAAGGGATAAGGGATTTGGCTGCATAAAATCATAAAAATCAATAATCTCTTCATGAAGAAGAAGCAAGGGATCTTTAAATGTAAGCGTGCTTTCTCGGACTCAAGGAGCTAGTTGTGGCTCTTCAGTAGGTGTGCTTCCATAAAGTGTAATAAGATTTCGTCGATCAGATTGCGAATAAGATTTTGGAGTTCTAGATCGGCTTCGGGTTTTGTTTTGAGAGGTATCAGAGCTTAATTTTGAATATAAAAACCTATTAGCTCTATTTTTACCGACATGCAAATGCATTTTATTAAAAAAATTTTTGTTCACTCACGGAGGGTGGGTTTTTGGTCAAAAAATGGCGATTTTTCTAATGGTTTTGTTCGCTCACGGAGGGGGGGGGGGGAGTTAAAAATTATTTTTCCAAAAGATTTAAAAATTTTATATAAAAATAAATATTTTAAAATAAGAACGAGCTTAATTTATAGATTTTATGTTTTAAGATGGAGTTGTCTAACATTTACAGTTTCTTCCACTTTTGCACAATTTCTCATCTGGTCTGGCATATGAAATTATAGTGACTTCACATTGAAAAATTTCTCCATTAAGAGAAAATTTTCATGGAGAAGAAATTTGACAAGGCAATATAACATAGTTATCTAAAGATCTCATTAATATAATTATTAGTAATATATCAAAATATTTGATACAAAAAGGATCGTGCTTAGAAACTACTGATTTTCCAATTATTTTGTAATTATTGGCTAAAACTAAATGGTAATTGATCCCCTTAAATAATGATTTTAAAAAATTACTTACACTATTATTTTATTCTTAATTGTCTCCCTTTAAATTCTTACCAAAAAAATTAAATATTTTTTGAATTTTAGATTAGATTAGATTTAAGATGTGTCTTTATAGTCCCTACTTCCATGCGTGGCATTCCTCCGCGCTCCTTGGGGAGCCGTGCTGGCACGAGCGAAAAGGATGGACTTCCATCACTGGTTCTCTGAACCCAGGCCGAAACCCCTGGTTTCTCGGTAGTGGGTTGCCCTATTGAGTCGTCAGCCGACTGTCGCTGGGCACACCCATTTCCAACTCAGCCTTCCGCCCCGAATTACGCCAGTCTTTGCCTCCGGTTGGCCAGATCGCCCTCATGAGAGGACCCTTTTAACTGGAGAGACTTGCGCCCTTGAGTTCTCTAGTCTAGCTTCGCCTCCCTCTTTCCCGGATCATCTCCAAGAAAGAATTCAACCCCTTGCGGGATTCGGGGCTAAGCCACCAAGTAGCCTAGGCAGGTAACTCACCCTGCCTCTTTCGGACACCGAGTCTGGGCCTCGGCGCTACTGGCAAAAAGAATGCGAAAAACTGCTGCCCGGGTCAAGTCTCAAAATCAGCGGAAATTGGGCTGGGGGCCTCTCGCCTCGAGGCTAACTCTCCCCTTGAGTAGCTCTCCGCATCCAAAAAACATGTCCGGTATACATAAGGACACCCGCCACGGAAGAACGGGTCGCTCGTCTCCGGCCATTTTATGTATATATGTTTTGAATTTTAATTATTTTTATTTATAAAATTAATCGATTTTGGGCATTCAACTGTTTAAATAGTTTCTATTTGCATTCCCTCAATTAAAATGGGGCTCAAACTATTTATATAAAAATTATTATTTTCACCTATAAAATATTCTATTTTAAATTAATTTTTTTCAATTTAGGGTGAACTAATTACTTAGCCATTTGCTGAAATTTTGCCATTTTAAATTAAAATAGAAGACGGCAGATACCATTATATAAACCCCTCCAACTCCATAAATGATAATAAAATAATTTCAACCAAATTAATATATAAAAATCTTCTATATATTATTATATATCAAAAAAACCTGAATTATATATATTTAGTAAATAAAGCTTTTCGATTTTACCAATATAACTTCAATAAAACTGCCCATAATTTCTTGTCATATCTCTAATCTCATTTTTCCAAACTAACTTTGCCCAAATTTAATGAATTGAGTGTTACTTATCCACTGACAATAGTCAAATCATCCTTCCAAATGAAATTTATGATTAAAATGGATAGAAGTTTATCTTTATATCAGCACGATCGACATTGCTTTTTCGTTCTATAGTTTTTAAAATACAGTACAGTGGCATCCTGTCTTCTTAGCTATTTCAGGGTATATAATGGGCTCAACTTCAATTATTGTATGCAGAGGCAAATTCTTTGCACGGTCAGGAAAGCTCACTTTTTTGAGTTTATTATTTGGCCGAGAATCAACTATAGTTATAGTCGGTGGGCTATTAGGCTTGTCATTTGCTGCCGATTTCTTAAGAATTGACTTATTGTTTGTCGGTCTTCTGTGTGGATTTTTCTCACTCATTTTCTTAAATTATTAAATTGGATTGACATAAAAATTGAATTACTTAATTATTAAAACCCTGTTTTATAATCATTTTAAGCTGCAATTTTATTTGTGATGCAAAATATCCTTAAATCACCTGAAGTCAAAAATAGATACTTGCTAAGAGATGAAGAATATATTATTTTGCAGAAAATCTTATACAAGACCTTAATAAATCAATTTAATGTTAAGAAAAAGAATAGCTGCTCGGGATCTATTCATAATGCAATTAACTTGAAATGCTAATTTATTGTATTTGTAACTGATTTAATTGGAAAAATATGTTTGAAAATCATATTTGATCTTTAACTGAAAAATTATAAATTAAAAAACTAGTATAACAATTTTTGATTAAATCTTTTAAATATTACACCACAACTGGATAACTTTCATCTATTTTACCAAATGCAATTAATTTCACAAAAATCGATTAAAAAGCATCTGGCTGCATAAATTAGCTGAAATAAATCAGAAAAAACTAAAATTCTTAACGCCTGCATATATTATCTCCAATTTCCACCAAATTTTTTATCGATCAACAATAATAGTAATCTTTCAAAGTAGTTTATATAATTTATACTCATCAATTCATACATACAGTAATTATTCAAACTTTTCCATTAAATGTTCAGTTATTCACAATAATTTAAATGTCAGCAGCTAGAAGACCCGCGCCACGTGGAGGCCGCAAAGGACGCCAAGAGCTAACTGAAGAACAAAAACAAGAAATAAAAGAAGCTTTTGACCTTTTCGATACAGATGGATCTGGAAGCATTGACTCCAAAGAACTTAAAGTTGCAATGAGAGCCTTAGGATTTGAGCCTAAAAAAGAAGAAGTCAGACGAATGATTGCAGAAGTCGACAAAGACGGCTCAGGGACTATTGAATTCCCTGAATTCCTTGACATGATGGCTGCGAAAATGGCTGAGAGGGATCCAAAAGAAGAAATTCTTAAGGCGTTTGGTCAAGTAGGAATGGGACTCGGATGTCTCTATTATCCCCTAAGCCCTGCTTTTAAAAATATAGCTTATCATAATTAATGTTTAATTGCATTAGAGTTTTTAAGAGTTATGAGTAAATTTTTAATTATTTTCTTGAATATCTGATATTATTTCCCTAAACTAACTATAATACATTTAGCTTGCTAAACTTTATTTTATAATAATATATATTAAACTTGTTTATTAAAAATATGATACTTTATTTTTATAATAATGGGGTGGGATTCTATTTGTGCAATAGAGAGATTGGGCTAGGATGGAGGGGTCCCCAAGCCCTGTTCCTCCTTAGCCAGGCGTTCAGACTTTTTGACGATGATGGAAGCGGAACCATCACTTTCAACAAACTCAAGCGTGTAGCAAGAGAACTTGGTGAAAATATGACAGATGAAGAACTTATGGAAATGATTGAAGAAGCTGATAGAGATGGAGATGGCGCAGTAAACCAAGAAGACTTTTTAAGAATCATGAAAAAGACTAATTTATTCTAAAATTTAGCTTATCTAGTAAAATTGAAGGATTTTACAAATGCGAGCCAAAATTTCAAATATTTAATTGGGGATATAGTAGCTGCTAAATTTAAATAATTATGAGAAATTTCCTTTGCAATAAATATAAGCCTTTCTATATTTTTATGCTTGTATAGTCTATTACTCTATGAAATTGATATCATAACGCCGCTTTAATTTAAATATCTATTAGTCTTTTTAATATGGGAATATATTCAAATTACTGTTGACAAATTGTGCAATTCAATCTATAAATCTCTATTTAATGTGCAGTGATTATCATAAAATTATTTTCAACCCTTATCTTAATTTCATATAAACTAAGAGACACATAACTCCAAGTAGCAAAATGACTATTCCAATGATCAGCAGCTTGTTTTGAATTGCTCTTCTCGTCATTGTACTGATCAATGTGTTTCCTTTTGATAAATTATTTCCGACTTCTCTGTTATTTGAAATAGATCTTGTTAAAAGGTCTCTCTGTCCTTTGAGCTGGTTCATGGTCTCAATTGCTACCCCTTCAGCTTCTAATGCAATTCTTTTCCCTTCATCCAGCCTATTATTTTGATCAGCTATTACTTGATGAGTATTTAGCAGTCTTTCTCTATGCTCATTAGGCCTCCCAAAACCCTAATACTCCTTTGTTAGCGAACAAAATCATTGTAAAATTTCCTATTTTTTGAGTTAAAACCGCACATCGTGAGTAAACAGAAAATTTTCTTAATATTAAATTTTTTATAAGAAAAATATTTTGATATATAGTGATAATTTTTATAAAGAAATCTCTAGCCTATTCTATGTAATTTTAAACATCTTCCATTTTTAAAAAATAATTTTACAAATTAAATTAATATATTTGCTTTAAAATTATTTCGAATTACTATAAAATTTACATATAATTTTAGTTCGCTCACAGAGGAGGAGTAAGTAACAATTACATTATCTAAACGTGCCCCCATAAGAGTTTCTCTTGATTTTTGATCAGCATAGGACGCTTCCTCCTGTCTGAAAGCGCGCTTTGTTTGTTCAAAGTCTTCTCGGTACCGTCTGACTTGAGACTGAATTTGTGCTCGTGATGCTGCTGGCATCATTGATAGCTCGATTTCCATTTGGCGAAGCTATGTGGAACTTACACATTTTTCTGCGTCGGAGATTTCTTTGACTCCTTCAGTTATGGCAAGTTCTTTAAGTTCTTTACTTTGGTTTGGAAGGGATGATACCTTTTTTTGGATAGAATTTAGAGATTTGCAAAAATCCTGCTCGAAGCTCTGGTACATCTCTGACATTTTGATATATAGCGCGTGCTCCCCTATAGATTTTCAAGGAAAATGCCCTTCAAAGAAAAAAATTATTTGAAATTCCAAAAGTCAAATATCAATTTAAAAATGCCATTAATATGTCCTATTTGTCAATTTGAAAATTGACTTTTCAGATTTTTCCTTAAATTAAAAACTTAAATTTTTTATATAAAAGCACTGTCCTCAGGGATCTAAAATGAGGCTTGTGATATATATAACAAAAATTAATTTTTATCACTTTGCAGTTATGTTTGCTGATATTTTTTAATTGGAAAATATTTTATAGGTATATAGAGTTTTTTTTTATTATTAGATCAGATAATAAATAATATTAAAAGATAAGGGAAGTTTTTATATGTGATATGGATTTATTTCAGATATCTATTAATAATATGAATATCACAAATGATCTAGACCATATTCATTTCTTCATATTTGGACTCAGCTCTCAATGATTTATGGACAAAAAGGCTTAAACCAGCAAATGCGATCCCACTGAACACAATTGAAACTACGAAGAACAGCATTTCATATGTTAAAAACTCTCCATGCTCCACTTCTTTATATAAAGCTTGGGCTTTGCTTCCTAAGAAAATGTGAGTTGCGTTATTAAACAGACTTGTGGCTGTACCTATCACTATATATGGTAAAAACCTTACGTTCAAGCTAGCTAATCCATAATTTTTGACTGAAACTGGAGCACTTATCATCCAAATTAAAAAGACAAACTTCCATTGGCTTTCCTCTATTGCAGAAGCCATAGCTTTTGTTGATTGATAACTATCAAAAAGTTCTTTGCATGAATCTCTCAATAAACTTTTGCCTAAAACATATGCCTATTTATATAAATATAAGTATTACCACTATATTATATGGCAAACAGGAATGTTTATTTCATTATAAATAGGGTAGCAAATAATTGTCCCAACAAAAGCTCCAACACCACTGATTAAAAACGCAGTCCAAAAGCTATATAAAAAGCTTAATGAAATATTTAGCATAGTAATTGGAATTGATATTGCTAAACATATAGCGTAAAATGCCATAAAAATAATCAGTCCGAAGCCTCCCAAATTTTTTAATGACCTGAAGAGACCAGCAAGTAATTCTTTAGCGCCAGGGATTGTAGTAAATAGCACAAGGACTATAATTCCTGTTCCTATGCAGCTCCAAGCTTTGAGTCCTTTGATCTTTTGCTCCATTTATTTAAAACAGATAGACTGTGCTCATTAAAGTTTCCTTTTTTAAAAAATAAATTACAAAAAATTGAAATACAGGTTTAAAAAAATTAATAATCTATTGATAATAAGGAGTAAGCGTTTCCAACAATAATTTAGCAAAAATAGTGCAAATTAATTGATTTTATTTGCATATAAAAGTTAATAATTATGCCTCCATCTATTTCCTTCAATTAGGATGCGTTTTTTTGTAAAGTATTTCGATCAATATAAATAATAAATTAAAAACATGCACAAATTTATTCAGAAATTGCAAAAACTAACTAATTTCATCCAAAAATTCTTATTTTTTACAGCCAAATTATTTTAAGAATGGTTTAGCTTATTAGTGCTTAGCATGCTGGTTTTGCCAGAAGTTTTGGAGTTGGTCACTTTCATGATTAGGCACCATAGTAGCAGCGCCAGGAGCCCATGACTCAGGACAGACTTCTCCGTGTTCATCAGTGTATTGGAATGCTTGTACCAATCTTAGGATTTCTCTGACATTTCTTCCTACAGGTAGGTCATTGACTGAAATATGTCTCAGAATTCCATCCTTATCAACGATGAAAGTTCCTCTCAAGGACACACCTTCATCTCCTGAGTGGTCAAGGTAGACACCATAGTCCTTTCCAATCTGCTTGTTAAGATCTGCAATAAGAGGGATCTGCATTCTGCCAAGGCCTCCGTCAGCTCTTGATTTAAGGGTGTATTCTCTGTGGGTAAACACAGAGTCAACTGAGCAGGCTAAGACTTCACAGTTGTTGGCTCTGAATTCTGGAGCAGTGTCATTGAACTGGACAATTTCAGTTGGGCAGACAAAGGTGAAGTCCAATGGGTAGAAGAAAAGAACAACATATTTCCCCTTGAAGTCTGATAAAGAAACTTGACGGATTCTGTTTCCATCCCAAGCGGTAGCTGTAAAAGCTGGGGCAGGTTTTCTGATTTCAGCTTTAGGAAAATATGATCTTTGGCAAGCCATTATTTTATTATTATCATACGTGGAGATTATTACCCCAAAATGGTTAATTTATTTACTCCCCCCCCTCCGTGAACAAAAAAATTTTGTTCACTCACGGAGGGGGTTAATTTTTTTTTTTTTAAAAACAATTTATATTTAAATTTTATAAAAAATATTTTTTTCGAAATTTAAAAAAAATCCCTAATTCGCGAAAATTGAAAAGCAAATATTAATTTAATTTATAGAATTTATGTTTTAAAAAGCAATTCGTTTAAATTTAAACAGAATTAGCTCTAGATTTCATTATACTAATTATCACTTATATATCAAAATTTTTTTTTCCATAAAAAATTTTTGTATTAAAAAAATTTTTGTTCACTCACGGAGGGTGGGTTTTTGGGCAAAAAATAGCGATTTTTCTAATGGTTTTGTTCACTCACGGAGGGGGGGGAGTTAGTAATTAAATTAAAAATTTAAAGTGCTTAACTTTAACACCCAGGTTTTGGTATTGAGTCACAGATGACAAATTCTTTTAAATCACTCTGAATTTTTTATAAGGTTTTCTAGAAATAAGGAGCAAAATTGTATAAATAAATTGTTGCTGACCTGTTGAGCCTTTCTTCAATTTTACATAGCGACTATTATGCTTTATCCTGACTCCTCTTGAGTCTATCTTCACTATTTCATCTAAATTTAAGCTCGTCACATTTGTTTCTCCATCGAAAACAATTTTTTCAAATTTGTTTTCTATAGTGAAATTCTTTTCACTTTTAAGCTCTTCTGCGGTCATACGTGAAAGTTTTACCATTGAAAGCTTAGTGAAGCATTGGGATTTGTGAGCTTCGGAAGCACATCAAAAGAGATGGCTCTTGTTTTGGCTCTAACTTCTATAGGATGACAATTGCATTAATTTCGTCATGAAGGATCATGTTTAGAGATTTTATGGAGCCTGAGTCTTGTAAGATTTTTGATTTAAACGTCAGATTCTTCTATCGGTTTTAATAATTGCAATTTTAGGCAATTACAGCAGTTGCTCAGAGCAACAGAAAAAATCCCCAAAACTTGGGGCTTCCAGAAGAAAAAAGGTGGCCCCTTAGGGACCACGGGGTCGCGGTGGCAAGGGTGTGGGCTTGGGCTGACTGGGTCTCCCCACAACCCAAATACAAGAAGACCGACGGCGCAACACCAGTCGAGCACTTCTGGAGAAGCATTATGCTGCCTGTAAATGGCAGAGGTAGTTCCAGAAGGAGACTTTGAACAATTCCATCATACCCTGAGCAATACCAGGGGTTAAGAGAGTCCTTTGCTGAAAATTTTAATCCAAGCAGATCTGGTGAGTTTCCCCGAAAGATGTCGACGTCATGAAAAATGGTGACGCCGGCAGAAAAGGGCGTTAGGTGGCCACAGGAGCGTGAACTTGAATCTCGACTGGATTGGGGCCTGAAATAAATCCCGTTTTAACCCTCTCTAATTAATTCTCTCTCTATCGATGTTACATGTTGAAGAATTTTGTATCTGATTTCCTTTATTATTGCACTGGAGGTGGGCGAAATTATCGTTCTAACTGGATATAGGCTACTATAATTTCAGTTTTCTCCGCAAAATTAGGCGAATTTTGGGATAATGAAACGGTCTTGATTTTTCATCTTATTTCTTCAAACTTCACTTTTCACAAGATGATTTTTCAGGGTTGATATCATTTACTTTTTCTTCAATTGGCCTTACTTTTAGTAAGTTTCTTTTAATTTTAGGAGTGGATGGACTTTTGTCTATATTCTGCCTCCATTTATTGGGTCTACGTCATCGGCTAGTCTTGGAGTATCTGAAAATTGAGCTAAAATGCTAGAATTTCAGAATTATTAGCCAGCGCAGTCTTCTTTATTCAATTCAAAACGAAATTTCAGTAGAAAATTTGAACAGAGATCGCTAGGATTATCTTTTGATTATTCAAAACCCATGTGTTCTAGAAAATTGAGTTTGACTTTATAGGCTAGTCTCTGTTTGAGAGAAGGCTTCAGATAGCTTTCGAAAATAGCTTAAAAATAAGCACTATCCTATTAGATGTGTACAACTAAATAAAGATTCTGGTGCTTGCTAAGGGGGATATAAGGAGCTTGGGATTGGATTTTTCAAAGTAGATAGTGGCCTAGAGAACTTATGCTAAGTCCTGTAATTGGCTATTTGAGTACTTGGTCTGAAGAAAGAGAATGGCTGTGTCTTATTTTGTTGAATATTCATAGAAATTATTGAAGTGCGCCTGGTTTAAATTGACATCAAATATTGCCTAAGCATGATTAGCTTATCAGTGGTATTTTCCAACTGCGATTTAAAGTAGGCTTTAGAATCAGAATCTCCTATATCCAATGGTTAACTTAACTGCTGACTTTTGGTTTGTGAAAAAATAAAATTTGGTTGACTAATTATAGGATAAATTCTTATTTGGATATTCCTTTTATGCCATTCATTAAATTTATAGTCCTCAAACCTTAATTCTTCAATGGATCTATTTTGAAATCTAGCTCAGGAATGTAAGTTAAGCCAACAATCTTCAGTATGTGTACGACTCGATATCTTGTGCTTTTTGTCCCTTTTGCAGAGTTATCCATAACTGGAGAATTCTGTTGAAAGTCTGATTGAAACCCTTCCATAGGACTTCCAGCTAAATTCGTGGAGCTTGAAAATAGGGGGCTGGCTGCCCTCCAAATGGCTGTTAGGTTCCTGCATTTTGAATATTGTTTGGGTTATAGTGAAGGTGATTTAGAATTTGTATTAAATGAATGGCCTTGAAATAAATGAAGTTGTAGAAGCTTGCTCAAGTATAGATAAGGGGATACTAACTCCCCCCCCCCCCTCCGTGAGCGAACAAAACCATTAGAAAAATCGCCATTTTTTGACCAAAAACCCACCCTCCGTGAGTGAACAAAAATTTTTTTAATAGAAAAAATTTTAATGGAAAAAAATTTTTGATATATAAGTGATAATTAGTATAATGAAATCTAGAGCTAATTCTGTTTAATTTTAAACAAATTGCGTTTTAAAAACATAAATTTTGCAAATTAAATTAATATTTGCTTCCCAATTTTTGCAAATTAGGATTTTTTTTAAATTTCGAAAAAATATTTTTTATAAAATTTATATATAAATTTTTTTTTAAAAAAAAAAATTAACCCCCCTCCGTGAGCGAACAAAATTTTTTTGTTCGCTCACGGAGGGGGGGGGGGGGAGTAAGTGTAAATTGAGAGGGTTTTGCAAAATAGGAAGCATTAGGCCGAGATGATTGAGAGGATTTGAAATAGAAAAGCTAGTATTGAAGCCAAGTAGGTTTAAATGGATTTTGAATGTTTATTTTTATTTTTATTAATTTAAAAATTGAAAATTAAGTGCTTTCTACTTAATTTATTTGGAATTCGCTAAATTATTTATATATCATATCTCCACACATAGCTGAACAACAGCTAGAATACCCATATTAACTAGTATCTGCTAGAAATCATCGCCTAAACAATTAAGCTATTAAATTAAATTTAAAAATGCTTAACTTTAAACACCCAGATTTTTGATATTCTATCCCAATTGACAAATTCAATATCAGCTATCCCTTTTAGTTTTTTTCTAAATTCATTGTCTGTCTTATTTTTCTTTGCTACACAATTAAATAAATAAATTGTTGCTGGCTTGTTAAGCCCTTCTCCAATCTTAGGCTTATCTTGATCATTTGGATATACATTGATTTCATTTTGCTGAATTTCTACTATTTCATCTAAATTTAAGCCCGTCATATTTGTTTCTCCATCAAAAACAATTTTCCCAAATTTATTTTCTATAGTAAAATTTTTTATACTTTTAATTTCCTCTGTTGTCATACGAGCAATTTCTATCATTGACGGCGTCGTGAAGTATTCAGGTCTTTTAAGCTTCGGAAGCAGATCTACAGGAGCAAACGTTTCTTTAGGCTCTTGAGGCTCTTGTGTTACAATTACATCAATGGCATCATGATGGATCATGCTTAGAGATTTGATAGTATCTGAGTCTTGTAATATTTTTGACTTAAACGTCAGTTGGATTCTTGACATCTCAACCCACTCAAGCTTTTTAAAAACTTTGTATTTGATTTCTTGTATTGTTGTGGTGGAAATGACTGTAATAGCCATTCTAATTGGATAGGGGTTATATGTTGTGGCTATAATTTCAGTGGTTTTTACACGTTTAGGGGAGTCTGATGATGAGGAAACAGCCTTAAAATATTTGGAATTGTCTTCTCCCTCATATTCCTCAAGTCTTAACTTTTCAAAAGACGATTTTTTAGTGATCACGTATCTTTCTTTTCTATCTAATATAGGACTGAATCTGGAGGGCTCTCATTTTAATTTTGGCGTGAGGGATCTTCTATCTATATTCTGCCTCCATTTATTAAAATCTGAGTCATGGCTGAGCTTTGGAGTATCTGAAAAACGAGAAATAAGACTGGTTTTCTTAGGCAGTTTAAACAGATCAGTGTCTCTTTTATATGAAGAAACGATTTCTTCAAGAGAATTATAAGAGAAAATAGATAATAGCCCTTGGGGATCTTTAAATGCAGTTAGCAGTGCATCCATATGAGGAATTTGAGCTTGACTGAGGTTAGGCTGCGTTGGAGCAAAAAGCCCAGCTGGCTTTTGAGGGTTGTTTGGAAATAAATTTCCTCCCATTGGCTGTGCAGAACTGAATAAAGATGCTTGGGTTTGCTGAGGAGGATTATAATATGGAGCTTGCTGTTGAGGATTTGCAAATAAACTGCTACTGAGCGAACTTATAGAAGCTCCTGCAAATTGGCTGTTTGAAGAATTTGCTCCAAATAAGGAGCTTGGCTGTGGATTACTTTGTTGAATATTTGTAGGAAATAATGGAGCTTGAGGTGGATTTATGCTTCCAAATAATGAAGCTTGCATTATAGGCTGAATGACTATCTGCTGAGTAGGAGCATTATTTATATTTCCAAACAACGATTTATTGGGGGCTTGAGAACTCATACTTCCAATATTTGATGCTTGGCTAAATGTTTGTTGACCTGTGGTTTGAGGAAATAGAGGATTTGGCTGAGAAAATAAAGAGTTTTGGGTTTGAGTTTGCCAAATTGAGCTTGCTCCTCCTGAGATTGAAGATCCTGATGATGATCCAACTGTAGTATTTGATGTTGAAGTTTGGCTGAAAATAGACTGCACAGAGTTTTGTTGAGTGCCTGCAGAGAAGCTTCCATTTGAGTTCCATTGATTTTGTGGAATATTTCCTCCAAAATTTGATATATTAGCTGTATTACTTGTTGGTGCTGCCCCTGAAACGTTTGGAAAAGTATTTGCAGTTTTCAAAGCTGACCTAATCCCTCCAAAACTGCTTGTGGCTCCTGAAAAAGGAGGAGGTTGACTAATTATAGGATAAACTCCTGTTTGGGTATTTCTGATATACCCATCATTAAATTTATAGTCCTCAAATCTTAATTCTTCAATGGATCTATTTTGAAATTCATCTAGCCCAGAAATAGATGTTATGCCAATATGCGTTTCTGTCGATGAATCTTCTCTATATCTTGTGCTTTTTGTCCCATTTGCAGAGTTATTCATGGCTGGAGAATTCTGCTGAAAACTTGATTGAAATCCTTTCATAGGACTTCCAGCTACATTCATGGGGCTTGAAAATAGGGGGGCTGGCTGTGCTCCAAATGGCTGTTGGGTTCCGGCATTTTGGAACTGAGCTTGGGAGAAGCCTGAAGGTTGTGGAGGATTCGAGTTAAAAGGTTGGCTTTGAGTAAAATGAGGATTAGAAAAAGAGGTTGAAGAAGTTGACACTGGCGTTGCTGAAGGAATGCCAAAGCCTCCTTGAGGAGGTTTGGTAAAGCCAGATGAAAAAGGCTGAGATGCATATGAGTTAGAAAAGCCAGAGTGAAAGCCAGAAGGGTCTGTTTGGCCAAATTGCTGAAATGAATTTGGTTTTTGAAAATTCATTTTATTTTTATCAATTATAGAAATAAGAAATTTTATAATTTTTGGGGTTTACACTAAAACAAAGAAGTTTGGTTAATATTATTAAATATTCTATTTCATGATAAAAATCACTTCGAGTAGAAGTACTTAATTTATTAGTTAGGTTTTATCAACTCTTCAAAAATAATTTTCACGTTAAGAAAGCGTTTAGTATAAATTTATTCATATTTTTGATTGAAATTTCAAATATAACCTAGGGCTTTGTTAAGGATTGGCATTAATAGCTAGCTTAAATCTAATATACCATTTTGGATTCTTCATAATATTTGATACTTAATTCATTGATAAGATAAATGCTCTGCTTCTAAATTTAATTTTTTATTATTATTTATCAAGCTTATTAGCTTTTTCATAATAGCAAACTTAATTAATCACATTTTAATTTTCTTTTATAATTTGACCTGATTATTTTCGAATGAAAAAGTATTGCATTATTATTTTCATAAGTATTATTAAAAATTTTATAAAAGCTATACAGGACAATTAATATTTATACAATCTTAATTAAAACTTGGCGAATATATTTCCTGAAAAATATTCTACTTGTTTTAAAATAAGTTTATTATATTGGATCCATTATATAATTCATACATTATTTTTTAGTAAAAATCTTGCTTGATTTTGAATCTATTTGAATATTCCAAAGTCTTAGAATTTCTGGTTAAAATCATTCCAGCGAAACCTCCACCTGTAGGTGGTCTCACAAATGACGCTCTAGCAAATTGAGAAAAAGGCTTTCATATTTGAGAACTAGTTGTGCTGGATTCAAAGAGACTTGAGAGCTCCGGCTTAATCCTTCTTGTAGATCCTCTAGATTTTAATCTTGGCATAACTAATGGTTTTTTTGGAGTTAAAGAAATCATTGAAGTTGTCTTAGAAAACGCTGGCGAAACAATGCTGATTCTATGTTTAACTCCTCCCTTGGCTAGAGAGCAAAATAATTAGAAAATTCTTGCAGGTTAGCTAGTAAAATATTTTCAATATAAAGTTTTTTGCTAAAAAGCAAATTTTAATATATAGTTGATAATTATAATAAAGAAACCTCAAGCAAATCAAATTAAATATTAGACAATTAACACTCTATAACAGAAATTTTGCAAATTAAAGTAGTTTTTTATTTTTAAATCCAAATAATTTTAAGGATAAAAATATTAAAAAAAAACTTGTCCAAGAATAATTTTTTTTTGTTTGCTAACCAAGGGGGAGTACGATATTTTGTGTTCTTTGTAAAATCAAAGGTACTGTAATCTGGTGTGGCTTTTTGCTGTTGCATTTTACTAATTCATTTAATTGGTCTTTATTATCCATTTAAAACTGCTTTTCAGTAAAAGAAATTTGAGAAAAAGTTTATAAATATTTACAGCCAACTTTAAGCTCTAAAAATAACTGATATAATGCTAGTGTTTTTATTAGAGAATAAGAGGATTACTGCAATTTCTTTACTCCGCCATTCTTGATCGAACGATTGACTGTAAAAATTCCTAAAAATGGGAAAATTAACCCTTGATCGAACGATTTTCATATCATACAAATTTTTATATATATAAAAATATATTAGTTCTCAAAAGCTTGGGAAAGATGTGCCTAATGAAGTTGTTGTCAGAGGCTTTGAGATGACAGAAGCTACGGAATCAAGCATCCGAAGTGATTTAGTCATCAACCTGAGCTTAAAAACTCAATAATCTAAAAAATAGAGATTCTTTAAAATTTAAAATTCAATAAGGAACAAATTCAAATTTATACAGTTTAAAGGGTAACCGTAAAATAAAAATATTAAAAATTGGTTTTCTTATGAAATTAATTCAATTTTTTTGCTGTAATAATAATTATCAAATACTCTAAACCCTCTCTTATTTAAAATATATAAAAAAAACATATATTTTTTAATTTTATATATAACATTTTTTTTTCCCAAATTTTTTTTAAAACCCCATCCTTGATCGAGCGATGGCGAGCCGTTCGATCAAGGATAGGGGGAGTTAGGAGAATTAAAATCAGAGTATTATTCAAAGATTTTTAATTTAATTATTCTGTTTCCGCACATAAAATGGTTATAATATCTCATAATTGTCACCAAAATGAACACTGAACGGGTATTCCTTATGATGATTCCTAATAAAGAGCTTGAATTTGAATTCATCCCGGGTACAACAGTGACAACTTCCCTAAATTTAAAAAATATACACACTACTCCGGTGGCATTTAAAGTTCGTACAACTGCACCTAAATCGTACCTTGTTAGGCCAAGCCAAGGAATCTTGTTCCCTGGAGAGGCCAAGGAACTAACTTTTTCAGTCTTTATCGTTCATTTTGAAGTAAAAAAAATTTATTTTTCCTTTAAAACTAAAAACTAGGTTTTTAAATTTATTTTGCCATATTATATATATATTTATATTTGTGTAAGTATAATAATGCAGCCTCTATCTGAGCACCCAGGCGAAGTCTCTCATCGCTTTCTTGTCCAAGCAATTCCCACTCAACTTAATCCTGCCACATGCTCCGCTCAAGATGTGAATGACTTATGGAACAATGCAAAAGAAGGCTCCCAAAGCACAAAGCTTGGTGTAGCAATTCTTAGTGAAAAAAGAAGTTTTCAGCCAAGAACCACAGTTTATATTGATCCTGTGGAGCCTCAGCCTAAGCCATCAACAGAGAAAGTTGAAGAAATGAAAAATCAATTGCATGACCAAGAAATTTACAATGCAAAACTAGAGGAGCAGCAAAATGAGCTTGAAGCAAGGCTTAGAAAGCTAAATGACGATCAGAAGAGAAGAGAATTCGATCCTAAGAGGTCTACAACAGAGACTGCTGCAAAAGGTTTCGGGTTATTCCATGTTCTGATGTGCTTAATTGCGGGGATTATTGTTGGGTATCTTTCATCAGTTAATAAAACTTAATAGATAAATTGTTTATTATAGTAATGAGTTAAAATGAAAACTCAACTGAAAATTTTCTTAATTCATCGAATATTGGTAATTGGAAAATAAAGAAATTTTAATTGAGAACAGAGCATATTTTATGATACAATAAATAATAAATAGATAGAGAAAAGGTTTAGCAATCTGAACATTAAGCTTTACTATTAGAAGCATAAATAAAGAAATATATCCTTCAATTAATTTAGAAGCAAAAGCCTTAGAAGAGGAAGCATCCAAAGTTCATAAAAAAAGACCAGCCGAATCATTGATTGGAAACAATCAAGCAGTTAGTGATTTAGGAAAGAGGTCTTCTGAATGTAGCCAGCAATTGCATACGTATGAGTCTGAAGTATTTAATCTCGACACCAAAATAAGCGATCTTCAAGCTAAAATATTATCACTTAAATCCAATAAAGAGAATCAAGATAAACTGTTAAATAAAAGCATCAATGAAATCACCGCAAAAGTTACATTTTTAAAGAACAGCCACGAAAGCAATAGCTATAATCATAAGCAAACAATTGCAAACTTTAAAGAGACACTTAAATACATTGACGAGTGTTTGAATTATATATCAAATTCTTCTATAAACAGCAGCGCAGATATAGAAAATTTAGACATACTAATAGCAAATTTAAATTATTTGAAAATCAATATAGAAGAAAATATAACAAAAGAATACAGTCAAAGTCAGGACGATAGAGAGAAAAAAGAGATCATTGAAAAATTGAAGGCAAGTCTTAATTCTATTTCTCATCGAGATGTAGAAATTGAAGAAAGAAAGGCAACCATGAATCAAAAATTTGAAGAAAGCTTGGAGGCTATGAAAAAATTGCAGGATCAAAGCCAAAGTTTAAGAGAAACACTTTTAAGCGAAAAAGAGATTTGCAATAAGCTTAAAGATCAGCAGCTTAGCAAAATTGACGAGAAAGATATTACGATAAACATTTACTATGCTTATCCAAGTGTTTTTGATGATTCAGAAGATGTAGTTTTACCAGTTAAATAGAATTTGCAACTAAGATGTAGTTTTACCAGTTAAATAGAATTTGCAACTATTTTCCCTCTTAAAGTTGGGATAGCAACACATTTCTAAGCTAAGCTCAGCCAATAATTATCTTTATCTCTCTGCCTAATTTCTTTATATTTATCTATTTTAAATCTCCTATTCTATTTCATTTGGCCACCTTAATATAAAAATATGGCACAACTTGGGAATCAAGGACAATTCTTAGCCTTTGATGAGTTCGGCCGTCCTTTCATAATCATAAAAGAGCAAGAAAAGAAAGCCCGCGTAAAAGGTTTAGAAGCCCAAAAAGCCAACATTCAAGCTGCCAGAGCTGTCACAAATCTTCTAAGAACCAGCTTAGGTCCATGCGGGATGGATAAAATTTTAGTTTCCAAAGATGGAGATGTCACAGTAACCAACGACGGCGCTACAATTCTAGACAAAATGGAAGTCCAGCACCAAATCGCAAAACTCCTTGTAGAGCTCAGCAAATCCCAAGATGACGAGATCGGAGACGGGACAACAGGAGTCGTCGTGCTCGCTGGAGCTTTGCTTGAACGTTCTCTCAGTCTTCTTGACAAAGGGATCCATCCATTGAGAATCTGTGACGGCTATGAGCGTGCATGTGAAATTGCAGTGAGACACCTCGAAAGCACCTCAGAAGAGCTTGATATCCAGGCTAATAACCATGAAGTCCTCAAAAAATGTGCCATGACTGCTCTATGCAGCAAAGTAGTGTCAGCCCACCAGCAGAAGTTAGCTGATATTGCTGTTGAAGCTGTATTAGACGTCGCAGACTTGACCAGAAGAGACGTGAATTTTGAACATATCAAAGTTGAAGGTAAGCCTGGAGGGTCACTTGAAGACACTGCTCTTATCAGAGGAATCGTCATTGATAAAGATATGTCACATCCTCAAATGCCTAAGGTGGTAAATGATGCCAAAATTGCAATCTTAACCTGCCCATTTGAGCCTCCAAAGCCTAAAACTAAGCATAAGATTGAAGTAACGTCAGCTGAAGAATACCAAAAGCTTTATGAGCAGGAACAAGGGTACTTCGTCAAAATGATTGAAGACGTAAAAAATAGCGGAGCTAATATGGTTCTTTGTCAGTGGGGATTTGATGATGAAGCTAACCACTTATTGATGAGCAATAACTTGCCAGCTGTCAGATGGGTAGGAGGAGTCGAAATTGAGCTAATTGCAATGGCCACTGGAGGAAGAATTGTCCCAAGATTCCAAGAGCTGTCACCTGAAAAGCTTGGACATGCTGCTGTTGTTAGAGAAATCGGGTTTGGCACTACAGATGATAGAATGATCGTGATTGAAGGAGGCACAAGCTTAAGCGCACTTACAATTTTGGTCAGAGGAGGAAACAAAATGATTGTTGATGAGGCTAAAAGATGTCTTCATGATGCTATTTGTGTAGTTAGAAACATGGTGAGAGACTCTAGAATCGTTTATGGAGGTGGCTGTGCTGAATTATTGTGCTCTATTGCTGTCAATAATGAAGTAGATAAAGAGCCAACCATTGAACAATATGCGATGAGAGCTTTTGCAGATGCCTTAGAAGAAATCCCAACTGCACTATCAGAAAACAGTGGGCTTAATCCTATTGACACAGTAACTATGCTTAAAGCAGCAATGAATGAAGATTCCTCAAAGAGATTCGGAGTTGACTGCTTAAACCAGGGTACAAATGACATGAAAGAGTTGTGCGTCTACGAGTCCTTGAACAGCAAAACTCAACAGCTGCAGCTTGCTACCCAGCTCGTAAGAATGATTCTCAAAATTGACGATGTTTTCGCCCCAAGCCAATACGAATAACTAGATAATTGCTTTTAATCATAATATGGAAGTAGAAACTCTAGCATTATTAATAGGAGTAGGGTTCGCTGCAGAAAAACTTGTAATTAAAAACGAGAAGGTCAAAAATAAGACTGCAATCGTCGGAGCTATAACGATTTTGGCATTAGCGATTGTGATGGGAATTTATTTTAAAAATAAACCTCCAAATGTATATCAAGAATTAGGGATCTCTCGAACAGCATCGATTGAAGAGATTAAAGAACTTTATAAGGCAGTAGTCAAAAAAACTCATCCTGATAAAAACCCAAGTCCTTCTGCACACCAAGATTTCATTGATATCCAAAGCAAATATGAATATATAAAATCAGAAGATGCCAGATTGAGATATGAACTTTATCTTAATACTAAAGAGCTGCATAACATTGCCTTTAAAACTGGAATATTTTATATATACTGGCTTATTTTATCAATGGCTATATCAAGATCTAAAAATGATCTAGCTGGGTCTTACTCTGGAATTATTTTAGCATTATTTGGGATTTATGAGTTTAAAGTAAGAGTACAAAAACAATTTATAATTTTCTTGAATTTCATACCACTTACAGTAGCAGAACAAATGGATTTGTTTAAAGTTTCGTTTTCTTGTATTGCTCTAGGGTTACTAATGTGAAACTCACTAAAAATACAAGAAGTCAAAACTAAGAAAAGACAGGAAATCAATGAGCTTGCAAAAAATGAAGAAATAACGACAAAGTTAAAGAAATTTTATGAAAAAAATTTAAATTCTGAAGGAGAAATAGGAAATATGATGAAAGAAATTACAAAAGAATTCGATGAGTGGAAAAAGAAGAAGCAAAGTATGTGGAAGAAATGGCTGGAAGAGATTATAATGATGGTTTTGATTGCCAGGTTTCTAAAATATCAATTTGTGGAAGAGGAACAATCTGAATAGGCCTTTAAATAACTCATATTTTAAAAATATTATAATAATAAAATGGTTTGAGATTATACAGTATATTAATTTCGGTTGAACTCAGTATAATAGTGATATTATCTTCTATTTTAAATTATGATCAAAATTTGTTTTAAGACTGAGTCAGTATTTAAGTATTCTTCCGGTTTTAAAATTTTAAAATATGGTTATAATTGTATCTCTGCATATCCATAATTCATTTTATTTCTCTTTAGGATCATTTTATGCATAGAATTAATTGCTTTAATTCACCTTATAATAATTCTTATGCAAGTTAATGAAATTTTCCTTGACCGGTACCACATTACAGCTCTTCTCGGTTCAGGTGGCTTTGGCAATGTCTATAAAGCTTATGACCTCAAATCCAATCAAGAATTCGCCATAAAGATCGACGTTAAAAAACGAAACCAAACACTTGTGGAATCAAAAATTCTCTTAGATTTACAAGGAGGGGAAGGGATTCCTAAGCTCCACACAGCTGGAAAATATGCCGATTTAAGCTACATGATCACAGAGCTCCTTGGTCCTAATTTGAATACATTGAGAGAAGACAGAGGGAAGAAGTTTCAATTAAATTCTGTGGTTACAATAGGATGCCAAGCTTTAGACAGGCTAGAATATATTCACAGCAAAGGATATTGCCATAAAGATGTCAAACCGTCTCAGTTTCTTCTGTCTCTAGATAAGAAAAAGATTTATGTTTGCGATTTTGGTCTCTCCTGCAAATATATTTATGGGAATTCTCATATTCCTTTCCGTGGACATTGCAGCAGAGTCGGTAGTCCGAGCTTTGCTTCTCTTAATCTTCACTTAGGTTTTCAGTGCTCCCGCAGAGACGACTTAGAGTCTTTGTCATATATGCTTATATTAATGTTAAAAGGCAGTTTGCCATGGAATCAAAACAAATTTGAGTACGCTGAGAAATGGCAGAGTATATATGGAGTCAAAGCAAGAATGAGCATTTCATCTTTATGCTCAGGCTGCCCAGCTGAAATAGAGAAATTTTTAAGCTATACAAGAGAGCTGAAATTTGAAGAAAAGCCGGACTATCGATACCTTAAATCGCTGCTTATTAGTGCTGCCACAGTTGATTATGCTCCTGAGTATCTTGAATGGATAAATCTTGATGAGCTAATTGAAATTAAAAAGAAAAGCAAAAAACATCATAGGAATAAATCATTTGCCCATGGGGAGAAAGAAAGTGAAGAAAATGGAAGTTTTGGCTCAATTTCGTCTTCTCAGAAGAGATCAAGGAGGAAAAACATAAAAAATAAGACGCTTATACTTAAACATAATGAAGGGCTAAAAGAAGGGATTAGAAAGGTTTCGACTGTATCCAGATTAGATAAAACCGCAGAAAATAGCAGCAATGAAAAAAATAAAAACTCAAGCGGCGAGCTGGGGTTGATTGTTTTGCATAAGGTGAAAATTAGTATGCATCGTAAGATGGGATCGGAGGAAAATCCTAATGAGTGTCCTCAGATAACTCCAAGTGAGCCAATTATAAGAAGAATGATGTCCGGGCTGCATGAAATTGATATGAGCACCACAACTCAAATTCCGCAAGTTGATGAGCTAACCCCAAAATCAGGCTTGCCACAGTTGTTAGATAGAAAAATATTAAAAGACGCAAAAGAGAAATTCCAAGAGACTGAGATAGCTCCAAAAATAATTTACAATAATTATCCAATAACAAGAAAAGACGAGAATGATGTTTCACGCAATAATGTTTCGTGTGAAAAATGTATCATATATTAATTAGAAATGAAATTTTGAAGGTATTATAGTAGCAAATAATCTATAAAATCGTTTTTAAATGATGACATTGTAAACTTATTTTGCTATTAATTTATCAATATAAATTAATAAGCAATTTTATTATAAAAAAATCATAGAATAAAAATGGATAAAATAAAAATTTTAAAATAAGTTTGATATTCGTTTCGAAGTGAAAATACAAATTAAATGACGCAAAGAGTTAATATTATAAATAAGTTAATTTTTGATAGTGATTTAATTAGCGCTATAAGCTTAGCTAAAATACTCATTCAAGTAGATTTTTTAATGCCAATAACTAATATGGGTTATATTGTTTTGAATGGAGAACCGAGTAATTAAACCAACATTCAATGCTTCAGTACCAAATCGACCAACTTTTGGGCTGCCAGTGTTTAAGAAAAATAAAGAAGATGAGTATCGAGGGTCTACTAGCTCAATTGCAGAGGTATATGGAGACACCAATTATAATGCATTTTTAAAAGATGACTCACGAAAGCGTCATACATATGATGTTGTTCCGAAAGATATCCAAGAATTTGCAGATGAGAGAAAGCAATCCTTAAAAAAGGATGAAAATTCCTCAGTTGAAATAACAGCAAAAACCGATCTTGGAAATCCAAGTTCTAATTACTTTGAGACTCATGCAAGCACAATTCCTTCATTATTTACATTCAAAGCTGAAAAAGTAAATGCTGAAAATAAAAAAATTGAAAGTGTGAAATTTCTGAAGAGTTATAAGGAAAGTCCAGAAACTGAGCCAATTTTAGATATAAATTACGAAAAAATAACCTTAAAAGAAAGCGAAGAAAATGAAAATCCCATAGAGGATAAAGATAAGAGGATAGATTTAATGAGTAACCTTAAACAAGAAACAATTCTAATTGAGAATGATGAAAAGCCTATTGATACAAAAACCACTGAAGAATATCAGAGTGAAATTCAAGATCAAGCCAAAGTTAATGATAATATTGAAAAAGAAATTGAGTCAGCTGCAAAAAATGAGAAAGATCAATTTGAAGCAATAGAGTCACAAATTTCAGCCCAAAATAATATCGAGCAAGAAGTTGAGTTAATTATAACAGAAGATAATGAGCAAGTAGAAGCCACAGAAACTGAATTTTTTAATCAATATAACTCTGAAGAGAATGCCATCATCCGCCCCATCTTAATTGCTAATGAAGAACAAAAATCAGAAAACGTGAATTTTAACGCTATAGAGCAGCATGATCCAGAGCTCTCTAAAGAACCAGAAATAAAAGAAGATATTCAGCAGCAGTCACTTAATTTCCAAATAGAATCTTCCAACATATTTGAAGCCAAGCCTCCTATCCCTGCAAAATCTTCATCATTTCAAGTAATCTCACAAGTTCTAGATATCAATATTGATAAGCAGCCTCGTCGTACTAAAGACCCCGACTGCGTTAATTCTTTTTCACTCTCCATTCCTGGAAGAAATCAAGTCCAATCCTCATCAAGCTCTCTTTATTTTCCTCTTCCTGACCAATCCTCCCCAATTGGTGCTAAATTATCATCATTAAGCCGTCAATTATCAATTGATGACTCTCATGCTGAGGAAGAAATTGACGTCCTCTGTGTAAACTGCTACGAGTGTATCCCTTCAAGCAAAGTAGACGAGCACTCCAAAACCTGCACAATCCCTCAAGAAGAGCCTGAGTCAGAATCTTCACAAATCAATTTAAGAATACAAAAGCTCAAAAAATCAATTTCTGGGAAAATCGAAGGGTCATATGGAGACAAGGTCCTAATTTTGATGCAGCTGCAAGAATTGGCCTGTGCAGCTTATGACTCTTCTGTTTCTTCTTATGATATTTTAAGCAGACTTGACTCAATTGTGAAATCATCAAGTTCAATGCCAGATGGAATTTCCTGTGTCATTTTTGCACGGCGGTTATCAAATCTTATAGACCTTAAAGGCCATTTTTCTCCAAAACAATACACAATGAATGAAGAAGAAATGCTGAAATTCTATGAAGAAGAAGCAGAAAGACAGAAAAAAGAACTGGAAAGGTGAAAACTGAGGTCAGAATTGCTGCTTCAGTTTGCAGGAAATGCGTGCCCAGAAGGCTTTAATGAGGTTAACAGTGATTTAAGCTCAGAGTATGATAACATAAGTGTTATATCCTATTCAACTGGGTACTCAGACTTCCCATCTGATATCGGAAGAATAGAAGAAGCTGAACAAGCTCTCCAAGCAATTTCTGAAGAGCAGCTCGAAAAATATTTCTATACAATTTGCATTAAAAAAAAATTCGAGCTCCCAAAAAACCACCCTGGGCACGAATTAGAAATTGCAAAGCTCTATGAGACTTGCAGGGAAGATAATATCCCTGTGTCGAAATGGGAAGAATATGTGATAAAATGCTTTTCTTAATAATTTATTATGAAGTTGTTTCTTCAATGAAATCTCTAATAAGCTCTTCTTCAGATTTCTGGACATGTTTAACTTCTTTTTCCACTCTTTTCTTCTGAAATAGGACTTTATTCATAGGAGGTCTCCCAATTCTAACTCCCCCCCCCCCCCTCCGTGAGCGAACAAAACCATTAGAAAAATCGCCATTTTTTGACCAAAAACCCACCCTCCGTGAGTGAACAAAAATTTTTTTAATAGAAAAAATTTTAATGGAAAAAAATTTTGATATATAAGTGATAATTAGTATAATGAAATCTAGAGCTAATTCTGTTTAATTTTAAACAAATTGCGTTTTAAAACATAAATTTTGCAAATTAAATTAATATTTGCTTCCCAATTTTTGCAAAATTAGGATTTTTTTAAATTTCGAAAAAAATATTTTTTATAAAATTTATATATAAATTTTTTTTAAAAAAAAAAATTAACCCCCCTCCGTGAGCGAACAAAATTTTTTTGTTCGCTCACGGAGGGGGGGGGGGGAGTAAGTAAAAATTACTTTCTAAAGCTTGGGCCTTCTACTCTTTTTTGGGCCAAAGTGATGCGCTCTTGGATCTTCTTTTCTTCTAGCTCTGCTTTTAGGTCTCTGCCATAGTCTCTTCTTATTTTTTCTTTTTGGCCTTCTAAGTCTTCTACATGTTTAGGATCAATCGACCTCAAAAAGCTTAGTTTTCTTAACAGGCCATGAATAGACTCTTCTATTATTTTCAGCATCTCAATAGGAAGTCTTGCAGAGTCCTCATCGTGCCCTAAAGAAGTAAAGCACTTTGAAATTTCATTTTTCAGGATCTGGACTGCGCGTGTGGTTTCTTTTTTATTTTCAATATTAGATTTTCGTTTATTTATTTGCGAAATTTTGGTTTCCATTGTTTTAAGCTGTAACCCAAAGTGCTCTTTATTTCGCTTGGAGTCGTCAAACTTGTCGTCATTTTTCTTTTTCAGGTCATCATATTCAGACTTGGTTACTTCTAATTGGTGATCCATAACTTGAATTAACTCAATTAAAAAGAGATTTTTGTCTTCTAATTCTTTAAGAATAGCAGTCAGTTCGTCTGGGTTCGTAAAATACATTTGTTCGTCTTCTTCAGTGAATACATCAATCAAGCCTTTTGATACCATTTCGTCAAACTTAGCTTCTAAAGCTGCTTGTCTTTTATTAGTTTTCTTTCTAAATGAGCCTTGACTTTGTTGGCTTTCTACTTCTCCGTCAGCTAAAGATTCCAAATCGTCTGCGTTTTGTTTTAAAATTCAGTTCTTTTTGACGACTTCATATTTTTCCCTACTCCCCCCCCTCCGTGAGTGAACAAAAAAATTTTGTTCACTCACGGAGGGGGGTTAATTTTTTTTTTTTTAAAAAAATTTATATATAAATTTTATAAAAAATTTTTTTTTTTCGAAATTTAAAAAAATCCTAATTCGCAAAAATTGGAAAACAAATATTAATTCAATTTGCAAAATTTATGTTTTAAAAAGCAATTCGTTTAAAATTAAAACAGAATTAGCTCTAGATTTCATTGTACTAATTATCATTTATATATCAAATTTTTTTTCCATAAAAAATTTTTGTATTAAAAAAATTTTTGTTCACTCACGGAGGGTGGGTTTTTGGGCAAAAAAATAGCGATTTTTCTAATGGTTTTGTTCACTCACGGAGGGGGGGAGTTAGTATTTTCTGCCTTGCTTCAAGCCACTCTGGAGGTGTCAGCTGCTCTACAAACTCTTTATGCTTCTTCAAAACCTCTAAATACTCTTCATTTCTACTAATTTCAGCTGAAATTCCAGCTTTTCTCTGTTCAAGCTGCTTGATTTCTCCATCTTTTTCTTTTTTTGCCAGTGCTTCTGCATTAGCCTGTGCAATGGCTTCTTCTTTTAAGAGTTTATTCTTTTCCATATGGTCTGTGAACTTTTTTTGGTCTTGATCTAGCAGCTCTTCACTTCTTTTTAAAGCTTGTTCTTTATTAGAAATCCTTTTTTTGATTTTTTCTCTTTCTTCTTTTAGTATTCGATACTTCATTTCTACTCTGAAAATTTCCTTCTTTTGCTCAACATAGTCTCGTGTATTTTCAGTCTTTTGGTTTTGGGGCATTTTCCCTCGCTGGTTTACAATTTCTAATGCAGCAGTTATGAGATTTTTTTCTTTATTTCGCATGTACTGAGGAACTGGGCCTTCTTCGATTGGCTTTATGTTGAAGTCAGCATCTTTAGGTCTTTTCAGTTGAGTTTTGGTAGATGCAGTTTGCTTTTCCCAGATTGTCATATTTTTAGCTTTTTCTTTGGCTTCTTGCTTTTGCAAGCGTTCTGCTTCCCTTGTGATGAAAACTTCTTCGTCAGTGGGGAGTTTGAAAGGGCTTTGGAAGTCTTCCATCCTTTTGATTGAAATTTATTTAAGAATATTAATAAGAAAATTTTTAAAGATTACTGCTATTTTCATTCAAATAATTAAAAATAAAATTAGATATTGGCAGAAATAAAGCAAATATAATCAGTGTTTTTATCAAGAAAAATTAAAATGAACACTTTCCCAAAACAAAAAAACAGTCTTCCAATTCTCACAAGTAAAAGAATTCGTGAAATAGTGGAATCTCCTACCCAAATCAGTTACTCTACAAAGATGACTCAGCACTTCGTATCGCAATCTCTTTCCTCACCATTAAGTGCTAGAAGCCCAAAATCATTTCTCCCATTTGTGTCAGAAAGAGATTCAAATGGTAAAATTCTTCCGTTAAAGCCAGAATTATCTTTGCCTTGCTTGACGCCAACTCTGCGAAATCCTAAAAGAGATCCACCTTCAGATCCTATATCTCCCAAATCCTTAAACCGACCTTTACAAAGTATCGGAGAATATGAAAGTCCAAGAGAAAACAATAAAAAATACCAAAAAACTTATCGATTAGCGTCACCAAGAATAGTTCAACTTCCTGCTGTAGGGCTTTATAATGTCCAGTCACCTTTTGATAAAAAAGATTGGGGATTTTTTACTCCAAGAGCAGACAAGTACCCAGAAGCCGCAAGAGATGCAAGTCCAAGCACCGAAATTGATACAATTACTGCTTATCAATTTAAAGATAAGCATAATCCAAGTCCTAACTTGAAAAAAACGACAGGAAGAGGCAAAAAATTCTTTGCTCCTCCCCATCATGATATGAGTGATATATATAATACAAAGCTCCCTGATAAATTTTATATGATTCATCCAGCTATGGCTGAGATTGATGTTAATGGATATATGCATGAAATATGGAACTTAGAAAAAAGCATTCAAGAAAAATTCGACGACATAAAAAAATCGCATAAACAGCTAATGATGCTATATTAACATTTTCCTAAAACTGTATTTTTATAAATAAACATTTATATTAATTTAATGATAATAGTAATAATTTGATTTTGGTAATATTAATAGCGAAAGATAACGTTATAAAATTAAGAGTTTTAGTCTTGATGAAATGGATAATAATTGTTTTCTTTAATGGTTGAGCTGATATAAAAAAAAGACATATAAAATCAAGCTCAAAATTATCAATCATTGCATATTTATTACATTTCTAATATTAAGTACAAAAATATTTTTAATTAGTCATTCTAAAGCTCGAATTATCAAGCATTAATATCTTTATAAATACATTAATAACCTATAAATTTATCCTCATTCCCAACACAAATCGCAATTTAATCCTTCATATACTTCGCTAACCGTTTTATTATATATGAACTATATTTCCATCCTCCTATTGATTACTTTAGCATCCGCTTTTCAATACCTTTCTGCCACAATACACTCACAAGATGTCAAGCCAATTCCAAAGCGCGAGCCTTGGCATCCTCACCTCTACCTTGCCCATGATGAAGCTGGCGATTTCTATGAAATCAGAAATTCTCATGAATACTATGACGTTTCTGTAAGTTTTTTGCAGACCAAAGAAAGCTCCCCAGGTGTCATGAATTGTGAATGCAGATTTGTAAAAAGTGATTTAACTGATGAGGGAAGTTCATCAGAAACAGAATTTTTGCAGGTTATCACTCCTAACACTCAAAAAAGATTAGAAGCTGCTCAACAGCAAGAAAAAGAAAGACTAAAAGAGATCCCTATTGGAGTTAAGCCACAATTTGTTCAAAGCACAAAGCCTATGAGAACTGATACGAGAAGGGAGATGAAAAATCCTCAGCTAATTGAAACTAATGAGCAGGAAGCAAGACCAGAGCCTCAAAAGAAGCAACAGCAAGCACATCATGATACTGCAAAACAGGCAGGAGATATGCAGAGACAGCAGGAAAATATAGGCAAGAGAGCAGAAGTACCGAAATCACAGTATGAAAATACAATTGATTATGAACCTGTATAGCCTAGGACAGCCAATAGCTAGTTTTGGGCTATGTGATACCCATGAATTGGCTCATGTATTATCTATTTCTGAATAACTCTCTGATTTGGTAAATTAAGTATATATCGCTAACTAACCAGCTATAGGAGTTTAATCAATAACTGATGTTGCCAAAGAAATCCACTTATCTGGTAAGCAAAGATAGCCTAGTCAAGCTATATGCTGTCTTGGGTTGTATATGCTCCAAGGGTATTTGAAACTCCTAAGCAGCATGTATTTAGAGATATTCCACCTCCAGCAGGCTACTATAATGGAGCAGGAACATATTATCAGCCTCAGGTATTCCAAACTGAATATAGGCCAAATTATATCCCAGAAACATATCCTCCTCCGCAGTATTCCGAAGGCAGGCCTCAAGGCTATGCACCTCAGTATATTGAAGAAAGACCTCAAGGATACCCTCAGCAATACACTGAAGAAAGACCTATTGTTTATCAGCCACAATATATTGATGAAAGACCTCAAGGATACCAGCCTCAATATAATGACGAAGCATCTCAAAGTAGGCCAGTTTATCAAGAATCCCAAAGCAGGCCAGTATACCAAGACGAAAGGCCTGCTTATAGTCCACAATACACTGAGGAGAGAGCTGCAGAATACTATGATCCACGCTCTTTTTCAGCTCCAAAGGTTGTTTATGTATATCAGCCTTATCCTTAATCCTCACTCTTCAAGTGGCTATTTTTTTATTATTTTTTTTTTCTAATAAAAAGAATTATATTTAAAATTATTCTAAGAGTTAAGCTCCTAATAATAAAATCATTTTGATTAAACCATATCAGTTTCGCTAATAAATTATCTGCTTTATGAATCGATTAATATGCATTTAGTTATTAATTCCAGCTAGTTTTTAAATAGATCCTAATTAATGAAAGTTAATTAAGTTATTTTACGATGCTAGCTACAAATTGGGTTGCTGCCATTCTTAATCTCGAGTTCACAGACAACTTCATTTCATTGATTTCTTTTTCAATTTCTTTCAAAAAAGTAACAATAAATTCAATCAGTTTTTCTCTGTAAAGCTGCTCCATATGAGTATGAATAATCAAGAAGCTGATGTCATATCCTTCTATAGGCACTCTTCTCATAATAAGAAATTGTTCAGCTCTGAGAGTCAAAAATCGCATGAACATAGAAGAAAGAAGCCTGTCTAGATCATCAACCTTTTTGAACCTTAAAGAAACTCTAGTTGAGTTTATTGAAGGCTCAATTAAAGTTTCTTCATATTTGGATCTTGTAAGAACTATGGGAGGCAATAGAAGTTCTTTTGATTTTCTTGTTTCAACTTCTGGCTTATTATGCCTTTCTTCGTGCTGTGATGGGAAATTTCTGATATTTAAGGCGGAGTCGAGAGCTGTGCTGATTTCTATGAGATAGTCTTCAAGAGATTTTAGCATAATAAATGGAAATAGTTCAACTGTATAAACATTAATTTTAAATTATAAATATATTTATATGAATTATCCGCACAGTAAATGTATATTAATTAATTGTTTGGCATCGTTTGGCTTGATTTATTTTAAATGTTCTAATTCAAATGCCCTAACTCCCCCTCCGTGAGTGAACAAAAAAATTTTGTTCACTCACGGGAGGGGGGTTAATTTTTTTTTGTTTAAAAAAAATTATATATAAATTTTATAAAAAATATTTTTTTTCGAAATTTAAAAAAAATCCTAATTCGCAAAAATTGGAAAGCAAATATTAATTCAATTTGCAAAATTTATACTTTAAAAAGCAATTCGTTTAAAATTAAACAGAATTAGCTCTATATTTCATTATACTAATTATCATTTATATATTAAAACTTTTTTCCATAAAAAATTTTGTATTAAAAAAATTTTTGTTCACTCATGGAGGGTGGGTTTTTGAACAAAAAATAGGGATTTTTCTAATGGTTTTGTTCACTCACGGAGGGAGGGGGGGGAGTAAATAATTTTTTTAATTTTAAAAGAATTAATAATGATTAGAATTATTTATTAAATTTACTTTATTCAAAACCAATAAAAAACATTGCAAAGGCAGAATACCAACGAGTTTCTTCTTTAAATAAGAAATAAAAAAGAAAAATATAATAAAGTTATGCCTATTTTAAAAATTCAAGGTTTTCTTTATTTAAATCTAAAATTTTTATAATACACATTAATTACTTTTTATTTTTTCTCCTAATCCTTATCATTATCTAAATAATTTTCCCACAATTTAGCATATCTTATTATGAAAATGTCGCCAAGTAGACGAAGAGCATGGTCTCAAGATGTAACCACTAAATAGGAAGATGACATAATCCGAGAGCTGGTACTTGAATACGGTACAAAGCGATGGTCGTTCATAGCTCAACTGTTATCTGAAAGGGTTCCCTCAAAAGACAGACACTCTAAATCTAGAACCGGAAAACAGTGCAGAGAAAGATGGCATAACCACCTCAACCCAGAGATAAATAAGAACTCCTGGACCAAAGAAGAAGAAAATATTATTTTCAAGTACCAAAGGATACTGGGAAACAAGTGGTCAGAAATAGCTTCTTACTTGCCAGGAAGGTCTGATAACTCCATCAAAAACCACTTCTACAGCACCCTTCGGAAAAAAGCTTACTCTCTCCTATGTTAGAAAGCAATATATTGCTATCTAAGCGATCAATTTTATTTTTATAGAAATATTTTGATATAGAAATTGCCCGAGGATCGGCTCCACACGGGAAAGATTTTCCGTATTGCCAGAGAGTGGCGCAAATAGCGCCATTCTCGGGCAATTAGTATATATAATTAATGAATAATGTAATGCTAATTATTCTAAATGCATGACCAATATGTAGATCGGCTACGGAAGACAAAGAGCATGCAATTTCGGAGTGTGAGGCTGACAGATTAAAGAAGAATTTAAACAAAGATTGAGAGAAATACTTAGAGAATGGGGATGAGAATAAAAACTGGATTGTTAGAGATAGCGCTGCAAGGTGAAAAATTGAATGAAATAGTTACTGATAGAAATTGTGAAGAGAAGAGACAATTGGATGAATTGATAAAGAAGTATTTAGTACTGTTTATTTGATATCAGGAAAGAGATTTTGAGTAGTTATAAATTGATCTGTAAATACAAAGTGATAATCAAATTTAATAAAAATAATAAAAAAATTAATTTCCCTTTGTTGCGGTGCAAAAATTTTGCTTGCTTAGAAACTTTAATCGGTTCAGTATGGACGATGAAAGGTTCAATGGGTCCATAAAGGAGGTTTTACAGAACCATGAGCTTATGGGTGAGCTGTTGAATTATTCCACCTCTGAGTGGAGACTCAAATCAGAAACGCCAAATGAAAGGTGAAGTTCAGACGAAGAAAAATCCGATCCAAACGAGACTAAACATAGCAGCAATAACGTATGTAAAATAGAAACTGAAATTGATGACGCATCCAATATTCTTTGCTCTCTATACGATGCAAGAGAAGATTCTGCGACTTCATGCCCATCATCAACCAGATCAAGTGACTTAGAAGAAATTGAAGATTTAGTAACTCCAACAATGTTTATTAGGGCACTTTGTTCAAGCGCCAGGCACTTTGATTTTTCTGAAAAAGCCAGTCAAAACGAATGCCCATTCGAAAATTCCTGTGGCGGAAACACAAAAGGTTTTCAGCTTGCTAATACATTACACACTATAGAAGCTTAAATCCTTATTATGCATATGACTAAATTCAGTAAACTATTTTAACGTGATTTTTGAAATTAATTATTAAATACAAGATGATGTCGAATTTTGGGGATTTTCTACTGAACTTCGACAAGTTGGACAGTTATTTCGAATTCTAAGCCACCTCACAATGCAGTCATTGTGAAAATTATGCTGACAAGGCATCCTTCTGATTTGGTCGTTAGGCTTAAATGAGTCTTGGCAAATAGAGCATTCTCCTGAAACTTCAGAACCTTTAAGAATAGGAAGAGAATTTATGATATATTCACTTGCAGGTGGAGGGCCTTGTCTCCCTTGATTTAGCTGACCTAAAAGGTTCATGAAATCAGCTATTTCTATTCCTGGATTTGGAGCTTCGAAAAAAAAGAAGTTGGGCTGAGGCATTGCTCTTTCTGTAATTATTATGTTCCCATCTGGCATTTGTCTTATAATTCTTAATGTATTTGTTGTGAAATTTAATGGGGGTCGTTGAGGCTCAGAATTCGGAGTTACAAATTCTGGGACGAAATTTCTAGGATGGTCGTCATTTTGAATTTCTTCGACCAATTCTGAATGGCATCTTGCACAGTGAAAAGAATCACTTGAAGAGTTTTGTAAATAAGGACGGCGGCAGGAATGGCACCAATATTGAGTCATGTGGTATTCTGAAATCATGCTTTATAAATTATTAGGGGCTTATAGGATATTTTATTTTAAAGTCGATAGAAGATTCTAGAATATGGCATTAACGATGTATTTTGTTTTAGCATTTTTATGTAAAATTTATTAAAAATAGGTTTAGTTTAGGCAGATTTTGACTTTTTAAGCTTAAATACTTAAATTCTTGTTTAAATATTGCATATGTGCTTCGAAAAATCTAAAGCCTTTGCTTGAAGATATATGTGATTATAAAATTTCTTTAAGACTTGAAATAAAAAACAGTTTATAACATTTAATAGATTAAAGGTACTCTGGCACATCTATCAAGCCAATTACAATAATTATAGGCAGAGTTTTATGCTATAAAAATCTTAGGGCAAAATGGCATACCTTTTTTAGCCATAATTATGAATCAAAGAATCTTTGAAAATAAATTCTTTTAGTTTCATTCTCTGTTTAATATTTATATAATACATTAATTAACTAAAACACATAAAAGATAATTATTTATAGCACTACCTCACATTATTATTGCATATACAGTTATAAATATTAATTCCAACAAAAAAAACAAAGTAACTTAATTAATTTGAGTTTTCTTTGCATTGGATAAGCGTGAACTCGCATAGATACTCAAAATGAAATGGAAATTTTGAATTCTGGAAATTCGATATAAAAATGGCTTACAAGGAATCAGTTGATTGTTTGAACGCGATAAATGATTTGAAGAATGGCAGATTGAAATACATTCTATTGGGTATTGATCCAACTGGGTCTGAAGTTATTCTTAAAGATACGGGGAACAGGCAAACTGCAGACTATTTGGAATTTATTAGCAAGCTAAGAACATCTCAGCCATGCTATGGCATTTATGCATTTAACAAAACAGAATCAGTCAATTCTACTGTACTGTTTATGTGGTTGCCTGATTATGGAACGGTTGAAGATAAGCTTAAGGTTGTGTCAAATCTTGCATCACTTAAGAACAGGTTTAAAGTTGAGAAAGCTTTTACAGCTACAACTGTATCTGACCTTAGAGCTTTCCCACTTCAGACGATTTTTTAATTAATAAAATATATACTTCAATTTTTTAATATTTTTATCATTCAATAGTAAGAATAAAGTTTCATTATTTCATTTCCGATGATAAGGCTATTTTTTTAAATATCCAAGGATTAGCATATTGCTTAGTTTTGGACAAAATACCTATTAATTATTATTTTATTTTAAATATGTTAAGCTATATTCCTTTTCTTAGACTAGAATATCTGGCGATAAAATGGTGGACGCTAACCTTAATGTTGATGATGCTTGTGTCAATGCTTTCAATCGCTTAAAGCTGACTAAAGATATTAGATTCGTCATTTTCAAAGTCGAAGGAGAGTCACAAGTTATCGTAGAGAGAGTTGGAGATTTGGCATCAACTTATCAAGATTTTGTAAGCAGTCTTCCACATAATGAGCCTCGCTTCGTAGTTTATGACTACGAATTTAGAAAAGATGATGGAATTACATCAAACAAAATTGTTTTCATCCACTGGTCTCCTGACAACTCTATAGTCAAGAACAAAATGATCTATGCTTCGACAAAGGAAAATTTGAAGAGGAGATTTTCAGGAATTCATCGAGAAGTTCAAGCTTGCTCTGTTTCTGAAGTTGAAGAAAGTGAAATTGTGCAAGCCCTTAGATAAAAATCATCATTAACAAACTTGATAAAACTTAAAATTTAATATAGAGGCTCTCTATGAAATTACTCAAAAATACTTTTAGTAATTTATTTGAGAGATAAACTATCTAATTATGAAATACACCATAAAATATTATTCCTACTCAATTAAATCATTTTTCAATAATCAGCCAAAAGGTCATGAAAGCTCACACATTCATGATACCTCATAAGATTTTAAACGTTAAGTTTAAGGCTCTCTCAGAAAAATGGAAAATGATAATTTTAAAGGAAGTGTCCCAAAATTCCAATCGCATGGACAAATCAAAATCAGGTTTCTTTATCGCCGTAATCGGCTGCACACAAGTAGGAAAAACATCTCTAGTATCAAGACTCACAAAAGACGTATTCATAGAAAAGCACCAGCCCACAATGACACAGGAAATTCAAACTACACTGTGTTCTGCGACTAAGCGAAAACAAATAAGACTCTTCTTTTTAGATCTCACAGGAAATAATTATTTCCAGTCTTTTGCGACTCCATGGATTGGAGTTTCTCAAGCCGTGTTGATACTTTTTGATACAAATTCTATGCAGTCTTTTAACCAAATCCAAGGGTGCGCGTCTTTGTGTTCTTTGGAAAACGTGATGGTCTTCCTTGTTGGAACCAAAACTGATACAATTTATCAGCGAGAAGTTTCGTATGAACAAGCTGCCAATAAAGCCAATGAGCTTAACGCAATCTATTTCGAGATTAGCGCAAAATCCAAGAAAAACTTGGATCAACTGTTAAAGGTTTTGAGTCAATCTTTACTGAAAAAATTTTAAATTAACGTGGAATAAAATATTAACTCTTCAGTGAGCAAGTAAATCTATTGGAAAAGTCCTTATTTTTGGCGAAAAAACTTATTATTTATGGGAAAAAAATTACATAGAATTTTTTTAAATTAATTTTGATGAAAAATAATAATTATTAAAATGAAATCTCTGGCTAATTCAATTGAATTTATAAACTAAATTAATTTTCCCTTTCAAATATTTTGTGGTTTAAAATTATTTATATAAAATTTATATATTCTTCCCAGTTGAGTAAGAAAATTGTTAGTCTTTGTTTAATTAGACCATTTTTAGTTGAAGATATTTAAGCCATTAGAGAATCAAATTTTAATTTATTGCTATAGAGGTGTTTTGAAGGTATAAGATGAAGCAATTGCCTTCAGTTAAAAATTGGAGAAAACAATAAAAAAATGAAAAACTAGCAATTACTCTTATTTCACACATTTATAATTTAACGAGGCAATTTTTTAGTTGTGAAATCGTTACTTTTTACATAATCACGCATTCTTCTTTAGTCGATTTCAGCTCATCTGGCAGCTCTCCATATTCAGACAGTTTGTCAATCAATTTCATAGCTTCTTTATGTCTTCTATTATCTATATCCTCGCATATGCGTGAATACAAGTCTAGCTGGCTAGAATAAGACTCTAAATCTTCACTGGAAAGTTCATTTCTTTTCTGATCAATGTATTCTCTCAGCTTATCTCTTGTTTCAACCATATACTCGCCTATAGCTTCCTCACTTCCTTCATCTCCAAATAAATTCTCATTCAATTTTTCAATTTCCTCTCTAAGCTCCAGTACAAGTGAGTCGAATGCATTTTCAATTCCTGGCATATCTGGAATATCACCCCAGACAAGCTCTCCAACACTTTCAAGGTCTTTTTCTTGTGCCTGAGGAGCATTTTCTGTCTTTTTTTCTTCGTTTTTATGCTCTTCAGTTTCTTTAGAGCTTGGTTCGAGTGCTTTATCTGGGCTTTCTGCCATTTATTGAAATTTGTACAATGAGAGAGAGTTTAGTTAGAGAGGTTAAAAACGGGTTTATTTCAGCCCCTGATCCAGTCAAGCTCCAGCTTCAGGCTCGTGTGCGCTAATCGTTAAGGCCACCTAACGCCCTTTTTTGGCAGCGTCACCAAAATGGTGACGTCGACATCTTTCGGAGAGACTCACCCGAACCTGCTTGGGACCAAAAAATTTTAGCAAAGGACTCTCTTAATCCATATGAGGAAATCGTCCAATGCCTCCTTCTGGAACTACCTCAACCATTTACAGGCAGCATAATGATCCTCAAGAAGTGCTCGATTGTGTGTTGCGCCGCCGATATTCTTGTCTGTGGCCAAGGAGAGGCCAGTTAGCCCAGACACACCCCACCCCAGAATTCTGCCACCTGTGACCCCGTGGCCTTCCGATTTTTTTATTTTTTTCTGGCGGAAATTTTGGGATTTTTTATTTTTGTCGCTCCAAAAGCCATCATGCTGGCCATGATGGCAGAATTTTGTACAATGAAGAAACGTGAAATATTTTATTTCAATTTGGATAAAAAATACACTCTAACAAAATGCATGCCATTATAAATGCAGCTTATTTTTATATTAATATCTTTTTTGAAATAAACTCCTTTCGAAGCTATTATTGCCTTATTAGTCTGATAGCACAAATCTAGAAACAGTAAATTTTTGCATAAAACAGTTTTAAATATAAAAATAATGGTTTGATTTCTATTATAGAATAATAGCTTCTTGCAAATAATGTAAAATTAGTCTATTATTTAATTATTTTCAACTTTATTCAATTACAGCAGTTTTTCCCTATCTAATAATTTCTCATTGCTTCTAGTTTTTACTCTCTTCTGATTTATAAACCTTAATAATGTACCAACTTAAAGCTATGGAATGGATTTTACTTATGGTTTTGTTTATCCCAACCCTTTCTCTAGATATTTCTTTACTTCCTTCTACTGGTGTTCCACCTCCAAGTACAACCCTAGGCACTATGGTTTACGATTCAAAGAACGACCAACTAATTAACTTTGGAGGCCTCTCAACAGGTGGCTCTTACTCCAACGACCTTGCTTCTTTTTCACTTAAACTTATGAGATGAAGTATCATTTTGCCTTATTTATCTACAGTCCCAGACGAGCGTGCCACATCTGCAATGTTTTATGATGAAGACAACCATCAAGTTCTCTTATACGGAGGGAGAACACGTGCAGGGCCTGCTGGAGATTTTTGAAGTTATAGCTTAACAGAAAACAGTTGGCAACAATTATCAAAAAAGGGAGATGATCCTGGGCCAAGAGCATATCTCGCACATGTCGAATACACAAGAAATGGAGTGCACTATTATGCCGTTTTCGGAGGTTTAACACCTACAGCTGTAGATAACAGCTTATATATGTAAGATTTATGCAGACTAGATGGGAGCGATTTCAAATGATACAAAAAACCATCTACAGGGAGCCCGCCACAGCCAGTAGAAAGTTCTGGAATAGCTTATTATGATAATAAGCTATATGTTTGAGGAGGATTAAGCAGGTTTTCTGAGAATTTGCAAGACACAAAGCTTTATATTTATGATTTGAATTTACTTAGTTGGACTTCATTAGATGTCCCAGGTGATGACCCTCATGGCAGGTTTCAGCATTTTTTGTGTATAGTTGATGGGTATTTATATATAAATAATGGGGAGGACTTTACTACTGGAAGCTCCGTTTTTGATATCTGAAAATTAAATTTAGCGACGCTGAGCTCGTGAGAAAAAGTATGCTCTTTTGGGTGCTTATTTGTATAGTGGAAATAGAAATATTTATATATGAAGTCATTAGAATTGATATAAATTTTAAAGACACAGATAATATAGCCACTGATAGTGGCTCAGTTACAATAGTTGGATCTGTTGTATATTCATTTGGAGGAACTTCTATGACAGGTATCAATAATTCTCTGACTTCTATTAACCTTTCTGCATCCTCAATAGCCTACAAGCTGATTTCAGCAGAGCTATCAGGCCCAGAGGCCCGAATGATGCATTCAATGCAGGCAATCCATACAAGCTTATGAGTTTTTGGAGGTATAGATAGCGATAAAGAATTGTAAACTATATTTAGCTTAAGCGATATGTGGAAGTTTGAGCTTACAACAAATACTTGGACTTTACTAAACCCATCTGGAGATAAGCCACCTGCAAGAGCAAGACATAGTAGCTGCTCTTCTGCTGACACTTATGTCATTTTCGGAGGTGAAAATAATGATGGCTATTTAAGTGATATGTATGAATATACAATTTTGGCTAATATTTGGAAGGTATATTTAATTGCTCTAAATATTTCTATATAAAAATTTAGTTTTTAACAAGTTATCAATCAAGATAAAGAAGTATAGTTGATTTTAGCTCAAGCAAAAATCCAGTTGGGAGGTATGGTGCTTGCATGGCTCAAGCTGATACTTATATTTATTTATTTGGAGGCCATACAATGGCTGGATATTCAAATGAGCTTTGAAGACTCGATGTTCTTGATAATGCATTTGTCCTTCTTGATGACGGGCTTTCAGAGCAAGTCCCAAAGCTAGCCAACACTAAATGCTTCATAAGAAATATTAAATCAAATTACTACTTCTACATAGCAACTGGAGAAGGGGAAGATGGAGTGCCTAGCTCTCAGATTCACAGATATGATATAAACAATGAAGAATGACAATCAGTAATGGACAAAGGATATGGGCTATTTTCTCTTTCAGGAGCAGCTGGGACAAACATAGATAACTATCTGCTTATTGTGGGAGGAGAACAATGGAATTTTGAAGCATTTGATTCAATTTTTATGATTGATCTTGACGATAACCCTACACCTAATGAAATCGGCAATGTTGAAGAGCCTATCTATTCAACTGAAGTCGTTTATTTTGGAAATTCCTTATATTTATTTGGAGGAGGAGATACCCTTTCAAGATTAGTCCAAAATTTTATACCAAAACAATTTTTGTTTAAAATTACTCCGAACTCTAGTGATGGATTTACATGGCCTTGCAGTAATGGAACATATGGAAAAGATTGTGATCCATGCCCAGAAGGGCATTATTCAGATACGTTTGGAATTGAAGAATGCAAAAAGTGTCCAAAAGGAACTTATAATACTTTTAAAGGGGCTCGCACTTTGAATGAGTGCTATCATTGCATATACATTATAATGCTCTGAAAGTCTACACGCTGCAATCCGTGGTTCGAAGAAGGCCTGGAGATCTTGTGGAAGGAATAATGGGGCCAGAAGATGCATTCCTGCTGATTTTTACGTTTTGGTGGTAAAGCGAGTTTTACCTTCTCTCGTCCAGATTGATTTTTTCTTTGCTAGGTCGTGGAACTCGGCATGATAGCCTAACATCAATGACTTTCAAGTAGCAAGTACAGATTCCTGTCTAAAGGTAACAACACAGTTGAAATCAGTATGCGGACTGGTGAGAAAGTGGTGGAGCGCTAATAGAGGCGAATAGCTGCCTAAAATCTGCAAAGGCATAATTAATTAATGTTAATGAGTGCTATCCTTGTGCATATGGCTCCTATGCTTCTGTAGAAGGGTCAAAATATTGTGATAATTGTCCAGCAGGGACATTTTGTCCCGCTGGGACAGCTGAGCCTTTGCTAATTAAAGACAGGGTTGATTTTGTGAGTGTGCAGCCTAAGCTCTATAAGCAAGACTCAACGATAGTTGATTTAACATTTAGCTCTGCTATGTATTTTATTATAGCAGTCTCTATTTTCATCACAATCCTACTAATTGTCCATAAGCCCATACGAAGTTCATTGCCTAGATTTGACTCATATTCAACCAACCATGAAACCAAAGAGAATCACCCCATAATAAAAAGGAGAACAGCCCTTGGTGGTCTTTTTAGCTTGATTTTTCTAATGCTTGCATGCTTATTTATACTGCAAGGAGCTGTTATATATTTTACTGACAATATTATTGAGGAAAAAAACCTTGAACCCTTAGTTTCATTAGAAAATGACTATGACTCTTTTCCCGGGGAAATTTATATAATTGTCACTTTTTATTATTACGGAGGAAGTTGTGTTAATGGCGATTCTTGTGTAAGCGATCTTTTTTATAGCTATATTGATATTGAAGGAGATATGAGCCATCCTGTGTGCAAATTTGAAGAAACAGACTGTGTCGTCTCATTTACTTGCCATTCATGTAATCTTGGAGTTGGAGCTTCAATAAATCTCTCTATATATGAGCCTAGAAGCTATGCAAGCTACATTTCTGTAAACATTTCGTCAACCTCATCAATCCCAAATGAATTAAGCATAATTGAAATTGATCTTGTTACTTCCTCTACTTCTTTGATATTCAGAGGACCAGAAGCTTCAAAATTCACCTTTTCAATGACTCCGTCTATCTTTTTCTCAGAAATTTCTACCTGAAAAAATGATCAAACTGGCTACCACGTCTCGCTGCCTCATTCGCCAAGTGTAGGATCTACAATACCTACAGAAGAGTAAGACCTATTTAGAATAAACTTTGAAGAATCTATAAGAGTTTCTATTACTCTTGATGTAGGGGATGTAGTTTTGGTAACAAAAAGACTATACTCACAAACACTATTTTTATTGTTTGGGACACTGCTTGGCTCAGTGTTTGGAATTATTGAAATAGGTGGACATCTAATGGGGAAGGCTGAAGGTGTCCAAGACAAAATAATAAAAAAGTGGAACGAATATATGTATATTCATAGAATTATAGGAACCGTAGATAAGTTTAAAAGGAATTTTGATGTACAAAGTCCAGAGGAGATTATTATTTCAGATCAGATGACTGAGGCTTATACGTTTGACGATTCAGATATTAAGAAAAGAAATAAAATAATAAAGTAGTATTATTTTATTAATAGGTATTAGTCTTATAATAAAATCATAAAATGCATAGGGTTTTGTGGTCAACAAAATTTTTCTTTACAATTATGATGGCAAATATTTCATGATGGTTTTTATCAGTAATTCAGAACTACAAGGCTTCAAAAGGCACTCTTTCATTCCTGAACTTAAACATAAGGATACATCAGACTCTGAGGTAAATGCTGTATATCCAATGATTGTTGGCAAGCTTCAAAGTTTTCCTTCAAAGTGCATTTCAACTATTATTTTTGTGGCTTCTCAGCCATTGAGTTCTGGCATGCTCCCATCAATAATAATCAATTTGTATGGTTTTCCTAGCTCGTTTGCTTTTATAACTTTGTCTATTACTTCAGCTCCTGTGCAAGCTTCATGGTAAGGTATATTATGCTGTCTTAAAAGTGTGCCTAAAATGATCCTATTGAAATCATTATCATCTGCTATCAAGACTTGTACAGTCTCTTTTGAGTGTTTAATGGTGTTAAAATCCCTGACAGATAAAGTAGAAAATTCACTGAATGAATCGTCTAGGCATGATTCATCATAGCTTAATAAGGCTTGCTGGATTCTTTCATGGATATTTATTGAAAAGCTAAAAATTGAGCCTTTACCAAATTCTGAATAAACATCGATTGCGTCGTTGCCGAGCTCTTTTGCGATTCGATTTGATATTACAAGTCCAAGTCCACATCCGTGAGGATTAATAGACTGTGTCATGCCTGATTTGAATTCTCTGAACAAATTGTAAAGGTTTTCCTCAGAAATGCCGATGCCTGTGTCTTTTACCATCACTTTTAGCCTTGAATGCAGATCTAAAGAGCAAATAATCTCGATTTGCCCCTTAAGGGTAAACTTTAGTGCGTTGCTCAATAAATTCAGAATAATTTGACTGAATCTAAGTGGATCAGTATAAATATAGTTTGGTAAGTTTGGGTCAATTCTTTTAATGATTTGAATGCCTTTCTTCTCTGCTTGAATTTGAATTAGCTGAATTGTGTTATTAATAACTTCATTTAACATAAATTTTGATTTTTGCACTGTAAATGCTCCTGCAAGCATTTTTGAATAGTCAAGCAGATCATTTACAAGCGAAATCAGGAGCCTTGAAGAGACCAAAATCATGTTAAGCTTGTCTTGGTTCGATTTTTTTGAAACTACTGCATGATCATTCATTAGCTCTTCAGTTAAAAAAGTTATTGCATTAATAGGAGTTCTCAGCTCATGTGAAACAGATCTCAAAAGTACATTCTTTAATTTATTATCTGACGCAGTCTGCTCAAATTGGACGATAATATTTGCATCTCTGGCATTCAACAAAATACTTTCTTGACGCTCTCATATAACTTTTTGCCCTTTTATTTCCAATATGAAATTTTCAGCCTTGCATAAGCCTAATATAACTTCTTCGTTTAACTCTAAATGTTTGATTATGTTCAGGTCATCAATTAATTTCTTAGAATTTGACAAATTGCAATATTTTTTACCTTCAACATACTCTAAGCTTGATATTATTTCTATCACTTCATTTGGTTGGCAATTTAACAACCTGGTTAAATTGTGATTTGAGTATAAAATTTCGCTATTTTCGCCTAATACAATAATTCCATCAGTAATTAAGCTGAGAATCACACTTAATCTGCTTTTTGTATCTTCAAGGTTTTTTCTTGAGATAAACCTTTCGTAAGATTTTGATTTCAAGAAGTATGAATTCAGGTTATATAGAAAAATAATCAAAAATGCTACAATGTGTGGCATATAATCTGCACTTAGGATAAGCTCTCCCAAAAAATATTTGTTATAATTCCATAAAAGCAAGTGCTTCATGATGACAAGGCTTTTTATTCAGCTTCTTTGAATAAATGGGAGTTCAAAACTGTTAATAAATACTAAGGATAGCATCTCAAATAATATTCCGGTTGATTTCCATTCATTATTTCCTTGAAGTCATAAAATGCAGCAATTAAACTCTGAAAACCCAATTGAAAAAAGAGATTTAGCTAAATGGCCTTTTTTCCCAAATAATCAGACCAAACTACAATTCACTGAATGTATTATTAAGTAAGGTGTATTCATAATGGCTATATGAAGTCCATTAGGGATTATTGTAAGACAAGTAATAATTAAGGCAACTGCTGCATATCATAAGGAATATGAATATTTCTTGAGAACCTGATATTTTTCGCTGACTTCTTCGTCCCATCACTGATAGTAAAGCTTTTCCATATCTTTAGTTTATATTAAAATATTAAAAATCTTTCCAATAAGACATCATTTTTGTACTTTTAATCAATGCGAAGCTATTAAATTAATAAACTTAATTATTTCAACAAGCATAATAGTATTTATTTTTGTGGATTGAAAGCTATCTAATGATTGGTATATTTAATATTTTATTGTTTTTAAAAACTTGGAATTTAATTATGAACCAAAATTATTCTTTTACTCCATTTATATTAAAATAATTAACTTGGCACAATTCATTGCATAATAACTCAATAAGACAAATTTTAAATATTTTGTAATTAAATCATGGATTTTATCTAATTTGAATATAAGAAAACCGTCTAAAATTTACTTTATGCAAAAGAATAATTAATAAAGAGAAGTAAAATTAATATGCATTGCAAAGGGAGCTTATTTGCAGATTTTTAATGTTTAAATAATTAATCAATTCTTTGATATAAATTTTATTATTTATGTACTCTACTCAATTCCGTTTTGAGAGTAAAAAATGAACTATAATTTGAGCTCTCATTTAATTTCTTACTCCCCCTTTGTTCGCTCGCTGAGGTAGGGGACTAAATGTATCACCTAAGAAAAGAAGACCCACTATAAAATAATTTTCTCACTCACGAAGGGGGTTAATTTATATGTTAAAAAATATATATATATAAATTTTATAGTAAAATTTGTTTTCCGAAATTTTAACAAATCTCAATTCGTAAAAATTGGAAAGCAAATATTTATTTAATTCGTAAAATTTGTGTTTTAAAAACGCCAGCTGTTTTAAAATTAAACAGAATTAGCTAGAGATTTCATTATGCTAATTATCACTTATATATCAAAATTTTTATATTAAAAAAAAATTGTTGATAGTCAAGGAGATGGATTTTGGGCAAAAAATAGGGATTTTTCCAATGATTTTATTCGGAGTTAGAATAAAGTTCTTATCTTATCTTATATTTTCTATAACGTTTAACGTCCACTACGGGGTAGCCGTTTCCAGAGCTGCTATCATATTTATCCACGTTTCGGGCCATGGACCTCTGGACCGATCCACTTTGTTGCACCAGGACACAGGCCCATACAGCGTTCCGGCTTCGACGGGCTGCGTTGCCTTGCCTTCCTTGGCTCAGCTCCTGCGCGTGCTCCGCCTAAGGGTCACCTTCCTCGGGTGTGCTGAGAGGTAAAACTTCGAGCCTCTTGATGTATTTGGAGCAGTGCCTCTGCTTATCTGCCAGAGTTAAACTGCTGTTGCTGTGCAGGAGTTCTCAGAAGAAAACCTAACCCCATAAATAAAATTCTTGAGGGAGAGAGAAAATTAGCACACTAATTTCACTCGAACCGAATGCAATTTTATTTATATTAGAATAAAATTCTTTGGTAACTTATAACTTTGATTAAACGTTCCATCGAAATTTCCCTATAATTGGATATTAACCCAATCCTTGATCGAGCAATGAAAATAAGCTCCGATTGAGGATGGGAGTAAGCAAGTATATCTAGTATTTCAAATAATCAAAATTTTAGAAGTAATATCTAAACTACATTTCAGATTTTTCAATCAGGATTTATATCATTATGAGTTTTAAAAAATATTAAAAGCTTATTTATTTGGAAGGTCTACCTCCAAATAAGCGCTCAGCCTATATTTTCTCACCTGCAGCTCCAGCTACCAAATAAAAAAAGATAAATTTATCAAATAAGAAAAGAAATTTATTCTCCTGGTTTTGGGCCATAACAATAAAATTTTATGCGATAAATAGCCCCATAATAACTATAATATAACTACCTTCATCTCTATATCATTTTATAATTTATATCCATTTTTGTATATGAAGAGTTAGATTAATTGCTTTTATATTAGAGACCTAATTATTTGACATATTCATGTCTCAAAATGATCTTGGCACATAAAGTGTCATAAAGCAAATAATGCAATGCATCATAATAAAACAGCGACTCAAAATCAGCACAAAAATATTTTAAATCATTTCTTACATTGTTCAATTAACCATTGTTCTCTTATATAAAATTTACCCATCACTAAAATATATGCTTTCTTCATAGGCAAATGCATTTTGTATCATTTTTACTTATAATTCATTTTCAAAAACTATCTTAAGATCAGATTCTTCCATTATTAAAATATTAAATCAGACGCCAATTCCTTTATAATGTATCCATATTTCAGGACAAAATTGCTTGCTGGCAAACTGAAAAAGAAAATGACTGAAATCCAAGAATTGTGATGGGCACAAGAAATTGAAAACCTATATAAGCTATTAGAAAGATTCAGTGTATTTTCCACTGCCTTGAGCTTCCTATTTAGGTTCTTTTGCTTTTTTTGATATTTTGAATATTTTTCTCACTCAAGCTCTATCACTTTTCCTATAGCAAGTATCTTCTCAGTTGGTGTTGTAAAATATTTTTCTAATAAATCAGTCAAATGCAAAGCTTTGGTTCTACTTTTGTACTCAGAAACCCTTAATTTTCTATTTAGATATGAGGCGAAATTTATACAAGAAGACCAAAAGCAGCTACTGGAAACTATAGCTTTCCTCGTGGTGCTTCTTTTTCAACTAGCACTGGTTCGAAATAAGCTCTATTTCAATATCCTTCTTTTGAAGTACATGTATATTTGGTTTGTTAGTGATTTATTCATCAGAAACGAGCAAGATGTCTCTTTCTATTACTGCCAATTGATGATTATCATTATTTGTTTTATCAATGTTTTGCACTCCCATTCCTTAAAAATCTCTTTTGAAAGGTTTATATCTAGGAATGAGCTTGAAACTTCTAAAAATAGGCTTAACACAATTAAAGAATCATTCTCCGATGGAATTATCATAATTTCACAAGACCTTAAAATCCAGTTCTATAACCCTAGAGTTCTTCAAATTCTGGCGACAACTCCTGACAATCTTTTTAACACTGTTTCATCAGCTCATTATATAGAAAACAGAAAAGTCTCTAATTTTATCCCCACAAACGAGCTAATTGTTGATATTTCTTATTTATTAAACAACAGTGAGCAAAATGAAATAGTCCTAGGGATAACTCAGATTGGGCTATCCAATTTAGAATGAAGAGCGATGCAAATAGAATGGGAAAATCTGAAGGCTGTATTTCTTACAGTAAGAAATGTAAACCATTTAATAGAGCTTGAGAAAAAAGTTGCCTGCGACCAAATGAAAACATTATTGCTGAGGTCTGTTTCACATGAGCTTAGAACTCCTCTTAACTCTATACTGCATTTTACTGAAGACTTGATTAAAGGTGCAAAAGAATGAAGAGGAGAAGAAGCAAAAAAATTGAAAATGATTTATATTTCAGGACAACAAATGTTGTCACTTATAAGCGATTTGCTTGATTATTCTCAAATTTTGATTGGAGTTTTTTCAGTTCATAAGACTTATTGTAATTTGAGAGAAATTGTACAAAATGTTTGTGAGTTGTTTAAGTTTCAAATTGAGAAAAAAAATTTGTTTGTTACTTATAGAATTGATCCGAGCCTCCCTGATATGATTTATACAGATCATTTGAGATTTAGTCAAATTTTATTGAACTTGCTTAGTAATGCTATTAAATATACATTAGAAGGTAAAATCGAAATTACATGCATCCTCACATCAAAAAATTCTATGAAGTGTTACATTGAAGACACAGGAATCGGAATTGAAGAATCAGCTATGAAAAACATGTTTAGATTTATGAAAACCTCCAATGTTCCAAATTTAGGTCCAAAAGGAAACGGTATTGGCCTTTATATTTCAAATCTCTTGAGCAGGCAGCTAGGAAATAAGTCTATTAAAGTCAAGTCAAGTATCGGGAAAGGGTCAGTCTTTTATTTTAAAGTCGATATTTTCGAGAATTTCTCCCCAAGCGAAATTCTTGATAAAATTGAGTCAAATGATAACGAAAATATTTTACCAATTTCAATACCAAGCAATTATATTAAAAAAGAAGAGCCTAAAGATGTTCTGATTGTGGATGATACAGAATTTAATCTAGAGATATTAAGCTCTATTTTAACAAGCGGAGATGTTAAATATGATGAGGCTTCAAATGGAAAGGAAGCTGTTGAAAAAGTGCTGAATAAGGATAACGCTGATCAACCTTATAAGTTAATTGTGATGGATTGCGAAATGCCAGAAATGAATGGGTGGGAGGCTTCTCGGTATATTAATCAGTTATACAGACAAGGGAAAATTAAGTATTTGCCACATATTGTGGGATATTCAGCATATTGCTCAGATGAAGATATTAAGCTCTGCTACCAGAGTGGCATGGTAGAGTTTTTGCCAAAGCCTTGCTCTCCTGATAAAATTTTAAATACTCTTAAAAAATTTTATATGTATAAAGTTATATTAATTTCCAAATTTTCACTGAACTATCAAGGTCTGCTGTAATAAAAATGTTTTGAGATCTTGAAATATCAACTAAATTAAGCCCAAAAATATGTTTTTTAGTTTGTTTTAATGACTTGTGGATAAATATTATTAAAATCCCATCAGAAGAGTTTCTAAATATAAAATTTTTACCCCTTATAAATAATAATGAGGAAAGTGCATTTTCAGTTTTAATTTTTCTCAAAATTTCACCTGTGCTAATTTTTCAAATTAAAATTTGTCTATCTTGGTTAAGCATTGCTATATACTTTTCATTTAAAGAAAATGAAAATGACAATAATTTTGAATTATCTCCACGTAAGTGTCTCATTTTTACGCCAGATTCCACTTTTCATATAGCAATTTGGTTTTTTAATGAATGGCACGCTGCAATATAGTTGTAAAAAGGAGAAATTACAATTGGAGCTTTGCACTTTGAAGATTCAGCAAATATCTTTCAATTATCAGGGTTGTTAATATCTACACTCTTTATAGCATATTTTATCATGATGATAATAGAATTTCCTTTGTTAGAAAAAAATATGTGAGAAATAGTATCAAAAAATCCTGTAATTTCCTTTACTAGGGCCAATTTTGTCAATTCTCATATAGATATGCCTCAGCCAATAGCTGCTGCAAGAAATTGCCCACATGGAGAAAAAGCAATAGCTGCAATATCTTTAACTGGAACTATTCCTTCAAGCTCATGTTTTTCAATATTCCATAAAGTGAATTCTTTATTTTTGCATAAAGTAGCAGCATGATTGTTGTCTGGAGAAATTAGAATCGCTGATATTGAATTTTTATATCATTGAGCATTTTTTGATTGAATTAAACACTTTAAATTAAAACTCCTGATTTTATCATTTGATCCAGCTGAAATCAAATATTTACCACAAGGCGAAAAGCAAAGTGTGTCAATATTATGGCCTAATTTTCTAAAAACTTTAATTTCTTTCCACTTTATTAAGCTTCATATCCTTATATTGGAATTTTTATCACAATAAGCCATATATTTTTCACAGCTTGAGAATACAATTGGAAGAAAATAGTCATTAATTTCAAGCCGCATAATTCTATGATTTGCAATTATGTCTCATATAGAAATACCTTCATATTTTACTGATACTAAATATCTTTCATTTTTTAAAATATGAATCGAAACAGTTTCTTGGTCGTCTTCTAATGTTGAGACAATTTTTGCTGATTTTGTATCTCATTTGATTATTTTGGCGACAGGATTTTGCTTTAGGGATATTTCCAATTAAAATTAATAGCGAATAGAAATAGAAAATTATATAAAAATACAATTTTTCTCACTCCTCCCTTCGTGAGCGAACAAAACCATTAGAAAAATCCCTATTTTTTGCCCAAAAACCCACCTTAATTTATTTAATAGAAAATTTTTTATGGAAAAAAAAATTTTGATATATAAGTGATAACTAGTATCATGAAATCTCGAGCTAATTCTGTTTAATTTTAAGCAAATTGTGTTTTAAAACATAAATTTTACAAATTAAATTAATATTTGCAATTTTCGAGAAGTGGGAATCCATAAAATATTTTTTCTTTAAAATTTTATATATAAATTTTTTAAAAAAAAAAATTAACGCCCCTCCGTGAGCGAATAAGATTTTTTGGGTCGCTCACTGAGGGGGAGTCATACAAAAATAATGGAGCTGATTATTAAGCTGTCATAGCCACAACTGATTAAATATGTATCTGAGCAAGTAAATTTAGCGACAACCACACTACTTCTGTGAGCTGTAAATACTTTAATTGGCTCTGCCACATAAATATCCCACATTTTTATCTTGTTATCGCAGCCACAAGAAATTAAATATCTTTCACATCTTGAAAATTCTATAGAATTAATTAAATCTCCATGAAGAACAGAGTTAATAATAGTCATCGATTCAAAATTTCATAATGTAATTATATGCTGATTATTTACAACTCCAATTATTTTCCATGATTTGGAAAATGCAAGATAAGAAACACTGGGAAGCTGAATAAATTTTGATTTTACCTGAGTTTCTATATCTCAAAAAGTTAGCATTGAATCAGTGCTTAAAATTGCAATATTTTTTCCATCTGGAGAGTAAAACAACTTTGAAATATTAATTTTATTAGCAGAAAAAATAATTTGGCCAAATTCAGCTGATTCCATATTGCAATTTTTAAAGCTTGAATTATAGATATTTGATTGAACAAGATTTACTCCTTCAAAACTGCAGCCATCAAATTTTGAATTTATAATTAAAGATCCTGACAAATCTGCACCAGAAATTTTAATTCCTCTCATATCTTTCTCGATAAACTGGAAATCCACATAATTTAAAATAGTCAATAAATTGCTTGAAAGAAAATTATTGCTAATCGTATCTTTTGTCATGAGCACAATATTAAATAATTTTGATTTCGTTTCAATTGTTATGTAAGGTTTTAGTTTTGATAAAATTTTGCGATTTTTAGATAAATTGAGCTTATTGAGGTAGCTAATCATAAATTCATCGAGCTTCGTTCAAGATGCTAAATCGGTAGAAATTTTTTGTGCAAGAAAGTTATTTAACTGATCATGGCTGAATTTAATGCTCTTATCCTTTAAATAATAAAAATGCGAAAGTGTTGAGCGATCTGAGCTATTATGTAAGGATAAATCTTCTTTTTGCAATAATAATCAATTTTTGTATCAATTTAAAGAAGATTTTCTGTAATTTGGTATTGTCATATAAACTGATATGTTTCTAATATAGTTTTGGCATCTAAAAAAATCTTGCTCGGTGCTTACTATTGGGTTTTCACTCCTTTGTGGCTGAGTTTGCCTTCATTCATCTGCATTCTCTTTAATATCAAACTTCATATTATTAATTACGAATCTTTAATAATTCAAATTGCTTTATAATTATAAAAGCAACTTCCTACAAAAGCCATTTCCATCAATCCAAGTCGTTCATTAAAATAGCTAATTTAAATTGCATCAAGTTTTTTTTAATTACTTTACTATGACAATTAAAAGTTAAAAAGATCTGTATAGTCAATCATTGCACCCCCTCCTCTTCTGTCTCTACCTCGTACTCCACTTTCTGATCCTTCAATAATTTCCAAGTCTGGCCTCTGCTTGCCTTTTGAAATCTTAGGAATTCGTTTAAATGCGATTTCATCATGCTCAATCTGCTTAACAAGAATCCCATACCCCATCTCGTGCTCAATAACATCACTGATTTCCCTGACAATAAACGGCGTTTCATTGTCTTGTATCCAAATATCCCCTTCATCAGTTTTCAGCAGAAACTCTGACAAATTAGCTAAAGTGTGAATTTCTTTTATTTGGCTTAAAGTTACATAATTGTATAATATTCCTTTCGGGTTGGCAATATAAATGGTCTTACTTGCAGTTATCAAAATTATCATCTGCTTTGAGCCAGGCTTAATTACTTCATAAACTTTTCTTAAGTTCACCATTTGTTCCCCTGGGATCCCATGCACTGCTTTAATTTTTCCAAAAATCAAATTGTTTTTCATTTCTTGGCCTTCAGAGTCTTCTTTTTTGGTAATTTCAAGCATCTCCTTTTCGCTATTTACAAGCTTAATTTCAAGAAATTCTTCAGTTTTTAAATAATAAAGTGTCTTAATTGCATTAATTGCATCAAGAGTTCTCGGTGTCAAGATTCTCAGGCATTCGCTGCCTTCCTCTTCTTTTATATGAAGTGCAAAACTCTGATTGCCTGATTGCTGGTATATTTTATCAATTGTCGATAAAAGAATCCTACGTCTGAGAGATTTGAAGTTATTAGGAGTTACTATGTATAATGCTTCTGTTGAAAATAAAAGTCATCGTTTTTGCTTTATTCCATATCGATTTTCCTTTTTTATAGGTAAATAGCCATCGACTTCTTCCTCTAAAACTTCATCTTTTGTTTTAAATTGTAAAAACAGCCAAGAAATCTCACGTTGCAGCTTTTGGTCTAACTGCAAAACATCGTCAATTTGATATTTTGGAGCCTCAACCAATATGAGATTTTCTGATTTTTTGTCTCTTAAAGCATCTTCTTTACTAAAAATTATTGAATTGTTTGATATTTGCTGGGTTGGAAGTCCTTGGATGTTGCTTTCATTAATAGATACTGCTGATTTTTGCTCATGAAGAGTATCATGCATAGATTCGGATTCATTTTTCTCTTCTGGAATGACTATTAAACTTTTTGATGCTAAGTTTGCAATAGGAGAAGCATTACCAATTGTTTTAGGAAATTTTTTAGAAAACGATTTATCGTTTATAGAGAACTGAGGACTGTGATATGGGCCTTTGATGTCTTTATTACTGTCATGAAATATCTCTTTTCGATCTTTCAGTTTTGTTTTTTCAATAATTTCACTTTTGGAAGCTAAAATTGGTTTTTCTTCTCAATTAGATGAATCATTTAGCTTTTGTTTTTTGGGTTTTTTTCTAGGTGAGCTTTGATTTGATTTTGAGATTTTTTGATTTTCTGTAATTTTCGCTGTTTTTAGAATCTTCAAGGCTTCATTTGATGGTTTGTTTAAATTTTGATTTTCAGGAGATTTTAAGGCTTGCCTTGAAGAAAAGCAGCAATAACTCGCTTGATTTCCCATTATAATTTTCCATTATATTATCAAGAAATTAATTATGCTTTGATGAATTTAAAAATACCATAATAATTACTTGAATTTTTATAGAATTTTTTTCTCATTAAAACTGTATTAAAGCACCTCATTAAGAAAATATTGAATTTTTAATAAAAATTAACCACAAGATTTATAATTATTATCAATAAAAATATAATTTCACTTCTTGATTCAAATGAGCTTACTCCCCCCCACATCCTTGATCGAACGACTCGCCATCGTTCGATCAAGGACGGGGGGGTAAAAAAAAAATTTTTGGGAAAAAAATTTTATATATAAAATAAAATATATATATAATTTTTTTTTTTATTTACTTTTAAATAAGAGGGTTAAGAGTATTTAATAATTATTTTTACAGCAAAAAATTGAATTAATTTCATAAAAATACCAATTTTTTTATATTCTAATTTATTAGTTACCCCTTTAAACTGTATAAATTTTAATTTGTTACTTATTAAATTAAAATTTGTTTTTTTTAAATTTTAAAAAAATCTCTATTTTATTAGATTATGAGTTTTTTAAGCCCATGCTGATGACTAAATTACTTTGAATGGTTGATTCCGAAGCTTTCTATCGTCTCAAAGTCTCTGAAAACAACTTCATTAGGTACATCTTCCCAAGCTTTTGATAACTATTATATTTTTTTATATATATAAAAAAAATTGCATGATATGAAAATCGTTCGATCAAGGATGGGGGTTAATTTCCCCAATTTTTAGGAATTTTTACAGTCAATCGTTCGATCAAGGATGGGGGGGAGTTAGGGAAAGGTACTTGAAAACTGTTCGAATTAACAACTCTGAGCTACATGGCTTTGTGATGACTTCTTTCATCCCAGACTCTATACAAAGCTTAAGCTCGTCATCAGAATTAAAAGCTGTGTAGCCCAGAATAGCTGGCAATGACTTGATTTCGCCTTGAAAATAAGAATCCAGTATCATCTTTGATGCTTCTCAGCCATTCAACTCAGGCATCGACCCATCCATAATAATAAGCTTATATGGCTTACTTCTTCTATCGCTTTCAAAAGTAAGCCTAACAGCTTCTTTTCCTGAGCACGCTTCATCATAAATAATATTATATGCTGCCAATGATGTTCCTAAAATAATACGATTAAGATCATTATCATCAGCTATCAAAATTTCTGCTCTTTTTTTGCTTTCAATCAAATAGTCAAAATTTCTGATTGAAGCATAAGGCCTTTTATTTTCACAAAGAGAAGGATTAACTTCTTCATAAATTGGTTCGTAATCAGACATATTTTCTGCAATATAAACTGAAAAATCAAACTTTGAACCTTTATTTGTTTTTGATTTGACTTTAATACTTTCTCCTCCTAGCTCTTTTGCAATTCTGTTTGCAATAAAAAGACCTAATCCACAGCCTTGAGGATTAATATTTTGGCTTATTTCTGTATTGAATTCTTTAAACAGTCCTTTTAATTTGTGCTTTTTAATTCCAATCCCTGTGTCTTTTACGCTAATTTTTAGTTTATGATGGATATCTAAAAAGCACGCAATATCTATTTGACCTTTAAGTGTAAACTTTAAAGCATTGCTAAGAAGATTCAACAAAACTTGGCTTAGCCTAAGTTGGTCAGAAAATGCATAAGCTGGCAATTGAGGATCTAGTCTTGTGATAACTCTAATGCCCTTTTTCTCAGCTTGGATTTTTATAAGCTGAATACAACTTTCAATAGTGCTAAATAATTCAAATTTTGACCTTTGTGTTGAGAAAACTCCAGCAACCATTCGTGAGTAATCTAGTAAATCGTTAACTAAAGATAATAAAAGATTTGATGACACAGAAATCTTATCTTAAATAATTTATATCGTTTAGCGTCCACTATGGGGTAACCGTTTCCAGAGCTGCCACCACTTATCGGGCCCATAGACCTCTGGATAGATCCACTTCGTTTGCGCCAAGCCATGCAAATACAGCGTTCAGGCTTCGACGGTCTGCGTTGCCTCGCTCCTTTGGCTCAGCTCCTGTGCGTGCTCCGCCTAAGGGTCACCCTCCTCGGGTGTGCTGAGAGGTAAAAAACTTCAAGCCTCTTGAAGTAATTGGAGCAGTGCCTCGGCTTATCCGCCAGAGTTAAACTGCTGTTGCTGTACAGATGCTCTCAGAAGAAAACCCAACCACATAAATAAAATTGCTTGAGGGAGAGAAAATTAGGAAGCTAATTTCGCTCGAACCGAATGCCATTTTATTTATGATGAAACAGAAATCACCTTCAATTTCTGCATAAGGCTTTTGTTATTTGCAATACAACTCTCACGCGAAACTTCTTCAGCAAAAAAGCTTATTGAATTTATTGGAGTTCTGAGTTCATGAGAAACTGACCTTAATAACACGTTTTTTAATTTGTTATCCGCTGTCGTTTGCTCTAATTGAATTAGATTGTTTACATCTCTTACAGTCAATAAGACTGCTTCTGTTTCTTCTCATATCACTTTTTGGGCTTTCCATTCCAAATTATATTCATCCACTTTTGCCAGCCCAAGCATAATTTCTTGATTTAAATTCAAATGCTGGACATTCCCTATATCATCTAAAATTTTATTTGAATTTGATAAATTTGCATATTTTTTCCCATCACAATATTCAATATTTGACAATAAATTTATGATTTCTTCTGAGTCCCGACACTTTAAAAGCCTCTTTAAATTTTGATTTGAATATAGAATATCGTTTTCATAGGACAAAATTACAATTCCATCTGGGAATAAATTGAAAATCAAGCTCATTCTTGATTGCATACAGTGAAGTTTATGATGCGCAATAAATCTCTCATATGATTTTTCTTTTAGAAAGGATGAGTCTAAGTTGTATAAAAAAAGAATTAGAAAAGCTAATAAATGGGCAAAAAATCCTAATTGAAATCATTCGTATTCTCCTGTGAAATATTTGAAATGATTTCATACCAATATATGCTTCGCAATAACAAAGGTTTTATTGTACCATGCTTGAATAAAAGGGAGCTCAAAGCTATTAATATATACAAAAGCAAGCATTTGGCCTAATATGTTAACTTCTTTCCATAAAACATTGCCTTGTATCCATAAGCAGGCACAATTGCCTTCAGCGAATAAAATAGAAAAAATAGACTTTGCTAAATATAGCACAGGCCTCATTTTAGATCCCTGAGGACAAGTGCTTTTATATAAAAAATTTAAATTTTAAATTAAGGAAAAATCTGAAAAGTCAATTTTCAAATTGAAAAATAGGACATATATAATGAATTTGTAAATTGATATTTTACTTTTTGGAATTTCAAAATAATTTTTTTCCTTGAAGGGTATTTTCCTTGAAAATCTATATGGGAGCACACGCTATAGCTTTTTTTATCCAAATAACATATCAAATAGCATTGCCCTGAGTGTACCAAAATCCATGGCATGGAAAATTTAATAATCATATACGTATCAGACCTCAAAAGTAAGCATAGAATTGTAAAAAAAACTGCTATCACTCATAAGAGGTAAGAAAACCTCTTGATTACTTGATATTTTTCATTGACTTCTTCATCCCACCATTGATAATATAGCCTCTCCATAATTTAATTTTTGCAAATATTATTATATTTATAATAGTCTTTTTTTATTAAACTTTTTAACACCCAATTAGTTTTTTATTTTAACTGTCTTTTCGAAATTTATTATTTTTGATTACTCAGATGACTTAACTAAATTAAATATTTATATAAACCATAATGATCCTCTATATAGATTTAATAAAAACTATAACCCTTGACTAAATTAATTAAAAATATAAAGACTTATAAGCATGATAAAATGAAAAACATAATAAATTTTTTATATGATTTAATCTTGAGATTAAATTTTTTAAAGCTAAACCAGCGGTGCTTCTAGAAGATAAATCAGATCTTGAAGCTCTCTCAATTTTTTAATTTCATTCCTCAGATAGGGAATATAATACGCAAAGCATGCCACAAAAGATAAAATCATATAGAGCAAAGATAAATAAAAAATGAAGTTGACTTGAGAAGTGACCTTTTCTTTTGTATCTTGATTAATTTTATTTATAACAGCATTCTCATTAGCCACTGTAAATGTTGTGAAATTATATGCATATCTTGTACTATATGCAGCAAATGCAGATTGGTACACATCTTGAAGTGCTAAATTGTAGGAGGCATAAGTCCCATAGTCTAAAAAAGGAAAGCCAGGATAAGTGGAATTAGAATATATCTCATTTGTTGTGTTTTCTGATAAAAGCTCCATGTATTCAGATGAATGATACAAGTTGTTGACATATTTTATCTTATCCATAAGTGAATAAAACTCGCTGTGCCAATTTTCAAAGAGATAAGATTCAGGAAAAAATTGGTATCAAGTCAGATTTCTTGCTACACCGTTGGCTTCCCTAAACCACATATTAAGCTCAACCATGTAATTTCTTCTAAGAGTAGCAATTTTTAGGAAATCTGATCTCTTTATCAATAACTGCTGACAGTTTTCATATAAGACAAATGTTCTGACTGCTTCAAACACCAAAGCACAGATAAATATGATTGATATTCTTCACAAGACAGACCAAATATAGTTGGCCTTTATGCGAATTCCTTTTTTGAATACTATTTCTGGCTTTATTTGCATTGCATCATATCCATGAACTTCATATAGCCTATTGATGCAGTTTTCTCTAATATTTTGGACAACTAATTGGGAAAGCTCAATTAAAAATGTTCATAGCTTATTTTGCATTTTATTTAATCTTATGCCAAAGAATGTGAGAACAATCAACCCAATTATCAATACCATCATATCAAAAGCATATAAAATATAAATATTTTGGTTTAAAGCGTTCACTTTTTGGATTTCACAATCTACAAGAGAATCAAAAGTTTGATTGAGATAACCATAAAAACCTCCAATCCCATTACTAACCAAAAAGTACAAATCTCCTAAATGAGCATCTAAATCATATGCAACTGATAAATAATGGACTCCCTATGTTAAAAATTACATGTTTAACAAATTCTTGAATTCCATCAATAAGGTTAACTTTCGAAAGAACCATTGTGTCGTTATTAATATAGATTCATGTGGGAATGACCTGAATATTTATCAAATTGGTGCTTGAGCAGTATGCTCAGTCGCCACTATTTTCAAGTAGGCTTGACTCTGCATCTTTTAGCTGATCCAAGCTATCACTAACAATTCTCAAGTTATAATCAATATTACTTGATTTAACTCTCATTGACCAATCACTTAATCTTGCATTTATAGCAATATTCGCAAGGGTGTAAAGTACTTGTCCTAAATCACTGATTGTATTTATGGAAGAAGCTGCATAAATTTCTTGAGATGAGTAGATATAGGCATATCCCTAAGATAGCCAGATATGGGCTAGGGATAGAGGCCAAAACTTCCCACTTGGTTCGGCCAAGATGGATTGGTCGAACCAATTATTTGCCACTTTCCACTTGGTTCGACCAGCCCATTTTAGCCGAACCAAGTGGGAAGTTTTGGTCTCTACCCTAGCCCATATCGGGCTATCTTAGGGATATGTCTATAAGTTGGACCGTACTTGCAATTATAATTGCTACTATCTAAATATATTTTACAGTTCAGAATACCACCCACCCAAAAATTTTTATTGCCAGAATTGACTGATTAATTAGATTGTGCTGGCTTCCAGCTTTTAAATTTCTAAAAAATTTTGATAGCGTACTGCTAGCCCCAGCTGATCTTTCTTCTATATCTGATAATTTACTTTTGTATTTATTAGCTGATTTTGATGTAAGCTCAGAAGCTGCTTTTAATTCTTCTTCAATGTCTTTTTTCCCATATATTTCAGTTGATAAAGCTTCAGTTAATTTGCTATTTGTTCTTTCCCCACCACAATGGTAAACAGTTTGATCCTCATGAACACCTTGAGTCCATACAGAAATTTCTTCAGCATCTGAAATTATAAGAGCAATATTCATGTTTAGAGTTGTAAACTTTCTTACTTCATGAACAATTGCTACTTTTTTACCATGAATCGTTACTATATATGGCACGAAAGGAGTTTTTGCAATTTTTCCATATTCAGGAATATATTCAGTTATATTACAATTTTTAATGCTCTCATGTGGAGTATTAAGCCATGATATAAAATTGCTAGTATAATTATAGATAGTGTAATCTTCTGCTAAAAGTGCACATTCTCTTGATGTATCAATTTGGCTAATAGAGGATAAAAAAAAACGATAACTGCCTAATGCTATAAAGCGGCTTCTAATTGTGCACTCAACAAGAAGGTCTGCTTTATTTTTCATAAAAAGGGATGTTGGCACTTTAACTTCCAGATCTATGCAAGACTCAATATATTTCTTCATCACTCTATTATGAGATTCTAAAAAGGGAAATGGTATTAGTGCGTTAAGTGAGGAATATAATTAAAAATATGGCGTCTTCGTCTAGGTATGGCCTCCGGGCCATATAGCCTCCGACCCATATTTTAATTATATCCGGCAAGGTTTTTCTAGCCTGATAAGACGGCAATGCTAGGCAACTAATTCTGCAGGAGCGCAGAACCTAGCCCAAGTCTAATTCGGCTACTAGTTTTTACCTCGAAGGAAAGGAGAGTTCAGATTTGGAAAGGGCAAGCCCAGCGGAGTCTACAGATAATACCTAGACCAATCGGGCAACTGACTAGCGTGAAACTCGGCGTTACGTCCCAGGGATCTGGACTTAACCCTTTTGCCGATAGGCTACCAAAAATTCCATTTTTGGAATTTCGGAATGCCAACATCGTCAACTACAGCCTCAGGAGGCCGTACAAACCCGTAGTCTGCCCACTCAATACTGGAGCCTTTTACAAGAGGCAAGGAGGAAGCCTCAGTACTCTCATCACAGGTATGAGAGGGAGGTCGCAAAGCGGATGAATCCCACAAAGGATCCTCGGTGATTGCGTAAAATTTAAGGGCACGAGCCCGTCTATATAAGTAAGTAAGCGTTAAGTGAGGAATCTAAAAGATCACTCATTTGATATAGCCCAGGATGGTTTTAGCTTTCCCTGGGCCAATAACTTTCCTCAAAATCGTGGATTTAGTTTGCACTGAAAGTTGCCAGACCAACTCCACAAGTTGAGAAATGAGCTTATAATTGCCATTTGCCAATTTGTGGAGTTGATTTGGGAAAATTTTGGTTGCAAGCCAACTCTACAAGCTAGAGAGAAAGTTGCTAGCCCAGGCGAGCGAAAGCTGTATTGGGCTATATGCCTATTATCTCCAATAGAGCGATAAGAAACATTTTTAGGGTTAACCAGCAGTTTCTGGCACGAGGAATTTCGATTTCTATTTCCATATATGAAAACGGATTTGTTGCAGATGTTCAAAGTCAGCACTTTCATCAATTATGATTCTCAATCCGCAAAAATCAGAACCTTTCCTTTTGTTTTCATAAGAGAAAATAGAAACCGACATAGCACGTGTCAGAAACGCGTTGGTTAACCCAAAAGTGCTACTTATCGCTCTATTGAAGACAAAGAAGTGTATCCAAGTATCTGTGCAAAAATCTCATTTACATAAATTATATCCCCAAAGCTAGTTTTCTCTGCAGATGTCCATAGAATCCCATGCATCTCATCAAAAGTATTTATTTTACTTATATCATTGAGTTTTACAGGAGACTGCTGAGCGGTACCATTATTAATAAACATCAAATAATTATGATCTTTTTCACTCATAATGTCTCTTAAAAATGATCCATATAACCTTCTTGATATTATCATGTTAGGAAAGCTTAATACAAGTTTTGAATATTTTTTTTTCAAAAATTTCATCTTATACGAAATTGCTTTTGAATATTCTTGAATTCTGTCAACATTAGGCATTCTTAAACTAATTTCATCTGAAAAATTTAATATGTCAAAAAGCATCTCTTTATCATCATTTTTTGCTTTATTCATATTTTTCAGATATTTCAAAAAAGCAGTATCTTCATACATGATAAAACCTTCAACCTTCAAATTTTTCCTGCAAATAAATTCTTGATAAAATTCTTCAATATTTGAATTTATTTCATGAACTCGCGCCAGTTTTATTGTTGCAAGTCTTACATCTTTGAGGACATCTGCACAATAATAAGCTTCCCATATGCCAAGCAGCTTGCCAAGCTTAAAATTTTTGTCGGAAAAGCATGCAGAAAATTTTTTGATGATTTCCTGTTTATTTTCAAAATTGGGAGTTATTAGTTGATTTCGAATTTTCAACTCAAAAGAAAATTGATTTCTTGGGACTTTTATTATGAGATTGCTGATTCTTCTATTTAAAAAATAAAGGCTAATAAGGGTAAGTAAAGGATTTATTACAAGAGCCATCAGGAAAATAACTTGGGCATTGTTCATATACATCCCAAGAATAAAAGAACAAGCTGTAAATGAGCACATAAAATATCTTGCAACTTTGATATAATTTGATATAGAATTGTAATAAGGAAGCTCTATATAAAACATTAATCCAATTATAAAATATATAATCGCAAATAAGTAAAGTCCGTAGATCCAGAATTTTTTCTCAATAAATGTGAAAATACAAACAAAAACACTGTTACAAATGCATCCTAAAACGTCAGGAAATGATTTGGTTCTTGCTAACTCACCCCCTCCATGAGGGAAAAACAATTTTGTTCGCTCATAGAGGGGAGTTAATTTTTTTAAACAATTTATATATAAATTTTATAGTAAAATTTTATTTTTTTCAAAATTTAAAATATCTCGATTCGCAAAAATTGGAAAGCAAATATTAATTTAATTTGTAAACTTTATGTTTTAAAACGCAATTGTTTAAAATTTAACAGAATTAGCTAGAGATTTCGTTATATTAATTATCACTTATATATCAAAAAATTTTCTATTAAAAAAATTTTTGTTCGCTCACGGAGGGTGGGCTTTTGGGAAAAAAATAGGGACTTTTCGAATGATTTTTTTCGCTCACGAAGGGGGGGAGTACAATATTTTTTTCAAAATTGCTATGTCTTGTTTCAGTAGAAAAAATTTCACCTGCTATTAAAATTAAATTAAAAATTATAATAGAGGAAATTCCCAATCCCTGCAGAGATTCTTTAAAGTTCAAAGACCCTGAAGATTTTGCTGCATAAGGGTAATTATCTGATATGCTGTCTTGATTAGTCGAAAATTTAACTCACAGTATTAGTATCATCATTATAGGGATATGACCAATATTTGTTGAAATTAGAATAATTTTTCTTGGAATAGAAATAAAAGTTGGATGAATTTTTTTCTTGATATAGCAGAAAAATGTCAAAGCTATTAGACTTATGGTCATTGAGAAGACAAAAACTATACTACCGTAAAAACAAAAGGAGAGGCCGTTATTAACACTAGCGCAAATGAAGTCTATACTCGAAAAACCAATTGCATTTCAAAATGGTGAATAAGCCTCCCAATTTGATATGTTTATTGTTGGATATCACAGCTGGGTCATCATTTGGAGGGTCACGAGTGCATTTAAAATCCCAATTAAGGGCTTTGCTGATCTGGAATTTGGCTGATAATGATCTTTACGGTTGTAAATGTCAATAAATGTTTGAAAGATCGCAAACTTTATCCTTTGCGACACAGTTTCAGATGAAGCCAAACATTTTCTGAAATTTAAGTCTGGAGTAGATTTCTCATTTAAGCATTTTTTATATAAATTGATATTTAGCTAAATAATGGCTAAACAATAGTTTAGAAACAATTGACAGATTTTAAGTTTTATTTAAAATAATAAAGCCAATAAGTCTTATTGATTCATTTTGTGTTTAAACATAATTATATTTTAAGAGTTTACAATCAAGCAGCTCGAAGATAATCTTTGAGGTTTTAATATGTGCACTTTTTAGGAATTCTATCTAATCGCTACCTTTAAACTCTTGAAGCTTAAATATTTAAGTAAAAATAAATTTATATATTCTTTATAATCAACAATAAAATCATATATCGGCAAGCTTCTGATCAGTATTAATTTATTTTGAAACAAAATTTTGCAATTTTAAATAGGGAATAATTACTCTTTCATGTAGGAGAACATTTAAAGGCACAAAACCAAATAATTTATATGCAAAAAAAATTAATTAAGGAGTTCAAAAATAAGGGAGCAATTATGTTTCAAATATAAAAATTTTCATAAATTTTGAATTAAAATAAATTTAAGCTAAAACTCATCTTATTTCACCGAGATCCAAAATTAAACTAAGACTTTAAAAGCTTTATATTAGATTTGGAGAAAAAATAAAAGAGTTTTTAAATTTTGGTAAGTTCAAATAGCAGGATTGATAAAATAATTCTAATACGGATAAGCAAGTTTAATAATAAATTAAAAACTAAAATGAGCAAAAAATTATTAATTTATAATGAAGCTAATTAATATTTTAAATTTTTTAACATTTAAACTGATAAAATATAAATATAAAGACTATAAAAATCTGATTTCAAATTCAAATTATTTCGTAATTTTTTGTCATAAAGCTATAATTATATAATCATAATTTTGTCCATTTGCCACATATTTGTTGTAACGTTGAATATGATAGCTTTGTCGCATATTTTGCAGGGTAAAATTCCTTCAATCATAAATTGAGCATGTTGAGATCCAAGAAGTGTATTGGGCTAATAAAAATCGAATTATTTATCTAGAGCTATAGTGGGGTATACTTTAAGCTGGCATTAGCGCCTAGAATATGCTCGCATTAATGCAGTGATCTATAAAAAGGCCGTTTTCTCAAAAATCTGATTGTAAGGATATTAAGTCTTCACTCTGAGAGAGAATATAATCAAGACCAAAAAATTCATTTTTTTTTAATTTTAATTTTACTTCAGAATACTATAATTCCTTATACTAACTGCTATCTCTTATTTAAAGATGATGTAAAAATAATATTAAAATACAATTAATCCTAATTTATATATATTTAATTACAGTCTTAATTATCTCTTCTGATGAGCATGGTTTCGGTATAAACTCAGCCATCCCACTCTCAAAGCAAAGTTTAACATCTTCATCAGAATTATATGCAGAATATCCTATAATAACAGGCAAAAAATTAATTTTCCTTTCTCTGTACAATTGATTAATAGTCCTAGAGGCTTCTCATCCATCCATTTCTGGCATACTTGAGTCCATCATAATAGGTCTCTGCTGACTCTCATGCTCGATTACTTTTTCAATTGCAATTTTTCCATTTATGGCTTCGCAATATGCGATTCCATAATTCTTTAATATTGAGCCTAAGATTTCTAAGTTAAACTCCATATCATCCACTATCAAAACAGTCTGATTTCAAATTTCTTTGAAAATATTTGCAGAAACAGAAAAACTAGGATTAACATCTTCATTGCACTCATCACTATTTATTGGATTATCAAATTGTTGATACAATTAAAAATGGAATGTATGAGTTAGGGGTCCCGTCCCCTAACCTCGTCCTAGTGAGGGAAGTTCATTCTTTCTGAAGGAAATCAGCGTTGGAACTACTCCGGCAGTTCCAAGTGCACATGACGCAAGTTAAAGTGAAGAAGAGAGACTCGTCCGGGCCATTGGCAACTGTAACGGTTCGACGGTTAGGCCGATTCCACCTACCGTTGTTCAGAGCTGTTAGCCAGTGGATGGAATTCAATGAAGGAAGAGCTTGTATTTTTGGAACCTAAGCTAAGTGGGGTTCCCAACGAGTTATCGTAATCTTTATCTTTAATCTTAATCTTAATCTTAAATTGTTGATCGCTATTTGATGTGCTTAAATCAATTGTGAATGAAAAAATTGATCCTTTGCCTGGAATTGACTTCCCTTTTAATGCTTGCCCTCCTAATTGCATTGAAATAAGATTTGATATATGAAGTCCTAGCCCCCTCCCCTCCATGAGCGAACAAACCATTAGAAAAATCCCAATTTTTTGCCCAAAAAAACCACCCTCAACGAGCGAACAAAAAAATTTATTAATAGGAAAATTTTTTATGGAAAAAAAAAATGAGAGATAAGTGATAATCAGTATAACGAAATCTCTAGCTAATTCTGTTTAATTTTAAACAAATTGCGTTTTAAAACATAAATTCTACAAATTAAATTAATATTAGCTTCTCAATTTTGACGAAGTGGGATATTTTTAAATTTCGAAAAAAAAAACTCTATAAAATTTATATATATAATTTTGAGGGGGGGACTAAGCCTTTTCCTGTAGAATCAATTGTAGGCATAACCGATGAATTTAGCTCGTCTGTCATAACTTTTAATTTTTGATCATTTATTCCAATTCCTGTGTCTTCAACGTAGCATTTTAGTTTATTTTGTGAAGTTAAAACACATGAAACTTCAACTTTTCCTTTTATAGTATATCTAATAGCATTTAAAATCAGGTTTAATAAAATCTGGCCAAATCGGATTGGATCTGTATATATGTGTTTAGGTAAGAAAGGATCTAATCTATAAATTATCGATATATTTTTCTTTTCAGCTTGAAGCTGTATCAAGTCACATGCATTCATAATTATTTCTTTAATATGGCAATTCTTTTTTATAATTTTTAACCCACCAGTTAAAATTTGCGAATAATCAAGTAAATCATTTATTAATGAAAGCATAAGTTTTCCTGAAACCAATACAGTTTTTAATTTTTTCTCTGTACGTTCATCAAAATCTAACTCCCCCTCCGTGAGCGAACAAAAAAATTTTGTTCGCTCAAAAAGGGGATTAATTTTTTTTTTTTAATACATTTATTTTATAGTAAATCTTTTTTTTTCAAAATATAAAAAAATTTCAAATATGTAAAAATTGAGAAGCAAAAATTTATTTAATTTGAGAAAATTATATTTTAAAACGCAAGCTGTTTAAAATTAATCAGAACTAGCTCGAGATTTCGTTATAATAATTATCATTTATCTATCAAATTTATTTTTCATAAAAAAAATTTTTATATTAAAAAAAATTTTGTTTGCTCACGTAGGGTGGGTTTTTTTTCAATAAATAGGGATTTTTCTCATGGTTTTGTTCGATCATGGAGGGGAGAGTAAGGTTTTATCCTCTAAAACATCGTTTGTAAAATAAATAATAGAGTTGAGTGGAGTTTTTAATTCATGTGAAGCTGATCTTAATATTAAGTGTTTTAAATTTTGCTTTGCAATATTGTTTTCAAGTTCAATAATTTGATTTGCATTTCTAATAGACATAAAGAGTGAAGATTCCCCTTCTCAATTTATGCTCTTTGCTTTTCATTCAATATTTGTATTTTCTGTCAAAGAAATACCAAGAACTAATTCTTCAATTGTTGGATTGCTTAATAAATAATTAATATCATCAATTAATTTTGATGACCTATTGATCACTGAAATTTTTTTGCCTTCGATATAGTTTATTGAGCTTAAGACATTTTTTAAATTTTCTGAATTGGTATTCAGCAGCTCAAAAAATTTTTCGTTATTAAATGCTATTCCACCAGTTTGAGTTAGAATGATTATTCCTTCAGTTAAGGACTGAGTTATTATATTCAATCTATTTTTTTGATTTTCTACTTCTGTTTGATAAAAGAACTTTTTATATGAAAGCTCCATAAAATGATATCTGCATACATTACATAGAAGAATTGCAGTCAAAATATCCAAAATTGGCGATATAGGCTTTTCAATGCTAGAATACATAATATAGGAATGAATGTGCCACAAATATACATGCCCAAAAAGTGTGGCATTAAATAATCATGTGTTCTGAATTATTGTAAATTGGAGTTTCATTCTCAAAACAAAGCCAAAGACTTCAAATATAGCTCCGTTTATTTGAGTTCTAGATAATATATAAAACAATATATTATGATATTCATTGGCAATAATCAAAACAATCATTTTGGCAAAGGTACTCCTTTTAGATAATGACATTATGACAAGCAAAGAAAAAACATTCAGTAAAAGAGGAGGAATAAAAAACTTTCAGGTTAGATAGGTTGGATCTAATATTTCATTGATAATTTTTGGTATTGGAGCTAAACATGAGATTTTTGAAGCACTAATTAAAAATTTGTAAATCCCTTCAACTTCTTCTTTCAGCCAGAGGTCTTTAATTCGATTCATTTATTTAAATGATTGAGAAAATTTTAATTGTTGCATTGGAATTATTATAAAAAATTAGAACAAGCAAAACTATTAAGTTAAAAAAAGCATTCAATTTTGTAATTAGGTTGGAAGAATATTTAAATTAAAATTAACTAATATAAGTATAATTATAAGCTGATATTAAAATAATAAGCTTCCTAAGATTGTACAGAGGTCAAGATTTTCCCTTATCATATTATCATTTACTAGAAATATAGATGCATCACAGCTATTTTAGTAATTATTATACCACTCAATTAGAAGAAGGCTATAAAAAGTATTATTTATTTCCTTACAATTCTATTGCTCTTTGGGAGGCAATTTATGTGCTAAAATAAAATTATTAAGGCATTATACTTACAAATACGCAAGTCTTAAAGTTAATTGAAAATTTAATTACTATTAATATTACTATAGAATTACTTAAAATTAAAATAAAATATCTGAAAGCCTTTTAATATAATAATTAAACAAGTTTATGCTATATTAGTGGTGTTTCAAGCAAATGTATAAGATCTTGAAGTTCTCTTAGTTTTTTGATTTCATTTCTAAGATAAGGGATATAATACACAAAACAAGCCACAAATGAAAAAATCATATAGAGCAAGGATAAGGAAAAAATGAAGTTAACCTGAGAAGTAACCTTATCTTTTGAATCTAAATTGATTTTGCTTATAATTTCATTTTCATTATTCACTGTGAACGTTGTGAAATTATACACATACCGCGTATTAAAACCATTAAATGCGGATTGATAGACATCTTGCAGGGCTAAGTTATAAGACGCATAAGTTCCATAGTCTAATCATGGAAAGCCAGGATAAGAAGAATTAGAATAAATATCATTTAATGTGCTATCTGATATAAGACCCATAAATTCAGGTGAATGATATCGATTGTTGACGTATTTTATCTTGTTTATTAATGAATAAAATTCACTGTGCCAGTTATTAAACAAATAACTTTCAGGATAAAATTGGTAAAATGTTAGATTTCTTGCAACAGCATTAGCTTCCCTAAATCACATATTAATTTCAACTAAGTAATTTCTTCTGAGGGTCGCAATTTTTAAGAAATCTGACCGTTTTGCTAGTAATTGCTGGCAGTTTTCATATAATACAAATGTTCTAACAGTTTCAAAAACTAAAGCACAGATAAATATAATTGATATTCTTCACAATACAGATCAAATATAGTTTGCCTTTATGCGAATCCCATTTTTGAATACTATTTCTGGCTTTATTTGCATTGCATCACATCCGTGAACTTCATATAGTCTATTGATGCAGTTTTCTCTAATATTTTGCATAACCATTTGGGAAATTTTAATTAAGAATGCTCACAGCTTATCTTGCATTTTATTTAGTCTTATGCCAAAGACCGCCAGGATTACTAATCCACCAATCAACACAGTTACATCAAAAGCATATAGAATATAAATATTCCGACTTAAATCATTTATTTTTTGAATTTCGCAATCTACAAGAGAATCAAAAGTCTGATTGAGATAAATATAAAAATTTCCAATTCCATTATTAACCAAAAAATATAAATCTCCATAATGTGCATCTAAATCATAAGGAACTGTTAAGTAATGCACAGCCTATATTAAAATTACATGTTTGACAAATTCTTGAATTCCATCAATAAGGTTGGCTTTTGAGAGAACCATTGTATTGTTATTAATATAACTTCATGTAGGAATAACTTGGAAATTTATCAAATTTGTACTTGAACAATATGCTCAATCGCCACTATTTTCAAGTAAACTTGCTTCTGCGTCCATAAGCTCACTCAAACTATTATTTAGAATCTCCAAATTATATTTAACAAAATTTGACTTAACTCTATATGATCAATCGCTTAGACGCGCATTTATGCCTATATTTGCAAGGGTGTAAAGTACTTGCCCTAAATCGCTAATAGTATCTATAGAAGAAGCTGCATAAATTTCTTGAGACGAATATATAAGTTGTGCTGTACTTGCAACAATAATTGCTAATAGCTAAATATAAATTACAGTTCAGAATACTACCCACCCAAATATTTTTATCGACAAAATCGACTGGCTTATTAGATTGTGTTGAGTCCCGGCTTTTAAATTTCTAAAAAATTTGGAAAGTGTGCTGCTGGCCCCAGCTGATTTGTCTTCGATATCTGACATTTTTTCCTTGATTTTTTTATTTTCAATTAATAAATGTTCTGATGCAATTTTAAATACTTCTTCAATATCTTTTTTCCCATATATTTCCATTGAAAGCGCTTCAGTTAGTCTGCTATTGGTTTTTTCTCCACCGTATTGATAAACTGTTTGGTCCTCATGAATACCTTGAGTTCATGCTTTAATTTCTTCATGATCTGAAACTATTAGAGCAATATTCATATTTATAGTTGAAAAATGCCTAACTTCATGGACAATTGCAACTTTTTTGCCGTTAAGCGATGTCAAGCATGGTACAAATGGATTTTTGGCAATTTCTTGGTAATCTGGGATATACTTAATGATGTTTCTATCTTTAATGCTTTCATTGGGAGTATCAAGCCACGATATGAAATTGCTCGTATAATTATAAATATTGTATACCTTTTCATACCTATAGTGCGTCTTGATGGAACTTATTTTCTGCAATTTGGAGTTCTGATGAGCACCAAAAAGGTGGCAAGTCAACTCCAAGTTTACAAGAGCTATCCTTTGCCAGGAGTTAACTTACACCTTGAGGCGACTCGTTAAGCTCCAAATTTCGGAGAAGAATTGCGTCAAGAGGTATTTAGACGCTATAATCTTCAGATAAAAGCGCACATTCTCTTGAAGTGTCGATTTGGCTTACAGATGTTAAAAAGAACCGATAGCTATTTAATGCTATAAAACGGCTTCTAACTGTGCACTCAACAAGTAGACCAGCTTTATTCTGCATAAAAAGTGTAGTAGGAACTTTTGCTTCTAAATCAGTGCAAGATTGAATGTATTTATTAATCACTTTATTATGAAACTCATAAAAAGGATAAGGTATTAATGCTTTAAGTGAAGACTCTAAAAGATCGCTCACTTGATAGCCAAGCATTTGTGAAAAAATCTCATTCACATAAATTATATCCCCAAAGTTATTCTTTTCTGCATAATTAAAATATGGCGTCTTCGTCTGGGCATGGCCTCCCGGCTATGCAGCCTCGACTCATATTTTAATTATATCCGGCAAGGTTTTACCATTCTAGAGATGGACGGCAATACTAGGTAAGCAATTCTGGTTGTGTTCAGAGCCTAGTCCTAGTCTATTCTCAGGGGTGGATTTTTCCTCGTGGGGAAGGAGGGTACGGAGTTGGAAAGAGGAAGCTCAGCAGAGTCCTCTGGACCAATCGGGCAACTCCCTAGCGTGAAACTGGGCGTTACGTCCCAGGCTATGTATTTTTCCTTTTTGCCGACAGCTGACCAGAAAATCCATTTTTTGGGTTTTCGGAAAAGCAACCCATGTAACAAGCAAGTAACTCATCCATGAGCCGTCGAAGCCGGAACACTTTCCCAAGAAGCACCCTGGTGATCGAAGTAGGCCATCTCCAGCGACCTGTGGGTCTGATGCGACGAAGGCGAGTGATAGTACCTGGGGTTGTCACCCCGTAGTGGACGTTAAACGTTATAAATTCTAATTTAATGTAATGTATTCTTTTCTCTGCAGATGTTCACAAAATTCCATGCGTCTCATCAAATGTATTTATTCTGCCGAGATCATTAAGTTTTACAGGAGCTTGCTTGCTAGATTCATTGTTAATGAACATGAAATAATTGCTATCTTTCTCGTTTAAAATATCTCTTAAAAAAGATCCGTAAAGCATCTTTGACGACGCCATATTGGGAAATCTTAAAACCAGTTTTGAATATTTTTTTTTCAAAAAATTTACTTTAAAAGAAATTGATTTTGAATATTTTTGGATTCTTTCGGTACTTGGCCTTCTCAGGCTGATTTCATCAGAAAAATTTAAAATGTCAAAGAGCAATCCTTTATCGTCATTTTTTACTTTGTTCATATTTTTCAAATATTTTAAAAATGCAGTGTCTTCATACATGATATATCCTTCATGCTTCAGATTTTTGTTGCATATAAATTCTTGATAGCATTCTTCTATATTTGAATCTATAGTATGGACTTGTGCAAGCTTCACAGTTGCAAGTCTTACATCTTTGAGTCCATCAACACAAAAATAAGCTTCTCAAACACCAAGAAGTTTACCAAGCCGAAAGTTCTTATTAGAAAAACAATCAGAAAATCTATTTATCATTTCTTGCTTATTTTCAATTTTTGGTGCTATTAGCTGATTTCTCATTTTTAATTCAAAAGAAAATTGGTTTTGTGGGGCTTTTATTTTAATATTGCTAATTCTTCAGTTTAAAGAATAAAGGCTTATGAGAGTCAGCAAGGGGTTTATTACAAGCACGGTAAGAAAAATAACTTGGGCGTTGTTCATATAAATCCCAATCATAAAAGAGCATGCTGTAAATGAGCACACTAAATGCCTTCCGACTTTTATGTAGTTTGGTAGCGCATTGTAATACGGAATCTGCAAATAAAAAATTAATCCAATTATAAAATATGTGATGGAAAATGCATAAAGTCCATAAATCCAAAATTTTTTTTCAATGAATGTAAAAACACAAGCAAAAATGCTGTTGCAAATGCATCCTAAAACATCAGGAAACGATCTCGATCTTGCTAAAATATTTTTTTCGAAATAACTATGTCTAGTTTCTGTAGAAAATATTTCTGCTGAAACTAAAATAATATTGAAAAGAATAACAAATGCTATCCCTAAGCCTTGGAGAGAATTGTTAAACTTCAATGATCCTGAATACTCTGCGGAATAAGGATAGTTTTCTGAGACTTTATCTCGATTGCTTGAAAATTTAACCCAAATAATTATAACCATCATTATAGGTATATGGCCTATGCTTTTTGAAAAAAGTATTATTTTTCTTAAAATAAGAATAAATATTGGATGAATTTTTTTCTTAATAAAACAGAAAAATGTCAAGGAAATTAAGCCCATAGTCATAATGAAGACAAAAGCAATACCGCTGTAAAAGCAAAAGGATAGACCATTATTGAAGCTTGCGCAAATAAAGTCTATACTTGAAAAACTAATTGCATTTCATAAGAGCGAATAAGCATCTCAATTTGAAATATTGATCTCCGGATATCATAGTTGGGTCATCATTTGGAGAGTTATAAGTATATTTACAATTCCAACTAAAGGCTTTTCTGATCTTGATATTGATTGGGTTTGGCCATCATCGTTGTAAATGTCATAAAATGTTTGAAAAATTGCAGATTTTATTCTTGATCAAAGAGTTTCAGATGAAATTAAGCATTTTCTGAAATTCATGTTTTGATTAAGCATCAATATTAATTATGTATATGCAAATAATGGCTGAACTATAATTAGCAATTAATTGACAGATTTTGCATTTTATTTTAAATAAGAGACCAGGCAGGTTTTTAATCATAATTTTTAAGTTGTAGGTAATATATTATAGATTTTTGATCTAGTTTATAAGAAAAAATTATTGAAATTCATATCTATGCACTTATTGAAAATTAATACTGATTAAATACTTTACCTATTAATATACTTATGAGCATTTATTGATAAGCCTCTCTTATATTTTTTAGCAAATTAACTATAAATTATAAATAAACAAATAGCTATAATATGATTATAAAATTCCAGAGAATAATTTAAATTATAGGAATATTCGAAATTTTACCTAAAAATATTAATCCATAAATTTGCAAAGCTTTAAAACAATAACTGCATTAATTGTCCTAATTTTTAGCACTTTAGTCTAAATTTCTCTTTATCTTTACTTTATAAAATAAACTCCTTTTATCAATTTGCCTTTCCTTATTTTATCTCTATTGTTGCCTTAAAGTTTTAATTTTTATTTTTCTCTAAGAAAATCTATCAGTTACTATTGATCAAAAAATATTGTCTTAAGTAATTATCAATAAACTTTAAAATTTTTTTATCGCTCGAATATTAAATAATAAAATGTATTTATACTTTTGATTACTTGACAAAATAATTTCTGATCATTGTTAATATTTCTGTTGGCAATATGTCTATGTAATTAATTTGAAACTCTTCAATAGGCTATGGATAAAAGCTAGTTAACGATTGAAAGGTTATATTAAAAGCAAGGATAGTTTAATGATGCTAATTGCTTTTAAAAATTAAAGTCTTGAATATTTTGTATTTTAATATAGAGAAAATAAAAGCTATGGAAGATTTGATTTCACCTAAAGTATTTATATTGACTAGGCAATAAGTTACGTTTGAATGATTTGTAAAAAAATTTCTTTTCTGATATCTTTACTTGCACATCACAATAATGACAGATTTTTAATTGAATTAAAAGTTATTAAATCAATATTAGGAGCTCTTTTATGTGTCAAATTTCATCTAAAAATGCGCTCCTGAAATTTTAAATCTAAAATTTGAAAATCTAATTGTTTTACTCTTCATTTTTGCGAATAGTAAGCAAATAGATTATTCCAGCTGCAAAATTTTCTTTTTCAGTTGCGCACTCATGAATTTAGATGCGATTCAAACTCAGCTGAATAGAATTATGTAAATATTTCCAAAACCCAGCCAGACATAAATAATTATGCACTAGTAACTACCTGACTGTCTAAATCTCAGCATTTTGGCATGCATATTTACTATCTATTAAATTATCGAGGATTTCTATTTATATTGCCTCTATAATTAAAGGCTATATACAATAAAAATATTAAAAATTTAAAATAGTGCCAATCAAATTTTATTTTAAGTCTATGAATCAATTATATGTAAATATTAATATCAAATTTTTGGAAAATCGCAGTTCCTGATACCTCTTTATATATTATTATTCTCAAATTTATAAACTTTCAAATTTATTTTAAACTTCTTGGATCAATCAATCAACATAATTATTTCTTCTGCTAAAATTTATTTGATAATAATTAGCACTTTTTACTTTTTTTTGGATAATTTTAAATTACAATTTAGATTTTATTCTAGATTTCCATTATAATTTTCCGCAACTTTAATCAACCCAATTTTATTTTTTATAAGAAATCTTCCTTTTCTTAAATAGTTATAAGTAAAGATTATATTTATTATCGATTACCTTCACTTCATACATATTATAAAAAGTAAATGAAGTCTAATGGAGAACTTTGGTGAGAAGAAGAAGTTGAGAGTGTATATAAATTCTTTTTAAAATTATCCATACTCTCGTGCACTACTCCATCAATAAACCTAATAAAAGAATTTCTTATCCCAAGCGAGTATACCTGAAAATTTTTTGCTCCAATACTTACAATAAATATCATATGCTTATTAGTAGTATATTCAGCCACTAAAAAGACTCCTTTACATAAAATAATCGTTATAATTATTTGCCATGAGTTTCACAATCTTCAACTTTTGCAATTATCAAAAACTCAGTTAAATAGCAAAATTTTTGAAGTTCTAGCATTTATCACAAGAGCTGAAATCGAATTTACAATTATAAAAGATAAGTGAATTTTTAATTTTCTTATTTTAATCCACATATGCGAGTGACATGTCCAGCTTGATACCTCAGATCCTTTCTCTCTCCTTACTGATGTTATGATTTTAGTTATACTTTGTAATGTTAGCCGAATTCACATAATGAAAATCTCATTTGAAAGGTTTGTCTATAGAAAAGAGTTGGAAAATACAACAAATCGATTAAATACGATAGCACAAGCTTTATTTGAAGGAATAATTATTTTATCAGAAAATGCCGGAGTAGTATTTTATAACGAAGAAGCTTTGGAATTGCTTAGGACTACAGCAGAAAATTTGAAATCTGATTTAAATTCAATAAAATATATTGATGGCAAAAAAATAGCAAGGTTCAGCGACTCTACAAACTTAATTGATGATATTGTCTATTTACTGAATAACCCTCGGCATGAAGAAACTCTACTTGGGATTTCATTTATTGGAAGTACAAATATTGAGTGAAAAGCAAAAAATATCATCTGAGAAAGCAAGCCTTCATTGTTTATTTCAATCAGAAATGCAAATCAAATTATAGAGCTTGAGAAAAACATTTCAAAAGAAAATTTAAAAAACTTAATTTTAAGATCAGCCTCACATGAACTAAAAACACCTTTAAACTCAATTATTTATTTTACTAGCGAACTTTTAGAAGACAAAACCTTGATAAAAGACGAGATTTTAAAGAAGAAACTTAAAACTGTCTTGGTTTCAGGAAAACTGATGCTTTCTTTAGTTAATGATTTGCTTGACTATTCAAAAATTCTGACTGGAGGGCTAAATATCCAAAAGAAATTGTGTAATATAGAAGAAATCATTATAAATACATGTGACTTGATACAACTTCAAGCTGAAAAAAAGAAATTGTCTGTCATTTATAGATTTGACTCTTTATTACCAAGGAAAGTTTATACAGATCCTCTACGATTTGGTCAAATTTTACTCAATTTAGCAACAAATGCAATTAGGCACACTTTAAAAGGGAAAATTGAAATTTCTTGTAACTTAACACCAAAAAATATGTTGAAATGCTATGTAGAAGACACAGGGATAGGAATTAATGACCAAAAACTTAAAAGAATGACCCAAGAGCTGAATTCTTTTGCAATACCTACAGTTGATTCAACAGGAAAAGGACTAGGAATTCATATATCAAACCTTCTCTGTAAGCAATTAGGCGGAAAAGTTCTGAAAGGAAAATCAACTTTAGGGAAAGGATCAATTTTTTCTTTTAAAATAGATATAAATAACCCAAATAGTTTTCAGCCAATAGACCAAGTAATAAGCGTTGAAGAATGCAATGAAAATGCTATGCCAGAATCTTCACTGTCAATTAATTGTCTAGAGCAATATTCTTTGAACCAGAGCGTTTTAATCGTAGACGATATGGAATTTAATTTAGAAATCCTTGGCTCTATTTTCAAAAATTATGGAGTCGCGTTTTGTGAAGCTATAAATGGAAAAATTGCAATTGAAAAAGTAATTGAGCATGACAAAAAGCAAAGACCTTTTAAAGTAATTATGATGGACTCAAGTATGCCCGAAATGGATGGATGAGAAGCCTCAAAAAATATAAATAAACTTTATAGAGAAGGAAATATTCGTTTTTTGCCTGTTATTATTGGACACTCTGCATATAACTCAGACGAAGACGTTAAACTTTGCTTCGAAAGCGGGATGGCCGAGTTTTTACCTAAGCCATGCTCACCAGAAGAAATTATTCAAACTGTAATTAAATACTTATAAATAGAAATCACATAGTTTTGCTTAGAAAATTAAAGAAAAAAGAAATACTATTAAAGAGGTTTAATGATTGTAGTGGGATAAATTAAAATCATTTAATTGTTTCTCTAGAACTATTTAAATTTTGCTTTGATTTTTTTTTTCTCATTTCCCTTGAAGATGGAAAAAAATAATGGTAAAGTTTTCGTTTTTTTACGGTTTTTATGAAATTTTCAGATAAAACTCAATAATTCAGCCGTTAGTAACAAATATTATATTATTAATTTCACAATAGAGCTTATCTTTTACGAGCACACACACTACTTTCATGCGCTCTTAAAATAAAGAATCTGATAAGCAAATATGAACTTGATGCTGAATAATGAATACACCATTTAACTTGTGATAGAAATAGGAGAAAATTTTTCCAGATAGCTTAAAAAAAGTAACTCTATCACCTAATAAATAGCTGAAATTGCATTATAAAAATAAAAAAATGAAATCTACTGAAGATCTTTGGTGAAAGGAAGAATTTGAAAGTGTTTATAACTTTTTAATTAAAGCATGCATACTTTCATGCATTGCTCCATCATTAAGGCTTATCAAAGAAATCTTTATCCCTAGTGAATTCACCTGAATATGGTTTGCTCCACTAGTCATTGCAAATATCATATGTTTATTAATTGTGCAATTCTCCTCCAAAAACGGTCCATTTTGCAAAATCATCGTTCTGATCCTTGCCAATGAATTTCACAATTTTCAACTCTTCATTTTGTCAGCAAGTCAGTTAAACAGTAAAATTTTTGAAGTTTTAGCTTGGGTTGCTAGAGCTGAGCTTGAATTTACGATTATAAGAAACACGTGAGTTTTTAATTCTCTTATGTTTATTCACTTGTGTGTGTGATATGTAAAATTAGATGCAATAGATCCCTTGACTCTTATTCTTGATATAAACGTTATAGTTTTATTATGCAATATAAGTAGATCTCATATGATGAAAAAATCTTATGAGAGATTTGCTTACAGGAAGGAATTGGAAAACACAACAAACAGATTAAATACAATAACGCAAGCATTATTTGAAGGAATTATCATATTATCAGAAAACGCAAAAGTAGCTTTTTTTAATGGGGAGTCTTTAGAATTACTGAATACAACAGCTGAAAATTTAAAGACTGATTTAGACTCAATAAAATATATTGATGGCAAAAAAATAGCAAGATTCAATGACTCAACAAACTTAATTGATGATATTATCTATTTACTGAATAACCCTCGACTCGAAGAAACTCTACTTGGCATTTCATTTATTGGAAGTACAAACATTGAGTGAAAAGCAAAAAATATAACCTGAGAAGGCAAGCCCTCACTATTTATTTCAATCAGAAATTCAAATCAAATTATTGAGCTTGAGAAAAACATTTCAAAAGAAAATTTAAGAAACTTAATATTAAGGTCAGCTTCACATGAACTAAAAACACCTTTGAATTCTATTATTTATTTTACTAGTGAGCTTTTAAAAGACAAAGCTTTGTCGATTAATGAAAAATCAAAGAAAAAATTGAAGACTGTCCTGATTTCAGGAAAACTGATGCTTTCTTTAATTAATGACTTACTTGACTATTCAAAAATTTTAACTGGTGGGCTGAATATACAGAAAAAAGTTTGTAATATAGAAGAAATCATAATAAACACATGCGATTTAATACAACTTCAAGCAGAAAAAAAGAAAATATCGATTATTTATCGATTGGATCCTTTACTGCCTACTAAAATATATACAGATCCTCTTCGGTTTGGCCAAATTTTACTAAATTTAGTAACTAATGCAATTAGATATACAATAAAAGGGAAAATTGATATATCTTGTGTCCTTACCTCAAAAAATATACTAAAATGCTATGTTGAAGATACAGGAATTGGCATTGATAAAAAAAATTTGAAAAGCATGACTAAAGATTTGAATTCATTAGCAGTCCCTAGCATTGATTCTACAGGGAAAGGTCTTGGGCTACATATATCGAATCTCTTATCAAAACAATTAGGTGGAGAAGTACTAAAAGCAAAATCAAATTTAGGGAGAGGGTCAACTTTTTCTTTTAAAATAGATATAAATAATGCAAATAATCATCAGCGAGTAGATGATAAGCTAAATACCAAAGAATGCAATGAAAACGTCATGCCTGAATTTTCCATTTCAAAACAATATTTTGAATCACGAGCTCTAAACCAAAGCGTTTTAATCGTAGACGATATGGAATTTAATTTAGAAATCCTTGGCTCTATTTTCAAAAATTATGGAGTCGCGTTTTGTGAAGCTATAAATGGAAAAATTGCAATTGAAAAAGTAATTGAGCATGACAAAAAGCAAAGACCTTTTAAAGTAATTATGATGGACTCAAGTATGCCTGAAATGGATGGATGAGAAGCCTCAAAAAATATAAATAAACTTTATAGAGAAGGAAATATTCATTTTTTGCCTGTTATTATTGGACACTCTGCGTATAACTCAGACGAAGACGTTAAACTTTGCTTCGAAAGCGGGATGGCCGAGTTTTTACCTAAGCCATGCTCACCAGAAGAAATTATTCAAACTGTAATTAAATACTTGTAAATAAATAGAAAAAACAAGTAGATTTTGGAATTAAAATTAGATAAAATAAATTATTTCAGGTAAAAGTGCAATTTTGAAAAATTGCCTAAAATGGTAGAAAAACTGGATTTTCAGTCATATTTGAAGTAAAAGAACAAAATGGCTCAAATAACGTACAAAAGAGATTAAATTGCTGATAAAAAGCATTATAATCGTCTACAACAGTTTCTTCTAGCTTTCCCCCCCAAATAATAAGCAAATTCTTGCACATTTTGCTAGGGGTTTTAACATAATATTTTATTTCATCAGAATAGATCGAAATTTGCTCTCTATTAAAGGGTTTTCAGACAATTTAGATCTATTCGTATAAGATTTTTAAATTTTTGTGCTAAAATTTTTCAGACAATTTAGATCTATTCGTGTAAAATTTTAAAAATTTTGCGCTAACCACCCATTAATGCACAAGAATTTTCTTATTATTGAAGGGAGTGAGCTGACCTTACTACTTGATATTTTCACCGATTTTTGATCTTCTGTTTTGGTCTTTTTCGCACTATTTATTGTAATAGTTTTGAATTTTCCCATTTCCACAAAATTTTCGCTCTTAAACCATACCTTTATTACATCTTCAGTGAGTCCTGAGCATTTTCTGAAATTGGCATTTAATTTTCTAGCCAATTTAATATATCTCGTCTGCTGTTTAAATTGAATGCAACCAAGCAAGTGAGGAGCTGGAACATACTTAATTGCAACAATTAAATATGAGATCTTTCCTGCCTCAAATTCATTCTTCAAAAGCTCAATGGTTCCCTCAGTTCGTTTGCAAAAAAAATATCATTTTTATATAGAAATTTAAAAACAATAATCTTATTAAATTTATAATTATATAATTATTCTATCTAAAGGGTTAGTGAAATTATTTATCGTAAACCAGCAATTCCTGGATCTTCCTTTAGTCATGTATGGTATTAAATATCTAATAATTCATAGATGTAAATTGTCGATTATTTAATGTATTTATTAAAAATTGAATGATATAAATTTGAAAGAGTAAAGGCAGGACTAAATATTCTGGAAAAAATCTTTTTTTCAATTATCAGTGTGTACATTTATGCCATATTAAAATAAGCATAATGTTTTGATTAAAATCAATTAATTTATCAAATCGAATCAAAGATCTGCATTTTATAAAAAAGGTATGAAATGCTTAAATCATTTTAATTATAAAGCTTATCTTATTGAAGCTGATATCAGCCTATAGGCTACTTAATCACTCAGAAACTATGCTATTTATGATATATTTATGGATTGCTGAGTTCCGAGCATATATTTTTTGATATAATGATCATAAAAATATTGAAACATATCAGCTAGTTCTTCAAATGATGATCCCAAAGGTCTTAAATAATTAAGGTAGACCTCCATTCCAACTATTCTTTGCCAAAAAAAATTTTTTTAAAAATATTTATTTTAATATAAAATTTATTCTCATTTATATTTTTTAATTTCCATATAAGAAATTTTTATAAATTTTAAGCAACCCCCACGTTATTAATCTCCTCTAAATTATAATCTCGATTATAGCAAAGTTTTAAAGATTTTCCAAGCCCTATCTTTTGTTCCATCGGAGCATTTTTAAATATAGCTTGCAGCTTAGAAAGCAACTTATATTGAGATCTTGCAGTCTTTAAATTAATTTCATGAATCCTATGCCCTATCTGTGTTGTGAGAAGGACTCCATATTTTCTCAAATTGTTTAAAGAGCTTTTGGTTGGCGTATTTTCGCCTCTTGGATCTATATTCTTAACAGTCGATCTAGAAAATTTATCTGGGAATTCGTCAGCACATATTTTTTGGCATTTATGACACAGAAAAACCACACCTTTAGAATAAAAATATAACCGCTTGATTGGGTTTTTGCAACCTACACAATCATCGTTAAACATTTTTACGCCCAAAAAATATTATATTTATTATAAACGAAAGTAAATTTCTAAATATTTATATTATATTTGAATAATTCACCTATCTAAATTTGATTTTTATTAAGATTTTATATTAATTTTTAAGTCCCCCTTTATTTATCAGTTATTTATTAGTCAATAGTTTTAGCTAAATGGTTTTTATAAAAGCTTTCTATAATATCGACAAAAGCTGAATAAGGAAATCCTTTCGGCCTTAAAAATTCGCCTATCTGGGCTAACGTATAATCTCTTTTCGAGCACAACCTTACAGCTTTTGCCAGTAGAAGCCTCTTCTCTTTGGGTGTTGTATTATTCAAGCTTATTATTTTTTTCTGCAATTTTCCTTCTGTCTTCGCTTTTCTCTGTGCTTCATCAGTAAATCTGTGCCCGATCTGCCTTACCAGATGTGTTGTGTATTTTCGCAGCATTGTACATCCAGCCCATTGACTCGAACATTTAGAGGATTTCTTGTCCTTTTTATCATCTGGAGACTTCGCTTCAGTGCCATTTTCAGTCGTTACTTCAGGCTCTTCTTCTAAGTACTCAACATAATTAGAATAATCTGGAAGGATATTCGGCTTTTCAAAGGACTTTTTGCATTTCAAGCACAAGGCTGAAGATTTTTTGCCAAACAAAATAGTCCTTTTTATTAAATCATTGCACCCCTCGCACTCCATATTTTTTATTAATCTCTATTAATATAATTATCATAAAGGTCTTGGAATATATCAGCTAGGTTCTCAAACGGAGGGCCATTCTGTCTTAAATATGCATTAACTTGTTCTAAATTATAGTCGCGGACATAGCAGGTCCTTATCGCTTTCACCAAATGTTCTCTAGTTTTCTGGCTTGCTTTATCATGTAATTCTGCTAGTTTTTCAGCCAATCTGTATTCTTGTCTTGCTTTTCGAACAGCTGCAGCTGTGAATCTGTTGCCGATTTGTTTTGACAAGTGATGGGCATATTTTTTCATTTTGGTAAAAGTGTTGAAGAATCTCTTCTTTTTTTGTTTCCTGAAGTGAGGATACTTTAAGTCTTCTGTTTCAAAGAAAGATTCTTTTGATATGGATTCTGTGGACTCTTGGATAGAAATGACACTTCGACAGTTAGAACAAAGGGAATTAGGATTTTTTGAGTATAAAATTGCACGCTTCACTGGATCACTGCATCCTGCACAATCAGAACTTAACATTTTTAATGCCCCTAAATTTTATTTTTAATCGGTGGCTAATGAATAAGGATTTAGTAAAGCTGAGATGATGCAATAAAGAAATTTGGAAAAAATGCTCAATCATTTGCAAAGGGGATTTAAACTTTAATTAATAAATTAATTATATGCTGATTATTTAATTTTTAAATGATTTATAAAAATTTAAGAAGGTTTTCTTTATTTGGAAGGTTAGTAAACTTTTTGAGGACTAATAATTAATTAGTCTTTTTGCTTCGATTTTATTTTGAATTATAGAGTATTGGTGCAGCTCCAAAACAATTTTATAATTATCCTTAAAATTATAATGCTAGCCCTAATTGCTGCTTAGTCTTGTGTTTTTGGATTTGAAAATGCGAAGCTAATCAAAAATTGCTTACTCCCCCTTTTAAATTGGAACAATATATAGATAAAATTGTGCTTTAACCGCCATTATTTTCAATAGGAAAATTTGATAAGTGAAATACTAATATTTATGGTTTAATTCATAAGTAGAATATTATTTAAATAGTTTTGCACTGAATTGAACTATTCTTCTTCAAAAATATAATTTTCTTTTATTGAAATAGGATTTTTTATTTCAATTTAAGGGGTGGAGTTAGCCTATAATTTTTTGGAAAATTCTTGGAGCAAGCTGAACAAAATAAACTTTATTAACGAAAGATAAAAAATCAATTATATTCTATTGGCTAACTCATATTAAGAATTAGCCTATTGGATATGGCATCCAAAATAGATAATATTATGTGTTGGCATAATTTTGGAAGGGTCTCTCAGGTCAGGGCATTTTCCTCTATGTGGAATCCAAATCTCGCATCTATTCTGGAAACTCCACATGTGGATTTTGTTTTCCACACAAAGAAAATTTTCGGCGTGTAGAGACCTTTACAAAATTATGCCAATTCATAATAATGGTATCAAATTAAAATGAAGGAGAGGGTTGCTTCTCAAAAAAAATTAAAAATGAAGCAATTTATTATAATTTCTCCAAATTACGAGTTAAAATTTTTGGCGTTCCTATTAAGTTGGGCTTCATTCATTCAAATTATCGAACATGCTATATTCTGTATAGATAATATGATTGTCGAATTCAGACAATTTTATATTTAAAAATGCAGTATGCAATATGAAACTAATTTAAGTTATTTATATTTTATGATAAATACCTCAAAATTGTAAACATTATTTTTTCAGGAGTGCTTGGCTTAGTTAAAAAATCTGTCATTCCACAGTTGATCCCTTTTTTTATGTCCTCATCAGAGCTATAAGCAGAGTATCCAATTATATATGGCAAGCTTTCAATTTCTCCTTCCATGAAAAGCTTATTAATTTTCCTTGTCGCATCCCATCCACTGATTCCAGGCATTTCACAATCCATTAAAATTACTTTAAACGGTTGCTTCCTACTATCGCTAGATTTAACTAAATCAATAGCAGTTTCTCCATTCTGAGCTTCAGCATAGCTGATTCCATGTTTTTTCATTATAGAGGCAAGTATTTCTAAATCAAATTCCATATCATCAACAATCAGCACACTTGGAGAAGGATGCTTTATATAAAGTGCAGAAGGATGGCACCATTCAAAATGGCTTCCGCTTATTTCGCTTTGAATTGACTCATATCGCTCACTTCGAGAAGGATGGTCAAGAAGATCTATTAAGAATCAAACTGCAGTGCCTTTGCCTAATATCGATTTAAATTGAAATGATTCACCTCCAAGCTGCTTTACTAATAAATTTGAAATACACATACCAAGGCTGCAGCCTGGACAGTTAAGATGAGGTATATCAAAAGATTTGAAATTGGTTGTCAGCATTTGAATCACTGTATCATTCATGCCAATCCCTGTGTCTTCTACATAGCATTTTAATCTGTTTTCTGAGGATTTTATAAGGCAAATCTCGATTTTTCCAGTAATTGTGAATTTCAAAGAGTTGTTCAATAAGTTCAATATTATTTGGCTAAATCTTAAGGGATCAGTAAAAACCAATTCCGGGAGCTCTGGATCAATTCTATAACAAACTGATAAGTTTTTTTTTGAGGCCTGGGTTTGTATCAAATCGAGAGCATTTTCTATGATTTCTCGAATGTTACAGTAAGACTTGTGTAAAGCAAAAAAGCCAGCGATGATTTTAGAGTAATCTAATAAATCATTTATCATTGAAATCATCATTTTTGCAGAAACTGATATAATTTTCAGCTTATGCCTTGCTTCACTTTCCAAGTGTTCTTGGCTGCCAAGTATGTCATCGGTAAAATGGATAATGGAATTCATTGGAGTTCTCAGTTCATGAGAAACAGTTCTCAATAAAAGAGTCTTCATTTTATCATTTGCTAGGTTCCTTTCAAGCTCTATTATTTGGCTTGCATCTCTAATCAAAACAAAAAGCGCCAGCTTCTTTTCCCATTCAATAAGCGTTGCTTTTCATTCCAAGTTTACATTTCCACTCAGTGAGATTCCAAGAGTAACATCTTGACCCTGAGGGTGTTCAATTAAATAGCAAATGTCTTCAATAAGATTATTAGACTCGCTTAAATTTGACATTTTCTTTCCTTTCATGTATACAAAGTGCTCATATGATATTTTTGTTAAATGATGATAACCTACATTGACAAGTCCCATTATTAGCCAGATTGAGGCATATGGTATGAATTCAACTAAGCCTGCAGGTCCATTATCGCCAAAAATCACGCCGTGAAAATGCCACAGATAAAGCTGCTTTAAAACCAAAAAATTGAGAACTCATTTATTCTTTATGATAAAAAACTCAAAAAAGAAGCAAACTAAGGTAGCAGTCAGCTCAAAAATTCCAGCCTGAGGCATTTGATCAATTTTTGAATGATAGAGCAAAAATGCGTTGAAGTACTCTGCAACAAAAAATGAAACCATAACCTTCAATATAGTGGGCTTATCTTGTGTGAGCTTGATGATATAGTAAACTATCATATGCATTAATGTTTGAGGGATTGCAACTGTCAGAAAAAACTCCTTTGGGGAAAATAGGCTCGAAACAGCTTTTAGAACAGTTGATAAAAAGAAGCTAAAACCACAGAATTTTACTAGAAGCTTATAGACATCTTCAATTTGTTCTTCAGCCCATAGTGATCTTGTGTCTTTCATTGATAATTTTATTATTTATAATAATAATAAGCAGCTGCCAATAGTTTAGATTCTATTGCAAATATTTCATATAATGAGATATTAATGTAAAAAGAAGAATTATGGAAAAATTAAAAGAAGCTATAGGTGAGGCATTTTTGTGAGAATTTAATATTTATAATAATAGGGTGCAGGTCTAATAATCGCGCACTTTTTAATAGTGGGCATTTCATCGGAGAAAATTTTTAAATAATGTGCCATTCGGCCGAAATTTAACGGTTTTTCTGTCAAATGCCTCTCAAAAATAATTCAAATAAATTATTCCCTAGGAAATGTCGCATTATCAGAATTCATGGTTATTTGACATGGAGCCATAATAATGTGCTAAGTTTTAGATTGTTAATTGATTTCTGATATCATAAAAGATTATCCAAGTAGATTGTGATGGGATTTTGCATAATTATTTGTTAAAAGTTTTTTTAAGAACAGAAGATCAAAGAGCTATGCATTCATTTTGCAAGTATTATACTGGTTCCCTGACACTTTATATAAGCATATAATTCAATTTAAGAAGAATAGCTATTTTGGCTTGCTTATCTTTGATTATTTAGCATTTAGTTTTATATATAAAATATTTAAGAATTAATATATCATGATAATTTTACACCATATTGTCCAGTTCTTTTTTAATTACGCCTTTTTCTTATGAGCTCTTTAATTCCTCCAAAGCACATTTCCAGTCTAAAAATTAGTAATCATTTTATATTTTTATGATTATTTTAAATTATTTTAATTAAATTTGCTGTATAAATTAACAGTCTATGTAGATTATAATAATTAAAATGACATCCGATCTAATAGGAAATCGATTTCAAGTAATATCAAAAGCTGGAGAAGGACAATTTGGCAGGGTCTTTCTATGTACGGACTTGAAGACCCAAAATAAATGTGCAGTAAAAATTCCATCAGTTTCAAATAAAAATAGCTTTCCTCAGTTACTGAATGAAGGCAAAATTTTAAAGGCAATACAAGGAGGAATTGGAATTCCAAAATTTATTAAATTTAGTAATCTTCGCTAATTTAATTTAATACAAGGCAATTATTTACTCCTCATTTTTTGTATTTGAAAGAAAATCTTTTTCAAATTTAAAAGAGGCTAATTGTTTAATATAGCATTTTTAAAAGTAAAAAAATATAAATGAAGACTAAATGCTTTAATTTATTTTTTTGTGATAAATTAATTAAAGTTTATTCGATTCGGGTTAAAAACTGTTTAAGAAATGTTCTAATTGCGCCTCTTTTATTAAATTAGATCAAAACTAAATTTATAAAATTTACCAAAGGGAGAGAGTTAGCTAAATAATGGCTTGAAATTAATTTTATTTTGCACTCGTTTTTGTACATCAAAATTAGTTAAATAAAGCATAATAAATGAAGACGAACTATTTTTAGCGATGCAGCATTTAGGCTCTAATTTAGAAGAAAAGTTTATAGTGAACTACACTGACTGGCACGGGATGCTTTTGGCTCAGTTTCGAGCCAAAAGCACCCCATGCCAGTCAGTGTAGTTAACTATATAAAGTGCAATAGAAAATTCTCACTAGCGACTGTGCTCACCATAGGTGAGCAACTATTAGACAGGCTTGAATATATCCATCGCAAAGGATACATTCATAGAGACCTAAAGCCACGCCAACTCTTATTAGGTAATGGCTCTGATTCCTCTACTCTCTATGTGATTGATTATGGCCTTTCAAAACAATATATCCAGAAATCAATGAATTTGCATATCCCTTATACAGAAGGCTGAAATAAAATGATCAAGTCGGTGGAAGATGAACTCCGAGGCACATTCCCTATGGAGCAGGTAGGGCCAGTCTCAATGAAGCTGAAAATAGTGCCTCTATCATTTTTTGAAGTAGGCCTTCGGGTTTAAGGATACCTTCCCCTGAAGGCCTTCCCTGTCTCTGCCAGATAGGCTAGAGAGGTTTTACCTCCCATTTAACCTTTGCTTATAAGGACTAAGGGGCATCCGCAAGAAGTAGCTCTAGCCTAGGGAGCTAATCAGGTGGGTTTACATCAGATAGGAAGGCTAGTGTTCTATCCTTATAACGACTTAACTTATACAGAAGGCAGACCCTTTGAAGGCACCGCATATTTTGCGTCTCTGAATACTCATATGGGAATTCAGCAAAGCCGTCGAGATGATCTAGAAGCCTACATATATATGCTCGCATATTTTTTGAATGGTACTTTACCATGGATTGCTGCAGAAAAAACAAGCAAAATAACTGAACGACAAATCAAGCTTATGAAAAGCAGACTTTCTTCAACTGGTCTGTTTTTAGACAAGCCAGAAGAGTTTAACAATATATTTAAATATGTCAGAAACTTAGAATTTGATGCAGAACCTGACTATGATTATATTAGAACCCTTTTGAATTCTATAAGGATAAAAAATAACTTACTACCCTTTGATTAGCGAGCAAAAAAACTTTGCTTGCTAAGCAAGGTGGATATTTTTTAAAATATATATAAATAGAATTGTTTATGGATATTAAAAAAATCTAAATTTGGGGTTAGATTTATTAAAATATATTTTATGCAAAAAGGAATTAAATTTTTTGCTCGTGAAACAAAGGAATTAAAAATCAGCAAATAACGATAATTTTTTCAAATGGTCTTTCTTCTACAAGGGGGGAATTAGCAGGAATGGGCTTTGACTTTAAACCACCCCGCAAAAAACGAGTCCTAAAAACTTCTAGTGTAAAGCTTCCAAAGTCCCATAAAGTTCTGGCTGAGGTATCAAAAAGCTTTATCGTTGTGGAAGAGGACAAAGAAAGCTCAAAGAGCAACGGAAAAGGAAATTCCTCTTATGAAACCTATCCTCTGACTCCTAGAAAGAATTTTGAAGGAAAATGCATATGGATTGACGATGACTCAACACTGTGCTTACTTTCCCACCCAGAAATCAAAGATAGAAGCATTTTAGTCAGCAACAAAGAAAAAAGTCCAGAAATTAATAAAGAAAATTTAGTTGAGGCTGAAACAGTCCCAGTCTATAAAGAAGAAATTATGATTGACTCGGAAAGAGATAAAGCAAGTTGCAGAGTTTTTTAAAAACTAAATTGAGACAATAATACACAATAAATTGTTTAAACTAAATGATTATTAATTTATCCATTTATGCTAGCAATTTTCATATTTAAATGAAGCTAGCAGTTTTATTGATATTTTTGGGGGTTGCATCTGCATTGAACTGCAATGCTTACTCCCCTTTCTGGAGTGAACAAAATTTTTTGTTTACTCAAGGAGAGGGTCAATTTTATAGCTTTCTATAATTTTATTGTATTTTTTTTTAGAAATTTATAAAAAAAAATTTCAGGATCATGGGTTTTTGGCCAAAAATAGGAACTTTTCAATTGTTTTGCTCATTCACAGAGGGAGAAAAGTTATGGAATTGCTGCAACAGTAGACGCTAGTGTGTATTCCTGCAACAATATTACAGTGACTCGCGCAAATTATCAAATTCTCAAAGATATTACTAAATGCGAAACACATGTGACACCTTATAATATATGTATATGTCCAGCTGATTATCAAGGAAAAACTTGTCAAGGTAAAAGACAGACTTCTTGTGTTCTCTCAATGATTTCGCCTTCCAGCGGAGATTGCGATACAAGCGGAAATTATAACAGCAATTTAAAAGGGTTCCCTGTATGTATGAAGGTCACTATGGACTCCGTCGCTTCAATTGTAATCCAAGCCAATTGTACAACAAAAACGGCTGGACCGTCAATAGATTCTTATTACTTGTCAATGACTGATATAAATGAAACGCAAGTTATAAAAAACTACACCTTTAAATATGAAGTCAATGACGGCAAAGTTTACTCCTCTGGACCACTCAGTGCATCAGTCTCTACTAAATTTATAGACTATAACCGCCCCACAAGCTATAACGGAACTTTACAGGAAATAGTTGGTGCTTCAGCAGTTTTGGGCTCCCAGACTTTGCTCAGCTATAATCTAAACAGGGTTCCAAAAAACTGCTTAAATAGCGGAAGACTCTATTATCAAGTCTGGTATGACGGCAGTTTAAATTTTGTTACAAGCACTATCCTTAGAAGCACAATGGATGATCAGAACTGATCCCCTCCTGCATGAAAATCAAAATTCCCAACTGGACTAGTTATTGGGCTAACAGTTGGGCTGTCAGCTGCTCTTATTATTGCAATCCTTATAGGGCGATACTACTATATTCAGTATAAGTTGAAGAAAGAAAACTAAGGTATAATTAAGTATAAATAAATGATAATTGACATATAATTCCAAGATGGTTGATGAGCCTCACAAGAAAAAGAAATCTGAAGAGCAGCCTTTCAGGTCACCAATTGCTGATCCATTTGCAGAGAGTTCTCTTTCTAAAAAAATAGTGAAGGTTACGTCAAAGTGTAAGAGTTATTGTAGTTTCGGAGGGAGGATTGGCAAAGAGAGGAGTCAAAGAAGTAGTAAAGGCACTAAAGAAAAAGAAGAGAGGGATCGTAATTTTGGCAGGAGACATTACACCTATTGAACTGGTGGCTCACATTCCTGTCATTTGTGAGAATAATGGAAATCCTTATATTTATGTGAAAACCAAGGATTACTTGGGAACTGCTTCACTGAGTAAAAGGCCGACCACAGTTTTCATGCTTTCGAGACCTCCAAAGGCTCACGATCTGAAGGATGCCTATGATGAACTTTATGAGGAAATTTCAAACATAAACCCATATTTACAAGACAAATAAGTTAATTATGTTTGATCGTTGAATTAGTAAGTCATAATCATAAATTTTCTTAGGCTTATTTTATGCATTTATATGATGTTTCTAATTAAAATTCATTAAAGTTGCAAAATCTTTGTGTGGTAAAAAAGAAAAAAGATATGAGCTGGCTACTTAAAACTTATTGATATGATATTTAAATGATAGAAGTAAATAATTGAATATGAACAAAAAAATCAAACAAAGCCACGCTAAAGGCTTAAATCTTGCAAGAGCCCTTTCAAATCCAGAGATTTATACAAATGTTCAGCCATCTGCTTCAAAACGCAGCCCTTCGACATGAAGTATTGATACAATTACCCCAGATACAACCCCCACGTCTAAAGGCCCAACTAAGCCAGTCCACATCTTGAATTTACAAATCCCAGTCAACATTTCGCCTACTTCAAAGTGCAAAAGCACTCGAACCCCAAAAGTTTGCGAGCTTAACTTCCATAAATCAAACAGGATTTTGCAAAAAGAAACCACGACAACCCGTAATAAAGTAACTTCTGAGTATTCGAAAACGGAAGAAATTCTGAGGGTCAAAGAACAAAATTCTATGTTACAAAAAACAATTCTAGAGCTGATGGGAGAAATTGAAAAAACTAAAAAAGAAAGCGAAAAAATGAAGGATGATGAAAAAAGGATGAAGGAATTAACGTCACTGATTAAAAAAATTGCAAAAGAAAATGAAGAATTGAAAAAGAAAGGGAAAATAGTTGGAAAAACTAAAAGACATATTGAAGAGATGATGGATGGGTTTAAAGAGCAGTTTTCTAAATATTTGTCAGCAAGGGAAAGTGAAGGATAAGTAAACTAATAGTGTAGATTTGAAAATAGTGATGTGTATCGTAATAAATTTAATTATGGCTGTGAGACTCTACAGTCTGACTTTTCCTAAAAATTTTAAACTCTTGTAGCTTCTAATCTATTTATCATAGGATTAAATTGGATTATTATTAAGCAGTGTTCATTCTAAAATGGTAAAGATATTTATATTTTACTTATTATCATTATTATACATTACTATTGCCTAAGTTTGGCAAATATATTAATAAAATATTTTATTAACATTAACTCATTTTAGCTTTTTTCCTCAGTCGATTTTCCAAGTGATATCGAGGGTCAGAATCTCCTTTAATTTGATAATGTGATTTCAGAGTAAAAATTCATATATATAGAAATCCCAGAAAAGAATACGCAGCAATAATAGTGTCAAACAAATATGGATATTGCTGTGGCGGTTCTATAAACTCCATCAAGTGAATTAGGATTATTCCTATATACCACAGCGTCAAATTGTGTCCTTTGCGGTCTTGGAAATAATTCAACGTTTTAATTACGTCTCCAGCCATAATATAAAAAACCATTGATAAGCAAAAATATGCAAACCTCAGCCCATCCTTGATCATAAGTGGGTACATACTAAAAGTTCCCAGTAAAACGTAAAATCTAAATAATTCCGGTGTGTCTATTACTGATAACAAGGAAAATGGTAGCAGAGGAATTAATATCGTTTTCTCATGCACATGGTAAGAAAACAAGAAAAACGATAAAGAAACCCCTGAAAGTGCATGCAAAAAGCTCAAATTAATTGGTTTTCTTTTGAATAAAAGCACCAAAAATGGAAGTGATGCAGCAAGCGTAAGCAATGCTGAGAGCATTGCAAGTAAATTTGTCGGGAACAATTCCTTGTATTTAATAAAAATAGATGAGACGCATCAAAAAGTGGCCACTTTGTCTTCAAATATTCCTCTTTGTAATGGGAATATCCTTGAAATAACTTGTGTAATATCGCTAATTGACCCTATCCAAGGTATCCAGATGATAATTGTAGTAATAATTCCACAGCCAATAATATTGGATAAAGTCAAAATAATTTCGGCTGCCATAATTCCCCATCTAATATTCGGTTGAAATCTCATACTCTGGTGCCTTGCTCGTTTCCATGCTTTAGCCATCCAAATACAGCCAAAAGGAAGCACATAATAAAGCGCCATTTGTTTGAAATTCAAAGCAAGAGCAAGTACTACAGCAGAAAGTCCTAAATAATCATAATAAACCAATACAACAGCCCAAAGCGAAAATCCTAGCATGATGCTGTTGTATTGAAAGTGCCCATTATCAATCAATAATAATGGAGGTGATAAAAATATAAGAATGATTGCTGAGTACTTTATTCCTCCTGAAAGATATCGATAATACATTTTAAAGAACATAAATACTGCAGGAATAAATGCAAATAAATCTCCTAATATCACGCTTAGCCTCATAAATAGCTTGTGACTTGATGTTAAATATCCTCTAGATTCTCCTAAAACCATGGACTCAGGTTCTATCATGGAGCTGACGGATCCTAAAAACCATGAATGCCAGGCAGTTAAAGGAGGATAATCAAGTCCCCAGTACTCCAAGTCATTCTCCGCTGAATCTTTATACCACTTATATATCTAATTTTATATAAGTTTAATTTAGCTTAGCAGGCAATCTTATGAGAGCTACCTTCAAAGCCGCAATAGGCGACTTCGTGCCTTTTTCCCTGCCATCAAGCTGCTTTTAAGCTGAATTCGATCAGATGCAGGACACCAGTCTTAAAATTTGGGCGTAAAAGTCTCTTTTTTGAGCTCAGGATATTCACTCCCCCTTAAAATTGGAACAAAAAGGTCCTAGCCTCCACTTTCTGGGTGAGTTGCGCACTTATGGAAATTAAAACTTCCTACGTAATGATTCCCTCTCGTGCAAAGCCTGTGGGCTCTTGCATCCCTTGCTTATAAATTCACCAAATGAGACGTCATAATTAAATCTGCCAGAGAAGCACTTTCAATCCGTAGACTATTACTTTAATCAACGCCATTTTAAATTATTACCCACTTATCAGGCGACAAGTTCGTCGTTATTTCCATCCAATGCCTCTGTGCTTCATAATCTCCATATTTAGGATGATTATCATATCCAGAATGGGGCTGTGCAATCATCGCAACTCTTACCAGCAAAGCCAGCAAGACCACAATAATGATGCTCCATTTCCAGTACATTGAAAATATTTCAGCCAAAAGTGATTTTCCACGAGCTTTATATGAGTGATGGGCGTAATGCACAAGTTTTTCTATGACTGAAGATAAATTTATGACCGGAATTCAGGATTCTCCGAGGACATGCTCAAGGATGTTTTCGTCGTCGTAAAATTCAGTGAGGGAAGTTAATTTGTCGGAGACTGAAAGAGATACTTTGGGGGATTGGAATGGGTAGCGCTCTGGCAGATGAATGAAAAATTTTACTGGGAAGGTTTGAACTTCAGTAACTATTTCTAAGCTTCTGCTGCAGTCGGGGAAATCGAGGGTGTAGTTTGTGGGTTCCAGCTTTTTTAAGAGCTCTCTTTCTTTTTGAAGCCTTGTTTCGCGGATGTCATTCTTATCTTCCATTTTATATTTCTAATATAACACTCTTATGCTTTAGACTAGTTAAAGAAGCAGAGATCAGTAAATGTGTATTAAAATAGTGAGAAATTAAGGGAAATGATTAAAATAGATTTAGAAGAGGATTGATTTATATTTGAAAATATAAAAATGAGAGATAGCAAAATTTTATAGTCTTTAATATAAGAGGCATAAATATCTAATTATTTCCATATACGCTTAAAATTATAGTATGATATTTAGAACCAATTTATTTCTTTCATTTAGAATTAAATGGGTTGTTGTAGCCATTTTTAAGTTTTTCACACATCATTTTTAAGAAAAGGTAATTTATTATGTAGTAAATGAAAAGATAAGAGTAATGTTATTTGATCTCGAATTTTGAAGGTTCAATAATGGAAGAATGCAAGGATCCTGTAAAAAAAGCCAACTGTTTTGGAAAATACAATAAATATATGCGCTGATAGATAAATTTGATAAATATTTAGTAATTATAAAGCGATTACTATAAAAATAAGTGATGAAGAAATTGCAATAATTAATTTATATTTATTTATTATACTATTAGGCTGATTGGCAATCTGCTATGAGAGGATACAAAAACCCATTATTGATTATCATGCCACTCTACATTATTTAAGCAATATTGTTTGTTATTTCTAGTATGCAATTTATTATGCAATCCTATTTTGAGCTTGCTGCTTAAATTTACTTAGTTTTGATAGAATTAAGATTTTTATATGTACTTTTTACTCTGTTTTGCTGTTTTAAAACACCCACTACTTTATTCTCTGCTGTTTAGAAAAATTCAAAAAGTATCATTTTTCCTTTTTTTTCATACCAAAACTACAGTCATTTTTATAGGTTTTAAAAGGGGATTATAAAAAAATACAGTGTGCTTTATTTAACCCCGTTGTTGTGTGGCTGTTGTGCACATCAAGATTACTATGATGAAATCAAAGAACTCGACGAAGATCTTGTTGACCTCAAATCAATCCCCAAAGCAGCCACTTCAAGCATTCCCACGCCTTCACCCCCTTCTAGTGATGACATTATTCGAGACTATCTTTCAGGGTTTTATCAATCCATGCACACCGAGCAAAAATCCTTTTCCGCCTTTATCCATTCTTTTATCGAATACCTAGGAAACGCAGGACAATATATTCATGAAATTGGGATAAATACCAAAATCAACCAAATGAGGGATTCTCAAGGCACAGATAAGATGAAAAAATACATGGAGTTAAGAATGGAAGAAACTGATATGGAAAAACGGTTAATTGAGCAGCTTGTGCAGGTTGCTGAAAGATTGCATGAAATTGACAATGAAAAGGCAGAACAATTAAAAGACGAGTTCAACTTACTTTTTACCCTTGTGGATGAGACCAATCCATTGAAATCTCAAATTGAGGTATTAAAAGCTAAAGAAGATGAGTATTTATCACAAAAAGGAATGAATTTAGCACAGACTGCTCTGAGGTTTGTGAATCGAATTAAATTAGAAAGAGAATTAACATCAATTAAAATTCAACTTGTGGAAAAAAGTCAAGGGACTGGTGTTGATTTGAATAAATTAAGGGAAATTGAAGAAGTCGTGGAAAAAGCTTTTAAGCTGAGTATAAATAATCTTCAAAAGGTATCTGAAGAAATCACTGGAAAAGAGTACGATAAATTAGAGGGAATTAGAAAAAAGATTTCAGAAACATATGGATTTAATGCTGAAGGTATAATGGAGTCAATTAAGCATAAAACTGAAGCTATTTTTAAAATGCAAGCAGAGGTAAGCAATTATTTGAATGAAAATTCGGTTGAAAATAAAATTAAATCGTTAGAAAGAAAAGTGAAAGAGATTGTTGAAAATTTGGAAAATAAAAGAAGAGTGTATCTGCCTGTTGTCCAAAAAGCTTTTGGAATTAATGAAAAATACAGCCCTTTAAGTTTTAATGAAGAAGAGCTCAAGTATAATAGAGGAGGATATAAATCGGTTTCTGATTTGCATATAAAAATAACTGAGTTATTGGTAGCAGTTTCTGATCAAGATAATTATTTGGTTAAAACTGTCGAAGGAATCAATGAATTTCATGATAAATTTTCTAATGTTGATGCTCAGCTCCAGGATTTAATAAAGCAAGAGATAAGGGATTTATCCAATACGTTTAAGTTTGCCTTTATTAGACTTATAGGGAAGTCCACTGTAATCCTGAAGGACTATTCTCACCCTTAATGTCCACTTTGCCCTGCTCGCCATTCATAACGACCTTGTGAAGAGTTCTACTGCTGGACAAGGGCACTTGCTCCCAGTAGTTGGATGAGTTGTGTCATCTGTCGTAAGTCACCAACCATGGAAAATTCAGAATGTCGAATTTTCTGTTCGGCTCTCAACCAAGATTGAAATCTGAAGCCCAGGAGCACTTCTGATTTCACTTGGGGAAACAACCCGATTGGGTTGAATGAATAACACCACTGGAAAATCTTCTCCAACTCTCTCGGCTCCATTCCCCTATGAGGCAAAAACTTGGCATTTGAGTAGTCGCTAGCCCGACATTGCGCTCTGCCAAGCCAAGAAAAATCTGGCCGGGTACACATTCCCGAGAGCCATCATCCCTTCCTCAATTCACTACGCACCCTATGAAATATCAGCTACAGAAGTCAAGAGGGTGGGTTAGTTCGCCACGCCATTTTAATGTATATTGGCTTATCCAATACAATTTCACTAGAAAATTCTGAGCTACGAGAAAATTTGGAACGAATTAAAACACTAGCCAGTGAGCTGGAAATTGACCCTTCTATGAATATCATTCAATACACATTACAAATATCTGAAAGAATGAAAATCATGGACGATATTGATACATTAAGAAAACACGCCAGAGACATCTATAGCAGAGATAGCATTAAATTAAAGAGCTCATTCAACGAAATGCTTATCTACCTCTAATAAGAAAAACTATTGAAAAGCAAATATTTGAAAATAAAAACTATATATATAATATTTTTATTATAATTAATGAAATTTCTAGCTAATTCTCTCCAATTTTAAAGCTTTGAATTTTCAACTTAAATTTTATAGATTAAATTAATCTACTTTCAATTTTTGAATTTTTAAGGTTATATATATAAATTAACTTCCTCTGCAGACTCACGGAGGGGGAGTCAACGAAATGGAGTCCAAAAAATCATTAGCTGAAGCAGAACAGGAGCAGCTCCAAACCAAGATAAAAGCGTTAGAACACAGTGCAGAAAAAGATAAAGAATTAATTAACAAGTACACCCAGATGAACTCTGATCAAGAGCTAGAAATCACAAAACTAAAAAATTCTTTATCTACTCTCACTGTTGAAAATCAAGAATTCACTGACAAAATATCCAGTCTCGAAGAAGAAAATGAGTCTTTAGAAAAAAATGAAAAAAAAATGAAGAAAAATCTGAGAGAAAAAGAAAACGAAGTTAGAGAAGCTAGCGAGAAAATAGCAGTTTTGGAAGAGGAGGTTGGAAAATTAAAAGTAGAAATACACAGTCTGAAAGAAGCTTTGGACAAAAAAGAAAGCGAAGTTGAGGTTATAGAATAAGCTTTAATAATTATCAAGTATTTATTATATTAATTCGATTATATCATGCTCTTAAGCTATATTATACACAATCCAGTTTTATATGACCTGAAAATTAATATAATGGAACAAAAAAGTCACAAATGGATATTCAAAGTACTTGCCAAGAATAATGCCCACATTTTTCTTCTTGATACTTTCTTTTTGAAAACAGGAACCCTTGAGCTTCTAATTTACACAGATAACGACGGGTACGTCCGCCAAAAACTTCCACGAGACCTCCAGTATCGAAATCTAGGCGATCTCTTAATTAGCCTTAAAAAAGAGTTCAAGGCTTTCCAAAAAGTCTCAAACATCGGAAAATACGCTTGCATTATCGTTGGCCGAAACTTAAAAGTAAAATTAGACCTTTCAGGTCTAAAAGAATACCGAAACCGAGTGCAGACTTTCCCACTGTTACAGTATCTCCAAAAAATAAAACCACACAACCGAAGCGATGAAGGCTGGTACACTTTGACTTTGACATATACAGAAAAGACCTATAAAAGTGAGTTTTTATGAAAAGAAATAGATAAAGAAATACCCAGCACCCAAAGATTGGTGTTCGAGATGGCTAAAAACATTGCCACAGTTATTATAAGTGTTGTAGAAAAAGAAGAAGGGGATCGAAAAAGAGTAGTAAAATTAGAGATGAACTTGACCCTTGACGATTTAGGAGTATTATGGCTTATGAGTTGTAACTGCACGTTAAACCTAAAAGAAGAAATGATGGGAAATGAAACTATTGGAAACGAAAATATGCAAATTTTTGATATCAGATCGAGGAATAGGAAAAAAACACTGTATAAGGATAGAAATGAAGACTCAGATAAACCAAAAATCATAAGAAGTGATTCGCCTATTAGAATTAAAAGCCCAAATAACTCTAATAATGGACCTACTCCGCGGCCAAGTGAAGAAGGACCCCCAAGTCATCCTCCTTTAAACAGAACTGTATCAATAGCAGCACATCGACTTTCGTTCAACCAAGAACAAAAATCTATAAATGGAGGTATGTCTCCTGAGCATCGTAGAGCCAATAGGTCTAAAACCACCCAATTTGCCCCATTTTCGTTCCATGCTTTTAATTACAAATTTTTCCGTGACGCAGATCCATGTAAAAATAGCAACGCATCTTTAACAGAAGAAAGCTCGATGGAAGAAGATGAAGACTCCTTATCAGATGGCAGCATAAATGTCCATTTTTTGGAAATTTTGGGCCGTGAAAGATGCAAAATTAAATGCAGAGTGGGAAATCCTTTAAGAAATCCAACCCCAGGGGTCGAAGAACTGAAACAAGAAATGAGGCATATAAGGGAAAGAATAAAAAGCTATGAAGAAGAAAGTGCTGCAAGAAGGAATATGATTAGACGCAATTCGAGATGCATAAGAAAAAACTCATGAATTGCAAGTAAAAAAATCAAGCCAAATCAGTTTTATGATAATATTAAGAGGTCTGATACAAAACCATATTTGCAAACAATGAAAACGGAAGATGGGCTGCTATCACCTTTATCAAGTATAGATTCTCCAGCTTCTCCTTTGAAATTAAAAAAAATTGCATCAAAAAGCATTGAAAATGGGAAGTCTAAAACACCTAAAAGTATGCTGAGTCATAATACACAGCCTTTATTAAATAAATTACAATGAAAAGCAAATACAGCCACACATAGCCCTGCAAATTTTAAAGACACCAAAAAAATCGGAAGCCCAAATCCTTCTCTTCCAGCATTAACTCCGCATTAAATTGGAAAAAAAAATCTGTTCCACTGAAAAGGGTTATTTTTTTATTATAAATTTTTTGAAAATTTTAAAAAAAAAAAAAAAAATTGAAGTTTAATTTATATTATAAAGAATCAATTAAAAATCGAACAATTTAATGTGAATATTGTTTAAATTGTATTCTACTTGAGCTTTTTCAATCAAATTAGGTTAACTAAATTTATAAAAATTTATTTTTTACTTATAAAATTTCCTATTAAAAAAAAATTGTTCCAATTTGAAGGGGCTCCAAAAATAAAAATTTTAACTATTTTTTGTTCCAATTTAAAAGAGAGGGAGAGTAAGTAGAATAACTTCACATGTTTTACAAGTCCCAAAGAACAGAAAGCTTGATTTTAACCCCCTATCAACCTACCACTCCAGATTCCGTTCTCTTCAAACATAGCAATCACTTGTATAGAGATCTAATTAATTAAATGATAATTTAGACAATAAAATCAAACTATTTGTTTATTAACCAATTTAATTCTAATCATAATATTGGTTAATATAAGATATGATTTATCCAGTAATATTGATTACTTATTTTCCAAGGTTTCTTCTCACCTTAATTATATGCAAATTTTATATATAATTGATAATGCGATTTTCTTAATCTCAAATATCCTAGTATCTTTATTTTTAATTAGGAACTTTTAAAAGCTTACTCCCTTTATGATTAGCAATAAAATCAATGTTTTTGAAAACTAAAACGATGTATTTTTAAGTCACGACTTCAATTAATGGCTTTATAAAGAAAAAATCCAGCTTGTATTCTTTATGATTTAAATTATGATATTATATGTGGAAAATGTGGGTGAATGAAAGATGATGAAATTCATCTTCTGAATGACTGCTCAGTTTACGATGCTATTAGAGTAAAATTTTTATTGAAATTAGTAATGTAGTTAAAAAGAAAAATAGTGAAAAATCAGCGTCGAAATAAAGTAAATAAATAAAATCAGAATTTTTCTTTTCAAACATTATAAATCTAAAAACTATCAAGGAAATAATTTTAATACAACCCTTATTTAATAAGAGTAAAAAATTCTTGTTTACTCCTTAAAGGGAGCTAGGAACAAGATGATCATCACAGTGAAGCTTCAATTTCAATGAAGCCACAAACTCAGCCCCACTCTTTTCATCAAACAGCTCTGGATAATACTTTCGAAACAGCACTTCTAGCATCTCTAGTTCTTGATTTGAACCAATATCTTCAACCTGATTCTGGCTCTTATACTCAGAGATGTGTACATTAAGATCCCCTATCAGCTGCACAACTCTGTGGCTTGCCCCATTTTTTTCCATTAAAGCTCTAAAAGTCTCTCTTCTTTCTTCTAAACTTTTATCGTAAGGTGATGGGATTGAAAGATAGTCAAATTCTCTTCCATTGTTCAAGCGAAAGACTTCTTTTAAGTATCATAGATTGTATTTATCAAGATTCCATGTAGTTGCTAACCCTATAATAGCTCCAGTTGAGAAGAGTAAAGCCTGCCTAAAAATTTGCATCTTTATAATAAAGATTGTTGGAATATTTTAATTGCTAGGAATAATGATAAATGAAGGCTAAACGGAACATGACGCCTGATATGAAAAGGGAAAAAAGCTTAAGATTTACACCAATTTTCCATAAGCATTTCAATGAGAGGTCTGAAAGTGTAAAAGAAGTAAAGCAAAGAAGCACTGTCTATGAGAGATTTGCAAATAGGTCACCTTCACCAACTGGAGGGTCAGAAGAAATTTTACATTTAAAAGCAGAAAGATTAGAAGCATTCAGAGATTTGTTTTCTTATGAAGAAATTTATGATCATAAGTTTTCAATGAGAGCAAGGATTAAAAAAACATTAGACCAGTATAGAGAAATTTCGAAAAGAATGAAAGAAATCAGTAGCCAAATTGAAGAGGAGAAAGAGTTGCTGGGGTTGATTGAAAATGAGCTTAGTATCCCTTTAGAAAGCTTTCAAGTTGAGCCAAAAAAATTTAATGAAATACAAAGAGATTTGAATGAAGAAAATAAGCGAAATTCAGAGGATTCAATGAGAGAAGGCAAAAAAATATGGGATCTTGAAGATTTGAATGAGGATTATTAAGAACAAGATGAGGATGTAACTATGAACAGGAATAAATGTATAAATTTAAAGAATAGTAAGATTTAGCATAAGGTAATAATTAGCAAGATATTTTATAGTAAATTATGTAAGCAGAGGATGCGATACAGGCTTAAAATCATAAAATACGTTGACGTCGCCACTTTGAATCAGTCCTAGCTCCATGAGGCTTGCAGTTAGTGGTGCTGGGTCATCAGGTCGATATTTATGGAGAGAAATAGAAATATCCCTTGCTGCACCTCCATACAGCTCATTCCTTCCCTCTGTGAACGAGCAAACCCATTGAAAAATCTCTAAGTTTACTCCTCCATTTAAATTATATAAATAATTGATCTATTTCAAATTCAAAAAAAATTATATAATATTGTTTTAAAATTGATTTATAAAATTTATCTATCCAAAGCGCTAAATTGTTTAAATAGCGTTCGATTTTTACTCTTCTGTTTTAAAATAGTGCAATTTAAGAATTTTGGCGACATTAAATTGACTATCAAAGCTGTTTACATAGAAATTAAAAAGCTACTAATTAGTTAAAATTAAAAATGGTTAACTTACCCAAAAAATAAAAATTTTATCAATATATTATTCCAATTCAAAAGGGGAGTTAGCCAAAATCTTATCAGCCGTGAGCGAGCAAAAAATTTTCAAGTATGGATGTCTTATATAAAAATATTTGAAATATAAGTCGCAATTATAATAACAAAATCTAGCTAATGATATTAAATTTGAACAACTTGTGCTCAAACGCATAAATTTTACAAAATTAAATTAATATTTTGCATTAAATTTTTGCAGATTGAATTTTGTTTTTATTTCAAAAAAGATTAACCTCCTTTATGATTGAGCAAAAATATTTTGCTCGATCACGGAAGGGGGATCAGCGATTTTATCATGGATTGTCATGACTTTTGTATTTATAGGAACTTCAAGCTGGAAATCCATGGGATAGCCAAGTGGATTCACCAGTTTCATATTAAGTCTTACAACAGGAAGTGCATTTCTGGGTATTTCTGGTACATCTGGTACATCATAAAGATTCGGCAACAACTCTCGCTTCTTCTTTCCTAACTTTTTCTTTTTCCCTTTTTTTAACTTCTTGCCTGCCATTTTAAATTATCTAAATTATCATTTAGAATATGTTTTATTACAGAAAGTACTTATTTATGCACCCTGCTTTTCTCCGTAAAAATTTTATATTAGATAGAAATTGGTTTTTAAATGTTGAAAAACTTTTTCCTCTATTGTCGACATTTTCCATTCATCTCTTTATAAGTAATGATTATAGTGTCTTATTAAACACATAAATTCGGTTTTTATTTGAAAAATTAATAAATTATTGCTCCCCATCCTATATGAGAATGAATATGATATAGTAGCATAACCTAGCCGTGATAAAATTTTTAATTCATTTTTGGGTTGAGTTTGACAGAAGCGGTGCTTTTAGCTGAAAATTTGAAGAAATTGTACTAAAAAAATTAAAAATTGTACGTTATTTATAGCAAAAAATTCAAGAGTTTTTGGAAAGAGCTGAAAAAATAAGAGAAAAATTGACTCCTTAAGGGGTGATAAATAAATTATTATTAATATAATTTTTTAATGTCGATTTAAAATATATTAACTGAAAATATTAAAATTCGTACTCTAAACTCTAACAACAAACAAAATTTTTCTCGTCCGCGGAAGATTTTTTTTTCCGAATTTAAAAAGTATCCCGCTTTGCGAAAATAAAATATACTAATTTTAAAATTAGAAATTGACCTAAAAGTTTATATAAACATTTTTTAAATACTGTTTCAGCTAATTTCTTGAATAAATTATAAAGAAAATAATTAAATTTAAAAACATTGTGCTAAATATGCAATTGTTTAATTTTTAATATATTTTTTTTAAAAAAACTAACCTCTTTGTTCGAATTAAAAAGAGGAGCAGTTAGATTCAACATTTTATTAACGTTCAGATATCTCAATAAAGAATTATTGAGTTGACGACATCTTTTCATAACTTTTCCTATAATATGTCTAACAATCGCTTAGAGCTAGGACATACATATATGTATGCAGAATCGAATAAAGACCAATACTTATCTCCCTATTCATCTCGAAGTCGTTCACCGAATTCTGGCATTTCTAGCTTAAATTCAAAACGAATAAGAGCTAATTCTTTATTAGGAGAATTTGAAGAACTTGAAATAAAGTTCTCCCAATATGAAATGATTAAAGTTCCTGAATTTAGAATTGAAAAAGAAGATTTAAATAAAGAAATAAAAAAAATCACTAATTTTTTGGCAACACCTTCTCCAGAATCTGGAAATAAAGATATTAGTCTTGCTCTTCCCTCTGCGAGTGAATAAAAAACAATGGAAAATCTCTTTTTTTAGAGAAAAAAGCTCCGTTAATGAAATATTTTTTTTATAAAAATATCTTGATATATAAATGATAATTATTATATAATCCAAGCCTCCTTTGGTTCGGGCAATGCTGACATCTTTCAAAATCACAGGGGTGCTGGTTTTACCAATATTTGTTTTAAAAATTACTTCCCTTCTGAAATCAAAAGAAATCGGCATAGTCCGTGCCAAAAGGCGGCTCGGGCTATAATGAAATTTTTAAAATATAAATTTAACAAATCAAATTAATTTTTATATTCCATTTTAATTAATTGGTAATAAAAGCCCTCCAGCCCTCTCACTGAGTTAGAATAAAAAGGGATTTATTATTAATTATAATAAATAATCCCATCAAACAGTATAAAATATAGTTTTAACGAAGTGAATATATTTATTTCTAAATGTATACTTCCAACACCATTTATAAAAGCTAGATTCAGAAGCCCTACTTTTAGCATTAACTGTATTAACTTAGGGCCTGGCGATTATTCGCCAGATCAAAAGAAAACAATTTCAGGAGGATATTTCCCTCTTCAGCCCAGGTTTGATGAATCTATTGAAGACAAAGTTGAATGGTTTTTAAGTAAAAGAAGGAAAAAGAATTTAAGTTTTTCGAATAAAATTTTTAAGTTTAAGTTTATTGAATTTCTTATGCATATTGAATGCCTTATAAGTTTCATTCTTGAGGATCAGCTACGATAGCAGCTCTGAAAAACGGTAGATGAACCGGCCTAACCATCGAACCGTTAAAGTTATCAAGCCCTTTCAGACTTCTCTAGTCTGTGCCAATCTCAGCACAGACCACTTCTCTTCAAGCCAAAGCTCTCAAGAAGTTAAACTTCTCTCACTGAGCTCGGTTTATGAGTCAGTCCTGGTGGATCAGGACTAGGGACCCATCCTTAACTGCCATTTTAAATATTGTGCGAATAAAATAAGTGAAAGAAATCAAGATATGACTCAGTATTTGCCAGAAAAAAAATCAAAAATACATTGTGAAAAAGTGCATAAGCACAATATTACACTTGAAACTGTACGAGAGGCAAAGAGGAGGATAGATAAGATGAATAGAGAAGCAAAAGAAGGCAAATTAAAATATAAAATGAAAAGATTTATGTTTAATGAAAAAAGGACAGAATTTAAACAGATATATATATCATGGATTGCTCTGGCATCTATTGTTGGTCTACATACTATTTTCTATTATAAAACTGAAGGAAGAAAGGTAAACAATATTTAGAGAAGGCGAGGTCAAGTAAGAAAACAAATTTCATTTTTTTGTTTAATATCAAGAATTTTAGGAAAACTAAAGTTATCCTTACTCCTTATCCTTGATTGAATTACTTCATTTAAAATTTCCTAAGAATTGGGAAAATTGACCCCATCTTTGAATACATACCTAGCATAATTAAATATGGCGTCTCAACTTGGGTCTGGCCTCTCGGCCAGACAGTTTCGAGCCCTATTTAATTATATCCGGCAAGGTTTTGCCATACCAGAGACGGACAGCAACGACAGGTAAGCAATTCTGGCAGTGTGCAGAGCCTGTCCCTAGTCCTATTTCAGGCATGGATTTGAACACACAGTAGTTGGAAAAGGGTGGCCCAGCAATGTCCTCAGGACCAATCGGGCACTTCACTAGCGTGAAACCGAGAGTTACGCCTCAGGCTCTGTGATTTCCCTTTTTGCCGAGAGTCGGCCAGAAAATCCATTTTTTGGATTTTCCAGCAGACAACTCACGTCCTCAAGCAGAATAGCTCAGGCATGAGCCGCCTTAGTTGGCAACACTGCCCCGGAAGCATATTGTGTGATCAAGGCAAGTCGACCCAGAGGCTTGCGGACTCTATGCGGAAGAAGGCAGCGGGAAGTTCTGGGATGGGCAACCCCGTAAAGGGCGTTAAACGTATAAATTTAATAGAATAGAATAACATACCTAGCAAAAATTATCTATGATAATAATTAATATAAGATATTACAGGTACAATCACTCCCAGGAATTTCTAGCAAATTTACTAATATATTGTATAACCTATCTCTTATCGATAGCCTATAAATTTTTATATGGGATTTTTATAATAGCACATATGTGAGTAAAAAAAAATATCATAATTTTCTTTTCAGAAATTAGTTTAGCCTATCTTTGATCAAGTAACATGAGCTCTTCGACCAAGGGTGGGAATTTAGTGAAGAATAGAAGAATAAATCTTATCTGAAAATTAAGCAAGAATGCTATGAGGATAAAAAAATGGGTAAATAACCGAAGGTCTTTACTCTTAAAAATTTTGGATACTGAAATCTTTAAAAGATCGAATAATCAAAATACTCTTCTTCAACTTATGGCTCAATATTGAAAATATAAAAGAACATTGCAAATAGGTTTAAAAAGGATAATTGAAATAAAAAGGGCAAGATTTCATGCATTAGGTTTGCTATGAGTAAAAATTCAATCAAATCTAATAAAAAAATACCGAAAATCTGGAAAAATAAAAGTTGATAAGCCAGAAAAATTGATACCTCAAAAAGTAATTGAAGAAAATCTTCAAAAATACTTTCAAGCTCAAGCAAAATCATATTTAGAAAAATATAATAAATATAAAGCAGAGTGCCGGGAAGCAGACGAATATAAAGAAAGGGAATTAAAGGAAATCGAATTTGATGCTTTACTTTCAGAGAATATTATTTATGAGATAACCGAATGTATAAGCCCTCAAGCGCCTACTTTTGTTTTGTACTCGAATGAAAATTTGTTGAAAAAACGTGTGATGCAAGTTATCCATTTCTATGCAGTAAGTAAAATCCAAGACGATTTCCCATCTCCAAAAGGCAAAAATAGATTCCAAAGAAGATCAGTTCAAATATATCCTGAAGAATATGCCAGATTCCAAAATAAAATAAGATATAAAGATGAAACTGATAGAAGGCGACCTTCTAATTTTGCATTATAAATTTTGAATTATTTAAATTTTTAATTATTTTATTTGCTTAGCTTAATTCATCAATGTTCGAAGGCTTTGTGAATCGGATTTCAACAAATTTGCATTATCTGATACACAAATTTTGTCCATGACCAAATTCAACATGTTGAACCGTTAAAGGATGGAGATTACAGGCGTAGGAATTTTGTTTCACAATTAGAAAGATTTTTTCAACATGTTGAACCCGAAAAAAAATTGTAATCCAGTGTATCTTCATTAAATCTAGTTAATTACCTTGCTTTTAAAAGCATAAATTAAAGAATTAAATTAATAGTTCTTTCAAATTTCTTCAAATAACAGTTTTAAAAAAATTGTTGACTATTTCTTCATAAGAATTAAGTAATTATTAATCTTTTTTAATAGATTATATTAAACTCTACATTTTAATAACGTTGAGATAGCGCATCCGATTATTAGAAATTTGGCAACATCTTTTCATTACTTCTTCTATAAATGTCCAAAAATCACTTGGACCTGGAGCATTTATATGTGTATACAGAATCTGATAAGGATCAATACTTATCAGCCTATTTATCTTGCTGTCGTTCATCGAATTCTGGGACTTCTAACTTAAATTCGAAGCGTATAAGAAATAATTCTTTATTAGGGGAATTTGAAGAGCTTGAATTAAAGTTTTCCCAATATGATATGCTAAAAGTTCCTGAATTCAAGTTTGAAAAAGAAGATTTAATTAAAGAAAAAACAAAAATTACAAATCTTTTAGGAACACCGTCACCTAGGTCTGGAAATAAAGAAATAAGTTTTAGATTAAAAAGGGAAGTATTTCCAATACCATATAAAAAAGCTAAATTTAGAGGTCCTGCTTTTAGGATTAACTTGGGACCTGGAGATTATTCACCAAGTCAAAAGCAAACAATTTCAGGAGGATATTTCCCTATTGAGTCTAGATTTGAAGAATCTTTTGAAGGCAAAGTTGAATGGTTTTTAAGTAAGAGAAGGAGGAGGAATTTAAGCTTTTCAAATAAAATAAGCGAAAGAAACCAAGACATGACTCAATATTTACCTGAGAAAAAGTCAAAAATACATTGCGAAAAGGCAAATAAGCACAATATTACACTTGAAACTGTAAAAGAAGCAAAGAAGAGGATAGACAAGATAAATAGAGAAACAAAAGAAAACAGATTGAAGTATAAAATGCAAAGATTCATGTTCAATGAAAAAAGGGCAGAATTTAAACAGATTTATACATCATGGATTATTCTATCATCAATTATTGGGCTGCATACTATTATATACTATAAAACAGAAGGAAAGAAGGTAACCAATATTTAGAGAAGACGAGCTAGAGTAAAAAAACAAATTTCATTTCTTTATTTAATATCAAGAATTTTAGGAAAACTAAAGCTATGTTTATTGAAGAATAGAAGACTTAATCTTATGTGAAAATTAAGCAAAAATGTTATGAGAATAAAAAAATGGGTAAACAACAGAAGGTCTTTACACTTGAAAATTTTGAATAATGAAATCTTTAAGAGGAAAAAGAACCAAAATACCTTTCTCACGCTTATGACTCAATATTGAAAATATAAAAAAGCATTGCAAGTAGGCCTGAACAGTATTATTGATATTAAGAAAGCAAGATTTCATGCCTTGATGCTATTATGAGTAAAAATTCAATCAAATCTAATAAAAAAATACCGAAAAAACGGAAAAATAAAAGTCGATAGGCCCGAAAAATTAATGCCGCAAAAAGTGATTGAAGAAAATCTTCAAAAATACTATCGAAACCAAGCAAAATTATATATTGAAAAATTTAATAAATATAAAGCTAAATGCCGAGAAATTGATGAGTATAAAGAAAGAGAATTGAAAGAAATTGAATTTGATGCCTTACTCTCAGAAAATATTATTGAGGAGCCAACTGAATGAGTCTACCCTCAAGTTCCGACTTTTATTTTATACTCGAATGAAAATTTGTTAAAAAAGCGTGTCGTGCAAGTTATTCATTTCTATGCCATAAACAAAATTCAAGACGATTGCCCTTCTCCGAAAAACATTAACCGATTGCAAAGAAGATCTATTCAAATATTCCCCGAAGAGTATGCCAGATTTCAAAATAAAATAAAGCATAAAGACACGTCTGAAAGAAGACGTCCTTCTAATTTCGCATAATAAATTTTGAATTATTTATTAAAATTCTTGGACTTTTTAATATTTTATTTCTAATCTGGATAAAACATAAAATTAATTTATCATTCTAATCAAGGGTAGGTACAGGCCAATCATCGCATTCAACGACCATTTTTTTATGCTCATTAATTTGAAACTCATGAAGAGAAGTCTGCATCAACCTAAATTGATAAATTTCTTGTCTATGTATTAACCTTTTCAGGAAGAGGTACTGATCGCTAGCCATAAATTTTGGATAAAAATATGACTTTAATTTCTCAATCACAACACTTTCAGCCTTATTAAATAAATTAGCATCAGTAAAATCACCATCTTCTATTTCAAGGTAAATCTCAGCAGGGATATGAACCACTTTATTTTCCAAATACTCAGAAAATATGTTCTCAGCTAGCTGTGAGCTTCCATTATTTGCAAATAGCCTACACTTTAAATAAAACTCAAGCAAGCTTAACCCTGATCCTGTATTTATTGACCCGAAGCTTTTGGTTGTGGTGAGTTCTTCAAGCTTGAGAAACTCTTCAAAAGCTTCCAAAGTCGCTGCATTTTGTAAAGTTAGCTCTAATGAATTTAACATTTCTATAGTAAGAGGCTCAAATAAAGGCTTATTGAAATATGAACAAATAATTGGTACTAAAGATGATCTTAGCATAAGTAAAATATTTCTTAAAATATAAGGAATTCCCCAAACTATTTGATAAGATCTAATATAGATAGAAAATGCTGGTGTCAAAAATCATATGAAACCAACATATATAAGCTCATTACTCATGTTAAAGTCATCGCTTACGTCTTTTATTAGATAAATCCCAATTATCAAAACCAGCTGCTCGGTGAAGCATGCCATGATATAAACGCAGTCTGGAATATCTATACCATTATTAGAAGGCCTACTTAGATTTAACGGGAAAATTTCACTTGCATTTGGCCAAAATAAAAATACAACAGATATAAGTATTATAGGAATCATGCAAAAACAGAGCATTTTGACAAGTCATCTTTGTCGAGTCCTATGAATATTCTCTTTAAACATGTTGTTTTGGATTTCTCAATCTTTATCTAAGTGGAATACAAAATATAATCTGTAGCATCTCAAGATATAAGGAAAAAATACAAGATAATGAGAAATAAGGGCTGAATCTTGATAGAGACGATTTTCGTAATAGTCAAGATCGTATAAATTAAAGTCTTTTGGGGTTAGGATAGGAATTGCAAGTAATGTTTCTATTAGGTTTGACCAGTGTGTAATGTATATGAGTACTGGAGATCTTGATTTTATATTTCTTTCGGTCCTTCGTTTATACAGCATTACTCCTATTGCAAAATAGACTACGAAAAGAAATGCTATGATGATATATAATAGCATTTATAAACAATCAGGTCTTAAGAATCTTTATTATATAGACGATAAAATGTGATAGAGAATAAATTAAGAAATGAAATTGTGACTATTTTAGAAAAAATTAGGAATCATGAAAATAGTTTGTCAATTGCTAAAATTGATTAATGATTTCTAAATTTGGCTTAATTTGGTACCCATGCATAATTAAAATTATAAATAAATCAATTTTTGTCTAAATATAATAAATATTATGGATTTGATTCCAAAAATCTAATCTTAAGGATAAAACCATAAATAAAAAACATTAAGAAGTCTGTTATGTTATTTTAAAAGACTAGATGGCTTTTGTGTTTATTTAGTTTCGTTCATGAAATCATCTTTCAAGACATTCCATTTTGGTGGCTCAACTGCGTATTTAATAATCTTCCTTGTATGCTCATTTTCAGACAAGCCTTTAATTCTTCTTTTAAATCTCTCAGCTAAATAGCCCATTACATTGCTTTCTCGAATTCTCTTTTTCTTTCTTCACAGCATGGCCGATTTTTCTAGAAGTGATTTGATTGAATAGCTTGACGACTAAATTATTTTTTACCTCCAGCAAGTGCAACTTGCTTTAATTGTTTTTCTTTTACAACATCTGTGATTTTATTATAGTTAAGTTTTTCTTCTTTTTCCTTTTCAGCTTTCTGTGCCTGTTTTTGTTTGTATTCACGGTTTTGCTCAGCAATTTTATTTTCAGGAGTTTTGTATTTATAGAGAATTGCTGGCTGGTTTTCTGGAATTTTTGCATTTAAGATCTTTGAAAAACTGTGGAAAAATGAAGCAGGCTCTTTGTTTTCTTCTGGCTGCTCATTTTGATCTTCTTCTAGAAGCTCGTTTTGGTCTTCTTCTGTCTTTTCACTTTGATCTTCTTCTTGGTATTCCTCCACTTGTTTTACCATAGTTTTAATAATAAAATTAAGTAAACTCAAAAATTCTATTATTTGCAAGCTGACTTTCCTTTTAAATTGGAGCCAAAATTATGCTCCAATTTAAATCGGGGTCATTTTTTAAAAAATTTAAATAAATCCACTTTGCAAGGAGTAAGCAAAATTGTATCTTATTTATTAGCAAAAGGCTGATAGATTAATTAAGAAGAAGGAATATCTAAATTTTCATCAACATTGTTGGGAAGTGTTACTTTGAGTTTTGTGTCTTCAGCCATAAGTCTTTGTATAGTCATTCTTGCATATGGATGCCCACTCCAGCATCTTCTTGCCAATCCATTTGCTACATCCCAATTGAGCATCAATTTAGCTCTTGTGTCAGCATCTTCACTTCCATCAAGCACCATTCCAAATCCACAGTTCATGACTTCACCCCATCCGACACCTCCTCCATTATGTAAAGCAACCCAAGTTGCTCCTCTAAAAGAATTTCCAATAACAGTCTGCACGGCCATATCGGCGGTAAACTTCGACCCATCAGTTATATTTGAGGTTTCTCTATAAGGGGAATCTGCACCTGATACATCATGATGATCTCTTGACAATACTACAGGGCCTGAAATTCTCCCTTCTCTAATAGCTTGATTGAATTTTAGTGCAATTTCAACTCTTCCCAAAGCATCTGAATATAAAATTCTGGCTTGTGAGCCTACTACTAACTTATTTTCTTCAGCTCTCTGAATCCATTTTAAGTTGTCTTCATATTGCTGCTTAGATTCTTCTGGGCAATCAGGCAAATTCATTAAAGTTGTAATAACTTCAGCTGCAATGGTATCAGTTAATGCTAATTAAGCTCTTGGTCCTCACAGGATCGGGGATTTTCATCCCTAAATACTCATCGTCCCCGATGAACCCCGGCAGACAGCTTTTCCAGCGGCTGCAGGCATGAGATTCGCACTACTGATCTTGGCTTCCATGACTCTTGGAGCCTATTGGGTCAATCATCTGGGCCGAAACTCCCAGTCTCTCGTTAGACAAATGTCACCTCTTGAGTACTGTTCGAGGGCATTATATCATACACTTGGGGCCGCTGCTGATCTTTCGGTTTCCAATGGCTGTTCCGGAGATACAACATACTGATCTCTTTCTGCCCTTTTTTCTTCACACTGGGCCGTTGCCTGCTGTGATGAAGAAATAGGGTCAGAGAGACGGATGGTCTGTAAGCGCCATTTATATGTATATAATGGTATCAGTAGTTCTAAGGTCATTTGGGTCACAGCTGCTACAGATCCATCTAAACGGGCCAAATCCTAAAGAAAAAATATTCCCCATGATATCTTCAACATATGATGGATATTTAAATTTTGTATTATCAGCTGGATTCCAAACATCAGCTTGTGCCCTACTGGCCTCTAACAAAAACGAATTCCCATAATCCCAGAATTTCATTCCTCTTTCAGTTAACTTATTGATCGCAACCACTTGTCTTCTCAAACTTTCTTGAACTAGTTCTTTGAACCTTTCTGGGTCATTAGCGATCATTTCTTTGGCTTCGCTATAAGAAACTTGTGCAGGGTAGTATCCTCCACAATAAGGATTATGTAAACTAGTTTGGTCAGAGCCAAGCTCCACAAGCATTTCTTCTTCATTTGCTAAGCCTTCCCATAGGTCAACAACATTTCCTAAAAATGCAATGCTTGTGACTTCTCTATTAGCTTTTGCAGCCTTGATTCTAGCAATAGTCTCAGGAACTGTTCTTGTCATTTCTTTAATCCAGCCTTGGTTTAATCTTTTAAGTAAAGCAGTTTCATCAACTTCTGCTACAACTGTAATACACCCACAAATCGTCCCAGCTTTAGGCTGAGCGCCACTCATTCCTCCTAATCCAGAAGTGACAAAAACTTTTCCAGTCAAATCGTTGCTTTGTAAATAAAGTCTTGAAGCATTTAATACAGTCAAAGCTGTGCCATGGACGATTCCTTGTGGGCCGATATAGCAGTAGCTTCCAGCTGTCATTTGTCCATACATAGTAAATCCCATTGCGTAAAATTTTTCATATAGCTCTTTTGAGGAATAATTAAACACAACTTGGCCATTTGTGATCACGACACGTGGGGCATCCTTATGACTGGGGAATAAGCCCATAGGATGGCCACTATACATGACTAGGGTTTGGTCTTCTTCCATTTCGGAGAGATATTTCATGACTAAATGGAATTGAGCCCAGTTGGAAAAGACTGAACCATTTCCACCATATGTGATAAGCTCATGAGGGAACTGGGCGACTTTGGGGTCAAGGTTATTCATAATCATCATTTGGATTGCACGAGCTTGTGGGATTTTGGCTGGGTAATAGTGAATAGGATAGGCTTGCATTGGGTAGTCAAGAGGACGAAGTTTTGGCATCCAGATATGCCCACGGATTCGAAGCTCTTCTGCAAATTCTTGTGCGAGTTGTTGATGGAGAGATTTTGGAAAATAACGTAAAGCGTTTTTAATAGCTTGCTTGAACTCGGAAGGAGTCAGATTTGGCCTGCGATTTGGAGCGTGGGGGACCGAGGTGTCTAGAATGAAAGACTGAGATAAAGAGTCTAAAGGAATCCCATCAGCTAATTTACTGAGATTAGGAACTTCAGACATTTATTGTTCACATGAATGATGAAAATTTCATTAATAGCCACTTTGGTATAAGACCTCAGAAAGAAGAGAGACCTAATAGCTTAATAATATAATAGAATTAAAAATTATATAAATTATCTAGAAGTTATTAGCTTGATTTTAGCACTTGCTGGCTGATTTGCCACTACTGTGGTATTGCACACAGGATTATTAATTAAATACTTTAGTGCTTCTTTCATAGGCCATCTTTGCACATGATCATAAGTAAGCATTCGTCTTAAAACAGTTTGGATTGAAAAGTTAAGAAAGCGAGTCTTGCTTTCAACAAACTGTTTTAAGTCTTCACTATCATAATTACTCAATCCTAAAATGTCGCAATCTGGATAATAACATGTCAAGAACGTGAGTCCAAGAGCATACACATCTTCTTTTTCGAAGTTGATATGGATTTTATGGTCATTATACCAAGCCTTTTTTTGAGGACTAATCATATAATCTGACCCTTTAAAAAAATTCTCCCTATTGCCATAGACAGTCCCTCTTTCAAAATATCCGATCTTAATGTGGCCGTTGCTCGAAAATATTTTTTTTGGGCTTAAATTGCCATGGGTGATGCCTCTTTCATGCAGCAAGCTCATGCATGTAAGTGATTCTATCATAAATGACTGAAATAAATAGATATCATTTTGAAACTCATCTGAAAAATTTGCTACATTGCTTCCTCACCACTGGAAATGAATCAAATTTCTGCCTAAGTTAGTTAAAGGCTTAATTACTAGGTCTGGGCAAATTCTATGTGCCCTAAAATTAATAGTGTCATCATAATACATACCATTACGCATCATTTCCCTGGAAATCATTTTTCCATCGTAAGAGTCCCAAACTGTCCATTTCTTGCTCTCTTTTTGCTCATCTGTCATAATATAATTAATTTTCGGCATTGAGTGTCACCTTTCTTTTAAGGTGAATATACTTTATTATTCATGTTTAGAAACATTTTTATCATTTAATAGTATGGGCTTATATCAATTATGCAATGAAAATTATTAAATTTTAGTTATCTATCAATTTCGCTTTTCAGTTATTGCTAATTACATGAGCTGCAAAATATAATTAAATGTAGCAAAATGAATATTATTATAATTTAAATTATAATGATAAAACTAACTATTTAACCTAAATATTTAAGTTTTAAAAATCAGTAATTTCTTATAATAAATCATTAAATTAATCTCTTTATTGAATTTTTGATTGGTTCTAGCATAAAGTTTGCGTTTATTGCAATATATTTTTGCACCTTTTTTTCTAAAAGTAGTTTTACATTTAAATAGTTATTATTGTACGCTGCTTATGCTTATTATTAGATAATACAATTTTACCTTGAAACTGTTCTCTCATTCAAGCTCTTGTTTGCTTCTACAGCGATTACAGTTGTTTCCCAATCTTGGAATACTTCTTCCATAGAGCATCTATTGTGATCATGAAATGTTAGCATTTTCCTAAAAAGATTTCTGATCCGTAAATCAAGTTTCCGAATCTTTCTTTCAACAAAATTTTCCATAGCTCCTTCACTTAAACTTCCCAGCTTTGAAATCGGGAAATTAGGCTTTATGCATTTCAATAGTATAAGGCCAAGATTTTTTACATCTATTTTTTTATTCAAGATAAGATTCTTTTGTTCTGCATCTGAGATAAGGGGTAGTGAACTAATCGATGAAATAGGATCAAGGAATTCACTCTTTGAGCCTTTTTCAAAATATGCAATCTTGAATTTCGACTTATAATAAAAGATCTTCTTTTTACTTAGATTTCCGTGAGTAATGCCTCGACTATGCATTTCGGCCATGCACTTAAGAGTTTGATACGTAAGACGATAAAATAAAGGAAGGTTTGTTGGAAAATCTTCATCAAGATCTGCTAAGCTCTTTCCCGATCATTGAAAATGGATATATTTGGGATTGATACCTCTGGACGGTTTTGCAACGCCTTCCGGACAACACGAATATGCTGCAAAATTAATTTCATCATCTTCATTATTCGAGTATTTATATTTCATTTTCCTAGATAGCATTTTCCCAGAGGCTTTATATCACACCAGCCATGTCACGCCACTTTTTGCATTTGTGAAAGCATGCGATAGTTTTGGCTTTTTTCTGTCACTCATTTCTGAAGTAGGTGAATTTTATTATTTTACTGAAATCAGCTTATTGCCATTAAATAAGCCAATTAATCTTTAAAAGCATGCATAATTTAAAATTTTTTAAAATTATTTTAGAAAATAAATTTACCAATTTAAACGCTTACAAATCAATAAATAAATCGAAAAAAGTGATATATAAACTATTTAAATTATCGGCGATTAGCTATCTCAGAAAAGAAATCTTCAAATTCATCTCTTTGCTGATCTGCAGAAACAGGCTGAGCGTAATTCTGAGGATAAGGCTGTGGAGGATAGCCTTGGTTTAATTGAGGATTAAACCCTGGTTGCATAATGGGCTGATTAGGATAATTTGGAGGGTATCCAATTGGTACCTGAGCTTGCATCTGAGGGTTATACCCAGGAGTCTGATATAAAGGCTGGACTTGAGGAGGCTGCACTGGCTGAGCAAAAATAGAGTTCAAGTCATACAGATTTCCTTGATCTCTACTAGGTGTAGGTGTATAGTCTTCAGGCTCATCAAGCAATAAATCCGGCAAAGGTGCAAGTTTTCTTCCATGCTGAGGTGGCTCTTCAATTCTTGGAATTTCTGGAGGAGGTATCCTCGCCTCCACATTTACCTCAACTTTTCTTTGCTCAGGTCTTATTTCCTCAGGTCTTCTTCCCCACACATATTTTTCTAGCTTATCCAAAGGATTTTTTTCTTGAATTTCCAAGAAATCTTCTCCAAGATCTAATAAATTATCCTCATCTTTTGCTTTTCCTTTTAGTATATCAACGACTTCTTTATTTGTTCCTCCTCTTTTTAACACTCCTACAGCATTTTTAAAGGTATCCATTTTAGAATTGATATAGTCCATGATTCCTAATAGCTCAATTGTGTCTCTTTCATCTGTGCTATTTGAAGCTTTATATGAGATAACCCAAATTAATTTTTTCTGGGCTGACCTACAGTTCCTTACTACTTCTTTTACGCTTGGCTCTTGAAGATCTCTGACGTCTCTTGCTCTTGCAATCATGTCTTCGAGTAAAGGTAAATTCCTATTCAGCGAATCAATGTCGCTTTGCATTAATTTTGGCTCTGGGTCTTCGTCAAGGCCTCGGGCAGGAGCTCTTGATCTTGGCGGCGATCTTCGAGGTAGGACGTCTCTTTCTGATGATCCTTTAACTTGTTGCTCCATATCAGCCAGTTCAAATGCAGGGGAAGGGTCTCCTTCGAATTTTATCATGAACCTTTCATTAGGATCTCGGGTTGGGAACTTTAAGCCTTCTTTTCGAAGTTCTCTATAGATTTTCATAAATGCGGGATATGTGTCTTCATGCATCATAAAGGTATCAGCCCATAGCTGAATCAAACATAAAACGCGGTCTTCAATTTTGCGTCAGCCAGGGTTTTTGTAAAGCCCAGCCATTTTCTCGACTAAGTTGAGCTTTCTTCGGAGCCTTTTGAGAAGCTGACTGAAACTAGGAATGAATTCACGATTGCTTAGATATCGATGAAAGTGGCTATTGCAGTTTTTTACACAGGTTTCGAGCAGAGATAGAGTAAGTTCAATGGTTTTGAGGTCGGTGGATCTGAAGAGCTGTTTAAAATATTCAATTCCTTCTAAACAACTAACCTTCCTCCGTGATTTAGCAAAGCAATTCGAAAAATCCTATTTTTTGAGAAAAAACTACCCTCGCAAATGAGCAATATATAAATGTATTTATTATAAAGAAATCTCTAATTAATTCTGTTGAATTTTAAACAGCTTGCATTCTAAACATAAATTTTTGGGAAATAAATTAGTTTTTAATTCCCAATTTTACGAACTAAGAATTTTTAAATTTTAAAAAAAAATTAATCCTAACTCCCCCCCTCCGTGAGTGAACAAAAAAATTTTGTTCACTCACGGAGGGGGTTAATTTTTTTTTTTAAAAAAATTTTATATATAAATTTTATAAAAAATATTGTTTTTCGAAATTTAAAAAAATCCTAATTCGCAAAAATTGGAAAGCAAATATTAATTTAATTTATAAAATTTATTTTTTAAAAAGCAATTCGTTTAAAATTAAACAGAATTAGCTCTAGATTTCATTATACTCATTATCACTTATATATCAAAATTTTTTCCCATAAAAAATTTTTCTATTAAAACAATTTTTGTTCAGTCACGGAGGGTGGGTTTTGGGCAAAAAATAGGGATTTTTCTAATGGTTTTGTTCACTCACGGAGGGGGGGAGTAAGCAAGCGATCAATACTTTGCTCACTCATGGAGAGAGAGTAAGTAAAAGTTACTAGCGGCGGCGAGAATTCATTCGGTCTGCGATTTCAATATTGAGACCGTAGTCTGGCTCTTTCAAGTCATCAGAGGTTGCTTTTTCAAAGAGATCGATTAATTTGGGTCCGTGCTGTGACATATATATAATCCCTGGTTTAATTGAATTAACAAATTGCAAGTGAAATGGTAAATGCTTTGAATAAAATACGTGAATTAATAAGAAAATGCAAAATATCGACTATCAAGAAAAGTTCTATTGCGCTAATTGTGTAAAGATAAAGTCTTACTATTAGTAATGAGATTCAAAAGCGATAATTAGCTCAAAAATCTCAATTTAAATTTATTTATACAGTTTAAGTAGAGTGAAAACAAATTAAAATTATCAAGAAATTAAACTTAAATTTAATAAATAAAACAGCAATTATATTTTTATTATGAAATATTGATTTTAATTATTACTGTTTAAGGTGTAAAGTGCTTTTCAAGACCCTTCCAGCACTCCAAATAGTTGATATCAAGTCTTTCTCTTTCTAACGCCCAGCTTGGGATTCTCACTCCCCCACTTTAAATTGAAACAAAATGTATGTAAAATTCCCATTTCTTGGGCAAATTAATCCCTTTAAATTGGAGCAAAATTTTATTTTTAAAAGTCTAAAATTTTTAAGGTAAAAAAATACTAATTTAGACCAACTTATGGAATTAGCACAAATAGAATGCTATTTAAATAGTTGAAAAACTTTAATTCATTATATTTTTATATTAATTATGATAAAAAAATTAAAATCTCACAATTTATATTTTTAAAAATTTTTATCAAAAAATTAACCCCCTTTAAGTTGACTTTTTTGTTCTAATTCAAAGGTGGGGAGTCAGCATAAACATAGTCTCAAACATAAACTGCAAGTTGTTATCAGGGTACCTGACAGGCTCCAGTTTTGAAGTTGATCCTTTCTCAAACACTTTTGCTTCTGGGCCATGGCCAGACATGCAACTATGAAGCGATGCTCCTCCTGGTACAAATCCATCAGTTTTTGCGTCATAAGTCCCCACAATGTTTCCCATGAACTCAGTCATCGTATTACGATGGTAATAAGGCGGTCTAAAGGTGTGTTCAGCAACCATCCATCTTGGTGGGAAAATTACAAAGTCCAAAACAGCTGTGCCTGGGTCAAGACTTTGGCAAGTTAAAACAGTAAAAATGCATGGGTCAGCATGATCATAAGAAACTGTATTCATTGTGTTGTAATTTCTCAAATCATACTTATAAGGAGTGTAATTTCCATGCCATGCAACCACGTCAAAAGGTGAATGAGGTAAGGTGTATTGGAATAATTCTCCACCGAACTTTCCTACAACGGTAAACTCGGCATCGATATCTTCGTACCACGCAACTGGAGCGTAAAAATCCCTAGGGTTTGCCAAGCCATTTGCACCGATTGGGCCAAGGTCTGGGATTTTGAAGTGTCCTGAGAAGACTTCTGAGATGTACCCTCTCGAGTCACCTTGGACGTAGACTGCAAATTTTATTCCTCTAGGAATAACAGCGATCTCTTGTGGCTCAATGCTTAGTCTGCCCATTTCAGTCTTAATGAGCAAGCTCCCGAGTTGGGGAACAATTAGAAAATCACCATCAGCGCTATAAAAAGCTTTGTTGTCCATGCTGGTATTGCAGCTATACATATAGATTGCGAGTCCTGTTTTTACAGTTGGATCCCCAATGCCGCCCATAGTGCTGATTCCTTGTACGAAATCAATTTGGGTCCCATCAGCTGGCAATGGAAGTTCTCTCCATCTGAGTTGGCTTGGAGTAACTTCAAATGTTGAAAAAGCATTGGAAAATTGGCCAGCTTCAATTTTTTGATATGGAGTTTGGCCTGATACGCTTGGCCTCAGCTTATACATCCAAGATCTTTGGTTTAGGGCACGTGGTGCTGTAAATGCAGTCCCATTTAATTGTTCAGCATATAAGTTGAAGGGACACACTTGGGGTGCACATTGACCACGAGGGAGAGCGCCTGAAATTGCTTCGGTCTCAAACATGTTCCCATATCCAGATTGATATGCGAGATCAGCCATTGATTAATTATTAAGAATTATGTGGATCTATTTCGACTTTGAGTATAATGGATATGTGTGGAGCAAAAACATCGTTAAAATTGAATTTCGAGAGAAGGAGACAGCAAATTTAAGGTAGATAATTTCAAATTACATTGGGAGGATAATGCTAGCTAAGTTTCTTTTCTTTATTTTTAATTAGAACAGCTCAGTTTTATATAAAAATTAAAGGTTTTAAGACAAATCAAGGCTATTCAGATAAATTAAGAACCAAAATTCGTATAAATTTGTAATTGAAGTTTTAAGTTTTTAAAAAGAAAAAATTTACCATAAGAAATCCAAGCTGAATTGATGCCTAAGAAGGACCTCTCTTTTGAAAATAAAATTAGGACATATAAAAATACTTAATCCTCCCCTCCGTGGGCAAACAAAAAAATTTTGTTCACTCGTGGAGGGGGCTAATATTTTTTTAAAAAAAAATTATCTAAAAATCCCAATTCGTAAAATTGGAGAGCAAATATTAATTTAATTTGAAAAATTTATGTTTTAAAATGCATGTTGTTTAAAAATTACACAGAGCTAACTAGAGATTTCATTATAATAATTATCACTTATATATCAAATTATTTTTTTATAAAAAATTTTTTCTTTTCTCAGGAGATGGCTTTTTCCCTAAAAAATACAGATTTTTGCAATGGCTTTGCTCTCTCATGGAAGGGGGATTCAGAAAAATAAATAATAAATCTTCTGGCATAAAATCTGAAAAGTTGTCTCATTTAGATAGATTAATTGGCCATTTATTTTGGCTAAAAATATCCAAATTAAATGAGATCTAATTATAATAATTTAATTATTTAATTGCAAATAATAATTTAATTCTTTATAATACTTTGATTTATTTTTTAAAATAAATAATGTAATTATTTAAACTTTGGTTATTGAAGACCCAACATGAAGCAAAGAAAGTCCTTTTCCTCTTTGAAAACTTGCCCCGAAGTTTGGCCTTGGAATGCTTGCCCCAAGTGGGTTCACAATTGGCCAAGTATAAAACCCATCCCTCACCCAATACCAAATACCTAATATGATAATAAGAAATATATGAGATATTGAGATTTTTGCTTCTATGCTCTTGAAACGGGTTTATAGCATTTTTACAAATATATTTAATGCTTTATTTCGCATCCTTGGTATATAAAAAAATTTTATATGGCTAGCAAATTTAGCTCCTAATTTTGTATTAAATTTAAACGAGATATATCAGCTTATATGTAAAATAAATATGCAAATAAGATTAAATTTGTTCAAAAGCATTAATTTAGTGGAGCTGATGCTAGATACTGTTTGTGTCTATGATGCATAATTATGTTTAAATTTATTTATTTTTTTCTATCTATTTAAAGCAGGATTCTTGATTTATCTTAAAATGCAATAATTAAGCTATGTCCTGCCTATTTCTCTATTAACTCTTTTATTTATTAGTCTAAAATTTTTATATATAGTAGGGATATGAAATAAAGTATTAAATATATCGGAAGCATGCTATAAATTGCGTTTTAATAGCATAGGAGGCGAAAATACTTTAATATCGCATATATTTCTTATTATCAAGACTAGGTAGTTTGGCATGAGGAGGAGTTTTATGTATGACTAACAATTGGATCATGCTTTTGAGGATCAAAAAAGAATTCATTTCTACTAGTTCTTTTAATCGAAAAAATATCACTTGTCGGACTCCCTCCGCCGTATAATTTATCATCTCCAAAGTTACTAGGGTTTCTTTGAAACCCTGACGGACTCGGATCACGAGAATTGCACTGGCTTACATTTGGCAGTTGAGAAAAGCTTCTGTGAGCTCTCAAAAATGCCTTTTGCAATGGTGATTCCCTCGGATGAATTCCTGGGACAGCTTTAAAAGCAATATCATCTTTTGACGCCAGAATTGGTGAAAAGATTTGTTTTTCTTTTTCATCCATCTTCAATTCGTTATATTGTTGCATCATCCTGTTTTGGGATTGATCTTCAAGAACTTGCTTATACTCTTCTTTTTCCCTTGCTCTCAACGCTTTCATTTGAACTTCATAGTTCCTTGTACTTTCTACTTGTTTTTGCATATTTTGTTTTTCCCTTTCAAACTGCATCCTTTCCATCTCTCTTTTAGCATTTTTTTCTTGTAGCTGCATTTCGAGTGTTTGTATTGTATCTTGCTTACTGGCCATCTTTTTTTCTCGTTCTTGATTAGCCTTTTCTTCAGCCCTTCTTCTCGCATCATTTTCCCACTGATTCACTATTTCGACTTTTTTAATTTCTTTTTCGAGATTAAACCTGGCAACTGGCTCATATACGACAGTTTTATTTTTTCTGATCTCATCTAAGTTTCTATTAAAATCAGCCAGATTTTGGTCTCTTAGGTTGACTTTTTCTATGTTTTGCCTTATTAATTCTTGATCTCTTAGTTTTTCATTTTCCCTTTGTTTACGTTCGGTTTCTTTTTGCCACTCTTTAAGCCTTAGGACTTCTAATTCTGTCTTGATTTTTTCTTCTTTTAGCTGCTTTTTCGTTCTGTTGTCGAGCTCCATTTGATTACTTATTGAATTGAGCCATGATTTGTCGGATGATTTTTCTTGTTGGTTCATTTGGGCTCTCAATTGAGCTTTATAACTGGACATGTCTTGGTACTCTTGGCCAAGCTGCTGTTGCATGTATCTGTATTCTTGCTTTGCTCTTTGGTCGTAGTCTTTTATGGCTTTGCCTTTTTGAAGCATTACGTTTGCTTCGATATCTCTGAGCATTTGGTCTTCTAGACGCTGCTGTTGTTTTTCTTGTAACTGCTTGTCGAGCTCTTCGCGGAGTAATTTTTTATTTAGACTTGCGAGCTCAGCATCAGCTCTTTCCTGCATGAGGTTAGCCTTTGATTGGGCTTCTACAAGTGCTGCCCAGTCATTTGGCCTTTGGTATGGTTTTATTCCTTGAACTGCCATTAAGTTACTATTTATAAAAAACTATTAATATTATAATTTTATAATAAAATTGTCAGTTTCGTCTCTTTATTTTTTAATAGATTGCATTTGCAGTATCTGATTACCTCTAAATATAAGCATTAATTTAACCAGAAAAATGCCTTGCATAAGTTAAATTAAATTAGCACAGAATAATCCTTAATTTTTTTATTGTTAAAATAGCTATTACTTTTGAAGATAAAGCTTATTGCAACTAAAATTATTATTTAATAGTTTTAATCATTCAGCTGGCACAAAAATGCTGCACCTCTCTGAATCCAATGTTGAGGTTTTTTATGAGTTGGAACGTCTATTGAAATTATATAATTCGTTGAATGCCCAGTTGTAGATAGCTGTCCAGCCCTTACTGACGTTTTATATACAGGCATCAAATAATACTCTTCCTCTTCATCCACATTATCTTGCACTTCACTCGGAATAAATGAAATCAAAGGTGCCAGAGTCCACATAACTCCAGGCTTGGAGTCTTCAAGGACATTAGTTTCAGCTTCCCATCTGCATCCTTCCATATATAAACCATGCACATATACCCCATCCTCTATTTTTTCTTCAATTCTTTCAATTTCTGTAAACGACTGCATTTCAAAAGTAAAAATCAAATTATCAATTGGGACTCGGAATTTCCTAGAGTGGCTCTGCATAACTGATGTCAAGAAACCTTGTGGGAAAAAGAACGAGCTTAGCCAATAAGACTCAGGTTTTCCATGAATAAGCCATCTGCGAATAAAAGAAACCCTTTCTTTTAAGTCGCTAAACCATGATGCGAGAGGCTTAAGAGAAGGATAAGCTACACGATTCCAGAGCTCAGGGATAGAGTTATTATTCATTGCATTGTACATTTTATCCAAGTCATCAGACATCAATACTAGCCCTTGTATGGCTTTTCTCAAGTCTTCTAAGCTTGTTTTGCATCTAACCAAAAGTCTATTAAATCTCTCCATTTCTTGGCCTAGAAAAGTTGCCATAGCTTCCATAAGCCCATTTTCTACCACAAAAGTATGACTCCCTGCTTCAGATTTCATCAACACCTTTGGCAATTCTTCTAAAAACTTGGCTGCGAGCTCATCAATCATTTCATCTGGAGTTTTTCCCATTGAAGATTTTCCTTTTTCTTTGGGCTGAATCAATAAAGCTGCATTTAATACACTTGCACTTTCTTGCTGCTGAAAAGTAATATTTGCGTTTTCATGCATTCCAAAGATCTCAGGCTCATCTGTATTCGGTAAATTCATGACAAAATCTTTATAAGCCTGAATTGAAGTTTCAGAAGGCATTGCGTATATCCCGCTTTCAGAAAATTTAAAGGCATCGTCTAATATTTCTGGCTTCATGAAATAGGAGAGAGTGCTCATTAGGCATCTTCTATCTAAATCATCGGTGACCCTGCCTCCATAATTAATTTCTCCTGTGACGAATTTGATGGCTTCCCATGGAACTATTTCTTGTTCATTTAAAAAGTTTTCAATAACTCTTATAGAAGTTTCTAAGTCACTTTCGTTAAATTCATAGCGAATATTCCAGCCTAGGGGACCGAATTTTTGGTGAATGCTTTTTAATCAGCAATTTTTGATCTGGCATTTATTTCAGGGATATTTGATAGAATATGGCTTTTTTTATGAGCAAAAGTCTCACTATCATAAATTTTAACCAAACTTTCTGAGGAAAAATCACACTATCAAAAAAGTTCAGATCAAATAACATGCAGCCGAATTTTCGACGCTCTTGTATGACTGCATGGAATAAACATAACTCCCCCCCCCCTCCGTTAGTGAACAAAAAAATTTTTGTTCACTCACGGAGGGGGGTTAATTTTTTCTTTTTTAAAAAAAAATTTATATATAAATTTTATAAAAAAATTTTTTTTTTCGAAATTTAAAAAAATCCTAATTCGTAAAAATTGGAAAGCAAATATTAATTCAATTTATAAAATTTATGTTTTAAAAAGCAATTCGTTCAAAATTAAATAGAACTAGCTCTAGATTTCATTATACTAATTATCATTTATATATCAAAAATTTTTTCCATCAAAAAATATTTCTATTAAAAAAATTTTGGTTCACTCACGGAGGGTGGGTGGGTTTTTGGTCAAAAAATAGCGATTTTTCTAATGGTTTTGTTCACTCACGGAGGGGGGGGAGTAAGGAAAATATTAATTTCTGCCATATTTCAGGCTTTGAAGACTCAGATAATTTTTCATCAGTCATCAGAGCCATTGATCGCAGGAGATTTGACTTGATTCCTTTAGGAGGCTCAATTGTAACCTTTACCCCATTCTGTAAAACCGGTATTGGGAAATAATTGCAAGGCATTGATGTCAAAAAGATTCTGAATTCTTCATGAATTGCGGACTTTGGGTCATCAAAGTTTTCTATTTGTTTTTCCAAGTCAGGCATCCATGATTTTGCGAGGTGGCAGTTTTGTAAAATCACCCACTTTCCTTCTCTTAAGCCTTTTTCAATAGCTTTTTTAGCTTTTTCATCTTGGCCCTTACCAAGCGAAATTGGGTCAATTCTGTCAAGGAATTTTCTGTCACGTGCCAGTCTGGTTATCATTGACATAGGATCAGCGCCTTGGCTTAAAATAAAAATAATTGGTGTCCTTTTTGTCGTTTCAGCATAAACTTCTTCCATTGATGTTGGGGCGACCTGCACAAATTTGGGTCCTAGGACTTCGTTAATAAAATCTGAAACCATATAAATAATTTTTTCATCCCTGAAAGCTTTTATTAGAAGCATTTTTTGGAAGATTGAAAGATTATTGTAAGTTCCTGGAAGTGGCTCTTTATGTGGATCTTTGGAGTTAATCCAAGTTTGCCATTCTTTTTTATTGTTTAGCATTTCTTTGCCTATAGGGGGATTCATGAAAGGCTCACTTATATTTTGTAGGAAAATCACGAAATTCCATGATTTTTCTGTAATTCCTGCTATATCAGGTCTTGCACTTCTCCTGAAATCTGCAGGAAGCATAGTGACTCCTCTTAAAAGAATTGCCCACTCTGCTTCTTTGATAAGTCCTGCATCCCTTTGTATCTGTGCTGCCAATAAAAAGCTAAAAATAAGCTTGTGGGCATTAAATAGCCCTCTACAAATATTAGAATAGATCACCTCAGTAATTGCAGTTATCAAGATTTCAATCCTAGCCTGAGGATCTGCGGAAGCTGGTGCTTGGTCAATGATTGCGTTAAAGAATTTAGAAAAGTAGCTTAATGAGTACTGGTACATTGGATCAATATTTGCGAGATCAGCAATTACAAAATATAAAATGGACCCTCTTCTAGGTGTAATCCGGAATAAAGTGAACTGCGCTTTTTTTATGGTCGGAAATTTTGCTTTCAAAGTGCTGAAAATTTCCAAACTTTTTTTTTCGACAGGATAAAAGCATAACGGTAAATTCGATTTTAAGCCTATACCTTTAATTTTTTATGATGGGATTTGCATGAAAAAGTATAATAGAAATGGCGATTTTAAAAAGGAAAAACCTTAAATTGGCAAAAACAAATTGTTTTGATAGATTATTAATATTTCGATTAAATACAACAGCGGAAATCTTTATCCAAATCTATTTAAACTTTTTCTTTATTTGATGCTGTTTATTCATGCACAATATTTTTAATAAGGGTTTTAAATTTGAATTCACCGTTGTGTGTGTTTTCCTTTCGGAAAAAAATTGGAAATTTCCAGTCACTTTGACAGTAAAATTTCCGACCGTAAAAAGTACAGTACACTTTATTCCTTATTACTCTCTTCTAGCAACTTTTTGATATTTGGCTCTTGCAGCTTCATTTTCCTTTTTTGTGTTTTCCGCCGTTATCATTCTTTTATTTATCAAATCTGACGATTTTTTGGCTGTATCAAGTCTTGCTATTAGCTTGGCATCATCAAGGATATTCCCTTCAGTTGCAGACAGTGACTGCAAAATCAGCTGCTCGAAATTTTTAAGTTCTCTTTGGCCATCTCCTATATCTTTTATCAGTTTATTTTGTTCAATCTCAATTTTCGGCTCTTCTTTCCTAACGACATCTCCTAAAAGTTGCTCTTCTAACCCCTGCATTGTGACAGTAAAATTGATTAAACTAACTCTAATGCTGATTTCAGGAAGATAATGAGGGTTTGAAAGCTTAGTAATGATATACAGCTTGAAATTAAGATCATAGTCAATATCAGCTTCTCCCATTCTTAAGGTAAATCGTCCTGGAGATTGCTCAACTAAATGCTTATTTAAAACAGGGTCTAACAAAGGATTAAGCGTTTCTCCTATATCTTCAATTAAGACTGGAAGCCCTTCCCTTAAACAAGTTTTCAAATTTCTTTCAAAATCTTTGTCAGTTTGTTTAATGATTTTTAAGCCTTTGGATTCTTCCATTTTTCGGATCCATCGGTTTGCTTGTTCTTGTGGATCGATCATAAGTGGCCACCTTTCCGACCTTGTGACTAAAATAGCATTGCAAACACTTACTGAGTCTGTAGGAAGAGTGGCAATATTCCATTCTCTAATTACCAATGGATCACCCATTACCTCTTGCAGATCGAAATTACTGCTAAATGGGATCCCAAGCTCTGCACATTTGCTCATCCAAAAACTGACAAGCTTATTTCTATATAGCCCTGAAAATGGCCCATAGTAATTAATACAAGCAGCTGATAAATTTTAAGTAAAGTTTAAGATAACTCTCAAATCCCGTAATTCTTGACCTCAGCTTAGACCATAGCTCTGAATAACAGTAGCTGGGTCGGCCTAGCAATCACCTATTTCTGTCCTCAAAAGCTGATAAATAAATGTCACCTAAAATATTTCTCAATTTTTCTGTCAACCTGTCAACAGAAACTTTCCATCTTTGGTGCTCATCTTTAAGCCCTTCTGTAAGCACAGAAGCTCTTGAAAGTCTTAAATTTGTGGTCTGAATTTCATTGTCAAGCTTAATTTGCTGATCTAAAACTGCTTTAAATTTGGCTTCTAATTCAGCGACTTTATCTTGCTCAACTTTTAACCTATTCTGAGTATCAGTTAAGTTTGCAATTGCGTCAGCTAAAGTTTTATTTAGCTCTTCAAGACGTTTCCTTTTAGGCTCTACTTCTTTAGACACTTGGGCGTAATTTACTATTGCGTAGACCCATTCACATAAGGACTTTGAAGCTACATTTTGACCTCCAACTTTTTCAGGGGTAAAATCAGGCAGGCTTGCAATCTTATTTTTCAGTTTTTTTAGCGTGACTGGCTTTATGCTGTCTTTAGGGAATTTCATTAGGGTGTCTAAAAAGTTATTTTGGAGGATTTTTCTAATGGATTCTAAAGATGTAGGGGCTTCTAGCAGTATTGCAATGGTTTCTAAGGTAAATACAACTAGCTTGGGAGGGCTGGCAAAAGTCCTGATTTCTGCTATATCTTTTGAGTTGATATTCCCTAGAGCTCTTATAGCTTCTTCTAATATAGGCATAGCCTGGTTTAAATCAGCTTCTGCATCTTCTTGTAGCACTTTAATTTCTTGTGTTTTCATATTTACTTCTTTTTCTTCGTCCTCCACAATTTCTCTCACTTTATTTGCTTGTACAGTATCGATTTCAAGTTTTTTCCCAAGCTCCTCACATTCAGTTTTATTTTGTTCTAATACCGGCGCTAAGTTTACAAGCGTTTTTTGCATTTCTTGCACATCTATATTTGTTTTAATTAGCTGATCTACACCGTTTCTATATCTCTGCCGAGCTGAGCTTAGTTCATTTTGTTTTTCTTCTAGTAGCTTGAAATACCCAGCTATTAAATCAATATAGCTTTTTGGGGTGATATACACTTTTCTGTTTAAAATTTGATAAAATTCATCAGCCATTTCTATAACACTTTGATGGACTTCTACACATAGCTTTGCTAAAGCCTTTTTGAGATTTATTGATTCTTCTTTGGGCAAGAAATCAAGAGTCAAGTCTTGTAATTTGCTTTCAGACACGCTTAAAAGGGCATCATTTGGCCATGGGTCGACCCAGTCAATGGTGCAGCAGTTTACTAAGGACGGGAACATTCTCATGCGAACTCTTAAAGAGTCTCCTACAGGACTCATACACAGAACAATATGGAGGTTTTCTCTTACCCTTTGTATAAAAAAGTTATAGATATTTTCAAATACCTTTTCTCTCTCTGCAACTGTCCTTAAGTCCTGTTCAATAGGGTCAAGTTCTTCTTTTGTGAAAAGATTTGGGACTTCTCCTGAGTTTAAAATATTATTGATGTCTTCAAGAAAAGACTCACTAATGATTTGGGTATCAGTCAACAAAAAGACTGAAGGCTTTGGTACTACTCCTCCGGCAGCGATAAACAGCTTTTTCAAGTCATCCCTAAATGAAGACAACTTATAATCTTTTGTTACTTGAATTTGGAAAAATTCACAGTGGCACATAAAAGATGCTAACTTTGTGAGTGATTGCTTTCCACATCCGCCAACTCCAATAAGCATTGCGTTTCCTCTTTGCTGTCTCAAGATTCTGCAGAGTCTTGACAAATGTTCAATTGCGTCGTTAAAAAATACCAATTTCATCTCATGAGTCCCGATTGAATTGTATTCGTCAAGGAACTCTCCAATCCTCCTATTAAGCGTGCTTGAGCTTGTCACCATTTCATATTCCCTGTCTTCCATTGCTAGGTCTCCTCTCAGAAAGTCAGCAAACATGATTGTTTTTTCTTCGAACATTTGGTCATGAGTGGCTGAAAGACGAAAATGTTGGCCAAGCATTTTAGTGACCATTTCAGTAAATCACCTCTTATCTTGTTTATTTATAAGCCTGTCATGGAAAACTCTCATAGTTTCGTGAATCCAAAGATTGATCAGCATATCAGGATTATTTAAAGTCCTTGGTTTTCCCATAAGTAGTCCTTGAAATACTTTAGAAACGTCTCGAAGATTAAATAAATAGTGTGATTTAGCTGGGGTTGGCAATAACTCCGCACTGATTTGTTGATAAATGTGAATAGTCGCTGAGACAATTTGCGGAACTGAAGCAATGACTTCAGTTTTCCAGCCTCTGCTAAAAAAGCCATCACAAATGGTTTTGAAAATGGTGATCATATTTTCTTCACTTGTATGAGGAATGCATAACATATGAAAATGTCGAGTAAACCTCTGTGTTAGCTTGCTTCTTCCACCTTCAGGTGGTGCCGCACAGCAAATAAGCGTTGTATCGATAATTCTCAATGCAAACTTTTTCTCACGGTCGTAAATGAAACCTTGATCACAAAATTGCCGCAAAAGCTCAATCGGTGGCTGAGCCCCAAATTTTTCGACAGCTGGCATATAGAAGTTTCCTATGTTTGGCGCTGTAAGGCCGATAAATTCTGATCGGAATTTATCGGTAGGTTGCACCAAATCAATGCCTTGGTCGGACCAAAAAGCGATTTGGTCCGACGAACTTGGAAAGCTCCTGGGAAAATGTCTGCACTTTTAGCGCTATATAGAGGAAACCTCTATATTTACGTCATCAATCAATAATGCTACTTTTTTGGTCCCTGGGCCTCCAAGCAAGTCTTTTCTTTTCGCATCTAGTTTATTTACGATAGAATTTTGTGTATACAAAGATGAAGTTTGAGCTGAAAAAGTAATGAAAATCGGGTACAAATTGTCAGTCTCTTTCATACTAATCAAAGTATTCGTTATAATTACCGATTTCCCAACTCCTGTATATCCAGTAATAAACACTGGATGCTGAATGCTTATATTATATTTCAAAAGGTGCTCAAAGCGTATTGTATCTTTTGTAGGAACCAACAGTTGAAAATAGCTAGCTTCAGGGTTATATACAAAATCAGTCTTCATATTGTCCCATGACTTATAATCTCCAGCTACCTTTGTTGAGACTACACAAGAGTCATATAATGAGCCTTTTGGTAAGTCTACATTAAGCTCAGAAGAAATTGCTGAGTCAAACTTTATCATACCATTAGTGTCTAATGCTCCTCCAATTGACCAAGTTAAGCAGAACACAAATATTTTGTCTAAATATTTTTTAAATTGCTCAATATTATCGTTGAATCTTGGATTTCTATCAAATTGAGCAACAGCGTTCAGCAGCTTGCAAAATGAAGCTATCAGTGAATTAGTCATAGTAGGGATTGGTTCTGTAAGTCTTTGCATAATAGATAAAGCTTTTCCCATATAAGTATTAATTAGAACAATTAAGTGGTCTCTTTGTTCAGGCTGTCATTCAGCTAATTCTTTAGCTATCCAGGTTTGAATAAGAGCTTTTCAGCCGACAGCTTCAATGTTCATATACACCATTCCACAGCGAGAAACAGTAGCAGGAGATGCAGACGCAAGATCAGCTACTTCAAATAGCATTCTCATTTCTGGCTTTAATTTAATTCTTTCTTGGTTTGCCAAACACAGCATCATATTGTCATCAAGCACAGTGTTCATATTTTCAATCCACAATGAGTCAACTGGCCCATCAAAAACAACCCATCTCCTTGTGAGCTCTTCTTTTTTACTAAATTCTCTCATAATTGAGCTTGCCAAGCCATCTTTCCAATCTAGTGTAATTTCATTGTACTCCCCATATAGCTCACCCATGGAAATTGCTTTAGGATTGAGGACTTGAAATTGCACTTTTTGATAGCTCTGATTGCGTGAGTTTTTGCTCCGCAATAAAGATAAAGCATGAGCTAAAATTTTATGCCAAGTTGTACTAATTGAATATTTTGAAATTCTTTTTTTTCTTCAAGTATAAGAAAAATTTATAGTAAATGAATTAAGTATATAACAAGTTGTTTTTCCTGCTGTGGCGGGACCAACAATCATGACTCCAAATCTGACCTCAAAAGTTTCAAATAACTGGATCACTTTATTTACAAAAGTGTCAATAGGCTGTAAATGATCTTTTCCAATGCATTCTCTAATGGCTAGTTCTAAATCTCCACAATCCGCGCTTGGGATCTCTGCTTCAGGAAATAGATCTTGCACAATTGCGTTGAAAAGCACCAGATCTTCTTTTAAGAACTTCGGAACATTTGAGTCTTTCATAGCTCTGATTAAAATTATGTCTTCTGTAAGGTGTGGCTCTTTTCTCTTCAAAGCTCCAGCCATATTTAAAACACTTTTTACAGCTCTCATACCAAAATCATAGTGATCTTGCTGTGAAAGTTGCTCACTCCCCGCTTCTTCTTGAGCGAATAAAACCAATGGAGTAATCCTTATTTTTTGCCTAAAAACCCACCCTCTGTGAAAAAATTTTGATATATAAGTGATAATGAAATCACTAGCAAATTCTTAATTTTGAATAAAATTACATTTTAAAAATAAATTTTAAATTTTGTATAAAAAAATTTAACCCACTGTGAGTGAAAAAATTTTTTGGTTCACTCATGGAGTGGGGAGAATTAGAAGCAAGCTTGTATAATTTTGTCATTTTTCCTGATAAATGCTTAGCATTTTTGAAACCTTCAGCATATAACATAATTTCAGCAATTAAAGTATAATCAGGAACCATCATAGAGACAGGTCTGAAAAGGACTTTTAAGTTGTCAGGCAACTCAGTTCTTCCAGCATAATTTGGGTTCATAGTGATAAATACGCCAGTTTCAGCTTTCAAGGCCACTTTTTTATCTTCAAAGAAAAATTCTTGTTTATTGTCATCTTTTGACTGCTTTATTACTCGAAGTTGTTGTGCAATAACTGAAAGAACTTCGATATCAATTCTATTAAATTCATCTAACTTCCTTCTCTGCAAGCGTGAAAAATTTGTAATCGATTAAATTTTTATTTTTTAAATATTATGCACCCTTCGTCTATTTAAGGGTATATACTAAATTTCATTTCTGCAAATTTTAAAATCCAATTTAATTTTATTAAATTTATGAAATTAAAATTCGTTAGAATCATTATATTAATCATTATTTGCATTCAAAAATATTTTATATGAAAATTTTAAGCTCTCTTCGCCAGAGGGAGTAAGCAGCTCCATGAGCCTGTGTAGCAAAGTCCCATAAACAGTTTTTCCATCATTTGGTAAATCCCCCTCTATGAGCGAACAGAAAGATTTAAAAAATCCCTATTTTATGGGTAAAAACCTATCGTGCCTTGGCTTTTTTTGGGTGCCAGTATACGGCACTTACTGGAAGGCCATTTTAGTATTCAGACTCTGAAAATACGAGGTTGGTCATCCAGTAAGTGCCATATATACTGGCACCCAAAAAGAGCCAAGGCACGATTTCTCCACGAGCAAACAAAATTTTTGTTCGGAGGCCTGGTAGTAAGTAATTTGTTCAGAACAGTTAAAAACAATGCAATATTTCCCCATAGCTTTAGCAAGGTCTTTCACTGACTCAGTTTTTCCTGTACCTGCTGGGCCTGCAGGAGCAGCGCCTAGATTGATTTTCATAGCTCCCGTAATTGTCATCCAGCATCTATCAGTAAGCGGGGTGATCACAAGTCTAGTTGTAGCTCCCATAAATTCAAACCCATATTCCAGGTCTGCATTAAGCTGCGAAATCTTGAATTTTTCTTCAAAATCAGCCCAATAATAGCGTAAATGTTTTTGCCATCTAAAATCTCCAGCTGAGGTGACTTCTTCATCTTTTAGCATTTCTACAGTGTCTCTATTATGCACATCTTGAGTAACAAGTGCTACAATTCTTCTCCTCATAGCCAGCGTTAATTCTTCTCTAACAAGATTAGTAAGTTCTTCTAAATACCCATTAATCACGTCATGCCAATCAGTTAAAGACTCATTTACATCACTTTTCCCTGACAAATTCTCTTCAGTTGACCAAGTTCACATAATCATTGCAGTGCATAATATAACTTGGCTTACCAGATCTGGGCTTAAAATAAATTCTTTCCTAGAAAGATCGCCATATTTTTTAATAGCTTCTCTTATATATCTTCTTAAGGACTCATTCATTTGCATTTCAAGAACCTTAAGCCACTCATCAGGATTTCCTTTAGACTTGATTTTTGAATGTAAAGTCAATGTTTCTCGTTCAGCAGAAATCAAGCCTGTAAATGATTCAGTTTTTTCTTCTTCAAATTCGAGCTCATAAATGTTTTCAAACATATTTTTTAAATGAGTCTGAATTTCACGGACATTTTGAGAATTTGAAAGAATTATGAGAAGCTCGTCGTTTGAGAGGAAGAAAAATCTGGGGAAATTGACCCTTTGTTTATCAAGATGCTCTTCTATTTTCTTTTGAAGCTTTTCAAGGTTTTTATTTGTGTCTTGGAAATTTTTGAGCAGCCCCTCTTCTGTGGCGGCTTTTAAAGCGTTAGGGGAATCTCATACCTTTTTCATTCTTTCTTTGAAAAAAGTATCGACTGTTTGGAAAACTTTGTAGCTTTTGTTTAACTTTTTTGCAATATCGCCACTTTTGAAAATTTTATCTAGTTCTCCCCATTGCTTTTGGCAGAGAAGTCATTCATCAAGAGTTGCTGCAAAAATTTTGAAAATTTTATTCCAGTAGTCGACCTTCTCAAACATGGGGCCGATAAATCTATTTGAAATCAATGTAGAGAGCCCAGCTTGAGAGTCTTCCAACTTCACCATAATATCATCAACTTCTTTAAAGATATAGCTTTCATCAACTTTTTCAACATGAAACTCAATATTATCCCACCCTGACACGATTTCGCTTACTCAAAGCCATTGGAAAAAACCCTATTTTTTGGTTAAAAACCCATACTCTGTGAGGAACAAAAAATTTTTATGAAAAAATATTTTAATAAATGAGCGATAAGTATTATAAGGTAATTCTTTTAAATTTTAAACAGCTTTCATTTTAAAATATAAATTTTTTACAAATGTTTTTACTTTCAATTTTTACGATTAGGGAATATATTATAAAAATTTATATATAATTTTTTTAAAAATACTTTTAAGCGAAAAAAAGTTTTTGTTCGGCCACGGAGAGGAGGGATTTAGTTGGTTTTGTATCTCTTCTTCTTTTCTCGCTCTTAAAGCAATTTCTGAAATTTCTTCTTTCACATTATTTACTTTGATATCTAAAAGCTTCTTCAATGTAAATGACTCATCCCTTATATCAATGGAAAAATAAAATGATGACGTTGAAGGAATTTTGACTCCGAAGGGCACTTCTATGAAGCAGGTAGGATCTATCCTGATTAAGCTGAAAGCAAAGCCTCTGTCCCTTTTTTGAGGCTCACTCCCTATGGAGCAGGAGAGACCCCTCCTGATGAAGCTGAAAATAGTTCCTCTATCATTTTTTGAAATAAGCCTTTAGGTTTAGGTATGCCTGCTAAAGAGCGAAATTTTGTACCTGCCCTGACAGTTTTCTCTGTCTCTGTCAGATGGGCTATACAGACTTCCCTCCCACTTAGTCTTTACTTATCGGGACAAGCGGGACTAACGGGACTAACGGGGCAACCGCAAGAGGTGACTCTAACCTAGAGAGACTAGCCGGGTTTACGCCAGATAGGCAGGCTAGTGGCCTATCCGCTCATGGCCTCATGCACTTAGCTTAACTTTCTTATATCATGTCGATTCCAATGACTTTTCTTATCTGCTCCCAATGCCTCTCTTCAAGTCCTTTAAACCTTAAATCGCTTACAATTGGCATGGTATCTTTCAGTACATCTACATACGACTTAAGAACTTGTGGGACATAATTTCCTTGGTCTTCCAATGATTTACACCTTTTAGCGATTTTATTGTACCCATCAACTTCTCTTGTGATTTGTTCAACATCAATCTTATTAAATGGTGTGGAGCTTCATATAATAATTTTCTTCTCCCATTCATCAAGAGCTCTCCACATTTCATTCTTATTTTTCCAATCTTTAAAGGTATCTTCCACTTCTGGGTATTCCTTCGGCTCCATTTCGAGCTCCAAATAATAATTCCTAAAATCTTTGGTATCCTGCACCAATTTTGTAACTTTTTCACCAAGTTCTGTCAAAATTTCAATGACAGTGTCTTTATTTGCATCTTTATTCGCGAACATTTCATCTTTAAGCAGTTCTTTTATATCATTATTTCTTTTATCAACTGAATGAGCACTATCCCTCAGCATTCTTGTGAATTTTGTTTTATCATTTTCTCCACGCTCATAAAATGCTTGCATTTTGGTTCTCAAAGCATCTAGAGAAGTTAAAGTCTCATTGTATTTTCTTTTATTAAGGTCTGTAAATTTGATACTGTAAGTTTCCATAAGCTGCATTAAATCTTTTAAATCATTAGTGCGGTTAGTGATATCCTGCAAATTATTCTCTATTTCTTTCATATGCTTAAGAATGTAAATATACTCTTCAACGGTTTTTGGGACCCCTTTAATGTTATTGTTATATTCCCCTAGGACTTTTGTCAGCTTCATTGCTGAATCTAATGCGATTTCTGGGAGGAGCCCTTCTATTTTTTCCATGCACTGGTTTGGGGATGGTATCAATTTTCTCTTGATATTTTGGACATGCAGTTGAAAAATCCCCACATCTTCTTCTTCTTTCATTGTTTTAAATTCTTGCATTTGTCGTAAATATTCGTCAATTGCCTTCTTAATTTCTTCAATTTCTGCATCTCTATATCTTTCTACATTCATTTCATAATTTTGCATATAAATATCAAGGTTAGGGATTAAGTGCAAAGAGAACTTAATCAGAGCTCTAAAGGAGCGGTCGATGCCATCCTTGATTTCAATGCCAATTCGCTTTATAATATCATCATTAACTATCATTTGCAATAAATCAAAGTCTTCATCGACTGGTTTTTCTTCAAATTCTTCTAATGCTTTTGTGTATCTTTCAAACTCAGGGACACTGACTAGCATATAGTTATTTAAAAGCATGGTAAGTCCTCTTAATATAGCATCGTCGATTGCCACTTTTACAGCTTCATTGTCAGGCTCATAGAAGATGTTTCTTAGTTCGAAGTCTGCGTTGATGACTAATAATGGGCTCTGCTGTCTTCGCTGCATGTTAGGTTTTTTATCTTTTTGATCATAGTCAAAAGTGATCACTTTCAACACCTTTTGTGCTGACTGGATTGATAAACTCATTTTTGCATCAATAATTTGATAGTCACAAAGTCTTATAAATTTTGCAAGTCTTTTATAATGGGTTCTGATAATCGCTTCTTGAGTATATGGCATTTGTTTATTAGAAATATCGCCTACTAAAAACGGGTCTGCATCTTCATTGACTCCTTTTCTGCCTTCTTCATCATTAACAGTTGTCTTATTTTCTCTCCTAAAAGCTTCCAATGATTCCTTGCAAGAAATTGATACTAAATTTTTGATATTTGTCTCCAAGTCTTCAAGCTCATCTCCTACAGCAATTCTCTGGGTTGAGCCGATAAGAAAAAAAGGTAGGTATTTTCCTGATGCCTTTTTACCGTTAAAAATGATGGAGGTTTTTTTCCTGCTTTTTCTAGGAAAAACTTCAATGGCTTTTCAAAAAAGTATAAAAAAAAAAAAACTTATGTCTTTGCCTCAGTTTTTACAGGGAAAAAAAAAACTCCTTTGAAAAATGGTTTATCGGGATCTAATTATTTTAGCTTGAGATTTAGCCTTAAAGATCTAATTTATAAAGACTTACTAAAATTTTAATTAAAATCCTAAAGATGTAAGCCAAATGAATAAACATTCCATCTTAACAAATATATTTTTTGACTGTCAATGTTTTTTTATCCAAAAATCGCATGAAAAAAAACCCTAATAAAAATTGAAAAATTCATATATCAGCTGTAATTAGAAAGCTCTAAATGAACTAATAAATCAAGATTTAGACTTCTCTGGCAAATTCATTTTAATTGATAAAACTTGAAAATCTGTAAATGATTATAGATGCATGTGATGGGAATATTTAATCAAAAAATACAGTAAAAAAAAACCAGGGATTTTCATTTCTTTCTTGCTTTAAAAATTTCGTCACACGCATTTAACATTGCTCCTTATGAGTTAGAGATCTACCAGTTAATCAATCCAAATATATTTATAAAGAAATTTAATTTTGAATTATTAATCGTTTAGAGCTTTTAATTATAGCTGATATATGAATTTTTTCATTTTTATTAGGATTTTTTTTTAAAAAAAATTTGATGGTCAAAAAAATATATTTGGTTAAGATACAATGATATTTCTTTGTTCATTTAGCTTACATCTTTAGGTTTTAGAATTAAGGTTGCAGCAAGTCTTTATTCATTAGATTTTTAAGGCTAAATCTCCAGCTAAAATAATTATATTCCGATAAAGCACTTTTCAAAAATTGTTTTTTTTCCAGTAAAAACTGTAGAAAAAGCACAGGTCGATTTTTTCTGATATACATTTTTGAAAACCCTCCATCATTTTTGACGGTAAAAAGGCAGCAGAACAAAACCTACCTTTTTTTTTCTTATTATAAAACACTTTTCAAAAAAGGTTTTTTTTTCCAGTAAAAACTGTAGAAAAAACACAGGTCGATTTTTTCTGGTATACATTTTTGAAAATCCTCCATCATTTTTAACGGTAAAAAGGCAGCAGAGCAAAACCTACCTGTTTTTTTTTTTTCTTCACCCAATTCTTTTCGTGTCTTGTGCCGCATTAAACTGTTCAATAGTCCTCACATTATCAAAATTCAAATCCAATAAATCAAACCTTAAAATTTTCCAGCTCTGGTGTCTTACATTCAGCAATGGATCTCTCAGCTTATTATCAAGAATAAATAGCTCATGCTCCAAAAACTGCGACCTTTCAGTCATCATATTTCTCCTTCGCAAGTTTTTTCATAGTGAGAAATTCTTCCATTTTTTGTACTGCTTGAAAAATCTGATTTCTTTAAGTCTCTGATATAGCTTGTATTCTCTTTCCCATTCTTCTAAAGATAAAAAATAAGCTTCCCCACTGATAAAATGAGTGACACCTCGTGAGCTGATTGTTAAGTATTCATTAGGGTTCTTTTTCTTAAATGGGACCAGCTCAAAATCATAGGAGCCGCCTTTGCGGTTGCAGTACCAGAAGTCTTCCATTAGTTCTGGGTCTGATTTAATGACTTGAATAAAATCATAAGGTGTAGGGTTTTGAGGAATGCTTGTATTTAGCATTTCGTCTTCAATTAGTGACCTGGATTCTCCATGAATATGCTTCCTCTTTGGCTGAGCTTTAAGTGGAGGCAGGTTTTTAGCTTTGAAGCCTTTAGTTGATGAAAAAATTGGCTCGAATTTTGGCTCATCTGGCAGTTTCGGTAGTTTTTTGGTGTCTTCTCCAAATATCATGGATCCTGACTTTGTCATAACCGTCATCGCAGGAGAAAAAACTGTGCTTTTAAAGAAAGGAGAAATAGGCTCTAGGGTCTTTGGCTTTTTTATATTGGTAGTCGACTGATTAAGAGATTGAAGTCTTGGCATTAAAGTTTGCTTTGGCTTAGAAACGGTAAGAGTACTGCTGCTGCTATTTCGTGATAAGCCTTTATTTGTAAATCTATCCCCAGGTCTAAGCCTGCTTGCAAGTGTTTTTCTTAATTCTTCGGACATTTATTTTCTTTTTTCAATAAAACTTATGCAAATTATGACTCTATAAGAAATTAATTATAAATTTAATTGCTTTAGTTTTTCAAGTATATCGTCAGGACTTAGCCCTTGCCTCTTCAATTTCTTGATTTCTCCAATAATCTTGATCTGTTTGAAATTCTTTTCAATTTCGTTGGCTTTTAGCTGTGCGACAACCATTTTCTGACCGAAAATTCCAGCACTTCTTGCAACATTCAGTCCATAGCTTTTTGGGCAAATTCCTTGTTTTGGTTTGAAAATAAAATGGTGATGTTGACAGAAGACAGGTGCATGGGGCACTCCTATGAAGTAGGGATTTATCTACTGAGCTGAATTCTGATACCTGTGCCGTTTTTTCGGCAAGCTTTGAGTTTAAGAATAAGCGCTGAAGAGAAGTTTTATTTCTTCCCTGAAGGGTTTCCTGTTCCTGCTTAATAGTTTAACTTGTTTCAGTTTATATAAAAATGTCACATTTTGAGTAACTTCATTGATAAAAGAATCCATGAAGACTAAGACTACGCCAGGAAGCTCAGCTATGTCAGAAATTATCATATGGTAATGAGTGGTAAAAAGGGTTCTTGGCTTTATCATGCTGGTAACGTATTTTAGGAATCCTAAAGCTATAGAAGCTCCATCACTAGTAGAAGTTCCTCTTCCCAGCTCATCCATAATTACTAAAGAACTAGGTGTCCCATGATAAAGGACTTTTGATGCTTCTTCGATCTCCATAAAATATGTGCTTTTTCCTTCAATAAGTGAATCAGCAGCACCTAAACGAGTAAAAATGTAATCGACAGGGTAAAATTTCATATACTCGCAGGGGACAAAACTACCAATTTGAGCCATTATAACTGCAATTCCTGCTTGTCTTAGAACTGTGGATTTTCCCCCCATATTAGGTCCAGTTAAAACATAGCATGGGTTTTCTGAAGTAAATAAAACATCATTTGGGACAAATAATGGATTTTTTGTTGCTAAAATGGGATGGACAAGGCCTTTTATTTCTAAATAAGATTGATCTCCTATCACAAACTCTGGCCTTGACAGCTGCACAAGCGATTTGCTAGCTAACTTAGCAAACGAGCACAAGCAATCTATTTCTGCAACTATACTGATTGCTCGAGCCCACCTATCTTTTTCATCATAAAAATGTTTAAGTACTGATGCTAAATAAGGCCCTAAAGCCCATCTCATTTGTTCTTCTAAAATTTCTAACTGATCAACTAATCTTTTTATCGTTTTTGTATAATATCTCTGATATCCTTGTCTTGCACTGGTTTCTTCATACTCATCTGGCTTTTCATCTTTAACCAAATGCAAAGGAATTTCCAGCTCATACCTGAATTTGCTGTCAACAAAGGTTACTTCAGAATGGTTATTAAATCTAGCTTTTTCTTGACTCAAAATTTCTGATAATTGATCTTTAACTAGCTCGACCTCTAATTTCAGCCTTTCAAATGTCTCATCTTTGCCTGGTGCTGGCTCTGGCTGGTCTGGAGTAAGCCAGAAAAATGCATTTTCGTATTCTTTGCATAAACTTTTAATTTCTGGGAATAATCCTTCTGGGTGGAATTTCGTTAATTTTTGGATTCTTGAGGATTCTAAATCTAGCATGTCCAGTTGGATCATTAAATCGTGGATATCACTTAAATGGGTAAGCAGGCCGTTGAATTCTTTGATTTTCTGAGCGGAAACATCTTCAAAATAGACTGCTTTTGAATTTGTTTTGATGCTGTATGTTGAAATCTTACTCAAAAGCCTTTCCATGTCTGGGTATTTTTTAACTGCTTTATCGAATTTTTCAATAAATTGAGGAGCTTTAGAAAGCTCTTCAACAGCATCTAACCTTTCGTTAATGGCATTAACATCCAACAGCGGACTAATTAGCCATGATTTCAGCTTTCTTTTACCCCAAGAAGTCGAGCATTTATCCATAAACTCATAAAGACTCCCTTCTTTCGAAATTTTAACTCCATTATTTGCTTCTATTATTTGCAAGTGTTGTAAAGCTTGGCTGTCCAAAACTAAAGAAGCTCTTACTCTTATTTTTGGATAAAAACCCACTCTCCGAATAAAAAAAAAATTTTCTATAAAAAAATTTTGATGCATAATTGATAATTTCTATAATTAAATCTCTGCTAATTCTCTTTATTTTAAACAACTTGCATTTTAAAACATAAATTTTACAATATTTGCTTTCCAATTTTTGCGAATTGAGGTTTTTAATTTTGAAGAAAAAAAATTTATATATAAATATTAACCCCCCTTGTAAGCGAAGAATTTTTTTTTTTTATGGGGGAGTTAGCAGCACAGAGTCTTCATATTTAAAATAATTTGCATTTGGAAGGATCTTTTCACTCAGGAAAACTTCATTTAAATAAGAGCAGCATCCTACAAGAGCTTTGAGTGCTGTATTTTCTGGCAGATCTCTGAATACTTCTGGAAGACCTGCTGGGAAAAAATTATTTAAATTGTAGTGATTTCACCTCTCATTGGACCTCAACTTGCTTACTTCGAATTCGCGTGCAAGCAAGAGCAAAAGTTTTAGAAAAGCCACTTCCCAATAAAAAAGGGTTTTTTTAAAAAAAATATTTTGATGTTATAAGATAATCATTTTTTGAAATCTCTAGGTAATTCTATCAAACTTGAAAATAAATTTTATAAATTAAATTAATTTTTAGCATTTTTTATATATATTAATTTTAAAAACAAACTGGGTACAGGTTCAATGGTCGTATGCTTTTAATAGCTAATATACATTTGGTTGATAATTTTTGATATTGAGAAAAAACTCGTTAAAATCGGTCAAATATCACACTATTTAAAATTTTCGGCTAATATATTCTTCGATGAAATATATACTGTCAAAAATGCACCATGGAGCCTCAAATTAACCCTCCTCTTCAAATATGTGTCTGCTCAAGAAGGAAAAGTTAGCTGAGGAGGCATATGAGAGCTTTTAAGCAGTCTAATTGTAGATGGCAAAATGAATTGAGGATGATAAATAACTTCCGAAGGCCGAGATTGAGCTAGAATTGTTTTGAAGGTTTGAAAATCGACATCTCCTACTACGAATACAGAAGTTGAGCAGTCCACAAAGCAAACTCCAAACCTGTTATCAACTTCAATTAAAGATAATAAATAAGTTGGCTCATAATTTTCACAGTTAAATTTTGCTGTATAAGTAGCTTTCGTTAAAATGTCAGTCACTTCTCTTCCTACTGCTTTTCCAGTTTTTGGCTTTCTATTTTTTAACGTTGTTTCGGTCTGCTCAACCACAACTACTTTGTGTCCTCGTTCCACAAGTATTTTTGCATTTTTTTCTAGGACTTTTTCTGGGAACCCTACATGCGCCTTTTTGCGGTCATTCCCCATTCATTTCAATTCAAGGATTTGCTGAGCAATGATTGCGTCTTGGTAGAAAAGCTCATAAAATTTATAGTCTTTAAAGGTGATTTCTATTATTATTATTTGAGGCTTAATAGCTAAATCTATAGCAATAAGGGTAAATATAAGGGTAATTTAATAATATTTGCACGTGTAAAGAATACCTAATTTGAATAGGACAATTTTATCATAATGCTGGGATTTTATTTCCCAGTACTGCTCCATTGCTGGTGTAAATTTTTGATTTGGCGGGATAAAGAGACTGGAGGGATCATATTCAGGATCTTCAGGTCTCCTGCGTGATTTGTCTTGGATTTTCTCAGGCCTGCAAAATTCAGGCATTTCATACTCATCATCATTGCTGGATGGAGAAGGCGGGGACATCGGAGTTGGTTTTGGCTTGGAATTCGACTTAAATTCAAGCTTTGCAAGACTGCCTTCGATATTTTCTGAGTTTTCAGAAGAATAGGATGGGTGCTTTCTCTTTAGGCTTAGATCTTGTTCACTGGTTTGGCTTTTTTCTTGAGGCTTTGATCTATTTGTAGGGGTGAAAAATGAGCTAATTGGTCTCTGCATATTTACTCCCCCCCTCCGTGAGAGTGAACAAAACCATTAGAAAAATCGCTATTTTTTGCCCAAAAACCCACCTTCCGTGAGTGAACAAAAATTTTTTAATAGAAAAATTTTTTATGGAAAAAATTTTAATATATAAATGATAATTAGTATAATGAAATCTAGAGCTAATTCTGTTTAATTTTAAACGAATTGCTTTTTAAAACATAAATTTTATAAAATTAAATTAATATTTGCTTTCCAATTTTTGCGAATTAGGATTTTTTTAAATTTTGAAAACAAATATTTTTATAAAATTTATATATAAATTTTTTTTAAAAAAAAAAATTAACCCCCCTCCGTGAGTGAACAAAATTTTTTTGTTCACTCACGGAGGGGGAAGTTAGTATTTTTAAGAGTATAACCTAAATCTTAATTTTATATATTAGTTATTGAAAATTTAAATAAATATCAAATAAATCTTTTTAACTAGACTTGATATCTTCCTAAATATTTTTGATTTATTTACTAAAATCTGAGTTTTCCCCACAAATTATTATCAAAAAAGGGGGATCTATATAGATATGAAGCAGATTTTATACGTAGACCCATCTCTAAGTGAAATCATGAACTATATCCCAGAAGAAGGAATCACAACTGAAATCACCGATCGAATGTACCCATTCCCCACTCTAATTTTATGAGTCCGAGAAACAACTAGCTTCAACAACCTAGTTTGAATTATCATTTCTCCTTCTTCATACCAAAGATTCCTATCCAGCTCCAGAATAGAAGAAGGTTTTTCCGATCTAAAATCTTCATTAGACAACTCAAAAATCTCATTTATTTATCAATATTCAGCCCGAGAGAAGCAGAATTGAAAAGAAAACATTCAGCCTCAGCTTCAGCCTTTGATCGCCAAATGAATCTTTAATTTTGGCTTTGATTTACTCGAAATGGAAAATCTGAATGAAATCAGTCAATATATAATTCAAGCTTCTTCAGTTCTAGTAAACTCCAAAACTTCAGATGACTTACAAATGATCCAAAAACAGCCTGAGCGGTTCCATCCTCATGAAACTTGAGTAAAATTCCTTACCGCGATTCCTCAGATGTCCTTAGCTAAAGCCCAAGCAATAATATCAAAATACCCATCCCTCACATCTCTCCTTGAAGCCTATGAAATTGCAGAAGCTTCTAAGCGAGAAACCTTGCTTATGAGTTTGACAGCTGGAAGTTTGCCGATCGGTAAAGCGTTATCAATAAAAATTTATACATATTTGACCTCACTTGACCCATTTACAATTTTATAATAACTAACTCTGCTTATTTTAAGTCGCAATTTCATACTCGACATCAGAGATATTGTTGGACTTGTTTGGTTGGAATTCAAAATCAGCAGTTGAAACTTCAACCTTCCCCCAATGATTAACTAATAAAACCATGAATTTCTGATCTCTCATAATTATGATGCCGTTTCTTGCGTAGATTGAAGTGTTAAGCCTGATTGCTTTGGCGATTTCTTCGTTAGGAAGCTGCAACTTTATGCATCCAGATTCGTCACCGACTATAACTTCCCATGCTGAAATTGATTTGCCTCTGAAAGAAAATTGGATTTTATAAGGATCGCCGATGGCTTTGCATTTGACGTTGAAACCTCTGAGTTCAGGCTCTAGTGAGTTTATTGAAGTAAAGCTAGGGGCTGCTTTTTTGGCTTCTGGCTCGTGCTTTGGCTTGTAATGAGGCTGTGGGTGGGAAGTTTCGACTTTTTGCTGGGGTTTTTCTTCATGGACTTCAGGCTGTCTGCTATCTCGATTAAAGCGGCCTCCTCGATATCCTCTTCTTCTGTTGTTATATCTGCCTCTGCGTTGATTATTTTGATAATCTCCTCGAGGTCTTGCACTAGACGACCTTTCTTGTTCTTTAGGGGCAGCTGGAGTTTCTTCTACAGTATCTTTGGCCTTTAAGCGATCTGGAGATGTATATGGGCGACCTCTGTTAAATCTTCTGCTTCGACCTCCTCTATATCTTCTTTGTTGATATGGCTCATAATGCTCATTTCTTTCGCCTCCTTGATGGCTTCTTTCCGTGTATGGCTCACTCCTTTCACCTCCTCGATAGCTTCTTTCTGTATATGACTCATGGTGTTCATTCCTTTCGCCTCCTCTTTGGATTCTTTCTTGATATGGATCATTCCTTTGGCCTCCTCTATAACTTCTTTCTTGATATGGCTCACGGCGTTCATTCCTTTGGCCTCCTCTATAACTTCTTTCTTGATATGGCTCACGATGTTCATTCCTTTGACCTCCTCTCTGGCTTCTTTCTTGATATGGCTCATTCCTATTGCCTCCTCTATAGCTTCTTTGTTGATAGGTGTCATCAGATTCCCTAGGTTGTCTTCCTTCATTTCTGTGGTCTGGTTTCTTTTCTTCATACTGATTTCTGGCTTCTCTCTGATTATTCTCATCATTTTTTCCCTCTTCATAATGCCTTTGACCACCTTGATCATAATGCCTGAAATCGCCTCTTCTTCTGTTACCTCTGAAGCGTCCTCTTCTATTGTTATATCTGCTCCCTTCAGGGTTATGCTCGTGCTGGTTTTCAGCTGTATTTTTTGTGAAGGGCCTTCTATATCCACCCGCCTCTCCTTCTTCTTCGCCTTGGACAGTATCTTCAGCTCTAGTAGACTCAAAGCGCTCTGAATTCATTTTTCCACGCCCACCCCTAGGTCCACGGAATCTTCCTCGAGGCCTTCTATCGAGATTTGACATCTCTTTTATTTTTATTATGGTTTATTATTTCAAAGCATTCATTGAATAATGACAAGGTTTGATAATAATATTTTAGATGAGAGGGAGTTAACTATATATGCTTTTACAAATCTGGCTAGCTTAACTTTTTCTTATTGAGGGATCTGGAAACTCAGCTTTTTGCTCCTTAAGGGCACGGAAAGGAGAAAAACAATATTATTCAAAAATTTGTTATTGGTTCGAAGATACAAATAATTTTTAGTAAATCTTTGGATCAACAAACAGCCAATTAATTTAAAATTATGACCTTCAATAAATATTGTCAAACTGGCAATTTTGATGGTTTTAATAACTTAAAAATTTAGTAGTGACACTAAACCTTCAAAAAAGTTTATAGAAAGTGAAGGCAAATCATGTTAGAATCTATAAGAACAATTATGCTAGCATGTCAAAATTATTAAAGATGAAAAAGAGGAAAATGTGAGAGAGGCTACCAAAGTCAATCAATTTCTGAAGATCAAGCTGGCTCACGAGATTGTCTATCAAGCATTGAGCAAAGCTGCTTAAAAAAAGGAGAAAAAGAGGTGCCAAGGTTTCTAAGGCAAAAAGGAGCAAGGAGCACAGGAAAAAAAAAGATAAGAGGTATTTCTGAAAGTGAATTAAGCTAATAAGCTGAGTCCTGGTGTAGAATAATAAGTTATATATGGCTATGCCTCATCAAGCTAAGATCAAGCAGGAAAAATGGGTCAGAATAATTTCATCGGGCTATTCAAATTACTAATCAGAGGAAAACATCGGGATAAAGCAATGCAATTGCTCAAAATAATATAATTATTTTATTTTATCATTAACCAAGAAAAAATGTCTATATTTTTTGGATTAAAATTTCAGTTTATATTTTTTTCAGTTAGAAATTGCTTGAACAAAATCTAAATTTCAAAATAATTTAAATAATGATTAATTGAAATATATAGATAATTAATTTTTTCGCTCTGATTAATTTTACTAGCCATCTTGATTTTTAAATCCATGGCTAAAAACAGATATTTTCCAGAATTTTAGCTGATTATAAAAAATATGATCAAATTCGCAATTCTGATGACCTTATCTCTTGCGGTCTTTGCAGCAACACCAAAAGTATTCAAAACAGAATTTGTTGAGACCGAAGGTAGCGAGTACGGTTCAAGAGACGAATATAATGAATGCGATGAACAAGTTAAAATTGTCAAAGGCGAGAAAGGAGAAAAAGGTGAGAGAGGCTGTCAAGGTCCACCAGGTCCTCAAGGCCCATGCGGTCCACAAGGCTGCCCTGGCCCAAAAGGAGAACAAGGTTGCAAAGGAGATAAAGGAGAAAGAGGTTGCCAAGGTCTCCAAGGGCCATGCGGCGAAAAAGGAGAGAGAGGATGCCAAGGTCTACAAGGACCACAAGGCTGCAAAGGAGATAAAGGAGAAAGAGGACCAAGAGGAGCTTCTGTAAAATGCATTGAAGTTGATGACTGGGATGAAAGCAACGAATGCGATGAAAAATCTGTAAACTCAGTCAAATCTTCTTACAGTGCAAGTGGACAATGGAATGCAGGACACTAATACAGTAACCATTTTTCATATAAATTGTTCCTTTTTTATACCATTATTAAAATCCTCCATTTTTATACTAGCCCCAGAATTGATGTTCTGATCAAAAAACGCTCTTATATATGGCTTAAATATTTATAATATTTCTTTTTATCGAAAAATTGCATTCTTAGGCAAATAAAATATTTTTTTATTTAAATAATAGCCTGACTTAATCGTGATAAATTTTAAATATCTGCTATCATTTCGCATTCTCAGTTTAATTCTTTTAAATTTATTATTGATAATTTCAGCCATATAAATAAGAAAGACTTGCAAATTTTAAACTTTTTTCATAATTACCTATTTTCATAAAGAAAATTATGCAAGTTTCATCACAAAAGTCGACAGCGAGCACTAGCAAGCCACCAATAAGCCATCCCCCTTCAGTCAGCGGAAACTCCATAAGTCTTGAACAAGAAGGAAGTGAAAGCATTCGTGTCTGTGTAAGGATTCGGCCACTTAACCAAAGAGAAATTTCACAAGGAAATGCAAACTGTATTGAAGTTCAAAATCCTCAGCTCCTGACTCTCCAAATGAAAACTGGCGTGCGACAATATGCATTTCACCAAATTTTCGATGTTTCTACCAATCAAGCTGAAGTTTTTGCAGAGACTGGGATAAATTCTCTTCTAGAAAGTGCCTTAGAAGGATACTCATGCACTGTGTTCGCATATGGACAAACAGGCAGTGGAAAAACCTATAGCATGGCAGGCGTCGAAGACAGGCTTGGTGGCGCTGAATACACCTCTGATGAAACTGATGGAATTATCCCAAGGTCGATTTCTTATATTTGGCAAAGAATGTCTTCCAGACAAGAAAGATATTACGTCAAATCTGGGTTCTTTGAAATCTATAATGAGCAGGTGAGAGATTTATTAAACCCAGGATCAGGGGTTTTGCATTGCAGGTGGAACTCTAAACAAGGATTCTTTGTAGAAGAGCTTATGATCGTTGACTGCACCAATATTGATGATTTAATTGCTGTGCTGCATGAAGGGATGAAAAATAGGAAAAGTGGAAGCCATGAGCTTAATGCGGACAGCTCAAGGTCACACTCAATTTTGATGGTGTATTTCATAAGTGAAATAACCTCAGAAGAAGGGCATAGCTATAAAAGGTATGGGAAAATGTACTTTGTGGATTTAGCTGGAAGTGAAAGAATAAAAGAGACTAAAAGCAGTGGTGGGATGCTGAACGAGACGAAAAATATAAATAAGTCGCTGTTTACACTGGGAAAAGTGATTTCGTCACTTGGGGATAAGAAAGGGAATGCTTTAAAGCCACATATACCGTACAGAGATTCCAAGTTGACAATGGTGCTGATGGATTCGTTAGGAGGCTCGTCAAGAGCTATAATGATTGCTTGTGTCTCGCCTGCTTCTTCATATATAGAAGAGACAGCAAGCACCCTGAATTATGCAACAAGAGCTATGAATATTCAAAATAAGCCTATCTTGCAGGTAGATAATAGTGAATACTTGATATTAAATCTAAGAAGAGAAGCTCAGCTACTTAGGCTAGAAAACGAGTATCTAAAAGAGCAGCTTGCCCGTGCCACAAATGGCCAGCCTCCTCTGATGGTTGACATTGCTAACAACTATAGCAACCAGAATAATCCTGCCCAAGATCCAGTTCTCCAAGAATTCACATTTGAAGTAAATAAGCTGAGAGAAGAAAATGCCAAGCTCAGAGAATCCAAAGAAAAAGCAGAGGCATCTTATCATCAGTCGATGATTGATAACCAAAGCATGCACATAAAACTTGAAAATTTAGAATACGCCTTTGTTGGGTCCACCAGCTTAAAAGATGAAGCGGCGCCAAAAATTTCCCAAGAGTATACAATTAGTACTCTCCTCAATGAAAATGCTAACCTAAAAAAGCGTTTATCAGCATTACAAGAAGAACAAGCACAGATGCTCTTTAAAAAAGGCGAAGGAACCCCTATGATTACCCCTCAAGAAGACATGGCACAGCTAAGGGAATATAACGAACAAATGCAAAAAAGGGTGGAGCAACTTCAAGCTCGAGAGCGAGAGCTCTTAGCCGATTTAATGAAGCTGCAAAGAGGAAAGTCTCCTAAACCTAAAAACTAATGTAAATTCTTATAATGGATATTCAAATCAATGAATCAGAGCTGATGCGAAAATCATCAGAAATTCATTTAATTGAGCTATTTGAAGAGCCGCCAGCCGAAATAATCCCAAACGAAGAAGTCAAAGATGACATAGAATCCCAGTTGCCAGCGTTTGCGAACCCAGAGCCAAGCACCTATCACCTTAATTTTAAAACGGGCACAGGACTCCCTATGATGCAAAGGCTTCACGAGTTCATCGAAGACATGGAGCCATACGAGCCCATTTCTGTTGCTAAGGACGGGATCCTAGAAGAAAATATAAGGCGCGACGCAGAAAGAATGAGCCATCAAGAAAATTTAATGAACCGAGTTGTATACGACAGCATCGACCCCAGCCCACAAGTCCATGAAGCAGAGTTCCCTAATCAGTTGCCTAGTTTTTATGTGCCTTCATCAAAAGATGATTACACCCTTGTATTTGAGTCCAGGTTTGAGTCTGGAAACCTGAGAAGAGCTGTCCAAGTATATGAGTTCGAGTATGATTTAATCCTTAAGCCAGACCATAACACAAGAGGAAATACCCAATGGTATTTCTTTTCTGTAGAAAACACAAGGTCAGATAAAACTTATAAGTTCAATATCATCAATATGATGAAGCCAGACTCTTTATATAACTTTGGAATGAAGCCTTTAATGTATTCTGTAAATGATGCAAATAGGCATAGAAGAGGCTGGGTCAGATGTGGGCAGGATATTTGTTATTTTCAAAATAATATGAGGAGAAAAGCAGGGGGTTATTATTATTCACTTACATTTGCAGTGAATTTTACATATGATTTTGATACGGTTTATTTTGCACACTGCTATCCTTATACTTATACAGATCTGTGTAATTATATTACGGCTATAACAACTGATCCTAAAAAGAAAAATAGGGTCAGAAGAAGTGTTCTATGTGAATCAGAAGCAGGGAATGACTGTGAAATATTGACTATTACCACTTTTAACGATCCAGAAGCTATGAAAGGAAGAAAAGCAGTATTTTTAACCTCAAGGGTGCACCCAGGAGAAACAAATTCGTCATGGATTATGAAAGGGATTATTGACTATTTGGTCGGTCCTACTCTTGATGCGAAAATCCTCAGAGATAACTTTGTGTTTAAAGTTATCCCTATGCTAAATCCAGACGGAGTTGTCAATGGATCATATAGATGTGGGCTTTCTGGAGTTGATTTAAATAGGTGCTGAATTGAGCCGAACCGAAAGTTCAACCCAACAATTTATCATGCGAAAAATTTGGTAAAAAAAACACTTGAAGAATATGATATTGTTTTGTCAGTTGATTTCCATGGGCATTCACGTAAAAAAAACATTTTCATGTATGGATGCGCAGGCCGCACAAAGCTTAAAGAAAGAATTTTCCCCAGGCTATTAGAAAGGGTTTCTGATATTTTTAGCTTTAAAGACTGTGTATTTGGTATTCAAAAATCTAAGGAGGCTACGGCTAGAATTGTGTTGTATAAAGAATTTTCTATTATAAACAGCTATACGCTTGAATCCTCTTTTTGTGGGTCAGATTTTGGGAAGCATGCAGATTTTCATTTTAGCACTGAACATTTTCAAGAGATAGGGCATAATTTTTGTGATGCGATATTAGATTTCTGTGACCCAGATAGAGGGAAAGTCAAAATGATTTTAGAAGAGCTAGAAATATTATATCCAAGAGAGCTTGAAGAAAATGATGATGATGCAGTTGATTCTGATTATTCAGGTGATGAAAATCCTAACTCCCCCTCTCTGTGAGCGAACAAAACCATTGAAAAAATCCCTATTTTTGGACAAAATACTCAGCGAGGGAACAAAAATTTTTAATGAAAAAAAAATTGATATAAAAATGATAATTAGTATAATGAATTCTCTAGCTAGCTCTGTTTAATTTTAAACAAAGTACATTTTAAGACATAAATTTTACAAATTAAATAAATATTTGCTTTCCAATTTTTGAGAATTGGGATTTTTTAAAATTTCGAAAAAACAATTTTACTATAAAATTCATATATAAAAATTCGTAAGCGAACAAAATTTTCACGGATGAGGGAGTAAGAAGAAAAGGAAGAAGAAAATTTTAAACAGAAAGAAAATTCAGTCTGATAAGAGAAAGAAAATAATGTTATAGAAAAAATTTATTATAGTAATAATGGTAATTCCAGTTAATATTTATTAGGCTAATAAATGGTATCACCGCTTTTATTAGGGTTTATGGGCTTGCTTGCTGAAGAATGAAATTACACTCATGGAGGAGCTGATTGGGAAGGAAAATGTGAAGACGGCCTTAACCAATCGCCAATAGACATTTTTCCTGAAAATTTGACTGTAATCCAAAGAGGTTCAGAAGTTATGGACTCACTTGACTTGCACTTTCAAAAATTAGACGTTTTAGGCAACCTCACAAGTCATAACTACAAACTCAGTGGAAATTTCCTGAACGTGACTGAAAACTATGGGAGCCTTCAAACTCATGGAAAATCTATCGGATTTCATTTCCATTCTCCATCTGAGCACATGATCAGTGGTAAGCAATTCGACCTTGAAATGCATATTGTAATGACTGACGATGAAGATGGAATTATTTATTACGTTCTTGGCCTGCTGTTTCACGTAAATGGAAAAACAAACAAATTCATAAATTCTGTGATTGATGCATATACAGCTAAAACTACAATAAAATTAAGTGACGCTTTTGATGGTGTCACGCAATTAAACAATTTTTATCATTACCAAGGATCATTGACTACTCCTCCGTGCTCAGAAATTGTGAACTGGTTTATATGGCCGAATACATTAAAATGGCGACGGCGATCCAGCCTTTTTTTCAACACCTGTAGCCTGCGTTCGCAGGGGACCTTGTGGAAGTGGAGCGCAACGTCGGACTAGGCCGACCGCAGCTCGCTCTGACACCTGGGTTTTTGCCTCAGGGGAGATGGTTTCCAAGGTTGGAAAGGGGAAGCTCAGCAGCATCAGGAAGGTACCTCCTGATCAATCGAGCAACTCCCTAGCGTGAAACTGGGCGTTACGTTCCAGGCTTTGGATTTCCATTTTAGCTGACAGTCCTACCAGAAAATTTTGTTTTTCAAATTTTCGGAATGGGCAACCTCTGTTGACGTACTGCTGGGTGGCGTAACTCATCCAGCTACGGGTAGCGAGTGCACATCCTGGTACAGTAGGAGCAACACCTTGAAGGTCGTGATCGATTGGTGGTGAGCAACCGAGTGAAGGTGAAGGTAGGGCAGGGGAAACCCTGGCCAATACGACGGGCCTCTCTCTATAATATTAGTTAATGTTAATGTTAATGGTTTATATGGCCGAAGCTTCTTGATTTAGATTCAACACAACTCAGTTGGTTTTCAAAATTCTGGGCAGAGAATAAAGAATTTGCAAATGGGCATGGGAATAACAGAAACACGCAAGAATTAAATGGAAGAGTTATTTATTTCTTTGACGGGGTCGATGTTCAAGAAAGCTTTAGCAAGTCACTTTTCGTATCTGCCTTAATCCTGGGATTCTTTATTTAATAGTTAGTTTAATAAATGGAAGGAAAAGCTCAAGTATTAGAAACTCCTGATTTTCAGAAAACAATTGAAGAAATCAATGAAGAAATTGAGCCTAACCTTATATCCTGAGTTGAAGAAATCGAATTAAAAATGTTTATTGACTTGAAAATTTATATTAAAAATATTTCCTATATAAATATTTTATGAGTCTGCCACAAGAGATAGAGTTTACATCATATAAGCAAATATGCTAGAAATTGCATTTGAATTTCTTAAGACTGATTATACGGTGCAATTTCTAGCATTCATTATTATAGAAGAGAAGTAGTTAAATTTGAGGCAGGGTAGCGAGCAGTTTCATACTTAGCTATATAAAATCGCTCGATAAAGAAAGAGGTTTAATTTTCTAATTTTAAGAAATTTTCAATAACGTTGCTCCATCAATAATGGTGTAGTAAAGTTTTTTCACAAAGCTTAGGAATTGAGTCTAAGCCAAGAGACAAATCCATGACAGAAATATTTGATTATTTTAATTCACTCGGAAGAAAGCAAGCCAGATATGATTACTTAAAGGAGAGAAAAGAAATTTCTAATAGAAATGATAGAGTAAATATGCTAGAAAAAGAACTGAAATCAATAAGAGAGGAGCTGGAAAGCCAAAGGAAAGATATAAATGAAAACGCTGAACTGTTGAATGAAGTTTTAGAACTAGGGGAAATGATTGAAAATGTCAAAGCGAAAATGGAAACTGCTTCACATGTACAGATTCAGAACTCGAAAATTAATTTTAAACCAAATAGAGAGAAAAAAGAAACCAATGATGGGGAAAAATTAACTGGAGGGTTTTTATTTGAAATGCAGCTGAATGATTCCGAAGAGAAAAGCAGAATTGCGAGGCTTGATAATAAAATCAGAGAGCTAGAGTTCATTGTAGGGAACTGGAAGCAATCTAAACCAGCAAATGAAAGCTTAGCTGAATTTATATCGAAAACTAGGTTTATAAACTCAGGTGTATGATTTTTGATGGAATATTTTGATAGTGTGGCAGTGCTCTGAATAGTTAAAGTTTTTGATAACCGACATTACCTCTTAAATTAATAAATTTTTCTAATTGCTCCTTTGAATTGAACATTAAACCCCTTTAAATTTGGAACAAAAAATTTTTCAATAGGAAAAGTATGTAGCTATAAATATTAATTTTTATAAAATTATTTGGCAATTCAATAAAACTAATGCAAGTAGAATATTATTTAAACAGTTTTCACACTAAATCAATTAGTATTTTAAAATTAAAATTCAAAATATTATATAGCTTTTTTAATTTTATTTATAGAGAAAGTTTTGAAAACAATTAAACCCTATTGGAGTAAGAAATGCATGCCACCATAAATTTTTTAAACAAATTATCCAGAGCTGCCACTCTATTTAAAGTTGTGATCAAATAGCATGCAACCTATAAACTCAGAGCTGCTGGAAAAACTAACAGATCAAGCAAGGCATTTAGGGACCGATCTAGATATCATGCTTTCAAGCAGAACTGAAGTCCAAGCATCTCCAGAATCTATTGAAGCCATAAAAAATCTTCACAGAGACACATTTCAGCATTTATCTGAAGTTTCAAAACTCCCCCAGATAATAGAAAAAATTAAATTTTCTTCTCCTATTTATGCTGCACATTTACAATTAGATTCTCAACTTTTAGATTTAGAAACAAGCACTGATGCTTTGCTTTCAGAAATTAGCCAGTCAGGATCTATAATCGAAGAATTAAGAGCAGGAATTGAAGCCAATCGGGGTTCGATTTCAAATAATGTTGCGATCTTGAACCAAAAAATTATAACTCTTTATAAATAATGGAACATTAATAATATAAGCAAAAATTTAATTTCTATAAAATTTAAAAATATGAACCGATTATTGATGGCCCTATTTTTTTAAAAAAATAAATAAATAATTATTTAAAACAGCCAAAATTAACTCATACAATAACAGTTAATTAGAAAATTTTTGTATGCATTTCGTTACCCTGCTGGAACAAATAGGACATTTATTTCCTATTAAATTAATGCATTGCAAACAAGCAATTTCATGCCCACAGTCTTTAACATATAATTCTATAGGATTTTGATGACAAAGCATGCATCTTGGAGAGTTTTCAAAGTTTGTGTTAGGTCCTTTTGGAGATGAGGCTGCTGATGACTTTTTTAAAGCTGATTTTTTTACTGATTTGGAAGATTTAGCGATAGTTATAAGTTCTCCTGCTAACTGGGCATTCATACATGAAATTCCTTTGTCAATGACTTCGAGTATATTATGCCTACTATAGCCAATTTGAGATAGGTCATTTATAAATTGAGACTTCATTTTTTCCAACAAACTTGAAGTTGATGAGTTATTTGATCGACTTGAAAGCGTTGCATTATATTAATTAGAGTATTTAAGGTGTCTAACGCCACACTCCCACTCGAGAGATAGAGCCAAAATGGTGACATCGCGCGCATATCTGATCCAAAAGGCAGATCATCCAATATTAATCATCAAACACCCTAGCTAGTGTTTTCACTCGGCGAGATGCCACTAATCTTGCCTGTCTAAGCTCCTGCGCATGTTCCGCCTAGGATCATCCTCTCAAATGTTCTGAATTGTGAACCTTGACCCTCATGATTTATCTGCTCCGCAGATCCTTTGGTTAGCCCTAAAGTTAAACCGCTATTGCTTTCGAGAGAAACCTAACCACATAAATAAAATTCCATGAGGAAGAGAAAATTAGCGTAGCTAATTTCTCTCTGATCGAATGCCGTTTATTTATATCAACTTAAAAGCACTTTACTAGTTTGCGTCCTCGCATAGCTTTTATTATATTTACTTTCTTCCACCTGAGGCTGATTTGGCTTAATATCATGCATTTTCATATAGCTTAAAAATTGATTCGGAACCTCAAAAAGAACTTCTCTTGCTAAAGTCATAGGATTATCATTAAACTTACTAAAAGGCACAAATTGAACTATATCCCTAATTGCCCTCTTTTGGTATTTTTTTGAATATAAAGGTTCCCCATCAGCATCCAGCTGTTGCATAGCAGAAAAATCTTCTTTTCCAACCCCAACGATGATAATGCTTAAAGGAAGTTCACTTCCTCTTACAACTTCATCAATTGTAGACTCAAGGTCATTGATAATTCCATCTGTCAAAATAAGCAAAATAAAATATTGCTGAGTTTTCTGTGATACATTTGCATTAGCTGCAAAATCGTTTGCTATGGTTGTTATCTCATTGAATATAGTAGGCCCATGAAATTTCACTGAAGCTACAGCTGATTTATAAGAATCCAAAACACCGTCAACCCCATTTACTTCAGGATCAAAAAAATTCCCGTTAAGGGCAAAACAATGAGAAATCACATCAAAATTAGGCGGAAGCTTTGCCCCAAACCCGTAAACAGGTATTTTTTTGTCTGAATCATAATACTGTAAAATATCACCTACTGCTTTAAGAGCATGAGTATATTCATTTAAATCTCCACTATCCAAATTGTGTAAAGTTCCACTTGCTGATGGGTCGCCGTTACTTTTTGTGAAATCTATACCGACTATCAAAGAAATTTCACATCCTCCAAAAACGTAATCTAAAAAGGAAATTCTTTCTTCAAATACAAACTCCTTCAACATAATTTGAGATATCACTTTTTCGTTATTTGTAATAAAAGTTTGGAAATTTACAGTGCTTTTAAGCTCCGCTAAATCTCCCTACTTAAATTGGAATAAATTTTTATTTTTATTGGTAAAATAATATGCTGTATGTATGATTTTTCCTTGGGAGAATTTCCTCTTGGAATTATTTTATCGGAAGTTTTTTTTCTAATCGAAAAATAGCGTCTTTGTCAAACAAATATCTAATGAGAATCTTTTTTAACAAGTTTTCGCTGATATGCTATGAAATAATAATTTCTATGTAAATTTTATAGCCAATTAATGAAGCCTAAATAGATATTTTATATGTAACTTAGTCTATTTTAAAGGAGCACTCTATTTAATAAATTTTATAAACAAAAACATTTTTATATATATATATTTTTTCATAATAAAATTTTTCACATAAAATCTTTCCTTCAAAATAAGAAATTAATTCGTCTTTAAATTTATATAATATTTTTAAGGAAGTAAGGTAAAAATGCATAAGCCTAAAAATTCTTGTTTTTTGAGATCCGCTCTTAATAATTCAAGTCTTATAGGCCGGCTTTCATCGCCTCTGCAGAGCTTGTTCATTGACATTTCAATTGTGTGCCAAGCCAAAACTCCTTTAGTTAGGAAGCTTGACAATGTCTCGCTCTGATAAATTGGAACAAAATCTTTATCAGATGCTCTGGACAGCCTAATACAAATGTTTCCTTTGATATTTGAGGTCATTCCCCACTTCATTTTGACTAAAAAGTTTTTGGAGCTTGACTCTTCAAACCTGATCGTGAGTGTTCCCATGCTCTTAGACTTCATAGATAAATTTTCAATGTCTTTCGTAACAGCCATTTCTGATGAACAAACGATTTCGTGAATATTGAAAAAGGAACAGCCTAGGAGTATCTGGGATCTTAAGCTCTCATCACTTGGGTACTTCATATCATAGACTTCTAGCTTAAAATGCATTTGTTTTTCAAAGCTGTAGGATACCTTTACTGACGAAATAAATGCTGGATTTTGGTTCCCTTTTTGTATTTCAGTTCGAGTGTCCTCAAGCCAATCCCCGCTTTCATTTTGGGTGAAGAAAACGACCATAGGGTTTATTTTTTTGCTGGAATCGCAAGGGAGATTTTGACAACTTATATTTAGCTCTACAATTGATTTTAAATCGAGGTCTTCTTCTAGAGCTGTTATTGGTAAATATGCGACTTCTTCGATTTCTTGGACTTCTTGTTGGATAATAGGTGCGAGTTTTACTTTATTCGTTTGTTTTTTGCAGAGTGCACAGCCCATTATTGTTTATAAATAATTTTGAGGATTGCTTTTTGGTATATAAAAATATTGAAAAATAAGGCTTTTTGGGTTTTCAGAAGTGAAATACCATTAATGAGCAAACTTAGGTGAGGGATATAAAAATGCTGATTAAATAGGTGAAATAAGAAATTTAAATAATAAGAGGTGAATAAATCATTTTCTTTATGGGATTATAAACAATCATAAAGAAAAAAGAGGTAACAGATCTTAAATGAATGCTATTTTGTGAATGATTGTGACAGATTTTTATTCATTTGAATTGCTAACGCGTAGCTTTCTAGAGCACCAGACTTATTAATTATAATTCAAATGCATTTTCTATAATAAAATTTAAAATGTAAGTTATTAATATGTTACTTCTCCCTTTAACAAAATAAAATTTGCATTTTTCGAACAAAATGTTTCTTTCTATATAAAATATTTAAAGAAAAAAGAAATTTGTAGTTAAATAGCTCTGATGCCAAATTGATGGTTGATTTCATCGAAATTAAAATTTTGCCAATATATAGTATCACCCCAAGGATGAGTGCAAGTATAAAACTATATTTAAATAAAATATTAATTTCTTTTACATAGAGCTAAACTTTTGATCCAATTTTAAATAGAGAGTTATTCATTCTATTTTATTTAATTAGAAAATCTAATGAATTCGCAATTTGTGGAGTGACAAAATGGGATTAGCACATAATTCAGATTAGTTAGAAAAAGATACTTACTGTTTAATCTTTTCTAAAAATTAAAGATTTAATCATCCTTAAATATAGCCCATACCCTTATATAGATTTCTCTACGAGAAAATTAAAATAGATGGGAAAAGACCTTGAAGGATTCTATCAAAGAGCTAAGCTGGATCTCTGTGGCATAATGGACTGAAAAGTAGCATATCAAAAAATGGTTGGCAAGTATGAATCAAGTTGGCAAACAAACGCGCCAATTTTTAAAAATGGCCTTATTACTAAAATATAATCTTTAAATTAGAAATCTCTTAAAGACAGTATTTAGCAAAATTAAATATAGCTTCATAATTAAAAATCAAAGCTTGCAAGTCAATGTGCGTTTTAGTAAAAGGATAGAATTTTATAAAAACAATACCAATTTGTGGATGAAGAATTACTACTCTTATTTATAAAAGTTCGTATTGAAGGAAGTTCATTGCTCATGAAATTCTTAAGATTCATATATAAAATTTTAAAATTTTTTTTCTAAAGGCTTACAATGGACTTCTTTAAAATACAGACTTTAGAAATAAGAGTTCCAAATTTTTATTAGAAAATTGCAGATTAATATTCTTTATTCTTTTTATAAAATTCTTCAATACAGACTTTAGAGATAAGAGTTCCAATTTTCATTAACAAATTGGCATTTTTTTAAGATTCTATCCTTCCGCTAAAATACACATCAAATTAAAGCTTTTGATTTTTTAATTCGATTTTTTATATGAGTATAAATGTGTAAATATTCTTAGAGGCCTCTTAAGAAAGGATACCCTTTTTATAAATGATTATCCCACTGCATTTACTTACTTGAGCCTAAATTCTACAGAAAACAGAAAAAAGTTGGTAAGATACTTATCAAAGTTTAAAAAAGGAATCTTAATTTAAAAATTAATTATAATAATAAGGCCATTTTAAAAATTGGCGGGTTTGGCTGCCAACTATACCCTCTTGTCAACCATTTTTGACACTTTTCAGTCCTTCATGCCATGGGATCCCAGCTCGTCCCTTCGATAGAATCCTTCAAGGTCTTTCCTCATCTATTTTAACTTGCTCGATAAAGAAATCTATATATGGGTAAAGGCTATATATTCACCACCATCCCAGACCTTGGCTTTGGTTCAAACCACGTCGATTTTGGCGGCATAATCTGGCCTGCATCTGCAATAGCCATCACTTCTTCAACCTGAACTGGATAAAGTGCAATAGCAGCTACACAGTCCTTTTTCACAAGTCCGTTATCCTCCTTCACTTCATTTTCAGTGATCTGTTCAGTCCCATCCGACATTTCCCAAATCTTCTTCATGATTTTCCTCGTTTTCCCTCCAACAGTTTCAGTTCTCAAGTTGCAAGTCACTTTAACAGCTCCATCAAGCCAATTATAAACTTCATCAGCTAGTTCTGGAGCGCCCCCAGGGACTTCTACACTATCAGATTCAGCACTATCATGAAAATCTCCTGCAAAAATTATGCTAGATGTAGTCTTATATTCTGAATGAGGGCCAGATCCAATGCCAACCTTATGGAAATCTGGGTTAAGCAATGCGTGTCTGTGAGGACGAGTAGGTAGGCCATCATCAATTAAAAATGCACATACAACTTCAAAGCCATCGACTGAAGTATAGTCTAAAGCTTCTGCGACACTTCCGGACCATCTTCCGAAGTATTCGACACGGTCCTGAAGGTTATTTTCCATTGATCCGACATGACCAATAATTCCAAGCGATCCAGAATCATTGCAATGAGCTTGAGCTGCCTTAGCAAGACCTTCAGACCAGGATAAAGCATGCAAAGGTTCAGATGCTTTGAGTGCATTAATGGCTTCTATGACAGCACTGATACCTTCTCTAGTCATTATAGGGACTGACCCAGCTCTATGCTTTGATCTATTTTCTTTATAGCTTTTGAGGGTGTGCTCAATCCTTTCTGCAAATTTTTGGGGATTGGTTCTTGCGTCATTGATTTCGTGGAAAATGTTCAGTGTTATCTGTTCCCAGGTCAATGGCTTGACATTTCCACATCTTTTTTCGAGCTCCTCTAAACCTCTAATTCCTCCAACAAAATCTTATTTTGATTATAAATTTGCTTCAGATTAGTGGTAATGCAGTCACCAAGGACTTGTCAGGATTCATCCGCTTTGCGGCTCCGTTGGCCGGTCTGGCCAGGTTAAGATGATTCAGCCTGTGAGAAAAAGATCGGTACCATCTTGGAAGGTCATGGGATATTCGAAGTCTTTGCTCTTCCTACTGCACTCTCCTCTTTGCCTTGTGGCTCCAGCACTGAGTGGACTATGAACTCCTGTGGCTTGGGCTGAATAAAAGGCTATTGACATAGAAATCCTAAAAAAATGGAATTTCTAGTCCACTTTTAGCAAAAGAGATTGGGGCGTAACTAGAGATTTGTCCGATTGGCCTCGGCATTACCTGCAGACCGTGCTGAGCCTCCCCATTTCTAGCTCTACCCCTCCTTTTCCTTACTCCCCCCCCCCTCCGTGAGCGAACAAAAAAATTTTGTTCGCTCACGGAGGGGGGTTAATTTTTTTTTTTAAAAAAAATTTATATATATAAATTTTATAAAAAATATTTTTTTCGAAAATTTAAAAAAATCCTAATTTGCAAAAATTGGGAAGCAAATATTAATTTAATTTGCAAAATTTATGTTTTAAAACGCAATTTGTTTAAAATTAAACAGAATTAGCTCTAGATTTCATTATACTAATTATCACTTATATATCAAAATTTTTTTCCATTAAAATTTTTTCTATTAAAAAAAATTTTTGTTCACTCACGGAGGGTGGGTTTTTTGGTCAAAAAATGGCGATTTTTCTAATGGTTTTGTTCGCTCACGGAGGGGGGGGGGGGGAGTTAAGGTAAAATAAATCTGAAAGCAGACTTCTTAACACTGCTGGAATTGCTTAACTATCGTTGCTGTCAATTTCTGGATTTGCCGAATTTAATCAAATATATACCTGCTGAGACGCCGTATTTAATTATCCTTCAACAAAATCAATTCTTTCACTTGTGGTTAAATCTTCTATTTCCAAAATTGGTGCTAACTCTTCCCTCCATGAGCTTGGGTTATTTTTTTTCAAAAATGAGAAAGTAAAGGTTAATTTAATTTATAAAATTTATTATTTTTCAAACTAGCTAGAGTGCTATTTAAACAGTTTTCACACTGAATCGATTAATTTTTTATTTAATTCTTCATAAAACAAATAAAATTCAAAGTATTTTGCTTAACTTATATTTTTTAAAATTTTAAAATGTTTTTAAAGATGAAAATAAATTAATTTTGACTTAATTTAATGAAAATAAATGCAGTTAGAATGCAATTAAAACATTTTTCAGATTGAACCGATTAATTTTTTAATTTCTGTTTAAAAAATAAATTAAAATTGAATACTAATATCAAAATATTTTTAATAATTTTTTATATAATAAAATTTTTTGTTTGCTCACATGGAGTAAGCATAATTTAGTCAATAAAAATGAGTCTAAATTGCTTACTGGGTCACCTCCAACAATTTTTTCTGGTTTAATTTTAAAACCAATCCACTTCCCATTGAGGTACAACGAAAAATGATGCTTTGCAGGAGGATGAGGATCTTGTATATCATATAATTCAAAATTTTCTCTTAAAGCTGTCAAGAACTGCTCTGCAGTCAATCCATTCAAATCTCTCAAAACTCTATTATAATCAAAAATTTTAAGCTGATTATGTGGGAAATGCAAAGCCAAGAAATATTTGCTGCTTTTAGCTGGTTTTTCTCCTTTTTCTTCAGCTCTTTTTTGTCTGATTTTCCCTACATTGAAGGCTGAAGCAGCTCTATGATGTCCATCAGCAATATAAGTATGAGGAATAGACTTAAAAAGCTCAACTAATTCCCGAGATTCCTCTATTGTGCACTTCCATAAGACATGCCTTATTCCATCCTCAGTCGTTGTATCTATAAATGAAGCTCTTGCAGCAACATTTCTGACGAGGGCATCAATCTCATCTACTGCTTCATAAGTAAGGAATACAGGACCAACATTGGCACCTTGGGTGTCTGTGAGTTTAGTCCTGTCTTCTTCTTTCTTTTTTCGGGTAAGTTCATGCTTTTTGATGCGGTTGTGCTCGTAATCTTTAACCGATGCTCCAGCCATAACTCCGTATTGTGTTCTTCCATGCATGGTAATTGCGTAGACATAAATAATTTCGCTTTCTTCTTTAATTAGTCAGCCATTTTCAACAAATTTCTTTAAATTGTCATGGCCTGTTTGGTAGACAATTTCAGAATATAGATCGGCATCATGAGGAAGATCTATTTCTGGCTTATTGCAATGCAAAAAAGAATATTGGTTGCCTTCAGCCATTGCACGAGCTTCGTCACTGTCAAGAACGTCATAAGGTGGAGCAATTAGCTTGTGGGCTATTCCTTGGTCAGCAACGTACCCATGAAATGCACGAATTTTTACCATTATTAAGATTTTGTATCAAGTAGATTAGATAAAACGGTAAATATTATCATAATTATAATTTTTTTGGTTTAGATTTAACACTTCTTGATCTGAAAATTTCCCTCTGTTACAAACTGACCTGTATAATCTGCAGTTTAATAAACATCAACTATAGCCTATGTCTGTTTGAAATTAAGATTTTTTCAATTATTTTGATTTTTCTAATTGCTTCTAATAGCCATGAACACTTTTAAAAGTATGCCTTTAAGATACATTTCCTCTATGTCAAAATACATACTCTGCAAATTTTGTTCAATTATTTGTTTTACCCTTCCAAGCTAGTTTGTTGTGCATCCTTAACTATTTCAACCTATCACACAAGGCCAATCTCTTTTTCTTTCAAATTGTATAGGCTCATATATCTCATTTTCTCTTATACACTTTTTCTTAATTTTTTAATATAAATCCAAGTTATGTCACAAACTCCTAAGCCAGAGCTCATTGTCATCCCAAATAGGCTCCAACCTTCAATTAAAGGTCAAACTCTCAACCAAACTCCCGGAATTTATTTTTCTGAAAAACCAAAAAAAATATTAGGATCTTACAAAAAAGCCGCGCTCCTCATGAAAGTCCAAGGGACTGAGGTTCCTTCACACGACGACTATTCATAACGACTATTTTTTTTTGGCCTATTTTTTTTTGCCTATTTTTTTTTGGCCTATTTTTTTTTTGGCATATTTTTTTTGGCCTATTTTTTTTTGGCCTATTTTTTTTTGGCCTATTTTTTTTTGGCCTATTTTTTTTGGCCTATTTTTTTTGGCCTATTTTTTTTGCCTAGCCTCATTCATGAAGCTGCTGAGAGTACTAAAACCTTATTGAGAAACAGAGGCCTTTCCTTACGCGATTAATATTGAGTAAATTAAGTGAAAAACTCCTAATTAAATCTAAAATTCTCGAAATTTTAAAAGCAAATGAATTAGTATTCATGGAGTAAGAAATCTGTTGAGGTTGCATTTTTTGTTGGTTAAATCGTTTAAAACACATTAAAAATTAGATTAAAACAATTAGTATGGAATTATGCCCAAATATTAGTAAAAAATAGTTAAAAAATTGTCAAAAAAAAGGCCAAAAAAATAGGCCAAAAAAAAAATAGGCCAAAAAAAAAAATAGGCCAAAAAAAAATAGGCCAAAAAAAAATAGGTGAAAAAAAAAATAGGCCAAAAAAAATAGGCCAAAAAAAAATAGGTGAAAAAAAATAGGCCAAAAAAAAAATAGGCCAAAACAAAATAGGCCAAAAAAAAATAGTCGTTATGAAATAGTCGTCGTGTGAAGATACGAGGGACTGAGCTTCTGAAAGAGGAATATGAAATATTTTTTAAGTACTTGGAAAATTTCAAAAATATCCAATCAAAATTCCTCGAAAGAAGGGAAGCTCAAATACAATCAAAAATAAGCTCGTTGCAAAATTTAAATACAGATATCGAATTAGAAAGTACAAAAATTAAAGAAATAGAAATCGAGCTCGAGAAAACAAGAAACAATAAACTTGCTAGGATTTTTGAACTCAAAGGCAAAATAGCACAAGAAAAAAACCAATTAGAGTTTCTCCGTCCAAAAAGAGAAGCGCTTGAAAAGTTATCAATTGAAAAAAGTATAGATCTTCAAAATATTAGAGAAATTAAGCAAGCTGCACAAGCAAAACTTCAAAATTCAATTGCAGAAAGAGATAAAATAAAAAGTTTAGTCTTATCTCAGCAAGAGGAAATTGAAAATCTTGAAATAATAAAGCAGTCTTATGCTGAAGAGATTGATAACTTACAAAGACAAAGGCTGCAAGATTATGCTGAAATTAAGGTGCTACATAATAGGCTACAAGAGCTAAAAGGAAATATAAGGGTCTTCTGCAAAATTCGGCCATTGTTGGAAAATGAAATGGAAGAGCCAGCAAATATTGAAATTGATAGAAAACTCATCACAATTCATAAACCAGATAAAGCAAATTCTTTTAGATTCGATAGAGTATTTGGCCCACAAGTCACAATTGATGAGCTGTTTGGAGAAATTTCCCAGCTCGTTCAAAGTGCTTTAGATGGCTATAAAGTATGTATTTTTGCATATGGACAGACTGGGTCAGGAAAAACTTATACAATGGAAGGTCCAAAAGATTTTATGGGGATTTCACAAGGAAAAGGGATTATTCAGAAATCAGTTGAGCAGCTATTTCAGAGCAGTGAAAAATTGAAATTACTTGGGTGGAATTTCAATTTCCAAGTTTCAATTATAGAAATTTATAATGAGCAGATCTTAGATTTACTGGAAAACTCAAAAAAGATGACAGCATTTAGCGTATCAATGATAAATCCAGTTTATATTGATATATACAGCTATGAAGATTTATACCCTCTTTTAACAAAAGCAAGAAAACAACGATCAGAGGCCCAAACTTCATGCAATGCTCATTCATCAAGATCTCATTGTTTATTTCAATTAAAAATTAATGGGAGAAAAGGCATTGAAGAAATTAATGGTACATTAAATTTAATCGACTTGGCCGGATCTGAAAAGTTAAAGAATTCTAATGCAGAAGGTGATAGGCTAGAAGAAACAAAAAATATAAATAGGTCTTTAAGCGCGCTAAGAGATGTGATTCAAGCCCTTGTTGAAAAACGTGGATATATACCCTTCAGAAATTCCAAACTCACGACCATTTTACAGAATTCATTAGGAGGCGATGGAAAAACCCTTATGTTTGTAAATATTTCTCCTCTTGCAATAAACTTGCAGGAGACGATTTATAATTAAAAATATGGCGTCTCAACTTGGGTCTGGCCTTTCGGCCAGACAGTTTCGAGCCCTATTTAATTATATCCGGCAAGGTTTTGCCTAGCTAGAGATGGACAGCAATATCAGGTAAGCAATTCTGGCAGTGTACAGAGCCTGATCCTAGTCCGTTCTCAGGTTAGGATTTTACCTCGAGGGAAGAGGGAGCTTGGAGTTGGAAAGGGGAAGCCCAGCAGTGCCTACAGGTAATCCCTAGGCCAATCGGACAAATCTCTAGCGAGAAACCGGGAGTTTCGCCCGGGCTACAAGTTTTCCTCTTTTGCTGGAAGTCGGCCAGAAATTCCATTTTTTGGAATTTCCCAGCAGACAACCCCCCGTTACAGAGAAAGTAGCTCATTCATGAGCCGTCGAAGCCGGAACATTGCGCAGGAGGCGCGCGTTGGAGATCAAAGCTAGCTGTCCCAGCAACTAGTGGGCCCCGAGCGACGAGAGCGTGGTGGTAGTCCTGGAAGAGAACCCCGTAGGAGACGTTAAACGTCATGGTTAATAAGTTAAGTTAAGTTGCAGGAGACGATTTACTCATTACTGTTCGCACAAAAAGTCAATATTTGCTCACTTCCTCATCAGGGTATTAATTAATGACCATAAAATCAAAATAAATGCTAATTTATTTCTGTTATAAAATACTAATTTAAAGCCAATATTGTTATTCTAAATTGCTACTAGAAGTTATTAAATGCAAAATTAACGCTTGAAATGCTGATTATCTTATATAAACTGATAAAATGGAAGTGGAGAGCCTATTAACAGGGAAGATAGTCAAGCGAAAACCATCATGGACTCACTTTTTTTTGCAAGAAAACTGGAAAGATAGGACATCTCAAAGCTTATTTTTCATCAGAATCTTTATAGTCGTTGCTTTTGGCACCCTTATCGTTGCAAATGCAATAACTGGAATAACCTTACAATCAGCCAATGTAGATTGTATATGAGATGGGCTATTTCAAGCTACTCGGCCCATAAATCAATTTTTTAGAGAGAATGAAACTCCAAGGAGCATCATGCTTATTATTTCCTCTTTTCTAGTAGATATACTTGTAGTAAACTATGCTACCAATTTTATCCTTTGGGGAAAAACATGAAGGACTGCAATTTGTCTTTTTTGTTTTTATGCTTTTAGAGGGCTCATACAGAATATCTTTGTTATGGAATTTCCTTATGGGCAAGCTTGGGGGTATCCTGGTTTTCCTTCATTGACAGTATCTTACTATGTGACAAATGATTTTTTCTTTTCAGGGCATGTAGGCGTCATAACGATTTTGTCATTAGATAGTCATGCGAGGGGTAAAAGGGGTCTTATGTGGATATCAATTGCGACTGTTTTTATCGAGTTTTGGGTTATGATATTTTTGAGGGGTCATTATACTATTGATTTAATTTCAGGGATTCTAATTGCTCATTATATGTGGATTATCAGCAAAAAAGTAAGCAGAGCGTTAGATAGGATATCGGGATATAAGAGACCATCAAATGAGTACGGGATTGACAATGGAACTGAATTCTCTAAAATTTAACACAATAATTTATAGTTTTTGTAAAAAAGATTCTAAAAACACCCATTGGCTTAATATATTATTTAATATATACTTATAAACACTTAAATTTATTTAAATAACGTTTGCAATCAATTCATAATGGGAGTAAAGAAAAAAGGTGACAAAAAAGGAGTCAAAAAAGGCAAGGCAAAGAAAGAGCCAGAAAATCCTCTAGCTAATTTATCAGTTGAAGAGCAATATAATGCTAGACTAGTTGAATGGAGATCACTTCAGCAAATTCTAATCCAAGAAACTGAAGCAGCTGATAGAGAAAGAGCTTCTGAAAACGAACTAAGAGCCAAAGTTAATATACTCTGTAATGATTTATAGCTTAATGGATGAATTCTTCCTATTTCCCAGCTATAGAAAATAATTACTATGGAAATCTGGCCTTTAGATTGCTTCTAATAAGGATAAATTTAGCCAATAAGTTATAGAAGAAGAAAAGAAAAGGACTTGGGACGTCACTTGTGACATGACCAGACAATATAAATCAATGCAACAAGAAAAAGATGAAAAAATCAAAGTTTTAGAAGAAAGAATTGAACAAAACCAAGTGAAAATCCAGCAAAGAGACTCGCAGCTGCAAGAAATTATGAAAGAAAAAGAAGGAGTTTTGAGAGAGAAAGAAGAAGAAGTTAAGGAGCTAAGAAAGAAAATTGATGATATGTCTTCTAGGTTTGCAAGCATACTTAAGGATACTCTTGATCAGATGAAAGAAAAAATTGAGATGGTCAACAAAAACTGGGAAGAAGAAATGGAAGTTCCTATGCTCAAAAAACTTGAAGATTTTGCTCATTAGAAAAACTGCTTGCTTCCTCTCTCCATATATGAGCAAAGCCATTTTTGGGGACAAAAAAAATTCCTTCCAATAGTAAGCAAAAAATTTTTAATATAAATATTTTTATACAAAAGTATTTTAATATAAGTGATATTTATATAACAAATCTCAAGCTAATTCTATTAAATTTTAAATAGCTTGCATTCTAAAACAGCCTCTAAGAGGTAGCAAGGAAATTTTGCTCGTTCACTAGGAGGAAGGAGTTAGATATTTAGTTAAATCATTAAAATTACCGATTTGAGGCTTTTTTCGAAAAATGGTGTCTCTCTGCAAGAATAGATGATGCATTTCGCTTCAAGTTTAGAGAGGAAAGAGAATTTGAATTCTCTTTATGTCTTAATAAACTAGGATTTCTTTTATGTTCAATCACATTATTTAATCCTCTTGAAAAATTCGTATACACAGGTACTGCTTTTCTTCCAATATTTGTGTTTTTATAATTACTCTCGCCTGCGGTATCATAATATTTTTCCGTCTCAAAAATTTTGGTAAATTCTCTTCTGTGTAGACTGCGGGTTTTTCTATGAGAAATTGATTTCCCACTTGACAAAGAAAGTGACGGCTTGTGATGTGGAGTTCTTTGGTGAGCTACAATAATCCTGCTATCTTCAGTTACATCATCTTTTTCTCCTAATGTAATTTTTGTTAATTCGTTTACAGTTATTGGGGCAAATTCTCGTCTTCTTATAACAGAAATAACCCTGTTTGAATTAACTCGTCGATATATAATGAATGGTTTTGGGATAATTTCGGTAGGCTCTTCAGGCTTTATGTGCAACGGTGTGATTTTCTTACTTGGTGGATCTTTCATTCATGGTTCAAAACTTGAATCGTGGCTGGGGTTCACTTCTTCTGCTATATGCTTAATTTTTTTGAACGAAAAAAACTATTGGAAAATTTTCTTTTTTTTTGGTAAATAAATAACAAATTTTAATTTAAATTATTTTATGAGATCTTTAATAAATATATAAAATTTAAACAAACTGCATTTTGAAACATAAATTTTGTAATTAAAATCAATTGGAATTTTTTGAATTTCGAATAAGAAATTTACTCCAAATTTTATTTATAATTATTTTAAATAATTTGATCACCCTCAAAAATTTTTTTGTTTAAAGGAGGGAGCAGTTAGTTATAAAATTGTTTTTGAATAGGTGGATTGATGATTTAAGCAAATTATATCGCTTTTCTTCAGCAATCTTCCGAAGACCTTCAATTGACATTTATTTTCCTTCCTAATTTATTGATGGATATTTAATAATGCTGGCGTGATTGAATTACTTTTATGCATTATTTTGCTGAAATTAAATAGAAAATTAATATGGCCTTTTGTCAATTTAATTCTTTATTTAAGTTTAAATCTAAGAACTAGCTAGGCAACAATTAATCAAATAAAGTTTTACATTATAATTTGTGTCTATAGAATCCCATTACTGTATCGTTGAAATGCATCATATCTATTTGTTCTCCAATTATTAGCTGCATTATAGACTAGTGAATCAATTAACGCTATGCATTTTTCATCAGTTTTACTCAGATGGAATCTTTCTCGAAATTCATGAACAGCTCTATCAAAATCTCTAAAGCAAGGTAACTTTCTTCCAGGAGCCATCATAGAAATTAGAATTTCTAGCTTATCAACGTGTTTTCTTAATTCTAAAAACCCTTGTATAAGCAAGCATTTATAGTATCTAAACATTTCGCTGTCCATCCCACCCATAAGTTCTATCATTTCTTTTGTAAGCTTGAATGGGGCTGTTTCAAAATTAATATTACCTCCTGGGCTGTTTGTGAATAGGAAGCCAAAATCTATATGAATTATATGGCCAGCTCCATCAATTAAGATATTCCCATTATGACGATCCTTAATGTTTAAGATGTAGCATAAAAGCGAATATCCAGCTAAACTATCAATAAAATTTTTTTGGGCTTCTTCAAAATTATTCGACCATGTCGTCAAATAAAAATCTAATAGTGAAGAATAATTTTTTGAATTTTTTTTAATTGCGTGTATAGAAAGGGTGTCAGGCATAAATTCAATCATCCCCATATTGTGCGACACAACTAAAATGTCATAAGGCCTTAAAAAAATTGAGAGATGGGCTTCATCAAAAATCAGCTTCAATTTTTTTATAAATTGCATTGCAAGATATTCCTGCCGAAGGTCATCAAGTCCTTTAACAATTATTGCTCTCAGCTTTCAAGAATTATACTGCCCAAACGACGAATTATTTTTTATTCTTTTTGATAATTCTGACCAAGACTCCCCTCATGGGCTGTCTGGAGCACTTGAATTATTGACATTATTTTCTGAATCCTCGACAACACTGTTTCCTTCCCTTTCTGTTTTTTGGACTTCTTCAGCGTAATCTTCAAACCCTTGAAACCTCTCATTTTCTTTATTTACCATTTTATCAACTTGACTGACATCAATTTCTTCTACTTCTTGGTCAACTGTAATATTAACTCCATTGGTTTCTATCTGAATACGGTCTGTCATAGTTGGCTCTATTTCACTCATTTCTACTGTTTCCATTAACAGCTTATAAGGAACTCTTGCTTTTGTACAGAAGCAGCATGACTCCTCACTAATGATTTTTACAACTTGGCTTATTTCTTTATCAGGATTTTCAACAAATTTAAACGGGATAAAAATTCCTCGAAAAATTCTTTTAGCGTAGTCTGAATAAATGCCATCATGGTATTTTTGTTTGGTTTCTTTTAGCCAGCTGTCCATCCCTGAAAGCCAATTTTTTAACTTTTCATTTCTTTGCTCAAGTGGGATTGTTAATAGTGCGACTGAGATTTTGCATAATAGTCCTATTGATTTTTGCTGATAGTTGAAATAGTCATTCCTGATACTTTTTCTTGAAAATTTTTCGATTTCTGATTCTTCAAGATCAAGATATACAAATAAATGGTGACTTATCCGACCAATCCCTCCCATACCCTCGTGATTTGGGTCTAAAGCCTGGAACTTGTGCCCGGTGTGGCTTTTTCTCCCTGATCGGGACACCGCCACGGGATTTTTACTCCGTACTATAGTACTATAGACAAGGAAACCGACTCCATATGTGAAAACTCCACACTTCTAAGTACGAAGGTAATGGGTATCAGAAGGAGGATTCAGAATTGTGTTCTATCTCCATCCCCAGATAGATCATGCTGACTACTAGGAGTTGTCCAAGAAATTGTCTGGGTGCGTCTCCCTGAGAGATGGCGAAGCCACCTTTTTTTGGTGACATCTATAGAAAGGGTGCTAGAGAAAACCGATGCCTAGGATAAGAATTTTGAAGCTGGCGAAGGCAGAGAGGGGCCCGAAGACCCATTCAAACTTATAATAATATAATCTGATTAAGATCAAGAGGAAATAAATGTGGAGTCTCTGTTGAATTGCTTTGCTTAGGAAGGGTAGCATTAACAATAACCATTTCTAAGTCATGGCTTATACGCTCAAGTTTATCTTGTTTATTCGGAATTTCATCATTTAAGGCACCATTTAAAAATCAGTAAAATTTTATTGCAAAATCGTGAGATTTGATGCTAGATTCTAAAAAAAATCGCTCTAAATCTTCTGAGTCTTGTCTTTCAATTATAAGATTCATGAGCTGTGGAATATAAAAAGAAATATCTTCAAGAGGGAATGTGTAGAGTTTATTGACAAGAAAACTGCGAATTCCAGGCTCTTCACGCTTGTGTAAATAATATAGAAGATGCTCTAATGTGAAATATTCTGAATTGAAAAAGCGGAGTAAAGACCCATCACTGGACATATTAGTGATAATTAAATATCATTTTTAGCATCCATTAGTTCAATCTTAACTTAGCTTACTACTTATAACGCTTAACGTCCACTACGGGGTTGGCAGAGCCCAGACCTCCGCTCGCCTTTCGTCGCATCGGGCCCACAGACCTCTGGACCGGTCCGCTTCGTTCACCAAGGTGCGCCTAGGGGCAAGTGTTGCCGGCTTCGACAGCTCATGGATGAACTACTTGCTTGTGACATGGGTTGCCATTCCGAAAACCCAAAAAATGGATTTTCTGGTAGGCTTTCGGCAAAAAGGAGAAACACATAGCCTGGGACGTAACGCCCAGTTTCACGCTAGGGAGTTGCCCGATGGGTCGTGTGGACTCTGCTGGGCTTCCCCTTTCCAACTGCCGTGCTCTCCTTCCCCACGAGGAAAAAACCATCTCTGAGAGTAGACTAGGGCTAGGCTCTGTACTCCACCAGAATTGCTTACCTAGCATTGCCGTCCATCTCTGAAATAGCGAAACCTTGCCGGATATAATTAAAATATGAGTCGAGCTGCATGGTCAGAGGCCATGCCCAGACGAAGACGCCATATTTTAATTATTCCATTAGTTCAATCAAATAATAATAATAAAATAAGATTAACATTGTCTAAACATTTCAACCTGAGTAGTTTTCAAAAAATAGAAAATCCCTATAATTGTTTTAATTAAAGGGAGTTAATCTCTCTTATTTTCATAAGAAAATCCTATAACTATTTAAAATAATTATGCAAATATAAGCCAGTTCTTTTTAAATTCAAGATAAATAGGCTCAAGTTAAAATTTAATTTAATCTTCGTATTTATAAATAATGGAACTCGAAGGACTTGTCCCAAAAGCTTTCCTCATCATTGCTGGAATCTCAATTCTTTGCTGCCTCGCTAGGCCAGATTTCAATTTGCCACTATTTGTATTTGCTTGGCTCATATGGTCTGAAGCTGACAAGGTGATAATTTATGTAGTCTCAAAGAATCAGGGTTTTCTATTTAATGATCATTACTTTTATTGTTGATTTTATTTGGCTTTGCTACTGGGGATCTGTTTGGAATAATGAAATTGACTCAGGAAACTGGGAATCTGGAGTCCATCACTTTGTGTTTGCATTATGTGTCATCAACTTTATTATTCTGCATTGAGCTAATTTTAAGATTTTATTTAAATTTTTCATTAAAAAAAATTTAATGCCAATACAATCTTTTTAGGCATATAAAACTTGCGGCAATTGTTCTTGCTGGATTAACAGAAAAAGAAAACTTCAAAGAAAATCTCCCAAGCGTATTCAGTAGAGTTTTAGGCTAATAGCTCCCTAACTTTTCTTAAGCGTTAATAAAAGAAAAAATTAAATTAAGCTTAGTTTAAAAATTAAATCTAAAAATAAAATCAGGCTACAAATGAAATAAGATTAACCGAGCTTAAGACTTATCATAGCTTTAATTATGCTTTTCTTATTTTTTTTTCAATTTTTAAATTATAATTGATCTCAATCTTGAAGAAATCTTTATAAAAGGACTTTGATATAAATATGAGTGAGCGAATGGAAGTAGAAGAATCAAAGCATCAGGTTTTGGCAATTGAAGAAGATGATGAACTAGAAGAGTTTGAGGATGAAAATTGGGGGGAAAGCAAAGAAGAAGAGTTTGATATACAGCAGTGGGAAGAGGACTGGGAAGAAGAACAGCCAGGAGATATGTTTACACAGCAGCTTCGCCAAGAATTGCTAAAGCCTTAATTCAGTATAGTCATAACTAAATTGCAACAGTTAAATGTGAAATAATAAGAATGGCAATTTTGGGAGATACAAAAATAAACAAATAATATTGGCGCATTAGACCTTTTTATATTATATTTTACCTAGTATCGACTCTAATTCATTACATAAATTTTATCAAAATTTTTTCAATTTTTTATTAGCAATTTATCAATATTTCTTTATCTTCAAGGGTTGATTCCTCTATAAAGACTACTAGCTCTCTTCCGTGAGCGACCAAACATTTTTGTTCGGATGAAGCAGGGTTAATTTTTTTTTATGAAATTTTTATATAAATTTTATAATATAGTTAGTGACACTGACTATAGTTTTTTTTTTCGAAATTTAAAAACATCCCAATTCGCAGAAATTGGAAACAAATATTTATTTAATTTCTTTAAATTTATTTTTTAAAATGCAAGACGTTTAAAACTAAGCAGAATTAATAAGAGGAATCATTATAAAAATTATCACTTATATATCCAAATTTTTTTCATAAAAATTTTTTGTTCATCACGGAGGGTGGGTTTTTTGGGCAAAAAATAGGGATTTTTCCAATGATTTTTGCTCGCTAACTGAGGGGAGGAATAATAATCCTAAAACACAAAGAATTAAAAATTAATCCCATCATCCACGTGGAATTATAAATGGCAGCTGGCGAGGAGATTGATGCTCAAATAAGCCGAGAAAACGCTAGAAAAGGAGCTATGAAAGCTAACAAAAAGAAACCAAAAAGCAACATGAACACCTACATCGCCATCGGAATCTTTGGAGGAATAATGGCAATCGTTATCGGTATCTTGATTTTCAATCCAGAAGTCCCACTTCATCTCACCCCAGCCGTTGACTCTACCTTTATTGAGTCTCAAAACGCCTTAAAGCTTGGCTACACCCTCAAAGAAAACACATATTTCAAGGACTGGAATCTCAAAGATGTGACCCAGGCTTCACAAACTTACATTTCTCAACAAGCCAAAACACTGACTCCTTGCCAGACTTATCTTAATGAAGGAGGACTTGTCCCAGACCATTATGATGTCAGAGAAGAATTCCCTCACTGCATGTCTGATATTTATGTCCAAGGAAACTGCTCATCATCTTATGCATTGGCTGTAGCTTCAAGTTTGAGTGAAAGATTTTGCATCCATAGCCAAGGAGCTGTTCTGGTGAACTTAAGTGGACAGGATTTGGTTTCCTGTGACAAAAAGAATAACGGTTGCACACAAGGAAATATTGATTCTGTATGGAATTATATAAGAGACGTTGGACTTGTCGAAAGCAAAGTTTTCCCTTACACTTCAAAAGATCTTACTGCTCCTGGATGTCCTGAAAAGCTAGAAGACGCCACTTTTAAGGTCAGTGAATTTTGTGCAAGTGCTACAGAGGCTGCTTTAATGAGAGAAATTAAGAAAAATGGACCTGTAGTTGGCATAATGCAAGTATTTACAGATTTCTTAGTCTATGGGGGTGGGGTTTATAGGCCACATATTGCTGCCACAAAGGTTAAAGGTGCTCATGCAGTCGAAGTCTTAGGCTGGGGAACTGATGAAAATCAGCAGCCTTACTGGATTATTAAGAATAGCTGGGGACCTGAATGGGGAGAGAAAGGATATGCAAAAATCGCTAGAAATGTCAAAGAAATTAGTCTGGAAGATTTCGTAGTAACTGGAACGCCATTTATTTCTACAGAATCAGCAAAGCCTACTGGTATTCCTGTTGAAGTAGAAGATATTGAAGACCTCAATGCACAAAAGAAGGATGAGCCTGAAATAGTTAAAATTGAAGAAAAGCCAAAGACTGAAACCAAAGCATCACAATAATCGCAATAAGTTAACCAATAAGCTAAATCATTAGTTTATAGTCTTTTATTCTTATATACATTAGTATATTTTATCTTATAATTTATAAAATATCACAAACAGCATATATTTACTCTTTAAAACACATTATAAATTTTTTAACTATAAAATCCAATATGGAGAAATTAAAATTCAAAAAATTTTGGTGATGCGAAGCTTCATTATTTTCAAATTATTAAACTATTCAAATCTATGGGAAATAAAAGCATGCTTTTCTATTTTTTGCTCATACTTTATGCAGCCCAAGGCCAACTTGACTGCCAAACCTGCATGATTGCAGCTGGGGCTCTTCAATATCTTCTATCAAATTCTTTATTTCAAGGCACATTAAAGAATTATTTGATAGACATATGCCAGAAAACGACAGATCCTAACTATTGCAATACAATTGGAAGCTTAGTACTTGGAGAAGTGGCTGATGTATTGCAAAGGAGATTTGTGAATGGAATTTTCCTATGCTCTAGACCAGGAATTTGCAATTCAGCAGAATATATACTTGAAGATTTTGAGAGCTGGGCTAAGAATGCATTGAAAAATACCCCTGATTATCAAATTCCTATAAGAAGTCTAAACTATTTGCATTTTGCTCAAATTTCTGATATAAGGCTTGATAGGAAATATATATCAGGCGCCTCAAATTTGTGCTCCTCAGGGCCATGCTGTCGAAAAGGCACACCTAAAAACACAAGCGACACAGCAGGCCCTAATGGAGATTATAACTGCGAATTGCCGTTGCCAACTTTGCGAAAAGCTTTAGATTCAATCTCTCAAAATAATCCAGATTTTATTATTTGGAATGGCAATAGTGTCGCTCATGACTTGTTATTGTCATCATCAGACAGACTTAATGTGATTAAAAACGTCACCCAAGAGATTTTGAATAAATTTAACTCGTATCTTACCCCTGTCTTCCCGATTTTTGGACCTTTAGACTGCTATCCAGAGCACCAATATGATTTTAGTGCTGATTCTTATTTTTTGAAAAGCCTGACTAATTTATGGTCAATATGACTAGGCAAGCAAGGAGCTGCTCAATTTGCTGAAAAAGGGGTTTATTCAGTACAGTATAAAAATACAAATTTAAGAATAATTGGGCTGAATACACTTTCTTGTGATATAAATAATTTTTACCTGTTTGCTAATGTTACAGATCCAAATGGATATATTTTATGGTTGAATAATGAGCTGGCTAATGCAGAAATGTATGGTTATAAAGTCTATATTATAGGAAATATTGCTCCAGGGTCAAAATCATGCGTAAATAGCTGAAGTAAGCATTATTCTGTATTAATGGAAAGATATCAAAATACTGTTATGGGCCAATTTTTTGGTGGTGAAAACAGAGATGAATTTAGGATAAATAAAGGCTATTTTTCAAGCAAGCCAACAGGCATCCAATTTATATCTCCCTCACTTTCACCATATAAAAATTCAAATCCATCATACAGAATATATCAAGCTGATGCCCTTTCTAAAGTTATCATAAATTATACTCAGTATCGTCTTAATTTAACCGAGGCTAAACCTTCATTTTTCCAAGCTTATGATTTCCTAAGCTTTTATAAGGTCGAAAATATGCTTCCACCTACAATCTTAAACCTATCAGCAAAAATAAAAAAATACGAATTATTAATGATGAAATACGTGACAAACAAATACACAAATGGTCCAGATACTCCCTTAGGATGTAAAGCTCAATGTTTAAACGATTTTTACTGTGAGATCACAAATGACAGACAAGAAGAAGTTGAAAAATGCCAAGGCATAGGAGAATCCATTAAAGAGTTTCTATTAAATTCTCTTTATGGAAAATGGACTTATATCGTAGAGCGTTAATATTTACTTAATTCCGATTAATAATGATTAATCTCTTATTAAAATTTTAAAAATGGACATTCCAAATATCCGCCATCCAACATCTTTAGAAGATTTCGAGCTTCTAAGCGTCCTCGGCCACGGTTCTTATGGAAAAGTGCTTCTTGTAAAAAAACGGGACACCCAAGCACTTTACGCAATGAAAATTCTCAAGAAAAAGCACTTAGCCGTGAAAAACCAAATTCAGCATACTAGAACAGAAAGATGGATATTAGAAAATATTAAACATCCATACATTGTAAAGCTGTACTATGCATTTCAAAACTCACAGAAACTCTACTTATTAGTTGATTTCTGTCCCGGGGGAGAGCTCTTTTTCCATTTATCCCGAGCCAAGCGGTTTGATGAAAATCGGGCTCGGTTTTATGCTGCCTGCATAGTGCTAGCGTTAGACCATCTTCATAAACAAAACATCGTATACCGTGACCTAAAACCAGAAAACGTCCTTTTAGATGCTGACGGATTTATTAAGTTAACTGATTTCGGGCTATCAAAAGATATGAGCAATAATTGCTTGACCAAAACTTTTTGTGGGACCCCTGAATATTTGGCGCCAGAAACTCTGACTAAGCAAGGACATAGTTTTGAAGTGGACTGGTGAAGCTTAGGCTGCATGATTTATGAAATGCTTATAGGCTTGCCACCATTTTATACTAAAAGAAGAACAGATATTTATAGAAAAATCCTTTCAGAAGAAATTAAATATCCTGCATCGTTACCTGAAGAAGCTTCAGATTTATTGCGTAGACTGTTGGTAAAAGACCCTAAAAAGAGGATGGGGTCTTCACCTCTAGGTGCTGAAGAAATAAAAATTCATCCTTGGTTTTCTTCAATTGATTGGGATTTATTAGAAATAAAGCAGGTTTCCCCCCCTTTTGTGCCATTTTTAAGCAGCCCCACTGATTGCAGGTACTTCAGTGAAGAATTTACTTGCTGTCCTGCGAGAGATAGCACAGTTTATGATGGCAGTTTGCTGAATTTGACGAATTCGCCGACGTATGAAGGTTTCGCTTATACAATAAGTCCTCAGTTGTATAGGAAAAATCAAGATGAAGGACAAGTACCGAGACAAGCTGAAAATCTGATATTGAGATATATAAGAAATTAAGCTATTAAAGATGATATATAAAATGGATAATCTTGAGAATGAGATTATTGAAAAACATTATGAGCCTATAGACACAAAGCTGGCAGTTGTCTATTCTTTGTGCATTTTCCAATTAATTTCAGTTGTTTTTCTGAAGAATTGGAGAGAAAGTGTAAAAAATATTTAGATTGTTCGATATTACTCAGCGATTTTGGTATTTGTCACATCTTATTACCAGTTTACAAGCTATGCTGGGAACTATTATAAATACTTCATTGGCTTTTTATTTTTGCTAGAAGGATTTTTGCTTTTATTAAGCATAAAAGACCTGAGATTTAGAAAGGCACTATCATTGAAGATCCCATATGTAAAACTCCGGGTTCATATAAGGACCCCAAACACAATTTTTTCACTATTTTTCTCATCAGTGATAATAGTAAAGGCTATTTAGGGCATTTCTTTGTTTTTCGACCTTGAGGCATTTGATTCTGTTCAATATCAAAGCACATTTTTAGCATATATTTTGTCATTATACCAATTTGTAGCTCCTCTAGAGGAATCAAAAACGGTTTATTGCTTTATCCATCATGCACTGTTCACTCAAATCCCAATGTTTATTAGCTTATTAGAAGTGTTTATTAACCTACAGTCTTTTGCTCTTTTTGACAGACCTGATTTAGCCTTTATTTGTCTAAGTATTTTAGTTACTCATTATTTTCGGCTTAAACCTACAGTAAAGCAATACAAAGCGAAGCCTCCAGCAATCCAAAACCCTAAAGAAGAGCAATTCATAGATCCAGTGATCCAAGAAAGGCCACGAAAAGATGGAGGAATCCAAGGCGAGCCTAAGCTTTCAGTTTATATGGACAACGAAGGAGATTTAGCTAATGAGTTTTATATAGAAAATCACAAAAAAATAACAAAAGTTGCTAAAACTAACTTAAAGAAAATCAGATAAGAAATCTATACATTAAGTATCCTACATCAAATAAATTTCTACCCTTTCTTTCGAAATCTTGAGTAGATTTCAAAATGCCAAAAATATTTAGACTTATAATCTCATAAAGCAATAATATATAATTAACATAGTGTAGGTTTGTTAATCTTCTTCTTTTGTCTTAGGAGTGCTCTGATCCATAAACTTCTGTAAGAATGACTTAAATCCTCTCCCAATCGACGCATAAACCTCAACTGAAGGAGCCACAGTTTTTTCTTTATCATATTTCAAAAGCTCATCAACATAATCACTATTAGTTTCTAAGCTGTATAAGTCAGCGTTCATAAACTTCTTGTGGGTCATTCCTCCAAATATCAATATTTTAGTCCCAAAAGTGCACATACAGTGGCCTCATCTGGCTTCAGGTGCATTTCCATTGACTATAACACTCTCCCAGGTCAGATGTTCCACATTAAAAATATGCAGGTCTCCTAAGCTTGATTCTCCAGTTTCTTTGTACAATAAATCATTTCTTCCGCCAAAAATAAACAATTTTTCATTCATTGAGCATGCTGAGTGGCTATATCGAGGAGTTGGAGGTTTTCCAAAGGATTGGACTTCTGTTCAGACTAGCTGCCCATCACGGACATAAAGTCCATGAAGAGCATTTGTTGGGGTTCCTGTGCTATCTAATCCTCCAAATAAGTAAAAGCCACTGTTCAATATATTTAATTCTTGCTTCATTTTAGATAAGCTTAGCAAAATAAAGTCAAAATTCACTTTCAATGCTTCATTGAAAACTGCTGTGAGTGTAGCATGAGATCGAGGTCCTGGATCTCCATATACTTTTACTTCAGGAAGAGATCATTCTTTGTTTTTTACATCATAAATATATAGATCAGGCAAGGCATGGGAAAGCTGGTCAACTCCTCCATAAACCAGCATGCTTTTTCCTAGCAAAGTGCAAGCATGGTTTCTTCGTGGAGTAGGAATAGATCCCCCTCCATGATATCGTTGCCAATTCATGGTGTCAAAACTTAAAACATACAATTTGTTAGAGCATCTTCTGACTCCTAAGTTCTGGCTATGTCCAGAACATCCACCAAAAGAAATAATTTTTTTCTTATATACAGCTAATGAGCATCCCAGCCTTCCGTTTGGAGAGTAATTTGAGTTCACTTTTCTTCATACACCAGTTATCATATCTAGCTCATGTAAATCAGTGACTTTACCTCTGGACTGCCCACCAAATATATAGATTTTTCTGTTTATCACGAAAAGTGAGCTTCCTTCACTTGAGTTTGGCTTTGAGCCCATTGTTGCTTTTAGGCTTCAATGGACTATTTCCTCTTTTCTTTTTTTAAAATCATTTTGTTCATTTTCTTTAGCAACTTGATCTTCATTTGAAAACTTAGATCGCTTACTGTTATTTTGAGGTAGAAAAAGAGATTGAATATTTGCCCGAGCAGCGAATTTATCTCCAAGCTGGTCTTGCAATATTTTAGAAATTGAGGCTGGCTTTGGGCTGGACGATGGTAAAGAATGTCTAGTATCCAAAGATTTAACCCATTGGAGATTCTGCAAGCGATTGATATTTTCATCAAATGTAGGGCTTATAACTTTGCCTTGGTCGTTTAACGTCGACTTAAAATCATTTAGAAGTTCACGGGTTGGGCTTGTTTTTCCTGAAAACGATGTAGAAGAGGGTTTTTTTACATGAGGGTGAGGAGACTGCACAGGGGAAATTGGCACTCGAATTCTGAACTCTTTCCGAGATGTCACAAGAAGCTGTGTTTCTGGAGATGGTGTATATCGAACTAATCGGAATGGAACAACATCTCCTCCTTTCTTTTTTCTAAGAAGCGTTCTGTCCATATTTAATAATTCTTATTTCAAAAGATTTTGATTTTTCAAATATTCAGTAATGCATCTCAGCATCTTTATTATTTTTTTATTGTAAATCTTGCTTTTATTTTTAGGATTAATTTAGATATTTTAATTTTATTGATATTATAAATAAGAATTGGATGCGAAATAATGCAGCAAACCATTAAGAAAAATATTATGGCTAGCCATAATATGTCAATCGCAAAGCCAAGTTTTCTCTCTCAACTGCATCTCTTTCAGCAGTATCAACTAAGCAAGCCAAAACTTCTAAAATCCTATCACGGCAGCTCAAGTGGAATTTATAAATCATTACCACTCTTAGAGACAATTCCAAAAAAACCGAGTGTAAAGCATGAAAATACTAAAAGAAGGAGCAAATCTGCGATAAAACCCAATTTCAATGACCATGAAAAACTGTACGAAACTTTAAAAATCTCTAATTCAATAGAAAAATTACCGATTTATGGGTTTACAAGCCAAACTAAATTTCCTACTGATGAAATTAACCATCTTTCAAAAATGCGAAATAATATAAGAAAAGCTATTGGAGTAAGACAAAAAGGATTTCCTAGCGTAAAACTCAAAAAAAAGCTCCGAATCGTTGGAAAAGTCGATACAACCCTCGTGACTATTTCCAAAAAAATTTTCAATATCAAGAATCATACAAATTGTATAGAAAAAGAGTTGAAATCAATAAATAACCCCAATTATGCATCTCATAATATGACCAAAATGTCTATAAGTGCAAAAGAGCCTTTTTATGTACAAGTGGTGGCTTCTCCAAGTGTATCAGACTTTGAAGATGATGTATATTTTAAATCTATATATAATTAATTTTTATTAAATTAATTAAAATTGATTATCTACTATCATTACTATTAATAAGCCTAATGTGAAATCTTATAGTTTCTGTTTAACTGAATAGTATTAGATAAATGGAGATTTAATTGCATCATCACTTGCAGCTCGGATCAGAGACATCAACCCGACTTTTCCTCTTTGATAGCCAATATAGCCCATGTACACAAGTCCAGCTGCAACAAATATGTCAACTCCTACAATCACACAAATTTGGATCAGTGCAAATCTATCAACTGAATCCCCTGGAGAAATTGCGATCACAATTAAAAAGTAAAGCTTAATTCCTAGACAAATAGGAGTTAAAATTAAAAATGAAAGCAAGAGCTTCATTTTTTCTTGGGTTGTCTAAATAAAAATTACAGCTAAAATACCCAAAAATGAGTAGCATATCATTATAAAATAGAAAACTCCACATAAAATGAGGCCTCCAAGCCTAAAACTGCTCCAATCTGCAAGGATATAATAAACAAAAGTCCCTGCTGTTAGTGTATATAATAAAAAATCGACTTTTATGACTGATACAAAGGTTTCATATAATTTGAATGCTTTTTCTTTAATTTTCTGCGTCTGTAAATCGTTAGTGATTCTATGCGTGAATCTTTTATATGCGAAATAGAAGGAGAAGAAATAAAAAGCTTGGGAAATGCTAACTCCTTTATTCAATAAATAAATAATCTTTTTATTTTTTTATTTTTAAAGTTTTCTAATTCTTCATCTTCTAGTTTTGTTTCCAAGTTTCATATTTTCATTTTTCTCTTATGAAGTTATCATAAAAATATTTCCTTTTAAGTTCAATAATTCTATTCTATAATAATCATCTTTAATAAATTGAATACTTAATAATAAATATAAGCATTATCATATCAATCATTTATTGTTAATTCATAATATGATGATAAAAAGTAAATAAATAATTTTTAATAAAATCCTGAAAATTTTAATTAAAATCCCAAAAGAGTAAGGACCAGAATTGAGACGAGCGTCAAAGTCATATAATTAGAGTGCTTTATCGTTTGGTAAATCCCATGGAAGCTGAGAATTGATGATATTATCATAAATGCCAATAATTCAAACGCGTTTTCTTTTACAAGAGAATGCCATGCAAAGTATATTGTACCTACCATCAAAACTAAGATTGAGAAAATATAAAATAAGAACTGCGAAGAGGAATCGTTGTAGATGAACACAATAAGAGTTACCAGGAAAATGAGCTCAAGAACTAGTGTGGTTAGCAGGGCGCATGTGATTCTTTCAGCAATCTTTTCTTTCCAAGTGATTTTTACGTCAAAGGTCTCCATTTATTAAGTTAACTCGTTATTGTTGCATAATTAAATATATTCTATTTAGAAATACAAGATTCCGGTATATTATTTTCTGTGTTGTATTATACTATTTAAATTTATTTAGGAAACTAGTTTTTCAATATTAAAAACAGTAGAAAAATATATGGTATTATAGCAAAAATCTGCATATGATTAATCAAAAACTTATATAAAATTATAAACTAATCCAAGTCTTATTTCAATATATATGGATTATTTCAAAAGAGAGTTATATATTACTAAATAAATAATCTAGCAGTTAAGAGAGTTTGCTATGATTTTAGCTGCTTATTCAATTCATCAACAGTGGATTTATATTTCATATTATTAAAATTATTCTTTCAATAAATCTCTGTCAAAGAGAAAGAGCTTAAATTTATTAAAGTCTTGGGAGCTCTAATTTTCTTCCTTCTTTGTTAAGAAAATAAGGTCTTATTGTAGTGTCACCTATACTAGTAATTTTATCAGGAACCCAGCCAACTCCATGCTTGCTTTTAGCTATCAGCTTATTTTTTACTGCATTTCTGAAGTTCTCAGCCCTATGATGAATAAGTTGGGATGCTAAATTATATTCCATGATAAAAGACTCCCTATAAGTAATATGTCTCCCTCTTCTAAAAGATTCCTGTGCAATTACTAATGATAATGGACAAATAATTTTCATCCTTTCCAAAGTCTTCAAGCTCCATTCAGTCCCTAGTTCTCTTAGTCTATACATAATATACTCAATCCCTAAATAAGTGTTAAAACAATATATCAGGTCTTTTAAATCTGGCCATATTTTTGACTTATTTTTATTGGGCTCCCTGTGATATTTTTCTAATGTTGGCTTTAAATTCCCTGTTTCATACATTTCATTGATAACTTTATCAACATCTTCTTCTATAAAATATTCTGAAATGCCAAATAAATAGCAATCAACTCCATTAAGTCTGTCTCCTGTAAGTGATAAATATAAGCCTAGCTCTGGAGGATTTATTCTACTTAAATGATAAGATGCACCGATATCAGGGACAAATCCTATAGTCACCTCAGGCATAGCCCATAGTGTATTTGGGGTAGAAACTCTAATAGAGGATGACCAAGACAGCCCAACACCTCCTCCAAACGTAATTCCATTCATAAAAGCGACTCTCTCAGTTGGTAATGATGACGCAAAATATGCTAATTTATAAATAGACTCAAATGCCATCTCAGGGTTTATTTCACCTTTGGCCATTGTAACAATGTCAGCTCCTGCACTTAAGGCTCGGCCCTTACCAGAGATAACCAAGTTCAGATTTTCATCTTTTGCCTTTTTGACTAAATAATGCATTGTGTTGAGCATCTCCATGTTAAAAGAATTGAGGGATTCTGGTCGGTTGATTTTTATAAATAATGTGTTATGCCTTTGGTTGTAAAGAATTGAAGGACTGCATTGAACAGATGCCATGATAATCGCAGAAAATGTTTACGTCATATTGTGTATGATAAGTTAATTTTTAAATTGGAGAAAAATTAAAATTCAGCTTAGATTGAATTAAATCGGAATTAAGGTCCATATTATAAACTATATTTAATATGATAGCGTTTGATATATAAATTATAATTTCTTTAGAAAATTTTCTATAATTCTCATAGCAGATTTTGCACTTTTAACCTTGAGTGTTTTAAATAACTTTTCTACAAAATTGCCTTCCAAACTCATTTTCAGTTCCATATGCTCTTCGAAAATTACTATCAGTCATTTCCATATTCTACTAGGAGTTAAATCTTCCATTGAAGTTCCTTCAGGCAAAAACTGTACCATTAAATTTTTTAGTTTTTTGTAAAGATCAATTATTTGTCCTTGTTCCATTTCCAAAATAGTTTTATGAGTTAAGGAATCTTCTGAGTGACTAAGGGATTCCATGGAAAATTCACTGTCAGATTGCTCGAATTCATCTATACTGCTTCTAATTTCAGCTATCGCGCTATTCATTTTGGCACATTCACGATCACACAAAGCGTCATAAATCTCTTCTCAATGCTTCTCTAGCTTCTCTAGATTTTTTTTAATATTTTCAAGTCCACTATTATAACTTATACCTCTGTCATTTTAAAATTTTATTTTCGAACTCATTTTTCACTTCTTTGATTATCTCTATATCTCTTTCTTTTTCTGCAACAGTCTTGTATAGGCCATCAATTTTTTTCACTAAACGAAGATTTTCATTTTTCAATGCAATTTCATCATTTTTATTGCATTTTCATTCTTCATTTTCTGTTTTTAATCTCAAAATCTCTATATTTTTAAATTCCAAATTCATTTTTAAATCGCTAATTTGAGCTAAATATTTTTCTTCTTCCAAATGATTTTGTTCTACCTTGGAATTTAATTCAATAATTTCTCGATTTAATAACCAACATTGCAAATCGGCAAATTCTAATCTTTGAGTATATCTTTCTTCTAAAGCTTTATATCCACTTTCTTTTAGTGAATAAGAATTATTTTGCTGTTCAAAATTGGCGAATAATTCATTTTGCAAGTCTTTCATTTCGTCTATTAACTGATTCTTCCTATTTATTTCTTTTTCTAGTTCTTCGCACCTTTTTCGCTCTTGCTCAAGAAGAATAGCAAGCTCGTTATCATCGCCCTTTTGGCGAATAATCGATTCTTCAAATTCAAAACTTTCATTGCAGAGAATAGGTATAGGTTCTGAACTGCGCAGATAATCAAAGTCTTCAGATACTGAATAATCCTGAATTTTTATTACATTTTCAATAGTAGTTCCCAGTTTATTTAGAGCGTTATGAATTGACCGTATGCTTTCTTCAATACTCATAATTCAATTAAATTTTATGAATAAAAATTATAGAAAGAACTCTTCTAAAAAGGAATAATCTTTTTATTATATTTTTCATTTGTAATTTTTTAGAGCGGATAAGATATTAGAAGCCATGAGAAGTTGCCTGCGATTATTTTTCATAATGTCTTAATAATAAATCCCTTTAGTCTCAGGAAGGAATGGAGTTATAACTTTCCTATCGTAATAGATCTCTAAGTCTTAGTTATTTCAATTGTTAAAGGTTAATGACTCTCCCTTTAGTAATAGCAAGTTCTTTCCTGCTTCTTACCCCTTTTAAATTGGAACAAAAAGCCCACATATTTTTAAAGGTTAATTTATTTTTTTAAAAAAACAATTATATTAAATTTTCTCTAAAAAAAAATAAATTGAACGCAATCTATTGGATTTTATTTATTTTATGAGGAATTTATTCAAAAAATAATTGATTCAGTGTGAAAATCGTTTAAATTATATTCTACTTAAATTTTTCTGATGAAATTAGGTCAAAACTGATTTTATAAATACTTATAAAAAATTTCATATTGAAAAAAGTTAAAGTACCCAAATCGAAATTTTGCCTATATTTTGTTACAATTTAAAGGGAGGGAATTAGCGTAAAATTTTCAAATAATAAATTTTAAATGAATAGATCGAAATTATTACTGGGGGTAAATGCATTTTGGACATTTTATCTGAAATCTTAAATAATAAGCAAATTTAGATCAACATAAAGAAAATTTGTTATTAGGTCGGCTTCAGAGATGGACTCAAACAGAACTCCACCTCACTAGTGCTCAGGGACTGCAAGAGCCAGCCCAGAGGTGCCTTAGTGCCTCCATCATTATAAAAATGTCATAAAAGATATCCAAATTTCGATCTAGTTATATAAATTTTGTGCTAAAACTCCAATCTAGCTTTAAAAATGAAATTTAAATTATATTTTCTTTACAAAACTTTCTATAGCTTGAAGTGCAGCATTTGGATCTTTGACTTTAAGGATATTATAAACCCTCTCTAAAAATTGACCATCAACACTTTTCTTAAGAGCCATGTATTCTTCAAATAATCTTATTAGCCATCTTCATATTTGATGAGGAGTTGGTGCGTTCACAAATGCTCCTTCTGGTGAAAACTGAATAATTAAATTTTCGACTTTTTGGTACAGCTCATTTATTTGTTTTTGCTTTTCTATATCTTTTAGCATTTGAGTAATTTTGGGGTAAATTTTTTTGGGATCAGAGACTCCTAGAGTTAAAGAAAGGTCTTCACAAATTTCACATTTAAATGACTTATTATTCATTTTTTCTGAAAGCTCATCTAGCTTTTCTTTTAAAGCTTCAATTTCATTTGCTGATTTATTATATTCGTATTGCGCCTTTACAGTTCTTTCATTTATGTAGCTTTGTTCTCTATTTTTTTCTTTTTCTTCAAAAATTTGATTATTTAGCTCGTTGATTTCTTTTTTAAGCTCTTCTATTATTTTTTCTTTTTCTTGATTAATAATATGAAGTTCATCAACAGTTTTCATCAAAACAGAAATTTCTTTCCTCATAGAAATTGCATCATTTGTACGGAAGCTGTCTTGGCTAAATTGATATTCTTCTTTTTCTTTATTTAATTTCAAATTTTCATACATAAAATGGCTGAAGTAACCTTCCCTCTTTTATAAATAAATATAGCATCTAGACCATACAGCCTTGAGCGCATATTTAATTATATCTGGCAAATTATTCCAACCCAGAAATGGCCAATTATACTAGGTAAGCAATTCTGGTAATGTACAGAGCCTAGCCTTAGTCCGCTTTCAGAGTTGGATTTTTTCTCGAAGGAAAGGAAGGCTTGGAGTTAGAAAGGGGAAACCCTGTAAAGCCTACAGGCAATGCTTAGGTCAATCAGGAGAGTCTCTAATGTGAAACCGAGAGCAACCCCCCCTCGAACTTCAGTTCGCCGAGAGTCAACCAGAAATTCCATTTTTTATGATTTCTATGAAGGCTACCTTCTTTTAACCCATCAGCACATGCAAGATTTCAGAAGTCTTTAGCCTGTCCACTCACAACTGGAGCTGAAAGGTGGGGGATTCATCACAGCAAGCAAAAATTCATAGGTTTCTATGGCACTAGACGATGAAAAAGAAATCAAGGTTTTGGATGAGTCAATTTGCCAAATGCAAGACCCAACCATCCGGAACCTTGACTGTGCGTCGCAAAGCTGGTGAATCACCTAAGGAATCCTTGATGCTAAAAATATGGCAGCTGCATCCTTTAAGATTAAGACCTGTCCTCTCGTGGCAGGGGCCTTATGTAGCCGGCATTGTTTTAGCTGTATTTATGGCCCAGCTATCGTCACTAGCCTCAAAGCGAGAGACATGAGACCAGAAGCCACTGTTTTTGGTCCTGAATCCTTGTAGCTAAATGCATCTCTTTTGCCTGAAGTACCTAACTCAGTGGTGCCTGATATGAGGAAGGGCGACACACTGCCTAAGCTGTCACTGAGGCTTGCCTCAAATGGCGAAAGCTTGATTTCTTTCTCAGGATAATGAAAAAGAAGGGAGACAAGGTTATACAGCAAAACATAATCTCTCCAGTTGAAAATCAACCAACAAAAGGACAATTTGGAGTTGAAAGGGAGTTTGGTATAAACTTGGGTAATGTCATGGCTTGGAAATAGGTGATTAGCAAAACTAGTAAATGGCCCAAGACTTTACCTTTACTGAGAAGCGGGGTTTTTGGTCCGGGCTCAGGGTGAGTAGTTGTGCCACCCTGCAGGACATCACTGAAGAAGGACTTTCAGCTAATGAAAAGGGGACTTAAATATCTACTCAAACTAACTAGCTAACTAATTTCAAAATTTCTGCATTTTGGTCTTGAATTTGTTTTCTTAGCTCATAAATTGCATCTAAATTTTCATATCCAGCCTTCATTTCTATCTGAATCTTTAAATCACTAATTTGCGCTAAATACTCTTTTTCTTTAAAATTAGCTTGCTCAATCATGAAATTTAAGTTTAAAATCTCATGGCTTTTTTGATGTAATTGTTCATTCATTAACTCTACTTCTTTCACATATCCTTCTTTTATTGAAGCAATATACTCATTTTCTCTTTGAACATCTGGCTGTTTTTGTTCTAATTTATTCTGCAAGTCTTCTATATTAGCATATAGCTCGTTTTGTAGTGCAGACATTTCCCCTAATAATTGATCTTTACTTGCAATTCGATTTTCTAAATTTTCGCTTCTTTTTCGTTCATAATCTAAAAGCATTCTAAGTTCACGAACATCACTTTTAGGGCTGGTATTTGCTTCTTCTGAATAAAGACTTTCGCTTCGAAAACTCACTCCTTTCAAGTTTGAAGGTAGGGCATCTGAAAGGCGGGAATCATTAAGGTCTTCATCAATTGTGTAATCCTAAATCATAGTTACTTCTTCTACAAGTGAGGTTCCTAACTTATTCAAAGTCGCACGTAACGATGCGATTTTTTCCTCAAGCTTTGTTTCGTTCATAATTTATTTAAATAAGATTGGTTCTAGTTTTTTAATAAAAATTGCTTCAGATAAATATTTAAAATTTATAAAGTGAATTTCTTTCAAGGATTATATTACCTTCTTTGTATTTTTCTTCAGGTTTTGCAGCTCAAATGTATTTTCATCCCATTTTTCTTTCACAATTTTCACAATAAACATAAGAAATATCGTGAAGTCCTGTAAGTAGCTCTTTTCTCTTTGATTCTCCGTAATAAACGTTAAAAGCATTAGTAAATAAATAAGCTCGACAACTGCCAGATGTAAAGTTTTTCGATATAAGATGATCTTTACTTGATAAATGACACTTACAGAATTTGCATTTATAAATGTACTTTGAAGAATCTATATATTCAAGATATCTTTTACCCATTATATTTTTTTGATAGAATATTGGTATATAGATAATCTTAGAGTCAGAATGATAGAAATAAAGAAGCCCCTTAAATAAAAATTCCTATAATTTATTATTTTGTAAATTTTAAGTTAAATTAATAAGTAATTTTTTAGGTGCCTTCAATGATGCTAACAGTAAAGTTAATATTTCTGGATTTAGTTCCTTTACTTTTTATTATTTAAATGGGTACAATTATGGCATCTCGTCAAAAAAAGCAAAGAGTATGTATAACTTAGACAGCTAAAGCTATAGAAGCAATTATTACAGATGATCCATATTTTCCTTTCACGCATGAAGATACCAAAATATCTCTTGAAGCCGTAATGAAAAAATAGAATAATTGAACACTTTTGCACTTAGCTGTTTGGCTAAATAAACCAGTTACATTGAAAAAATTGTTGGAATTAAAGCCTAACCTTGATGTGATAGATTCTAATAGTGAAACACCTATGCAATTAGCTCTAATTACTCAAAATGACAATATTTATCGAATTTTAAAAGAAGCAGGGGCAAATGACAGTAAAAAGGGTATCCCAAACGAAACAATAGCAGAGATTGATCTTCTTGGGGACCAGACCAAAAAGATTGAATTTCAAGCAACAGGAACAGGAAAAACTCCTAAATCACTAGTTTTAACCAAAAATGGGTTTTTCAGCGTTGAATCAGAAGGAGTTAATTAGATGATTCTAATTTACAGCTAAATGTATATCTTGAATAATATTTTGAGGTTGATTTTAAATTAATTTTAGAGCATTTTATTTGTAAAATTTTATATAAATTAGGAAGTTTCACTTTATTTATGAGCGAAGATAAGTATATTACGTTAAAATTAAATTTTTTTATTTTTTAGCATATTATACATAGACAATTTTTCTTTATTTGTTAAAAATAAAAGTATATTAACCTTGTAATTTGCACTAATCTAATAAACTGATTACCAATATGTCATTTGATCTAAATAGACTTTTCAATTACTCAGAATTAACTAAAGTACTCGAATGGATTATCACCCAAATTAAATCTCAAGACAACCACATCAAAGATATAAAAGCAGCCCAAGCTGTTTTTCAGACAAAATCCGAAGATATGGACAGCTCAATTAAAATAATTCAAGAAAAATGCACCACCTTTGAAGAAGGCCTTGAAACAATAAATAAAATTTCAGACAAAGTAACATCATGAAGTGAAAGATTTCGAGTCCTTGAAGAAAAAAACTTCCAATTTTCCATTGACATAGAAAATTTAAAAAATTCATTCGAAGCGAGCACTGATGAAATAAAGCTAGAAGGAAGGAGAAATTATGATCAAATTTCTAATGAATTGAGAAGAGAATTCGCAATAAAAATTTCAGAAACTGACAAGGGGTTTACCAATCAAGTTGCGAGGACAATTGATGAAATTGATAAGCTAAGAAATGATTTATAGTTATTTTAAATTGATAGATAAATTAATAATTTTTAGAAAAAATTATAGAAATTCAGCCAATAAAGCATACATTTTGCAACTGATAGAGTAAATGAGGTAGCTGACCATGTAAATGTGATGGATACTGTAACAGCTCCTATTGATATAAATCCTGCAATGTTAAGACGGCCTTCTATTAGAAGAACTGATATAAGGAGCAATACAATTGCAGCAGAAGTGCCGATAAGTCATTTTCATGCTTTAAGCAGCAGAGTTACAGCACTAGAAAGCAAATATAATGATTATTTTGAAGCACAAGAGGCTAGAGAAATCCGAAACCTTCTGAAAGTTGATGATTTGAATTTAAAAGACAAAAGAGTTATGGATGATGTCGCAATCGAAGTCCAAGAAAGATACGCAAAATTAGTCGACGAAATGAGATCTCTCAAAATTCTGCTTGAGGCTGGCAACTCAGATATTGTCCATGAAGATTCTGATAGCGAAAAAGCTCCAAAGTCCAAAAAATATTTATCAATAATCGACAGAATATTTAAGCTAGAAAGATCCACAAAGGAAACCAAAAGATTTAAAGATAATTTAGAAAAAATATCAAAAAGCATAGAAGAGCATCAGAAGTTAATTAGAGAAATAAAAGAATCCCAAGCACCCACCCAAGCTGTCCTTAAAATCGTAGAAACGATTGACCCTCCAGCTGAAAATCCTCATCTTTTACGCCCACGAAGTGGAAGCTTTGATATTTCATCTTTAACTTCATCTTTATCTAGACATGAAGAAATCATCGATTTTATACACAAAACCCTCCCTACATTAGCCACAAAAATTGAGCTTGAAGAAACAGTCAACTCAATTGGCTTAAAAATCAAAGATGCAGCGAAACATCAAACTGTCCCTGAAGAAGTGACTGAAAAACTCAATGAATTTGAGCAGAGGCTTAATGGCTTTTGAAAAGAAAACAAAGACTTTTTAGAAGCATTTGCCAAAATAGAAGCATGGAGAAAAGATGTAGAAAATGATTTAAATTATATTACCGATGTCAAAGTCAGCACAATAGAACAGAGGCTGCTAAACTTAGAAATAAGCCATAATAGAAGAGGAAGTGAAGAAAATGAAAAAATTGTGAAAGAAGTACAAAGCACTTTTTCGGCTGAAAGTGAGCAGTATTTCCGCAGCATGATTATAGGACTAAGAACAGATATTGTGAAACTAAAAGACTCAGTAGAGCATGTGAAAAAAGATATAGAAAACGAAAAAAACCTTTTTCATATTGACAGTGAAACGGCGATTGATGAAATGCAAGACCCAAACAACACAAGCAAAATTATTGCGACACTAAAAAAGCATGGGAGTGCTATAAGATTTCTGGCAAATAGACTAGCCCCAGGCAGTGATGATAAAATTTTTAAAGTTTACGAAGCAAATGCACAATTAAGCTACTTAGAAGAGCTTAAAAAAGAAATGAAAGAAATGATCAACAAGCAGGAAAGCTCTAAAAGTCTGTCTAGTAAAGAAGTAGAATTAATACAAGAAATCTATGTAATGCTTGATTCAAAAATAAACAAGCAGGAGCTAGGAAAGAAGGTAGATAAGGCAGAAATGCAAAGGATTTATAGACTGCTGAAGAATCGAATTGATGATGTGGCAAATAATGTGAAAAAGAATGAAATGACTTCTAGCAGAGGAGAAGATGCATTTTTCTCTAAAAAAAGACTGGATATGGAGTGTGCCTCCTGTGGACAATTTTTACCAGAAAAAGTCGACCAGCAAAGGTGATATTATGAAGCGTGGAATCGTTTTCCTGCAAATAAGACTTCTTCGTTTGGGCCTGGGTTTTCCAAAATATTAAATTCGCTGGTAATGAGCCCAACTGGGTCTTTTGGACTACCAACAAAGAGATGTGAGTCAACTACGCCTGATATGCTACATACAGGGACAAGTACAGCAGTTCCTGCTTCTCGAAAAAATGCAATTAAAAGAAATAAATTACCGACTATGAGGCTTTAATTTTTGATTAAATTATTTGATTCTTAAATTATAAGGAATTTTTTGCTTGATGGCCTTGTAAAATTGAAAAGGTTATAAATCAACCCCAAAGTGAGCATAAAGTTACGTCAATTGATGTTCCAATTATATAAATACTGATTGTAAAACCTGAATATAAATTAAAGATAAAAAATAATTTAAAAAAAAGATAGCAATTATTGATTAAGCTATTGTCCGATATTATTAGATAGATCACATTTATTAAAATTAAAATATTCAATCTCTAGCAAAACTTCGGCAAAAAGCTTTACAAAAAAATAAATCTATAATTTTGCAGAAAATAAAGAGCAATTATAATATGTATTTTATAAAGGATTATGAACGTTTTGCTCTTTCTATCATTCCAGCAGATTTTTAGTAACTTAATTTCATTATAAAATTAAACTATGGGGTCGCAGCAATCGATTTTTTCAGCTGTCGCAACACTTGTGATAGGCTCAGCAAATGAATATGAATTAAAGAAAATTTTTGATGAAGAAAGGCTAAAAGAGCTTAAAAAACCTCCCAGCCTTGATGAGGCTAAAAATTTGAGAGCTAAATATTCAGTAGCTGATTTAGAGGCTGATAATAAAAACCCAAAGGCATATAATATATGATCTGCTTCTCCTGAAAAACTTGGAAAATATGGAGTTGGGCTTGAATTGTATTTTCTCTTTTTGAAACAAATGGCTATTTTATTCTTCATTATTGCTTGTATAAGTATTTATCCAGCTTACACTAACTCAAAAGGAACCTGAATTGAAGATGATGAAAGCCAGAGTGGTTCAAGATTTACTTTGGCTATAATTAAAAATGTCAGTAAGTGGTAGGCTCGGTCCTAAATCTGAGATAAGTTCACGGCTTTTTGAAAGTTTTGGCTGAAGAGAATCATACACTGTGTCTGGTGTAGATTAGAGAGGTCCTAAGGGGCTTGGGAGCAGAAACAGTGACCGTTAGGTGGGCCCACCCACCTACTGTTATTCAGAGCTATGGTCCAAGCTGAGGCCAAGAAGTGGGAACTTGAGGAACCATCATAAACTTAAACTGGAACTTTGGCTAATCCATACTGACTCAAAAAAAGCGATAGATGCATTTTTGATTTATGTAGAGGAAATATTACTGATGAAAGGATAAACGAGATACAGGATGATATTGATGAAAACTATAAAATTAGGATTATTAAAGACAAGCGCTATCTATAGTGGCGATGCAATCATTAAAGATCTCCTATACGGGAGGTTCATCCGCTTTGTGATAAAGAGTCACACTAGAAATAGTCTTAACTGGTATAGTTGTCTCCTCCTTGCCTTGATGCTCAGTTTGAGTAGACAGCATATGGGTTTCTGAGGCCTTGCGACAGGCGATAGGAAGTTGCCTGACTCCAGTAAGTAGCTCTTGGAGTTTATCAGGGGTGCTAGAGTGCCTTTCTTTGGTAGCTACAGGAAAAAGACTGTCCTCTATGGCTTGCCTAGCCCTGGGTTTCTCGGTAGAAGATGCCCAATTCTCTAACCCCCCTCCGTGAGTGAACAAAACCATTAGAAAAATCGCTATTTTTTGCCAAAAAACCCACCCTCCGTGAGTGAGTGAACAAAAATTGTTTTAATAGAAAAAAATTTTTATGGAAAAAAAATTGATATATAAATGATAATTAGTTTAATGAAATCTAGAACTAATTCTGTTTAATTTTAAACGAATTGCTTTTTAAAACATAAATTTTATAATATTTGCTTTCCAATTTTTGCGAATTATGATTTTTTTAAATTTCGAAAAAAAATATTTTTTTTTAAAAAAATATAAAAAAATAACACCCCTCCATGAGTAAAAAAAATTTTTTTTTGTTCACTCACGGAGGGGGTAGTAAAGGAAGTCGCTTGGCCCCACCATTTCCAACTGCAATAAAGCAGCCAAAACCTACCCAGATACACATTTGCTGAGGCTATGCTTGTGGATTCTATTCTCGTTCACCATGCTCTTAAGGTCCAGACTGTTGTGCGAAGAGAGCAGGCTGTCAAGTGCTCTATTTTAAATTATTGAAAACTATAAAGAAACTTGAATTGTTGATGCTGCTTATACATGCATATTTTTAATTGGCTTGGTCATAATTCTGATTGTTAATAAAATAAAAATCAATCATAATACGTTAGGAAATGATAGAGTAGCAGACTATTCAATTGAAGTCGGAGGATTTCCTGATAAAAGTATCGATATATTTGAAGTGCTTGATCATTTCAAATGTTTTGGAAACATAGTCGAAATTTACTTAGGCCGCTCTTATGGAGATCTTTTGTATTTCTATCGAGAAAAAGCAGAAGTTTCAAAGAAAATTAAAATTCATCAAATTTTTTTGGATAATGATTTAGAGTCAGTAAACAATGAAAAACTTAAAAAGCTGCAAATAAAACTGTTAAAATTAGAAAAAAATATTAAAAATTCGAGTTTTAACAAACTTAATCATGAACTTCCTGTGAACAGAGCTTATATCATTTTCGAATCTCAAGAAGGCCGGGCAAGAGCTATTACAAAATACAGGAAAAAATGATGCTTCCTAAAAAATAATGACTCAAGCTTAAAATTCCAAGGAGAACACAAACTAAAAGTTTATTCCAGCACCGAGCCATCTGATATTATTTGGGAAAATTTGCAAATCGCTTATTGAGAGTGTTTGGTTTGGCTTTTTGTTTCCTCATCAAGCGATAAAACTTAGGTCTGCTATAGACACTCAAATACTTTTTCCGAAGACTCTATAAGACACCGATCTAGCTAGAGCGATACCTTTAGCTAGATCCCTATATTTAAAGCAACGAGCCATCAAAGATTCCAAGGCAGCATCAAGAACCAGGCTAAAAAGCCGAAAGAGAGCTATCTCTGGTGGAGTTTTGATAAGCCCCAGAATAGGTTGATTTCTAATATTGTGCGTCTTGAGTGTAATCTAAAATCGAATCCAATCCCTTAATATTTAATTAAGCTCAGTTTATTGAGAAAGAGTTTCGAGGATTACTTCCTCAGTGATTATAGTCGTTATTTTAATGAGTATTTCTGTTGGGCTAATATTTTTAATGAAAAGAGGAAGCCAAAACACATATGACGCCTACCGATGCATGTATGATCATCATGACGATGATTATCCTTTAAACCATGTCTTAGCTAATGAAACAAGTTGAGACTCAGATGGTGCTCAAATGCAATGCTGGTGTAGCCAACAGCCAGCATCAGACTGGGCACAAAAACCTCAAATCAGATCAATATGCATGGACTACGTCATGCAAAAGCTGTCCTCTGCAGCAGTTAACTTTTTCATTTGTTGCGGGATCGTGATTATCAATTATACTTTGAGGCAGTTATTTACTATTCTATCTGAGTTTGAAAGGCGTAAGAGCTATAATATAAAACAGACTCATTTGATGCTAAAAATATTTGCAGCAATGCTAACTAATACTGCTTTGGTTCCCATTATAGTTCATTTATCATATAATAATGATGGTCAAGATGAATTGATTGATCGGCAGTTTAATGATATTACAAAGTACTGGTATGTAAAAGTAGGCTCTATGTTCTATATTATGATGTGCATTAATGTTGTTTCTCCTCATTTAATTTTTAACTTTTTGGTCATGTACATGACAGGGTTATGAAAAAGGTTTCGAAGCTCTCAGACTTATAAGACACAGTATGAAATTTATAATGCTTTTATAGGCCCAGAATTTCGACTTGCTACAAGGACTTCTATGATTTTGACAGTAATTTTCACATGCTTTATTTTCTCTGGAGGAATCCCTCTGCTGAATATAATTGCTTTTTTAGCATTATTTGTGATATATTGGACTGATAAATTTTTAATTTTGAGGCACTATAGAAAACCTCCATACTATAGTCATCATGTATACAGTAGCGCTATAAAAGTTATGCCACTCTGCGCTTTCTTCCATTCTTGCTTTTCTCTTTATGCCTATGGATGTGATGATGTATTTCCACAGAAACTGCGCATTTTAGCAAATACTATGCTTGGAGAATCTTATTATTATGCTGATTTGAATTATCAAAGCCTAAAGGAGAGGATCACTATGGACCATGGAATTATGTTTTTTATTTTAATTATTATAAGCTTGGTTTTATTTTTATTGTTTATTTTTTCAGAAAAGCTAACTAAAGAATGCAAAAGAATTTTGCTTTTAAGAGGCTATAAAGAAACAAAAAAATTTTCTAGCGCAAAAAATAATATTAAAAAATATGCACTTACAAGTTATGATTTAGAGCAAAATCCAAATTACTCGTTTTTGATTAATGAAATGAACAAAGATGTAAAAGATGGAAAATTTGGCTGAAGAAGAACAAAAACAGCTAATAAACTGACAGTGGTAAATGAACGAAGGATTATAACTTCGTCGTGGTCTGATGAACTTCAATATCTAAATCAAGATGAAGATCGTAGAAGGGCAAATAACGAGCCTCAAATAAGGCTTAGCACATCTTTGCCTAACATCGGATCAGAATATGTAGAGCATAGCAGTCTTCACCAGTCTAAAGCAAAATCAACAGATTTAAATAGCTGTGACATTTTTTATTGAGATGAAAAAAATGCTACAAGATCAACTCCTGAAGGCAGAACGCCAGAAGTAGTATATAATGAAGAAGGCTCACAGTCCATTTTAGTTGGCATTTCCAACGGCTCGTACAGTGGATAATTAGTTAATTCATATTTGAGTAATTCAATCGAGCTTAATTTGATGCTCTTTAAAAAATTGTGAATTAATGAGGCTTTATTTGATAGTTTAAGTTCTATTTAAAATGAAAAATAATTATTTTAAATTCTCATTCTACTATTAGCATGTTTATTATTACCTTTAAAAATTATTAAAAATATTTAGAATTTCGATTTTTATTTCTGCTTCAATAAAATTTTTATAAGCAAAAATTGATTATTAATTTGTTGACTCAGACCAGATTTTAAACAATTTCTAATGATATCAATTTTTTAGATGAAAAACGTAAAAAATTATCAATTTATAATAATATATTTTGAATATCAGGCTATAAACTTATGAGTAATCACAAAATTATTTTATTTCAATTTTTATGATGATTATATTTAAGGCATTAATCATTTTTTAAAATTTGAGCATATATGAATTAATTCGTCTATATTTTTAGACAAAATAAAGGGAGTTTATAATCATAAATTTTCCTATGAGATTGCTAGGAATTTTTAGTTTAGAGACAAGAAATTAATATATATTTATTTTGCATATATAATTAATGGGATCACAGCAGAGTGCTTTTGCAGTGATTGCAAATCTTGTATTAGGTACAAATGAAAACGAAAACAAAGAAATTGATATTAAGAGGTTAAAAGAGCTTAAATATCCTGCAAATCTCGAAGAAGCAAAGCGATTTAGACTTAATAACTCAATTGTTGATAAAGAAACTGATAAAAAGCTATATAGCGTTTGATCAACTTCTCCAGAAAGCCTTGGGAAATATGGGGTTGGATTAGAGCTTTACTTTTTATTCCTAAAACAAATGATCATATTATTTTGCATTGTTGCAGGCTTAAGTATCATTCCAATGGTTATTAATTCTACTGGAGAATTCATTAGAGAAGATGAAAGCCAAAATGGCTCAAGGTATAGCTTGGCAAACTCTTGGAGTTATGACCAGGATCTTTTAGATTTATACATTAAAAATGATACTAAATCAAAAAACCATAGTGTAATAATGAATGAAAAGGATATTAACCACATTTTAGAGAGGACTGAAGAGCAGTACAAATGGGTGTGGATTGCTGATGCAGTTATCACAAGTATATTTTTATTAGGATTAATTGTAATCCTAATTGTAAATAAAATAAAAATCCATGATAGTGAGTTAGGAAATGATCGGGTTTCTGAGTATGCTATAGAAGTTGAAGGACTTCCAAAAGAAAATATAACTGAAGAGGAGGTTAAAAAACATTTTGAGCGCTTCGGGAAAGTTTATGAAACTTATTTGGGCAGGTCGTATGGAGATCTTTTATATTTATTCAAAGAAAAAGCTGACTCCCCATTTATATAGGACCCTAAAAAATCTGTTCCAATTTAAAAGTGTTAATTTTTTGGAAAATAAAATTATTATAAAATTATTATAAAATTTTAAAAAATTAAAAAAAATAAATGAATATCTTGATTTTAGTGTTTTTATGGAGATATAATATAAAATATATTTAATCAATTAATCATAACCTATTTTTAATAGAATTCTAATTGATATCCTCTATTAAATTAGGTTATAACAATTTTTATCAAAATTAGCATTTTTTCCTTAAAATTTCAATTGAAAAATAAAATTTTGATCTAATTTAAAAGGTGCTAAATTGAGAGGCATCTAGTAAAATAGCAACATTTTCCCCAAATTCAACCCATTCAAGTTCATAGCTATATGAATTATTATTAAATTTACCTAAAAAATTGTTGTTTTCTTTATATTTTGTACCAATTTTAAGGAGGAGTGAGGTTAAAAAAGAAATCAGAGCGCAAAAAATTTTCTTGGGAATTTCTTCAAGCTTTTGCACTGATGATCGAAAAATGGAAAAACTTCGTCAAAAGAAAACAAAACTAAACGAGCGCATTTCCATCTTAAATTTGAAGAAAAAGCACAATGAATTTGATATATATAAGGCATATATTATATTTAAAACAAAAGAAGCAAGAAAAAAAGCATTATGAGAATACCGAAAAGGCATTTTCAGTTCATTATCAAATAAAGATCCCCAATTAAAGTTCAAAAATGAATTCCAATTAAGCGTACGCTCTTGCACTGAACCTTCAGATATTATGTGGGAAAACTTGGAAATAAATCGCATTGAGAAAAAGTCGAGAAAATGTTTTTCTATTACAATTACCTTGATTTTTATGGCATTATCAGTAGGGCTCATATTTTTAATGCGAAGAAAAAAATTGATTGATTATGATTCTTATGGCTGCATTCACATGAATGTTGATTATGACCGAAAAATTTGGGAAATAAAGCAGGATAAAAATATGACAGCTGAAATGGTTTTGTGCTGGTGCAGAGAGAGATCAACTGATGATTGATTTAATCCAGCAATATTTAATGAATGCAAAAAATATGCATTAAAAAGGCTATCAGCAGGAGTTGTAAATTTCTTTATATGTGCTGGAATTGTTATTGTGAATTATTCACTTAGACTACTTTTAACAACTTTAAGTGAATTTGAAAGGCATAAGAGCTTTAATATAAAACAAACCCATACATTGCTGAAAATATTTTTTGCAATGCTTTTTAATACTGTTTTAGTACCAATTTTAACACATATAGATTGAAGCGGCCAAAGTATTGGCACTGAAGTGACTGATCAGCAGTTTGGCGACTTCGAAAAGTTATGATATGTCAAGGTAGGCTCTATTTTTAGCATTATGATGTGCATAAACGTCGTATCTCCTCATTTAATTTTCAATTTTCTAGTCCTTTATATGAAAGGCCTCTATTATCGGACAAAAGGCTATTTAAAATTCAAAACACAATATGAAATAAACAATGCCTTTCTTGGTCCAGTTTTTGTGCTCTCTACCAGAACTTCAATGATTTTGACAGTCCTCTTTACTTGTTTTATTTTTTCTGGAGGGATTCCTCTATTGAATATCATTGCGTTATCAGCTTTATTCACAATATACTGGACTGATAAATTTTTAATTCTTCGGCATTATAGAAAACCGCCACAATATAGTCATCATATATACAGCTGAACTATTAAGCTGATGCCTCTCTGCGCATTGATTCACTGCTGCATTTCTTTATATGCATATGGGTGTCCAGATGTTTTCCCAACTGGGTTTGTAAATAACAATTATTTTGATCCGTTAGAAATGAGTATTGAAGATAGGATAAAAATGGATCATGGAAAAAATTTTTAATTTTGATTGTGACCAGCTTTGTCATGCTTATTTTATTATTTATACCTTATTTGAATAGTTTTAAAAAGTATTATTTTAGACTAGCATATAATAAAAAACAGAGATATAGCTTGAAAATTGCGCAAAATTAATAATATTAAATATATATATTCAGATAAAATAACAAAAGAATTTACAATCAGATGATTATTTAAGGATGATGATTCAAAACCATTTAAGCAAGCAAAAGAAGTTCTGGAGAAATATGGATTAACAAGTTACAATTTGGATAAAAATCCAAATTATAAACCTCTGCTTGACTCAATTGATAATCATGCAGAAAAAGGGAACGAGTCAATCAGTTTTTGCTATTTTAGATTATTATAACACCCACTGCCAAGCACCCGAGGACTATTATTTCTTCCATAATGTTCCACCGCCTGCTCGCCAGTCTGCACACGGCTTTGCATTGTGCTACTTCTTCGGACGAGAACTTTCACTCGCTCGTCAAAGTCGCAAAGTTTGTGTAACCCTGCCGATAGTATATAGCTTGACTTTAATAAAAAAGTCAAAAGGTCAAAAGTTTTTGGCTAGCTATCAGCAAAAATGAAACTAAAAACCAAAGTTGCAACACCAAAGTGTCTCGATTGGCACTCCTGGGAACTCCTTTTGATCTTTTTATCCCATTTTTCATGAGGAAAGCCACCCCGGGATTGAACTTTGGCTGATCGCCGTCGTCGTCACTACATACTCCAGTCAAGTAAATCCTGATACACGCATCGGATCCTCTCTCTCTTCTTCAAAATCCCTGACTTGTTAAGGCTCAGGCCTATAAAATTTAATAGGTTGAGACGATTTGCAACTGCATTTAATTTATTTTAAAACGAATCAAATTCGTTACCATCATTTTCTAATCATGATAATCCAGATGATAGCGATAGATTAGGTAATGACAGTTCTGAAGGCGAAGAGTTTCATAATAGTTTGCAAAATATCATTATGGATCCTCCTATTAAAATTTATTGCTCAGATGACCCTCCTTTAGAGGATAGCAGTGAATTAACTGATATTGAGCATTCAAATTTATATGATCATGACAAAAAAATTGAACTAGATAAGCCAACCCCTGCAAATATGCTGGAAATTCCAGTAGTTTTTGGAGAGATTTCTTCTATGCCGAGCACTTTTCGCTTACTGCCCCCTCCATGAGCGAATTTAAGTAAACAAAAAAAATTTTTATATAGAAATTTTTTATGAAAAAAAAAATTGATATATAAGTGATAATTACTATTACGAAATTTCTTGCTAAGTCTGTTTAATTTTAAAACAGCTTGCATTTTAAAACATAATTTTACAAATTAAACTAATATTTGCTTCCCAAAAAAAAATACTATAAAATTCATATATAAATTTTTAAAAAAAATTAACATCCTCGTAGGAAGCAAAACTTTTTTGTTGCTCACGGAGGGGGCGAGTTAGAAGATACCACAGCGCGCTCTCAAAATATGCCAAAACTTGAGCAAGAAATCCCAGATCAGCTGCCTTTCATTATCAATCATTCAAGACAAACCATTTAATTATTTTTCCTCTGCTATTAAATATTAACAAAAATTCCTCAATTCTTCTTCTAAACTATTAATCCTATACGCATCCTTCAGCTCGATTTCTAACAGCTGCCGCTTCACTTCAACATTGCTTTCTTCGCATCCCTTAATTGATTTTTTCAGTTCTTCATATCTTTTCTTCAATTTTTCCATCTCTTTGCTATGGTTTTCTTCTCTGAATTTCCTCATATCTCTGAATTTTTTTTCTCAGTCCTTTAATTCTTCCATTTCGCTATGAATTTTATTCTCCTGCTGCTGATAAGCTTTTGTTACATTCATAAAATCGTCTTCGGCCTTTCGAACTTTTTCGAAGGCTTCGTTACGCTCATCTTTTAAATTTTCGTTGATGTTTCGTATTTGTTTAAGCTGGCTTTCTAAGGCATTAATTTCGACCATTAGATTGCCTTGATCTTGGAATGCAACGGTGACGAGGTCTTGAAGTTGTGTGTTTTCGCGCTCTAAAGCGAGGGTTTCTTGTGTTAGAGTTTGGACTTTGGATTTTGCTGTTGAAATTAGGGCATTTAGTTTGCTATCTAAAAGGGAATTTTCTATCATATTTATCATAAAATAGAGTTTAATGATGAAGACTATTTGAAGACGCAATGTCAAAGAAGGTTATATAAGCTTTATTTGGTGTATATGTATGCTATAACTAAATAGTGATTTTATCTTATATTGGATAAATCTGACTTTGATATGCTTTCTATATTAGTTTTTTTCTGTTTTATTTTCTACAATTGAGATATAAGTAATTTAAAATAATTGTGCAAAATATATAGATCGTTTTCAACAATCAATAATTCAGTCCTTATGATTCTAACAGATTTTGAGAAAAATGGTATCAATTATTTATATTTTTTTAATTATAGCTAATCCTTCATCTAATTCTTTTTGAGCCTCCTCTAAACAACAGAATACAATCTTTGCCATTTTTCTGTTTAAAATAATTGTTAAAATGAGTGATAAAACCCCACAATCATTTTTCAAAAGAACTTCCAACAGATTTAACACAGAACAACTAGAAAATGAAAGAAATCCTGAAGAAGATTCAGCGAAGGGCAATGTAAAAGTTATTTGCAGATTTCGTCCATTAAACAGCAAAGAAAAAGAATATAGTGAAAGATCGTGTATTGAGTTTGGTAGTGACTTAAAATCAGTTAGAATGCTAACCCAGTCAGATGCTGGATGTTTGCCAGTTTTTAATTTTGATAGAGTATTTTCTCCTGACTCAAGCCAAGCAGAAGTATATGAAATGGCAGCAAGACCTGTAGTTGAGTCTGTACTTGAAGGATTCAATGGAACCATTCTGGCATATGGGCAAACTTCTTCAGGAAAAACATTCACAATGAGTGGGCCAAGTCTTGATGACCCAGTCTATCGAGGAATTATTCCTCGTATGGTAAAAACAGTTTTTCAAAGCATTCAGGAAGCTGATGAACACTTAGAATTTGCTGTAAAAGTAGGCTATTGTGAAATATATCTAGAAAAAATAAAAGACTTATTCAATCCATCAAGAGGAGATCTAAAAATCATGGAAGACAGAACGAGAGGAATTTTTATTGAAAATTTAACTGAAGAATATGTATCACAGGAAGAAGAAGTTTACCAATTGATGAAAATGGGAGGGAAAAACAGAGAAGTTGCAGCGACAAATATGAATGAAGGGAGCTCCAGATCACATGCAATTTTTATTTTAACGATATCTCAAAGCAATACTACAGACATGAGCGAAAAAACTGGGAAGCTATATTTAGTAGATTTAGCTGGAAGTGAAAAAATCAGCAAAACTGGGGCTGAAGGGAAAAGGCTTGATGAAGCAAAAAAAATTAATCTGTCACTTACAACTCTAGGACTGGTCATTTATTCATTGACAGATGGGAAATCCACTCATGTTCCCTATCGAGATTCAAAGCTCACAAGGATTCTTCAAGAATCCTTAGGAGGGAATTCCAAAACCACACTAATTTTGACGTGTTCGCCTTCTTCTTATAATGAACAAGAAACAATCAGTACACTGAGATTCGGAATCAGAGCAAAATCAATCAAAAACAAGCCAAAAATTAATAAGGAATTTACAGTAGCAGAACTAAAACTTTTGCTAGCAAAAGCACAAGAAGAAATCAAGCAAAAAGAAATAAAAATTGGCTTACTTGAAAAACGAGCTATAGATTCAGGCAGAAATAGCTCAAGAGATACAGAAGAAACGTCAGTTAATGAAAATGATTTACAAGGACTCATTCAAGAGCTTGAACTAGAAAGAGAACATCTTGCTGAAGAAATTGAAAAAAATAATGAACTCTCCCAAGATTTAGCTATACAAACTGCTAGAGCCCAATCTTTGGCTAGAGAAAACGAAGAAGTCAATTCAAAACTCATGGACATCTTATTTTCAATGCAAAGCATTGAGGATAAACTTCAAGATAGTGAAGAAGCGGTCTGTAAATTGACTGCAAAAAATGAAAATTTAAAAAAAATAATTGACAGCCTGCAAGAAGCTCTAGCAGAAGCAAATTTAACAATTTCAAAAAAAGAAATGGAAATGCAAAATTTATTATTAAATACGACACCAATCAAAGATAAAGAAGATTTAATAGCAGAAGTCAAAAATCTTAGAGAAAAATATCAGCTGCAAGAAGAACAGCTAAAAGCTCATTATTCAAGAATTATCCAAGACTGTAATAACGCAAAAGCTGAAGAAATAACATCCACCTCTATTGAAATAAATACATTAATTGAAGAAAAAATGCAGCTTTCTTCAGATTTGCGAAGTAAATTCGATGTAATTTATTCTTTGGAACAGAAAATTATTCAAAAAGACCAAGAATTTCAGAAAATTGAAATTGCAAAAAAAGAATATGAGGATCATATGAAGGGGAAAGTGTCAAATTTAGAGAAAAGCTTTGGACAATTGATGAAAAAGATGGCTGATGATCTAAGTGCATATAAACAGAAATGTGGAATATATAAAGAAAGAGCACTGAAATATAAGGAAAGATGTGAAAAACTAAAAGAAAGATTGTCTGAAATCAGGCAGAAGATTAGAGATCATAGAGGAACTGAAAATAAGCCTGAAAGTCCTCAGAAGCAGCATGCACAAATTGTGAAGAAAGTTAAAGGCGGAGGAAACTCAAGGCTTTTAGGACTTTTGTCGTTTTCAGCGTTTTCTTCTCCATATAAAAGAAAAGATTAAAGAAGAATACCTTAAATTTATAAATATTTTATTGGCACCTTTTAATTGAGAGTTTTTAGCTTGCTATTTTTAATTGACTGTTTATATCAAATTTTTTTACTGCACCAGCAGAATAATATTTTATTCTCGATACCAGATTTTTATTTTCTGCTCTATTTCTAAAGAAATTTATAATTATCAACTTTTTTTATTCCAAAGCTCTGCAGATTATTAAAATTACGCAAATTTTCCTGACACTGGGTTATTTGTCGAGTATTATTGCTCATTGGAGAAAATTCTGTCGGCAATAAAATGGCTGCATTTCATCATGATAATTAAAGGTCTATTTAGAATAGAAAAAACAGTTAAATTTTGTTAATAATACTAGGCCGCATTCATAGCTCGATAAAATTTAGAAAAATTCATCATGAGCAGGAGCTTATTAAAAATCTAACTCACAAAATTTGTGAGTTGACATTATTTTGTTATATTAAAAAAATGCAGTCATATAAAAATCCAAAAATGGACGAAATCAAGTCTCCTCACAACAAGCTAAATTCAAATCATAGGCGAGCTCAATCTTCAAATCTTTGTATATCAATTCCTCAAGTTGGGAGGCATAGATCAGGATCATTTGGGTCTTCGCCAAAAGCTACTAATTCATCCCCTTATGCAAAATTAGCAAGCCCAAAAAATTTATTAAATGGAACTCTTCCAGACTTTTTGCGAGCAAATAATATAAATAAAGTCAATGTTTCGGCAAGTCTTCCTTCTCCTTTATCAAATTATGTGTCTCTACTGGCCATTCATAATATAATAAAATAACATTGCTGGAATAAAATTTCTCTAACTCCCCCCTTTCGTGAGTGAACAAAAAAATGTTGTTCACTCACAGAGGGGGGGGTTTATTTTTTTTTTTTAAAATATATATATAAATTTATAGAAAAAATTTTTTTTCGAAATTTTAAAAAAATCTAAATTGGGAAGCAAATATTAATTTAATTTATAAAATTTATGTTTTAAAAACGCAATTTGTTTAAAATTAAACAGAATTAGCTTGAGATTTCATTATACTAATTATCACTTATATATCATTTTTTTTTCATAAAAAATTTTTGTTCACTCACAGAGGGTGGGTTTTTGGGCAAAAAATAGCGATTTTTCTAATGGTTTTGTTCACTCACACAGAGGGGGAGTAAGAGCTATCATATACAAATTTTTATTACTATAACAGTAAAGGCCATATAGGGTCCTTGGATTTTAGGAGGCATAGGGTTTTAATGCTACAGAGAGGAAAACCTTAGGCAGAATACAAGCAGAAATCAAGCAAAAAGCGAGGCAATGCCTTCCGTGAAGCCTGATCGTTGAATTTTTTGGATATGGCTTATATTAAGGAGGGCGGCTCACAAACTTCACCATTCTTGAGTCTAAATGACTGTTGTAATTATACAGTCCTGCTTAGCTAAAAGTACGCTAAACACTAATTAAGCAAATAAGTGTACTGAGCCATCCAGTACTGCACATTCACGCCGGAATTCAGACTTGGAAGGATTTTATTCAATTACTGTAAACAATGCAAGTGATATAGATATGAATAATTATCCCCCTGAAAAAGCTCCTGAGGTAGAAAATCGGAATGAGCTAATGGCAAACAGATTATCAATACCTTCTCAAGACAATTCTTGCGTTCCCAAAAGAAGGGTAAAAACACCTGAAGATAACAAAACATCTGACGATGCTTTATATAAGGAATACGTGCTTGCATCTCAGCCTAACAGTGTTTTGACAATAAAAACTCTTCAACTTTCGGGTGATGATCTAAATGCTCTCAAAAATCGGCAGCCCATTACAAATAAAATTATAGATGCATGCATGACTATTTTCAAACAAAAAAATCACATTATGCAAACCAAAAACGAAATCAAACACAATGTTCTTATTTCTAATACCGAATTTTCTCAAAGGATCTTTCATAGGAAGCATGGTCACTCATTTCATGCAAAAAATAATCCATTCAAATATAAGTAATTTTTACCTACATCTCTTTTATATACAAAAAAGCCTTTTTTTCTATTTCTATTTATTTTATTTTTACTTTCATTTTTTTTTATTCAATAAGTTAGTGTTTTATTGTTCCCTGTATCAGTAGATCAAAGCTGGACTCTTTTATCAGTAAATTTGAAGGATTTACTTATTGAGTATTATGATCCCCTGCAGCTGTTTAAACACTCCAACGAAATCTTTGTTTTAATCTACAAATTCCTGAAGCAAGAGCTAAAGCATCATGAAAATCGTGAAATTGAAGAAAGCCCTTGGCGTGATTTTACATACAAAAAAGTCAGCGAAAAATTAATTTTTACTGATAAGGATTCTTCAGTTTATATTCTAATGAATGCATATCGCATTTCATTAGGAGTCAAAGACTCATTTTCACAGTTCAATGTGAATGAATATAGAGGATTTCTTCATGATTTATTACTAGAATATGGTAAAATTTAATTTTTTTTAAAATTTTTAAACTATTGGATAGCTTGGCTGCATTTGGATTCCGCAGACTCCATCTCCATCTACAATAGCAATTCTAATGTATTCTTATATATATTTTTATATAAATTCATGAATTTTTATTGCTAAATTCTTTATATTTATCATATTAAATATACCCAGCTTCACCCCATTCTGCTCCCCATGAATTTTTGACTTTCCAATATGGAGGGGTATTGTTCATATTATACCCTACCACTAGTACTCCATGGTCCAAAGCATTTCCACAATTATCTGTAACTACTCCTCCTGAGTAAAATTGCCAAGCAGCCTGATCAGCTTCTACAGCAACACTGACAGGCTGCTGAGAAACGGCTGCTTGAAGTGCATTAATATTATTTTGAGTAACATCAGCATATGATGCAATTTGAGCATCAGGGACTTTAGTCTTATCTTTATTGCATATTCCATCACGAGCTGTGTATGGATAACTGTTTTCTGTTGAAATCCCATTAGCTATGATATATTGAAAAGCGTTGTCCATAAGACCACCATTACAACCGAAATTTCCATATGATGATGAACAGTCTACAAGCTCTTGCTCAGAAAAAGGGGTTAGAGGATGTCCAGCTATAAACCAAGCCCCTTCTACAGAACCTGTAGTTGAAAATGCCCAACAGCTTCCACATTGGCCTTGGTTTTTGACATAAGTAACTGCGCCACCTACAGTCCAGTCTACTTGTGCAGGAATATTAGCATCTATTTTATGGTTTTGGATATTTAAACGAGTTTTATATGGAATTTTTGTAGGTGTATAAATACTTTTGAATTCGGACGGTGTCATATCAGCAAACTCATTTAATTTAAGAGTCCAGCTGTGGCCTTGGGAATTAAAATTGCGGATAAAGACAGAATTTTCCTTGTAAATTTTGAATCGGGATTGATATTCTAGTTCATCTGAATAAATTTTGTTTCATTTGGAAAGGTAATCTTGGAATTCATTCTCTTCAATTTGATACTGACTCCCCCCCCCCCCCGTGAGCGAACAAAACCATTAGAAAAATCGCCATTTTTTGACCAAAAACCCACCCTCCGTGAGTGAACAAAAATTTTTTTAATAGAAAAAATTTTAATGGAAAAAAATTTGGATATATAAAGTGATAATTAGTATAATGAAATCTAGAGCTAATTCTGTTTAATTTTAAAACAAATTGCGTTTTAAAACATAAATTTTGCAAATTAAATTAATATTTGCTTCCCAATTTTTGCAAATTAGGATTTTTTTAAAATTTCGAAAAAAATATTTTTTTATAAAATTTATATATAAATTTTTTTTAAAAAAAAAAATTAACCCCCCTCCGTGAGCGAACAAAATTTTTTTGTTCGCTCACGGAGGGGGGGGGGGGGAGTGAGAAGATTTGCAAGTATTTTGGGAACTGTTTAGGACTGATATGGCTGCTATTATACCTATGATAGCAAAAATGCTGAAAACTGATAGTAAAATTTTTTTAGATTGCTTTGGAGAAGAATCTAACTCACGGAATCCGTCCATTTTATTATAATTTTGAACAGAATTACTAATATGTAGACTGATTATTATTCTGTTCAATCAGAATAAATGGCAATCTTTTATCAGAATTAGAAAAAGGGAAATAAAGGAAACTTATAGTAATTCCAGCAATTCACATATTTATATGGCTTTTATATGGGAAATTACATTATTTTAATGCTAGATTATTGTATAGCTAATAATAATTTTTTTTATAATCTCAGCCAATTTTTAATAGTCATTGCATCAATATGGTTTCTTTATCGGTTTTTTATTTTATGGGTAGCTCATAATATGTTTAATCTCAACAATGTTCAGATATCCCAATTTCATTTCGATCAAAGACTTATAGAGCTATAATTTGTTATCCCATTCCCGATTATCTCTTCATCTGTAAAATTAGTGAGTCATATTATTGACTTCCTCTTCTGTTAGACTTTGACGAATAAATCGCAATGGTGGGAGAATATGTTTTATGTGTTTATTCCATTAATTCTTTTGTCAAATATCAACAGATTTCTTACTTTATCTTTGGTTGCTCAGCCATTTAATAAAAGTTAAACTATTATTTATTTAAAATATTTGAATAAGCATTTAATATCATAAACAATTTTCTGGCTTATTTTAAATATAATTACTGAGCTATTTTAGCTCTTAAAAATGAAATAGCATAATAAAGATAAATGATAAACTCATTCAGCTTCAAATAGGTTTAAACTAATTTTTGAGTAGTCTATTAGAATAATTCCTGAAATTAGTTTTCTTATACTTTAAATCTTTAACAATTCGTAGAGGGTTTCAGAAGATAATTTTAATAGGTATAAAAGTCTTGAAAGAGCTGTTTCAACTATAGCAGCAGACAGAAATAGAAAATCATCTTTTGAGTTTTAGCATTTTTGGACTCAAATTTTAAAATTATTTCATTTATTAAATTTAGCTTATATGGGTAAGTTTCTTTTATGCATAACTTTTACAATTTTTTGGTATTTTTGATAATTTTTGACAATTTTTAGAAAATTTAGAATAGAACTTTTGACATATTCGCCGAATTTTTCAGACAAAAAATGTCTCCGTTTTAAATGTTTCAACCTTGCATAGATATTTTATATTGAAAGATTTATAGTTTTATTATATCTAGTAATTAAATCAGTGCTCTTGCTGTATAAATTTGCATATATTCGTATAGTTCTATAGTTTTATTGGTTTGGTGACATAGAGTCAAAATATAAAATTAAATGTCCTCTTAAATTCTGAAAATCAATAAATCATTTAGTAAATTAACTTAATGCTTATTTAGCGACCATCATCTTTACGAATTCTTCATAGCTGATATGGCCACTTCCATCTGCATCTGCTTCTTTAATCATTTCCTCAATTTCTACGTCTGTTAATCTTTCACCCAAAGTTGCCATAGCTTGTTTTAATTCATCAGCAGTGATAAACCCACTTCCATCTCTATCAAAAGCTCTGAAAGCTTCCATAATTTCTTCCATAGGATCTGCCGATGGTACCATTCTTTTTGCCATAAGAGTATCATGTGTTGGATATTTTCTATTCTATTTTTCAATAAATATTTTCGGCATGCAAGAAAAATTATTAATTTATATTAACAAACTCTGGGAAATCGACAGTTCCGTTTCCATTATGGTCCACTTCATTGATTATGTCTTGAAGTTCACCCTCAGTTGGGTTTTGACCAATAGATCTCATGACTGTCCCAAGCTCCCTTGTTGTAATTTGCCCATTGCCGTCCTTGTCAAAGAGTGAAAATGCTTCTTTAAGTTCAGCCAACTGTTCTTCAGTTAAATCCTTGGACATAATTTATTATTACCAATATTGCATATTTAAGGCATTTAAGGGTTATGTTGAAATTTGACATAATTGTTGAGCAATAAAATATAAAAAATATTTTATAAGGCTATATTGAATTAAATTGAATTATCGAATGAACTAAATATTAAAATCATTTGAAAAATTATTTTACGAAATTTAATCAATTTAATTGCTTTTTTCTTACCGTTTAGTTGCAAATTTTCCCCTAAAATTGATTCTATACATAAAGAGAGTTTTTTATTAATCAAGTTAAGACTCTTAAAATATGGAACTTGATTAAATCTAAAAACAGAAAATTAATTTATTCTTTATAGCATGTAAGATTTGAAGCGCCTCGTTCTCAACGGGTAGGCTAAATATTTCTACCTTCATAAATAAGCTATTTTTTATGCTGGCGTAAATAAGTTAATTATTTTTATAAAAACAAGCTGAGCTTGATTAGAAATAAATAAAATTTTTAATATAGTTCGCAAATAAAGGTTTGTTTCTTTATAAATAAGTTTTTTATTATTACGCTTTGATCAACTACTTGATACTTAATTGTTTCATTTAATATAACCATATTTTATTAATACTCAATCATCATTTCTAAAAATTCTTCATAAACGGTGCATCCATCTTCATCTATATCAGCTTTTTTTATTAATTCATCAGCTTCATAGTCTTTCAATTTCCTTCCATATTTCATTATGATTTCTCTCAAATCAGCAATCCCTATGCGTCCGCTTCCATTTTTATCAAAGTCTCTAAATTCTCTAATCAGTTCTATTTTAATTTGCAGACTCTTCATGATTTTTGAGACAATTTCTAAGAAATCAGTAAAATCAAGAGCTCCAGCTTCACATTCAATGCTAATAATAAGCTTGATAAGCTGCGCTTCAGATATATTATATCCTAGATACTTAATAATTTGTTCAAGCTCTCTAGTAGTTATAGTTCCATCAGAGTCGTTATCAAATCTAGTATAAGCTTCTCTTAGTGGAATTAATTGATCTCGTGTAAAATACTCAGCCATAATTTGTATGATAAGAAAATTATAAAGTTATGAAATTGAACTGCGACATTTTACAAAACAAAATGGAGGGATTAGATATGCTAAAATATAAATGCAGGGCTAAAGAACAATCAGCAGCAGAAGCTTTAATATATGATTAGCAAATTAATCCAAGGACTAAATGGATTTATCAAAAATAGACCTTTGCTTACTCTCATTTTAGCAAAAGCTTTTTATTAAAACATTATATATATGGCTTTAATATATTTCCTACAAAGGAGACAAGCAAGAAAAAACAAAATTATTCAGAAGCACCAGGACGAGGAAGAGGCAAAATAAGAAAAAGGGAAGAGGGAGATAAGAAGCAAAAAGAAAGAGAAATTAAAGTGGCACAACGGAGAAAAGAAGTATCTCAAATGCAACGTGGAGCGCTGTGTACTGAAGCATGGTGCATTCTTATGGCATGAAATACGACAGCGATATGCTCTCATCTTACTTGAATGCACTCAAAATGATGGATTTGGCGTGGGAGTGCGTGAAATATGGAAATACTCTCGAACCAAAGATTGAAAGAATTTATTACTATCCTAGATCCTTAACTTAAGCCATTTCTTTAATTTTGAGTTTCTCAAATAAATATGGAAAATTCTGTCAACATCGAAAAGGATATAGCTGCTCATAGGAAATTTTGAAAAACGCTCGTTGGCTTGAAGAAATCAATCTTTGGTCAGACTCCCGGAACTAAAGAAATTCTATATAAGCGAGGAAGGAGAATGCTGATGATCAACAGATATCGTGGCATGTTACAAGCAGAGAAACCTGTGACTCTGCACGAAAAATTAGACCTCTTGCGTAGGAAAAAACTTCTTCGCCAAAAAGAATGAGCATTAATTTTTAATGTCCAAGACCTGGCCAATCAAGTCTTTCAAATTGAACAGCAATGCGGAGAAGCTTTAACTCCCCCCCTCCGTGAGTGAACAAAAACATTAGAAAAATCGCTAGTTTTGCCCAAAAACCCACCCTCCGTGAGTGAACAAAAATGTTTTAATAGAAAATTTTTTTATTGAAAAAAATTTTGATATATAAATGATAATTAGTATAATGAAATCTAGAGCTAATTCTGTTTAATTTTAAACGAATTGCTTTTTAAAACATAAATTTTACAAATTAAATTAATATTTGCTTTCCAATTTTTGCGAATTAGGATTTTTTTAAATTTCGAAAAAAAAAAATTTTTTTATAAAATTTATATATAATTTTTTTTTAAAAAAAAAATTAACTCCCCTCCGTGAGTGAACAAAATTTTTTTGTTCACTCGGAGGGGTGGGGGAGTAAGTAACTTTCGTAGCTTAGATTAAAAAATAGCTCGCAAAGAGACTCGCAGGTAGCAATAATATTCTTTTAGCAAAATACTGCCCAAATTCTTTGATTAAATAAATTCATGGTCTCCGAAAGCTAAGGTCTGAAATCTTATTGCAGCCGTCAAAAGCTGCTTTTGAGTGATTCTTCGACGAGGCTTCACCAACTGGCAAATATGGAGTTTGACTCTTTTTAGATTTTCAGTCGAGGTCAGCGGCTGCTTTCCCTCACAGAAGAGGACGATAAGCACGTGATTATTTGATCACATATTTTCTAGCATAATCATTTTCATCAAGTTTTTTAGGGCTCCTCTCTTCTTTCTTTTGCAACCCTTCTTGCCAATTTTTCAAAATTTTTAAGAGTGGATTCGCTTCCAATAGAAATTTTTAGCATAAATTCCAATTTTGGACTTCTGTTAAAGTGTAATCAGGCGATAATCAAGGGTTTATGTGTTTATAAAACCAACATGTTGTAGTAGGATGCCATCAAGAAAAATGGAGACCCTATAGGTATATATTTATATTTAAAGATGGCAAGTATATAGAATATCCGATATAGAGGTACATTTTTTTGAAAGACACTTTCTTGAAGCATGCTGTTTTTTATGAAAATTTCAGAGTCTGAAAAATTTTTAGCTTGGAAAATTACTTATTCCCCCCTACCCTTGATCGAACGGCTAACCATCGTTCGATCAAGGATGGGGGCTAAAAAATTTTATATATAAAATAAAAAATATAATTTTTTTTAAATATTTTTAAATAAGAGGGTTAAGAGTATTTAATAATTCTTTTTACAGCAAAAAGTTGAATTAATTTCATAAGAATACCAATTTTTAATATTTTGATTTTTTGGTTACCCCTTTAAACTGTATAAATTTTAATTTGTTTCTTTATTGAATAAAAATTTTAAATTTAAAAGAATCTCTATTTTTTGATTATTGAGTTTTTAAGCCTAAGTTGATGACTAAAGCACTTCTGATGGTTGACTCCGTAGCTTTCTGTCGTCTCAAAGCCTCTGATAGCAACTTCATTAGACGCATTTCCCAAGCTTTTGATAACTAATATATGTTTATATATATAAAAATTTGCGTATGAAAATCGTTCGATCAAGGATGGGGGTTAATTTTCCCAAAATTTTAGGAATTTTTACAATCAACGTTCGATCAATGATGGAGGAGTTATGCAAAATTAATATTTCGATAAATAGGCTTTCAAAAAACTTTTGCATGAAAATTTCCAATACTTTCCCTCTCTGAAGTATAGCCTAGGATCTTAGCCGCAAATACAACTCAGCAAGGCTAAGCGATTTCTTTGAATATTTCGAGGGCTGGCATTTTATACTCTGATTTTAACTCAAACAAACCAAAAGAAGTTTATATGTCGAGCAAAAGACTCATTTCTTTCGAATGTCTCACCAGAATGATCAGCCACGCTTTTCCAAGACAGAACCTTCGCGGATACCACAAAGACTGACAAAAATCTATTTAAAGAGGCTAATGAATCCAGCTGAAGAAGAAATGAAAAGGAGCGTGAGCAGCAAAAATCGAGGAAGCTGGCCAAGTCAAAACAAGAAGAATTCTCAAAGAACGACAAGCTTAAGAATAAAGGGAGGCAACGAGAGAAAGACAGATAGAGCAAAGAAGAGCGGCTAATAAAGTTAAAGAAGACTAGCTAATTGGAAATAACCAAAACAAATGCATAGACTTGGTGCCAATTTCAACGATTATGATAGAGACACATCTCACTGGAAAGGATATAAATCAAGACTTGACTATGAGAAGCTGAAAAAGACCAAAAGATTCATTACAATAAAACTTCATAATTTTTTAAAATTAATAGTCTGATTCAGAGCTTGAACTTGATGCCTTGGAATCTTATTTGCAGCTGTCAAAAGTTGCTTTTGAGTGATTCTTCGACGAGGCTTAACCAACTGCAAATATGGAGTTTGGATCTTTTTAAATTTTTGCTGCTTGCTCATCCAGAAGAGGACAATAATCACGTGATTATTTGATTACATACTTTCTTACACACTATCCTAGGATAAATTATTATGTAACTAATGATCTATCTTCCATTAATAGACTATATAATAAAAGAAACTTTAATTTCAAAGTTCCCCTTATTAGAAAAATAAAAAGCTTTTTAAATCAAAAGAAAATATTTATTTAGCCATCATCATTCTAACGAATTCTTCATAATTGATATGTCCATCTCCATCTAAATCTGCTTCTCTGATCATTTCATCGACTTCTTCGTCAGTAAGTTTTTCTCCCAAATTGGTCATCACATGTCTTAGCTCAGCGGCGCTAATAAGTCCATTCCCATCTCTGTCGAAGACCTTGAAAGCTTCAATGAGTTCTTCTTCAGTGTCTTGATCTTTCATTTTTCTTGCCATAAGGCTTAAGAATTCAGGGAAATCAATTGTTCCGTTTCCATCAGCGTCGACTTCGTTGATCATGTCTTGAAGTTCGGCTTCGGTTGGGTTTTGACCGAGGGATCTCATGACTGTTCCAAGCTCTTTTGTTGTGATGGTCCCATCACCGTCTTTGTCGAATAAGGAGAAAGCTTCCTTGAATTCTGCGATCTGTTCTTCAGTTAATTGTTCTGCCATTATTTATTAGTTATGAAAATTTTGTGGGTATTTAAGCATGGAACTGCGACACTTTCCAAAACAATATGGCTTGTGAAGTAAAATTTGGAAATTTTTATGGTGATAGATTTTTAAGGCTATTAAAGCTGTGGGACTTTTATGAAAGATTAAATCTTGAGTATTTTAAAACTTCGAAATTTGAGGAATTATGATTTTTTAATTGATAAATAGATTAATATAAAGTAAGTTTTTAAGCGGAAATTCATCTTGTTAAATAGAGCATAGTTATCCATAAATTGAAGCTATTGAATGAATGATTTACTTAATCCCTTATATAAAGATAGGATTTTGTGTTCTAGCTTTAGAACTATTATTTTTACATATTTTAAGAGATTCAATGCTAAAAAATAAACCTTTCTCAAGCTTTGGCGAGCAAGCGAGAAAAAAATTAATACGAATTTTTTCTATATAAGTTGCAGTTACAATAAATTTAATGATAAAATTTGTGATATCCAGCTAATTCATTAAATTTAGACATAAAAAATGTGAATTCCCTTTAGAAATTTAGATATTATTACTATTATATCAAACTTATATAAAATTTAAGCAAAATCTAATTAGCCAAAATGCCAAGGAAGAGTTAATATTAGGATTTTATTCTAACAAGTAAAATTCTTAATTCGATAAATTTAATATTTTTTAAAAGTAAAACTAAATGTATAATATTTATTTAGTCATCTTCATTCCAAAGAATCTATCAAATTGATACTTCTATCTCCATCCAAATCTGTTTTTCTTATCATAATACAATTTCTTCATCAACAAGTTTTCTTCCAAACATTGCTTACTCCGCGAATAAAAAAATCTTGTTCTCTAAAGGGGGTTAATTTTTTTTTAAAAAAGATTACATATAATTTAAAATAAATAATTTTTTTTGTAAAAATTGAGAATTAAAAACTTGCAAATTTATATATCAAATTTTTTTTATAAAAAAATTTTTGTTCGCTCACGGAGAGTGGGTTTTTGGGAAAAAAATAAGGATTTTTCAATGATTTTGTTCGCTCACGGAGGAGAAATGGAGTTATAATTTTTTTATTGATCAGACAGAATTAATAGAGTGGAAATGTTTCATCTTATTAGGAGTTTCAAGATTATTTTAATAGCTAATAATTAGCAATTTAATTAAAACAAATCATTAATTCTAATAGCAGTCAATATTTTCAACTTAAATTATACATTTATACTGTATTCAATTTTAAATCATAGTGCGTTGTGCTAATATTGATCATTTCACTTGTGGAATCAAATCTGCTTATATAAGCATAAATAAAAATAAAAATATTAAAAGATAGCGCATCTATTCTTAAAGAACTCTATTTCAGTAAGTTACCAATCCTAGCATTGAATATAAACTCATAAAATTTTAGAAATATCTGAAAACCCCACCTAGAAATGCAGGAATCTATGCATCAAACAATTTAAAAGAAGATCATTTCTATATCTTTTAAAATGCTTCTTCTCGTGCGCTCTTTTATTTTTGAATTTATATTTTTTGTGGATTCATTGAGGCTAATCTCGGAATTTGAGACAGCCTCACCATAGTGTCTCTTTAAGCATTTTTTTGTTTGAATGAACTTCTAAGAGTATTTGAGTATTTTAACAGCCGCCTTTTGTGTGTTTTTTTTATGTTTCTAATATATAAAGTTCGTATTTATTCCCTTTTGAAGGGGATCTTGCTTTAAGATGCTTGCCGAGATGAATATCACAGGAATAAATGAGTTTTGGAGAAGTGCAATGACCTAAATATTCAGCTACACTCTCGCAATTAGTAAATGAGCAATTTTGAGTCTCCATATATATATATATAGCTTATGAATCATAGTAGATAGCTATAGTCAAGTGACATTCCGATCAGAAAAAATATAGTATCAGAAAGTTGGCTTACAGTTAAGTCTGATTAGGCATTTTAAATTATAAACTGAGATTTGGCATTTTCATTTAGCATTTTTTAAAACAATTGACAAGTACAAATTGAGATGAAAATTAAAATGGTTCAATAATTATCTATTAGAACGCAGGAGCTATAATTTAATTATCTTTTTTATTATTTTTAGCTGCAATAGTCTACTAATGAGATCTTCACAGCATATGCTAGTTCATAATAAATTTTCATCAAAGTTAATTAATACACTAAATATATAGTGTTAATTATAATAATACCTACCACTGACGAATAATAAGCTGAAATTTTTTTCTATATTAAACCTCATTTCATTATCATTAACTAATTAATTTCTGATCAAAGTTCAAATTTATCAAGCCACCTGAGGCTGTGATGAGACGACTCTGCTACTGCCGGACTTTCTGGCAATTCCTATTCTCAAGATTTCAAAAACTCCTATCCGGTTTTGCTGGTAGCATTTGGACTGTCATGATGTTAGAGTACCTAGGTTTGAAACTTGCTCCTTCCAACCATAAGCTGATTCTGCCCCAATTGCTTTGTCTTGACCTCAGAACACACCCGTTGCAGGTGTTGCGATGGGCGAAAAAGCTTCTTAAAAGAGGCATAGGATAATCAAGCCTCATTTCATTTCAGCTAAAAACATTCGCCAAATTCTGTTTTTCCAAAATAACTGTTCTTACCACTTAAATTCTCTTCCACTATTTTCTCATCAAAACTATATTTATTAAAACATAATTTCCTTTATTTATCATTTTTCCAATTAACTTTCTTATTCCTTACAAAAACTTGTTTCTTTCCCTAAACTATTTTAAAAGATATTTATTTTACTTATGAGATATATCTATAATATCACCATCTGGATTGACAATCTTCCCATCCAGTAATGGACGCAGTTTTTCCAACTCTACCATAAAATCAAGACTATCCAGTTCATTTTCGTCTTCTATTTCTACATTTACAATGTCTCCTTCCGCATTCACAATTTTTCCGTCCATCAATGCACGTAATTCTTCAAGCTCAGTCATGAAATCCAAGTTGTCAAGTTCATTTTCTTCTTCGTCGTGATTAAAATTGTGGGTGCTTGCCTCTCTTGGTTCCATATTCATGAGCTTAATTATAATGAAATCTGCTATCATTAGATAACATTTGACATTATTTGAGCTAATTTTCTATTACATCATAGACAGAATGCCATTATTCTGTTTTCTTCTTTTTTTATAATAATTGCCGTTAGGCAATGTGGCGACACGTTGCTGTGCTGCGACAAGCAAAAAAAATCCCAGAATTTGGGGTCACAAATTTAAAAAAAGTGGCCCCGAAGGGCCACGGGGTCGCTGACGATGATTGTCCGGGGTGAGTGTTGGCTTGGGCTGACTGGGCCTCTCCTCGGCCCACAGGCGAGAAGACCCGACGGCGCAATACCAATCGGATACTTCTGGAGGAGCATTATGATGCCTGCAAATGGCAAGGGTAGTTCCAGAAGGAGGCACGGGACGGTCCCCTCATACCCTGAGCACTACCCAAGGGTTAAGAGAGTCCTTTGCTGCAATTTTTTGGTCCAGCAGGTGCGGGTGAGTCTCCCCAAAAGATGTCGATGTCATTAAAAATGGTGACGTCGACAAAAAAAGGGCGTTAGGTGGCTTTAGTGACTAGCGCCACATGAAGCGCGAAGCTGAAGCTCGACTGGCTAGGGGCTGAAATAAACCCCGCTTAACCTCTCTAATCTAATTCTCTCTCTCATTTTTATAGTTAAAATATGATGAGTGCAAAAGTTGTCAATGAAGTTTATCAGTCCCAAAGGCCGCCAAGATCAGCTAAAACTCCTATAAAGCAAGGTATTCAAACCCCTGAAAAAGTCAGGATGAATAGAAGCGGAAATATTGAGCTTGAAAATAGTCAAGGTGCAGGAACACAGATAAGAAGGGTTAAGCCGAAAACGTTATATAAATCTAGAAGCTTGGAACATTCAAAATCCTTTACAGCGATAGATGACCTAAAAGAGATCACAAGCAAATGCTCAGAACAGGCTAAAAGGCTCCAGACAGTTTGGTCAAAAACAGAGTACAAGTTGAAAAGAAAAGGGCTTGATCTATGGAAAAATGAGCTTGAAAGAGCAAATCAAAGGAGCAATTGGCATTATAACACAGTTTTATTATGCTCGTTATTTAATTTATGAAAGGAAAATATAGCCAGAAAAAAGTATGTGGAAATGAATAGTGAGTTGATGGAAATACTCAAAAAATTTAAAGATGCCTTAATGAGTGAGAAGGAGATAGAAGAAAGCGATAGTTTGGAAACCAGTTTAGATGAAAAATCGTGAAAGACTGAAATAGCTAACGAGAAATACAAAAGTTGGCTAATGAAAAGGTCTATGCATGGGCTGCTTGATTTTTATATTTTTTCAGTTACACAAGAAAGCACATTGGATGAATACTATAAGAAAAAACTTGCAAGAAAAGCGTTTAATGTTTGGGAAAATCAAGCCTATAGCGCCGATCCATACGAAAATGTGATTGAAGCTTTTAAACTTGTAAGTTTTATATAGAATACCTTACTCCACCTTCCGCGAGTGAACAAAAGAATTTTATTCACTTAGTTTTCTTTTTTAAAAGTAATTATGTATAAAATTTATAGAAAATTTTATTTTCGAAGTTTTAATTTGTTAAATTTGGAAGCAAATATTATTTTAAATTTATAAAATTTATGTTTTAAAATGCAATTTGTTTGAAATTAAACAGAATTAGCTCGAGATTTGTTATAATAATTATCACTTATAAATCAATTGTTTTTCAGAAAAAAAATTTCTTTTAAAATAATTATTGTTCGCTCACAAAGGGTGGGTTTTTGGGCCAAAAATAGGGATTTTTCCAATGGTTTTGTTCACCCACGGATGGGAGAGTTAGGGTTTTAAAGTTTTCAGTGCTTGGAAAGCTGTGAAAAATTATATACTCGTTATTTTCTTTATTTCTGATTATTTTCTGTAATTGTCATTAAAATCTCAATAATGAATTCATATATAAAAACCATAATTAATAGAAAAAACCCACCAATTAAAAATCAAAAAATAGTTCATTTTTAATAATAACAAAAATATTCAGTGGATTTTATTACATAAGTATATATAGGAAAAATGGATAATATTCAGTTATCTAAACCTCTTCTAAGCGATGTCAAATCATTAGAAAAAGCTGCTCTTCTGTCTATGATCGTAGATACGGAGTTCAAACCTAACCAAATCAATCCTACCACTGTTCAAGTTAACAATGATAAAGCACAGCTAGATCCAATGAAAGAAGCTCTAGTTAATATTTCAGTTGTTTTCAACTGTCTCCTACCTTCAGAAGTCAATGTGCCTTACCAAATTCTTGACACGGTAAGGCTGTCTGACGAAGTCCATTATGTCGCCTGCACTTATGAAGGGCTTGCCCTTTATTTCGACACAAAGACCAGCAAATTCGATGAGAAACAAATCGGCAATCTACTGCGCTTTGTTGTTGTCCTAAAAGGAGAACAAAAAGCAATCTTCTCTGGCGAAACCACTCTTCATGAAGTTAAGCTTCCTTCCCTTCTCCCTGTAAAAGAAAAGACCTTGGATTTTGGTGTTGAAATTCCAAAAATGATCCAGTCTTATGATAAAAATTCTTTATATGTCTTATTAAAAGAACAAAAAATCGTCAAAGTTAACCCTGAAAATTTTGAAGAAAGAGAAGACGTTCTTGAAGGAAATTTCACTCAAATGGCTTTATCACGGATTGGAGAGTTTGTAACTTTTTCAAAGGATGGAAATTTGACATTGAAAAATTTAGAAACTTCAAGCCAAAATGAAGTGCATATAGATATTGAGGAAATTTATTATCTGGAATTTTCTCCTAACGAATCCAAAATCATAGTAGCTTCTTTAAAAACTGTAGTTATTGTCAATGTAAATCCTTTGGAAGTCATTAAAGTTTTCAAAATGAAAGAAGACGTTTACTCGCCTGTTATAGCAAATGACGAAAATACACTTATATTAGGAAATCAAAATGGAAAGCTTACATTTTGGGACATTAAAAACAAAGAGCAAATCTCAGAAGTCCAAGTCCATAGTAAGCCCCTTTATTTTGTTAAGCTTTCCTCTGATATACACAAATGGGTTTGACGGGAAATTCTGCTCACTGAGATTTCCTGAGTTTACTAAAGAATTATCAAAAAAAGTTAGCAATTACGATATTTCTCCAACAGGAAGTAATTTGATTATTAAAACTATCGACGAAAACTCATTCAAGAAGTGGGATTTGCCCACTAACAAGGTTGATGACATAGTTACAATCAATAATTATGAAATTGATTATTACAAAATCATTGATGAAAGAAACATAATGATTCTGACCTCTAATTCCTTAGTCAAATATGGCTTAATAAGCAAAGAAAGTATCGAAATCCTCCTTGTTGATGACGACTCTGACTGTATTTTTGCATATGCGATCACTCATGATAAAGCATATTATGCAACCGGCGGAAGCGCCCAAAAAGTGTTCTTATGGGATATTAAAACTATGAAAAAGGTCAGGGAATTCAAAGGAAGTGATAATTATATTAGAGAAATTATTTTCTTGCCGTCTTCCAATGCTATTGCTGCTGGAAACTACAGTGGGACTGTTTATTTTTGGGACATTTCTACTGGTGAATTTGTAATCTCACCTCTTAAAGGAGAAAAAGACCAACAAGTAGTTAGTTTAGGCACTTTTCAAAATGAAGAAAATGTGGTGATTGGCAGTGAATCGGGCTCAATATTCGTATATAATTGGAGAACAAAAACATTACTAGCCACATTTAAGGCTGGAGGAGAAATCAATAAAATTCACATAGCAAAAGATCAGAAAAATATGATTGTTGCCACTAAAGAAGGCAAAATCTCTTTTTGGAGCCTTATTACATATAATCAGCTGTTTCATTATGATATTAAGCAGGAGATAGCATATTTTCAGCTAACAGCTGATGAAAAATATTTAACCTATATGATTATTAAAAAGGAAGAAAAATATGAAAATGAGAAAAAAATAGAAAAAGGAAAGTGCGAAGAAGAAAAAGAAGAAAAAGAAGAAAGAGAAGAAGAAGATTTATATGAAGATGAAGAAGCGGATAGTGATGCTGATAATTTGTTTATTAAGAAAAATCCACTTGCAACTGAAGTTGTAGTTGCTGCCGGGCCTGGCAGCGGGTTTTCTTATATGAAATATGTGATGGACCTCATAAATAATAAGGGAAAACAGCATAAACCAGAAAACGATCAATGGATTATAATGCCATATAGAATCAATACTCTCCACCTGTATTCTTACTTCAACCATCCAAATCAGCTCAAATTAGCTCTTGAAGGTGGAGGTTCACTATTCAATACCAATTTCGGTGAAAATGCTCTATCTTTTGCTATTAAAAAACAGTTTTCAGGCTGTGTGAGCGCAATAGTGTCCTCTTTTGGAAAAATTTTAAAAGGAAATTCTAATGCCCTTAATTTCATATCTGAAGATTGCATTATTGGGCTCAATATGCTTGGCTATCCTTCTTTAACCAAGTTTTATAAGCTAATCTATACTCCTTATACAGGAAAATTCGTCAAGTTTGTTGACGAATCATTGCAAACCCCTATTTATTATCACTCAAAAGAAATTTATCCATTAGAATCAAATTTTGTGCAGCAGAGACAGAAAAGAACTGAAGGCAAGCCTGTAAAATGCATGCTAACTTCTTTGCCGCTTCCATTAACTAATGGCTCTAAAGCGAGCACTGATTTCTTAGATAGTCTCGAAGAGTGCCCGAATTCTGCTATTTTTACGACTAAGCTTATACAAGATATATTAGATCATAAGTGGGAAAACCTTAAATTCTGGGTTCTTAAAATCATTGATTGGCATGCCTCTCTGGCTGCAATGTCTAGCTCAGCTTCTACAGTTCTCTGTCAAAGTATCTACTTTTTTAGGGGTGCTGATAATAATCTTAAGCCTTCCATATGCCTTTATAAGGCTACAAGATTATGACTCTCGCTGTTGCTGATTTTGAATTCTTTGGGAAAGCTGAACTCTATGATAATAAATGATCTTAGAAACAATCTCATAATGGGAATTTCATATGCATTATTAATGTAAGAAGTCGAACATTCTGATCTTAGCTACAATATTTTAGTAGGCCTTGTAATAGTTTCCTGGATGAGAGGCATCACCTATTTCAGGATATTTAAAAATACAAGATACATGGTAAATCTGATTACTCAAGTAATAAAAGACATCACTTCATTCTTTATCCTCCTTTTCTATTCCACCCTTGCTTTTGCATTTATTTTCTTAGTCATGGATAAAGAAGATCCTAAATTAATTGACTATATAAAAATATCATATAGGCTAGACCTTGGTGATTTTGACCCTACTGGATTTACCTCAATGCAATGGGTCTGCTTGTTTTTAGCTACTATGACAAATATGATTATCATGCTAAACCTCTTGATCTCAATCATGGGCGACACTTTTGGAAAAGTCCAAGAAAATGCCGAAATTGCAGACAGAAAAGAATTACTAGGGATGATCAGTGAAATAGAAACATTGATGTTTTGGAAGAAAAAATGCACTGAAAGATCTTATTTCCAAGTACTTACTGGTGAAGAATCTGAAGAAACAGAAAAAAATATTAGCACCAGAGTGACAGTTATCAAGAAAAATATAAAAAGAAACCACTTGCAGACTCTAAAAAGGATGGACAGCCTTGAAGAAATGTTGAAGAAGATATGGACTAAGTTAGAAGGAGACAAGAAAGAAGAGGAAATTGAAGAGTCATCTGATGAAGAAAGCGGTGAAGAAAGCGGAGAACAAAGTGGAGAAGAAGAAGATTAAGCTTTTAGTATATTATTTATTCCTTAATTTTCGATTAATTCGAAATAGCTAGCTTTTTATGAATTGTTTGGCTTTTATTGCGGCTGTTTCAATAGTAGACTTGAAATTTTTGTAGACATTAAAGAGGTATTGGTAGATGTCAGCAAAAAAAGTGTAACTGTAAACTTAACGTAAGATTATTTTCATTTAAATGTAAAAACTAAAATATATACTAAAAAAACTTGATTGAAGATATAGAAAAATGATTTATAGCAGAAATCCATATAAAAATGAAGTTGAAATTTTAAATTATAAATTCATGTAGAATACTCTATATTTAAAGAAAAATATTTTTTAAGCTGCATTTCACGTTGCATTTTCTAAATCCTAATTATATATATAAAAAAATCACTAATTAAAAAGCAAAAATTTTTGGGCTTTGTAAAGACATTACTAATCATAATTTTAACAATTAATCAAAAATATTTAATTTAAATCTATAAAAATTGACTAATAAAAAGGTCCATGCATGGGCTGCTTGATTTTTATATTTTTTCAGTTACACAAGAAAATACATTGGATGATACTATAAGAAAAAACTTGCAAGAAAAGCATTTAATGTTTGGGAAAGTCAAGCCTATAACGCTGATCCATACGAAAATGCAATTGAAACTTTTAAACTTGTAAGTTTTATATAGAATACCTTAGGTTTTTAAAGTTTTCAGTGCTTTGAAAATTATATAAATGGATAATACTCAGTTATCTAAACCTCTTCTAGGCGATGTCAAATCATTGAAAGATGCTGCTCTTCTTTCTACGATGGTAGAAATGGAGTTCAAACCTAACCAAATCAATCCTGCAACTGTTCAAGTTACCAATGATAAAGCAAAGCCGGATAAAATGAGCGAAGCTTTAGCTAATATTTCAGTTGTTTTCAACAGTCTCCTACATTCACAAGTCAATGTGCCTTACCAAATATCCAACATAGTAAAGCTGTCAGACGAAACTCATTATGTCGCCTCCACTTGTGAAGGGCTTGCTCTTTATATCGACATGAAGACCAAAAGAATCGACGAGAAAAAACTCTGGGAGCGAATAGAATCTGTAGCAGTTCTAAAAGGAGAACAAAAAGCAATCTTCTCCTCCTTTCAATCTCTTCATGAGGTTAAGCTTCCTTCCCTTCTCCCAGTCAAAGAAAAGACTTTGGATTTTGGTCATCATATCCGTAAAATGGTCCAGTCTTATGATAAAAATTTTTTATATGTCCTATTAGACTACAAAAAAATAGTCAAAGTCAATCCTGAAAATTTTGAAGAAAGAGAAGACATTCTTGAAGGAGAGTTCGCTGAAATGGCTTTATCACGGACTGGAGGGAATTTTTTTTCGGATGGCACCTTTTCGGCACAATTTTGTAAAAATGTAAAAATATTTGCAAATTTGGCAAAAAATGGGCAAATTTTTGCTGAAAAAATCGTCCCGGGCTGGAAAGCTTGCCACTTTTTCAAGCGATCATAAATTGACATTGACAAATTTAGAATCTTCAAGCCAAAATGAAATGCTTGAATGTTTTGAGCTAATTGATTATCTGGAATTTTCTCCTAACGAATCTAAAATTATAGCAGTTTTTTGAGATACTGTATTTATTATCAATGTAAATCCTTTGGAAAAATGCAAAGTTTTAATGAAAGAAAGAGTTTTCTCGCCAGTTATAGCAAATGATGAAAATACGCTTATATTAGGAGATGAAAAAGGAAAGCTTATATTTTGGGACATTAAAAACAAAGAGCAAATGTCAGAAGTCCAAGTCCATAGTGGGAGCCTTAATTTTGTGATGCTTTCCTCTGATGGGAAATTGATATACACAAATGGGATGGACGGAAAACTCCGCTCATTGAAATTTCCTGGGGTAACTAACTCTCCTTTTAATTGGAATAAAATATTTGGTAAATTTACATTTTTGGTACTTAACCTACTTTAAATTTGATCAATTTATTTAATAAAAAACAATTATATTAAAAATGCTAATTATATACATAAAATGGCCGGAGACGAGCGACCTGTCCTTCCGTGGCGGGCGACCTTATGTATACCGGACGTGGTTTTTGGATGCGAAGAGCTACTCAAGGTAAGGGCTAGCCTCGAGGCGAGAGGCCCAGCACAATTTCCGCTGATTTTGTGGCCTGACCCGGGCAGCAGTTTTTCGCATCTTTTTTGCCAGTAGCGCCGAGGCCCAGACTCGGTGTCCGAAAGAGGCAGGGGGATTACTTGCCTAAGCTACTTGGTGGCATCGCCCCGAATCCCGTAAGGGGTTGAGTTTTTTCTTGGAGATGATCCGGGAAAAAGGGGAAGGTGAGGCTCGACTTAGGATCTCAAGGGCACAAGTCTCTCCAGTTAAAAGGGTTCGATCAAAAAGGGCGATCTGGCGAATGGAAATGGCAGTGTTGGCGTCAACTTGGGCGACACAGCAAGTTGGAAAATGGAGGCGGTCAGCTAAGACAGTGCTCTGTCCCTTGACCTCACCTCTACCGAGAAACCGGGGGTTTCGGCCCGGGCTTGCTGTGGATACGCTCTGCCACCCTGCAGGTAAAACCGCAGCATGCAGTCCACGAAGTAGGGACTATAAATACCCAGCTTAAAACTAACTAACTAAAAATGCTAATTCTTAAAATTAGTTGAACAAATGAATATTATTTAAATAGTTTAAACACTGATAAGATTAATTTTTTGAATTATTGTGCCTTTTTGGGGGCAAGCGCATGAACCATAATGGTGGCTAGTTTCGTATCCCAGCCTTGGAAAAATACGAAGCTGGCCACTAGTATGGCTCACATACTTGTGTGCCCAAATAGGTACAAGACACAATAATTTTTTATATAAAATGAAATTAAAATTAAGTTCAATTTATATTTTTTAAAAAAATTGACCCCCTTTAATCGAACATGATTTTTTGTTTGAATTTAAATGGAGGGGATTAAAGAATTATCAAAAAAAGTTTGAGATTTCGAAATTTCCCCAACAGAAAGCAATTTGATTATTAAAACTAGTAACATGATCACATTAGAGAAGTGGGATTTGTCTACTAACAAGACTGAAAGATAGTTACAATTGACGATGACAGAATATATTATTACAATTTCATTGATGAGAGAAACATAATGATTCTAACCTATGATTCCATAGTCAGGTACGACTTAATAAGCAAAAAAAGTGTCAAAATCCCGCGAAATGGGTGTGACATTGGCTATTTTAAAACACGCACTATCAGCCCTGATAAAGCATATTGTGCAACTGGTGGGACTTCCCACAAAGTGTTCCTATGGGATATTAAAACCATGAAAAAGGTCAGGGAATTCAAAGGAAGCGAAAGTTATATTAGCGAAATTATTTTATTGCCGTCTTCCAATGTGATTGCTGCTGGAAACTACACTGGGTCTGTTTATTTTTGGGACATTTCTACTGGTGAATTTGCAATCTCACCTCTTAAAGGAGAAAAAGACCAAGAAGTAATAAGTTTAAGCACTTTTCAAAATGAAGAAAATGTGGTGATTGGAAGTGAATCGGGCTCAATATTCGTATATAATTGGAAAACAAGAGGATTACTAGCGAGATTTAAGGCTGGAGGAAGAATTAATAAAATTCACATATTAAAAGATCAGAAAAATATGATTGTTGCCACTAAAGAAGGCAAAATCACTTTTTGGTGCCTTATTACATACAATCAGCTGTTTCATTATGACATTAAGCAGGAGATAGAATATTTTCAACTAACAGCTGATGAAAAATACTTAGCCTATATGATAATGAAAAATATGATAAAGAAAAAGGAAGAAAAAGAAAAAGATGAAAAAACGAAGTGTGATGCTGATAATTTGTTTATTATGAAAAATCCACTTGCAAATGACGTTGTAGCAGTTGCCGAGCCTTACAGCGAGTTTTCTTATATAGAATATGTGATGGACCTCATAAATAATAAGGGAAAGCAGTATAAACCAGAGAACGATCAATGGATTATAATGCCATATAGAATCAATACTCTTCATCTTTATTCTTACTTCAACCATCCAAATCTGCTCAAATTAGCTCTTGATGGTGGAGGCTCACTATTCAATACCAATTTCGGTGAAAATGCTCTATCTTTTGCTATTAAAAAGCAGTTTTCAGGCTGTGTGAGTGTCGTAGTATCCTCTTTTGGAAAAATTTTAAAAGGAAATTCTAATGCCCTTAATTTCATATCCAACGATTGCATTATTGGGCTTAATAAGCTTGGCTATCCTTTTTTAACCAAGTTTTATAAAATAATCTATACTCCTTATACAGGAAAATTCGTTAAGTTTGTTGACGAATCATTGCAAACCCCTATTTATTATCGCTCAAAAGAAATTTATCCAATAGAATCAAATTTCGGGCTGGGAGAGGAGAAAAAAACTCAAGGCAAGCCTGTGACATGCATGCTAACTTCTTTGCCGCTTCCATTAACTAATGGTTCTGAAGAGAGCACTAAGTTCTTGGACAGTCTTGAAGGGTGTCCGAATTCCGCTATTTTTACGACTAAATTTATACAAGATATATTAGATCATAAGTGGGAAAACCTTAAATGGGCTATGTACTGGCAAGTTATCATATATACCATCTATATGGTTTTGTTGTCGGTTTATCTGCTATATTTTATAGGAGAACAGTTGCCTTTGATAATTATTTTTATTTTCAGCATGCTGCTGTCTGCCTATGAAGTATTTCAGTTTGCCACATCACCTTCCGAGTATATAGAGGATATCTGGAATTATATAGATGCGATTAGAACTATATTGACAACAGTCTACACATGCCTTAATTGGGCAGAGAAGGCAAACATTCTGATCTTAGCTATGATATTTTAGTAGGCCTTGTAATAGTTTCCTGGATGAGAGGCATCACCTATTTCAGGATATTTAAAAATACAAGATACATGGTAAATCTGATTACTCAAGTAATAAAAGACATCACTTCATTCTTGATCCTCCTCTTCTATTCCACCCTTGCTTTTGCATTTATTTTCTTAGTCATGGATAAAGAAGATCCTAAATTAATTGACTATATCAAAATCTCATATAGGCTAGACCTTGGTGATTTTGACCCTACCGACTTTACCTCAATGCAATGGGTCTGCTTGTTCTTAGCTACTATGATCAATATGATTATCATGCTAAACCTCTTGATCTCAATTATGGGCGACACTTTCGGTAAAGTCCAAGAAAACGCCGAAATTGCAGATAGAAAAGAATTACTAGGGATGATTATTGAAATAGAAGCATTGATGTTTTGGAAGAAAAAATGCACTGAAAGATCTTATTTCCAAGCACTTACTGCTGAAGAATCTGAAGAAATAGAAAAAAATATGAACACTAGAGTGACAGTTATCAAAAAAAACATAAAAAGATACCACTTGGAGACAATTAAAAGGCTGGACATCCTTGAAGGAATGTTGACAAAGATGCAGACTAAATCAGAAGGAGAGAAGAAAGAATATAAAGATGAAAAGCATTCTAATAAAGAAAGCGGTGAAGAAAGCGGAGAAGAAAGTGGAGAAGAAGATTAAGCTTTTAGCTAATTACTTATTCCTTTAATTTTTCATTAATTTGAAATAGCAAGCTTTTTATGAATTGTCTGGCATTTATTGCTGCTGTTTCAGCAGTAGACTTGAATTTTTGTAAACATTAAAGAGGATATTGGTAGATGTCTGTCAATAAGCTTTTCAGTAAGCTCTTCTCTTGATAGAGCGTGAGAAGAAATTCCTCACTTTTAAAAAGATTTTCGATAAGCTGTGCCATTTTAAATTATTGTAATTACCCGAGGATGGCGCTATCTTCCGCCATCCTCGGCAAATTACTATATATTTTAGTTAATAAAAGATAGCATACGCTATTATTTATTATTTATTATAGTAATATTTTCATGCCCGTCACAGGACAAAAAAATATTGCTGCAGCAGTTGATAGTATTTTGATGTTGCTAGTTTTGCTGGAATGGCTAGCATTGCTGATGGTTCTAGTGTGGCTAGTTATGTTACTAATTCTGATGTCGTAGTGTAGCTATTATTGCTAAATTTGCTAGCATTGCTAATGATGCTAGTGCTGCTAGAATTTCTAATAGTGTTGATGCTCCTAGTGTTGCTAGAATTTCTAGTAGTGTTGATGCTGCTGTGTTTCTAGTTTTAATAATGTTGCTATTATTGCTAGTGTGGCGATTGTTGCTATTGTTGCTAGCATTGCTGATGCTGCTAGTGTTGCTATAATCTCTATTATTGTTGGTGGTGCATGTGTTCTTAGTGTTGCTAATGTGGCTAGCATTGATGCTGCTAGTTTTGCTATAATCTCTATTATTGCTGATGGTGCTAGCTTTTGATAATATTGCCAATATTGCTGATGGTGCAAGTGTTGCTAGTACTCTATTATACTGAAAAAGAACTTTATATGAGGAAATTACTATTTGTCTATTTTTTGTATTCTGTTCTCTTGATTTTGCCTTTAAAGTCTGGGTACAGATAAAAAATTACCTATTGGGGTTTTTCTCCCGCATTTTTGTAAATGGACCAAAAATGTTTACATATATTTCAATCTTTTTATTACAGATAATGCATCTATTATATGTGTAATTATTATTTAATTTGCTGTGAGATTACGCAGACAAATATATATTTGCGTATCTTTAAATAATCAGTAGTGTTTATAATATTTTAATTTGTTTTTCCGTTTGAGGTTTTTTCATCTATTTTTGACACTTTTTTCACACCTCCGGGTAAATTCCGCCATTTTGGAAAACCGTCACTTTTTTGACGGCGGATTTTACCTCAACAACGGTTTTGAGGGCGGCGGATTTTACCTCAGCGAGGTAAATTCAGCTCAACCCCTACGAAAGCCTGAAAATTTTTGTTTTTTAATGATTTTTATATGAATTATTTTCTAGGATATAATTAATCATTGCAATTACTTTAAATTAATTTGATATAAATTTTTTAATTTAAAAATTTCATTTTTATTTTCGTTGTTGCTACTGTTCATTTTTCTATATTCTTCAATCAAGTTTTTTAGTATATATTTGAGTTTTTACGTATAAAAGAAAATAATCTTTAGTTAGTTTACATTTACGTTTTTTTGATGACATCTACCAATATCCGCTTTAGTGTTTATAAAAATTTCAAGTCTACTGCTGAAACAGCCACAATAATTTAAAAAATACTTTTCATTTCGAATTAATGAAAAATTAAGGAATAAATAATATGCTAAAAGCTTAATCTTCTTCTTCTCCACTTTTTTCTCCGCTTTCTTCACCGCTTTTTTCATTAGATGACTCTTCAACTTTCTCTTCTTTCTTATCTTCTTCTTTCTTGTCTCCTTCTTTCTTGTCTCCTTCTTTCTTGTCTCCTTCTAACTTAGTCCATATCTTCTTCAACATTTCTCCATGGCTCTCCAACATTTCTCCATGACTTTCCATCATTTTTAGAGTCTGCAAGTGGTATCTTTTTATGTTTTTCTTGATAAATTTTTTAATATTTTTTTCTGTTTCTTCAGATTCTTCACCCGTAAGTACTTGGAAATAAGATTTTTCAGTGCAGCTTTTCTTCCAAAACATCAATGTTTCTATTTCACTGATCATCCCTAGTAATTCTTTTCTGTCTGCAATTTCGGCGTTTTCTTGGACTTTTCCAAAAGTGTCGCCCATGATTGAGATCAAGAGGTTTAGCATGATAATCATATTTATCATAGTAGCTAACTCCCCGTATATGGACGGGCAAAAAAATCTTGTTCGCTAAAGGTTAATTTTTTTTTTAAAAATTATATATAAATTTTTTTGTTGTTGTAAATTTAAAAAAATCCATTTTACAAAAAATTGGAAAGCAAATGCTAATTTACTTTGTAAAATTTATGTTTAAAACGTCAATAAATAAATCTATATCGGTGCATGAACTATATTCAATTTTGAGTCTTTTACTTTGTTGATCTATAGCTGCTTATGAGGCTAGCTTAACTCCTTATTATTATCTGTTTTTATTTATTCCATCATTATGAACATAATACATTTACAATTTTTTAGCGTATTTTTTTCATACTATTTTTGCTAAAAATAATTTATTAACATATGTTGTGCATTTCTTACATTTATTTGATAATATCTTATTTAAAATGGAAATTAAACATGCAAATTCTATTTATTCTTAATATAAATAAGCTATTTTCTATGTATAAAATTAATCATATTAGATAAATATATAATTGTATGTGAATTTTTTTCCTCTTGTTTGACCCATTTTTGGGGTACATATTTTTTTACACCCTAGTTTGAAAATTTTAATATTTTTTTCCACCTTCTTTTTTTACCATTGTTTTTTTAATGGTTTTTAGAGTCATTTTCACATAAAAAAAAACGTGTTGAAAAAAATTCAGTGTATTTTTTTCAGCCTCACCCATATTTTCTAATAGCTTTGTTCGCTCACAGATGGGGAGGAGTAAGAACAAGCAGACCCATTGCATTGAGGTAAAGCCAGTAGGGTCAAAATCGCCAAGGTCTAGCCTATATGATATTTTGATATAGTCAATCAATTTAGGATCGTCTTTATCCATGACTAAGAAAATAAATGCAAAAGCAAGGGTGGAATAGAAAAGGAGGATAAAGAATGAAGTGATGTCTTTTATTACTTGAGTAATCAGGTTTACCATGTATCTTGTATTTTTAAAGATCCTGAAATAGGTAATGCCTCTCATCCAGGAAACTATTACAAGGACTACTAAAATATTGTAGCTAAGATCAGAATGTTCGACTTCTTACATTAATAATGCATATGAAATTCCCATTGTGACATTGTTTCTGAGCTCATTTATTATAATAGAGTCCAGCTTTCCCAAAGAATTCAGAACCATCAACAGCGAGAGTCATAATCTTGTAGCCTTATAAAGGCATATGGAAGGCTTAAGGTTATTATCAGCACCCCTAAAAAAGTAGATACTTTGACAGAGAAATGTAGAAGCTGAGCTAGACATTGCAGCCAGAGAGGCATGCCAATCATGATTTAAGAAAATTTAGCTTTAATTTATGAATCAATAAATTTAATGCAAGTTATTGTATTGTGCTTGAACAGATCAGAATCAAAAAACTAATCCAAATGTTGAAAGGATTCAAGCATCATCTGAAGATGCATCTGATGATTCCAGAAGTGATTTAGTGAGTGAAGTAAATAGAGAAATAATAAATTTAGAAAAATGGAGGAAACAGATTGCAGATCGAAGAACCCAAAAAGTAGCTAAAAGTAATAATGAGGAAGATGCAATTTCAGAAAATACTAATGATATCATAGAAGCAGATTCCAAGATGGAAATGATTGTTGTGAGTTTCTTCAACAAAGGAGACGTATATGATTTCTTAGATCTAAAAGATTTAAGCCCATATAAAACTAAAAGCTTTAGAAATCGATCAGGTTAAAATTGATGTGTCAAGATCAAGGCCTAATAGAAAAAACATTGAATTTAGTTGCTATTTTTCAAGTAAACATAGTAAATTCTATTTCCTTCAATATCACCAGAAGAGGCATGCCAATTTAAGTTGATGGAATGATGCATTGAGATGCTATGTGCTTACATGTGAATCAGTAGAAAAGACTCATAGCCATGAGCATATTCCTGTTAATAAAATTGCTAACTTAATAGAATGTCAGATGCTATCTGGAAGGTTAAAAGATGAAATAATTCGCTATTACAAAGAAGGATTTACTTGCCTACAAATCAAGAGTATGATAAATGAAGTTCGCAAGCAAAATTTTTTGAGAGATAAGATAAAAAACTGCATTGATTATTATTCTGCCAAATATCCTATTAATCTCACAATGGAAAGCATGATAGAATTGCTAAATAAATGTGATAATTATATGATTGGAACTGATAATAAAAATGGAAGATTATTTTTCACAGAAGGTTTACGAGTTGACAAATGGCGCTTGCTTGGTGATGTAATTGCAATAGATAGCACATACAACATTAATAACATATTTAGGTGTGCTATTTTTTTCGTAACTATCGATAAATGGATCAAATTATGTCTTAGCGATGTGTCTTTGTAAAAAAGAAAGAGAAATAGACTACCTTTGATCATCACCAAATTTATAAAATATTTTAAGTCATCTAGTGTTATCTGCGTTGACAGAAATAAAGCACAATTTAGTGCTCTTAATAAAAAGTTTAAAATATTGTTTTGCATATAGAAATTGCCCGATGATGGCGCTCAATGCGCCATCACCGGGCAACGTTTTTTCAGGGTCCACAATGGAAGAAGTTTCCACGTGTGGAACCCTTTTTAACAAGTGGAGAATCCTCACTTCCACGCGTCAAAAAGGGTTACACACGTGGAACCCATTTCACGTGTGGACCCTAAAAGACGTTGCCCGATGATGGCGCATTGAGTGCCATCATCGGGCAATCAGTATATGACACATTAAACGAAATATCACCTCCTGTCGAAATTAAATATCACATGGGATGCTTTATGGGCTTTATACTATTCTAAAGACGAAAAAGCTTTTAATGCAAAATGAAATGCCTTACTATATAAATTCCCCCCTTTAGTTGATGAGCCAGCATTTATGGAGTTAGCTTAAATAAAAGATCATTAAGCAAAATATGCAGCTATTAACTTACCTACAATCGGAGTTAAAAAACTCAAGATATGAAAGCTTTAATTCTCAAGTGAAAAGATGCATTAAACAGCTTAAAAGAAACAGTGAAATCAAAATATTTGAAGCTTTTGATAAAATTATTAAAACTGAAAGTCAAAATTTCGATAATGCAGTTGAGAATCAACTAGGGAAAATAAAATTAACTGGTTTTAATTGAAATGCGCTTTATAAAGCTTGGATTAAAACTTATACTAGATATAGCTGGATTCTTTTCAAAACTTCGATCGATAAAATAAATGATCTAATTACAACTGATACCAAAACTAATAACGTCTCTACAGTTTCAGAAACCATTAATAATGATCAAAAGATTTATATAGTGAATAAAAACAAGCTAACTGCACATGCTGTTGATCTAAAAGATATACCGTACCTTGTCAGCATATATTTTTTATTGCATTAACTGCAGGTGCAGACATATTCAATGTCATCATATCAATCAACTTTAAGAGGTGGCTTTTGCCTAGAAATTACCATTTAACCAGTGAAGAACTCAAAGAACTTATGGAGCAGGGAGATTTGAAAAGAAATTGCACTGAGAAGACTGATAAAGGTGCTAAACGAGTTAAAATAATCAATAAAAACGAGTTTGTTTAATTTATTATCAATTTATAAAAATTATTAAACTACTTTTTTTAGAAATTTAAATGGTGTCCTCTTCTTTCTACTGTCTCTAGGTAAAATCTAGCACTACTTGCATTAGATGAAATAATTAAAACCCCCTATCTATTAAATGTGATGCTGGCGTATTTCATTTCTTGGGCAATATACCGCGCTTCTTGAACAAAAAAGCATCGTGCTCATCAGATACTCAAGTGCCTAAACTCATGCTCTATGCGCCCTTATGACTTTTAGTGTCATTCAGATTTAGCTTTAATATTTAAATTATTAAATTAATATTTGTCTATGTTTTTGTACTATTTAATATTAACAATTAATCAAAAATATTTAACTCATTTTCTTTAAAATCAATACGTTAGCACTTAGTCCTTTGGGAATTACAGCAGACTTTTTCAATAAACATAATTAAGATTATGATTAATGTCGGCTAATGATGTTTCATGAGTCTGAAGATATCTATTAAAATAAACATACTAGTTAGACTTTTTTATTTAGAAATTGATTATTATTTTAGATCTCAGCTGAAATGTGTAATATAATTAAGGATTTTTTGATACTATCTCTTTAATCCATATCAAGATGAAATAAAGATCAGAATTGTGCTTATTTTTGTTTAATTGCTTTATTAGCATGAGTTCTTATTATAGTAAATTTATGGCTTTAAGTCTCATTTTTATATTAAATCTGCAATGAAGTAATATAAAAGTTGCCTAATAAAAAGGTCTATGCATGAACTGCTCGATTTTATATTTTTTTAGTTACACAAGAAAGCACATTGGATAAATACTATAAGAAAAAAAATTGTAAGAAAAGTGTTTAATGTGTATTAAAGTCAAGCTTATAACGCTGATCCATACAAAAATGTAATTTAAGCTTTTAAGCTTGTAAATTCTATATCGTAATTAATAGAAAAAAACCCACTAATTAAAAATCAAAAAATAGTTTAGTTTTAAATAATAAACAAAAATATTAAGCTGGATTTTATTGCTTAAGTAGATATAGGAAATAAATGGATAATACTCAGTTATCTAAACCTCTTCTAAGCGATGTCAAATCATTAGAAAAAGCTGCTCTTCTTTCTATGATGGTAGACACAGAGTTCAAACCTAACCAAATCAATCCTACAACTGTTCAAGTTAGCAATGATAAAGCGCAGCTGGATCCAATGAAAGAAGCTCTAGTTAATATTTCAGTGGTTTTCAACAGTCTCTTACCTTCAGAAGTCAATGTGCCTTATCAAATTGTTAGCATGGTAAAGCTGTCTGACGAAATCCATTATGTCGCCTCTACTTATGAAGGGCTTGCCCTTTATATCGACATGAAGACCAAAAAATTCGACGAGAAAAGGATTGGTGATGCACTAGGCTTTGTTGCTGTTCTTAAAGGAGAACAAAAAGCAATCTTTTCTGGCAAAACCACTCTTCATGAAGTTAAGCTTCCCTCCCTTATCCCAGTCAAAGAAAAGACTTTGGATTTTTGTGTTTATATTCCAAAAATGATCCAGTCTTATGATAAAAATTCTTTATATGTCCTATTAGACTCTCAAAAAATCGTCAAAGTCAACCCTGAAAACTTTGATGAAAGAGAAGACATTCTTGAAGGAAATTTCACTAATATGGCTTTATCACGGACTGGAGGGAAGGTTTTTGTTTCGGATGGCAACTTTTTGGCAAAATTTTGTAAAGATGCGCAAATATTTTGGAAAAAAAATGGCAAAATTTTACCGTCCCGGGCTGGAGAGCTTGTAACTTTTTCAAGCGATGGAAAATTGGCATTGTCAAATTTAGAAACTTCAAGTCAAAATGAAATCCATCTAGATATTGAGGAAATTAACTATCTGGAATTTTCTCCTAACGAATCTAAAATTATAGCAGCTTCTTCAAAAACTGTAGTTATTGTCAATGTAAATCCTTTGGAAGTCATCAAAGTTTTCAAAATGAAAGAAGAAGTTTACTCGCCTGTTATCGCAAATGACGAAAATACACTTATATTAGGAAATCAAAATGGTAAGCTTACATTTTGGGACATTAAAAACAAAGAGCAAATCTCAGAAGTCCAAGTCCATAGTAAAAGCCTTTATTTTGTGGAGCTTTCCTCTGATGGGAAATTGATATACACAAGTGGTTATGACGGAAAGTTTTGCTCATTGAATTTTCCTGAGTTCACTAACTCTCCATTTTAATTGGAATAAAATATTAGTTAAATTTACATTTGTGGACTTTAATCCACTTTAAATGGGATCAAAAAATTTGTTTTAATATTAAATATACTAATTTATAAAATAAGTTGTGGCATAATTAAGCAAGTGAATATTATTTAAACAGTTCAAACACTGAATCGATTTCATTTTTTGAATTATTGTGCCTCTTTAGGAGCAAGTGCATGAGTCATACTGGTGGCTAGTTTCGTATCCCAGCCTTGGAAAAATACGAAGCTGGCTACTAGTATGGCATATTGCATACATATTGCCAAACGGTATAAGACATAATAATTTTTTTAATAAAATAAATTAAAATTAAAAAACATATGTTCAATTTTATATTTTTTAAAAAAAATTTTACTAGAAAAAAAATTGACCCCCTTTAATTGAACACGATTTTTTGTTCGAATTTAAATGGAGGGGAGTAAAGAATTATCCAAAAAAGTTGAAGATTTCGAGATTTCCTCAACAGGAAGTAATTTGATTATTAAAACTAGCGAAGGGAGCACATTCGAGAAGTGGGATTTGTCCGCTAACAAGACTGAAGAGATAGGTACAATTGACGATTACTGAATTAATTGTTACAATTTCATTGATGAGAGAAGCATAATGATTCTAACCTATGAATCCATAGTCAAGTACGACTTAATAAGCAAAGAAAGCGTCGAAATCCCTCTTGTTGATGATGACTCTGACTATATTTTAACACGCATTATCAGCCCTGATAAATCATATTATGCAACTGGCGGGACTTCCCAAAAAGTGTTCTTATGGGATATTAAAACCATGAAAAAGGTCAGGGAATTCAAAGGAAGCGATAGTTTTATTAAAGAAATTATTTTCTTGCCGTCTTCCAATGTGATTGCTGCTGGAAATGACAATGGGACTGTCTATTTTTGGGATATTTCTACTGGTGAATCTGCAATCTCAACTCTTAAAGGAGAAAAAGACCAAGAAGTAGTAAGTTTAGGTACTTTTCAAAATGAAGAAAATGTGGTGATTGGCAGTAAATCGGGCTCGATATTCGTATATAATTGGAGATCAAAAACATTACTAGCCACATTTAAGGCTGGAGGGACAATATTTAAAATTCACATAGTAAAAGACCAGAAAAATATGATAGCTGTTACTAAAGAAGGCAAAATCTCTTTTTGGAGCCTTATTACATACAATCAGCTGTTTTACTATGACATTAAGCAGGAAATAGAATATTTTCAGCTAACAGCTGATGAAAAATACTTAGCCTATATTATAAATAAAAAGGAAGAGAAAGATGAAAATGAGAAAAAGGAAGAAAAATATTTGATTGAGATTAAATTGGGCTCGCTGGAATTATTTCAGCCCTTTTTCCCATCGAGAGCTCGCTTCGGGTCGTTCGCTAGTCGCTAATTTCATCTGCGCCATTTTTCAACACTAGCCACCAAAAAAATGGGACGTAGGACCTTCTAACGGAGTGCTTATGTAATTGGGCTATATACGCTATTTATTGCTTCCACGTTACTCTTTAACTGGGATTGGCCATAATGATCAGCTGGTGTTCTTCTCTCCGTGCTACTATCTAAAGTCCTAGCAGAACCATTCATATGAAGAAGTGAGGCAAATTGGACATTGCATCTTCTAGTTGAGTATATAGTCGTGGTAAAAAAGCGTTCCTCTGTACCTGAATATTTAATTCCACGGGTCTCTTCTAGCCTGAGTAGAACACCGTGAACCTCTGCCAATACGCCATTTAATTAAGTATGAAGAAGAAGAAAAAGAAGAAAAGGAAGAAAAGGAGGAAAAAGAAGAAAAAGAAGAAGGAGAAGAAGAAGAAGAAGGAGAAGAAAAAGAAGAAAAAGAAGAAAAAGAAGAAAAAGAAGGAAAAAAAAGAAAAAGAAGAAAAAGAAGAAGGAGAAGAAGAAGAAGAAGATTTATATGAAGATGAAGAAAAGGAGAGTGATGCTGATAATTTGTTTATTAAGAAAAATCCACTTGCAAATGACGTTGTAGTTGCTGCCGGGCCTGGCAGCGAGTTTTCTTATATGAAATATGTGATGGACCTTATAAATAATAAGGGAAAACAGCATAAACCAGAGAACGATCAATGGATTATAATGCCATATAGAATCAATACTCTCCATCTTTATTCTTACTTCAACCATCCAAATCAGCTCAAATTAGCACTTGAAGGAGGAGGCTCACTATTCAATACCAATTTCGGTGAAAATGCTCTATCTTTTGCTATTAGATTAGATTAGATTGTGTAGCGCATTTAAGGTCCTTACTTCGTGAGCTTCATGCTGCGATGCTACCTGAAGAGTGGCTGGAACGTAGCGCCTTGAGTCCGGGCCGAAAACCCAGTTTCTCGGTAGAGGTGAGGTCATGCGTCAATTAGGCATTGTTGATAGCCTCCATTTCCAACCCAACGCGTTGCCTGAGATTTATCGCGATCTTTGCCCTTCTCAATGCCAGAACCGCTTTTTGAGAACGCATTTTAAACTAGAGAGACCACCCTGTTGGTCTAACTCGCCTTCCCTTTTAGCAGGTCATCGTTGAAAAAAAATATTCAACCGCTTGCGCAATTCGGGTGAGCCACTATAGCAAATTTGTTAGGTAAGTCGCCCTGCCCCATTTCGGGCGCCCACTGGCCTGAGTGCTGCTAGCAAAAAGAAGTCTCAAGTAACTACCCAAGGATCAAGTCACAAAAAACAGTGGCTCTTGCGCTTAGCCCCCTGGCCTCGAGAATCCTTATATTGCTGGGCCAGCCTGGGACTCCAAAAACAATCCCCAGATATACACGTGTTACCATCATTGAGATGACGGGTCGGACGTCATCCACATTTTATATATATTATCTTTTGCTATTAAAAAGCAGTTTTCAGGCTGTGTGAGCGCAATAGTGTCCTCTTTTGGAAAACTTTTAAAAGGAAATTCTAATGCCCTTAACTTTATATCTGAAGATTGCATTATTGGGCTTAATATGCTTGGCTATCCTTCTTTAACCAAGTTTTATAAGCTAATCTATACTCCTTATACAGGAAAATTCGTCAAATTTGTTGACGAATCATTGCAAACCCCTATTTATTATCACTCAAAAGAAATTTATCCATTAGAATCAAACTTTCTGCAGCAAGGACAAAAAAGAACTGAAGGCAAACCTGTGACATGTATGCTTACTTCTTTGCCGCTTCCATTAACTAATGGCTCTAAAGCGAGCACTGATTTCTTAGACAGTCTTGAAGAGTGCCCGAATTCCGCTATTTTTACGACTAAGCTTATACAAGATATATTAGATCATAAGTGGGAAAACCTTAAATGGGCTATGTACTGGCAAGCTATCATATATACCATCTATATGGTTTTGTTGTCGGTTTATCTGCTATATTTTATAGGGGAACCGTTGCCTTTGATAATTATTTTTTATTTTCAGCATTCTGCTGTCTGCCTACGAAGTATTTCAGCTTGTCACATCACCTTCAGAGTATATAGAGGATATCTGGAATTATATAGATGCGATTAGAACTATATTGACTATAGTCTACTCATGCCTTAATTGGGTAGGAGAAGAGCATTATACTAGATTAAGTATAGCTCATACACCTTAATAGATCTCTATACCCCAGCAGAATACCGACCAGAAAAAATATGATGCAGGACACCTACTTTATACTTTTTAGGAACGCTGAGAATAGCCGTGTGCCTCCCATATGCAAGATTATGACTCTCGCTGTTGATGGTTTTGAATTCTTATGATAATAAATGAGCTCAGAAATAGTCTCAGAATCGGAATTTCATACACATTATTAATGTAAGAAGTCGAACATTCTGATCTTAGCTACGATATTTTAGTAGGCCTTGTAATAGTTTCGTGGATGAGAGGCATCACCTATTTCAGGATCTTTAAAAATACAAGATACATGGTAAACCTGATTACTCAAGTAATAAAAGACATCACTTCATTCTTTATCCTCCTTTTCTATTCCACCCTTGCTTTTGCATTTATTTTCTTACTCATGGATAAAAACGATCCTAAATTAATTGATTATATCAAAATCTCATATAGATTAGACCTTGGTGATTTTGACCCTACTGGCTTTACCTCAATGCAATGGGTCTGCTTGTTCTTAGCTACTATGATCAATATGATTATCATGTTAAACCTCTTGATCTCAATTATGGGCGACACTTTTGGAAAAGTCCAAGAAAACGCTGAAATTGCAGACAGAAAAGAATTACTAGGGATGATCAGTGAAATAGAAACATTGATGTTCTGGAAGAAAAATTGCACTGAAAGGTCTTATTTCCAAGTACTTACTGGTGAAGAATCTGGAGAAACAGAAAACAATATTAACACCAGAGTGGCAATTATCAAGAAAAACCAAAAAAGATTCCATATGCAGACTCTAAAAAGGCTGGACACCGTTGAAGAAATGTTGAAGAAGATATGGACTAAGCTAGAAGGAGACAAGAAAGAAGAGGATGAAGATGAAGACTCATCTGATGAAGAAAGCGGTGAAGAAAGCGGAGAAGAAAGTGGGGAAGAAGAAGATTAAGCTTTTAGCTAATTATTTATTCCTTACTTTTTCATTAATTTTAAATGAGAAGCTGCTCATGAATTGCCTGGCTTTTAAGCAGCTGTTTCAGCAATAAACTGAAATTTTCATAAACATTAAGGCAGATATATTGGTAGATGTCAGCAAAAAATGCAACTGTAAACTCAGCTAAAATCGAGCATATATGATTAAATTTAGATTATTTTTATTTATACACAAAAACTCAAATATATACTAAAAAAAATTGATTGAAAATATAGAAAATGAACTATAGCAATAATCCATATAAAATGAAGCAGAAGTTTTTAAATTGTAAATTTTATATAGAATATTCTATGTTTTAAAAAATATGTGGTAAGCTGAATTTTAATTATAACTTGAAAGCTGTAGAAAATTTTTCGAAGAAAATAAAGATTAATTCAATTAAATATTATTATTTACAAATTATTTATTTAGGCGTTTAATTCCAGGTAAATCTACATTTGAATACAAACAATAATTCCTCCACTTATTAGGACTTACTGTTGCATATTCTAACAAGAAATTCGTTGGCTTAATATTAAATGCTCTAAAATACTGAAAAAGCTCATTTTGTTCTCTTCTTAAGAATGCAATCATGATTTTTGTATTAAAATTGTAACTAACCACTTTACATACAGCTTCAAACACTTTGTGCATTGGGATATAAAAAAAAGGTGGGTCAAAAACAACTATTCGAAACTCCTCTGAGACATCTTCAGGGTTTAATAAATCATAATATCTGAATTTAGGTAAATAGCTAAATCTTGTATCTATATCATATAAAGCTTCTTCACGGCCTTCTTCATGCAATGCATGGGCTAGACTTGGAGTTGCAATACATAATAAATTTGTGTAAGACTCTATAGCATGTATTAAATTAGACACAGTCTTTTCAGTCCAAAAATACTGTTCAAGGTCATGCCGCTCCACAAATCCATCAGCAAACATACTTCTCTGCTGTATCATTATTTTATAATTAAAACGTCAGCCATGATCAGAACCTAAAAACCCACATTTCTCTATAAATCTTAATTCTATCCGTCTTTTTATTTAATTAAAGCTTAATAATTTAACTTCTCTTGAGCCATCTTATTATAAGCTATCTTATTTTTTGCTCTTTCAGCCCAGGTTTCATTATACTTCCACACATCGCACTTAGGTAGAACACTTGGAAAAACCTTTTTATCGAACCCTATTTTCATGGTATGAGTGTTAAAATACAATATTTTCAGCACACATAGTCTTCCTATAACGAGATTTTCTACTAAATCTTTTATTGTCACTTCAAGCTCATAATTAGGCTCTTCTAAAAGCTTATATAAGAAATAGCATGCAGCTCTTACCCTTGGGCGATCAATACTCATGACTTTATCCATTAGTCCTATCTCTTCAGTGGTTTCTATATCTGTTTCTAGCGATTTAAATGTTCTATTTAAATCTATGAGAGCAACATTATTCACTCACTCTACAATACCTGAAACAGACATGTTTTTAGATTTTAGAATTCTACACGATACTTCAGTAAGGCCCATGTTTCCATAGATACAATGCCATAAATCATGAAGCTCACCATTTGTAATATCAGGGACTTGGTTAGTCACGTAGGCTTTGAACCATTCCTCATTTTCTTCTTTGATATTGCATCATTCAAAAAGATCACTATAATGTTCAATAATAGATAAAGGACTTACATAAATGCCATGGCCTTCGAGTACTGAGTAAAAATGGGTTTTTGTGTTAACAAGTTCACTTAAAAGAAACTCAAAGAATTTAATTGTTTTTTCCATAATACACAGAACTTGACACTGACTAACGTTCAAAACTGGAGCTTGGATGCCTGCTTCATAGCAAGCTTTCCCAATTGTATTAAGCACAACTACCAAAAATGCTGAGCTAAGTTCCCCAAATAAATGTTCTGCTCTAAATGCAAGAATTGAGGTAGCGACGACATCAAAAGCGTCCACAATGCTAATATTATCGGCTCCATGTCAAATGACGTTGCCTTTTTGATAGTGTCAATTCACCGAACTATTTTTGAAAATTTTTAATAGTGACATTTAGCCTAAAATTAACGGTTTTTTGGTCAAATGTCTCAATATCAAAAATTTTCGGTGAAATGGACACCCCAACATTATCAATAATATGCTGGTATCCTGAATATTCTACCTCAGTAAGTTTAATAACATTTCTATATGAAGTAAGCTTGTTATTAATGATTTCTATCCCTATTTGTTTTTCTTCTCTTCTGAGTTCTATTAGGTTTGCTCCATCAGTCCTTTCTGCTATTTCTTTGTCAACTTCTTCAGATAATGCACATAGTTTTCTGGCATAGTTATGAAACAATGATACTAATTCTTGTTTTGCTGTGTCTGGGAGCAGTTTTTTCCTTTCTAAGTGTCCTAGACCTCTAACAACTGCTTGATTGAAACAATCTATGAAGTTTAAAGGGTCAAGAGTGTTATCTTCACTAGGATTTCGCTCTCTAGCTTCTTTTGCAGGCTCAGAAACTATTTCAGCGAAGTTTACGTCTAGAAACATAGAAGGGTCGTTTGACTTGCTACCAGCTGCAAAAGCCAATTGAAGAATAGTCGATTTTCCTGTGCCCTGAGGACCTGTGACGATTAGAGTGCTCTTTGGAGGAGGATTCATAGAAAAAAAAGTGGTTAGAGATGGAATAAGATCTTCAGATGTAGTTGTAATTCAATTTCTGGAAAACAATCTTAAAGATCTTCTTAACATACTTAATGAATATCATTAAAAGATGAAATCTTCAATTAGTCGATTTTAATTATATTATAAGACTTTCCTTTGGATTATCCAGTATGAAAAATATATAATTTTATTAGAGGAAATTTTATTATTTATATAATAATTTTTATATTCTTTTTATAATTTCTGCTCTTTTTCTTGCTCAATTTTAGGTTCAAACTGCTTTGACCATTTCTATTCAATGAAAACTTCATTTCATAATTTAAAATGCAAAGCAACGCGGGAGAATGTGAGTCCCCTACACTCAAGCGATCTAAAATCAGCTCAATGCTGCAGCAGCCAGATGTCCGAGACAAAGTCCTCGAGTCTTTGGCGGCCCAAGGAATTCCATCACATACTCCATGTCTGAAACTAGAAATTGCAGAAAATCAAGGGAAACGGTTTTCTATGGAGCAAAATGATGTGACCAACGTTTTCGAGGAATTCGGAGAAATTCAGAGCTTGAGGGTCTTTGATAGCATTGCGTTGATCCTTTATAAGGACATCGTCTCTGCTTATTTCGCACAAAAAGTGCTAAATGGGCGGCAACTACCAGGGTTTAATTTGGTTCTACAAGTAAATTGATATCACAACCAAGAAGAAACCTCTCGCATCCCTCTTCAAGACTTATCAATAAATACGTCTGAAATTACTCGAGCATCAGAAATCCCACAACCCATAAAATTCACATGTCGATTTGACATCCAAATTGATAATGACAAAGAATTCCAAGTCGCCAGAAGACTAATTGGCCCAAGAGGCTCTAATATGAAAAAAATTGTAGAAAGGTGCTGCAAAGGTGTACAAGGCCAAGCACATGATATAATTAAATTAAGACTCAGAGGAAGAGGATCAGGGTTTAAAGAAGGCCCAGATAAAGAAGAAAGCGATGAGACCTTACATATGTGTGTCAGCTCAAAATTTGAAGATAAATATGAAATTGCTTTAGTCGAAGTCGAAAAATTAATTAACCAGGTTTATGCGGAGTATAGAGATTTTTGTTTAGAAAAAGGGAAACCAGACCCGAAGCTGAGAGCAAAAAAAATTGAAAATGTGTCAGGAAGGACCATGAACTTTCCTGTTGAAAAAATCAGAGAAATTGAAGAATTGGATTCTTCAGAAATTGATATTGAAGAGTTATACCAGTTTGATAATTTTTTATGCTATAATGATAAATTCAAATATATTTCATATATAAAATAGATTCTGGCCTTGCTATCGCAAGGCTAAATTAAAAGAAAAAGGATAATTGATATTAGAAATGAAGCCAGACGACAATGTAACTTCCAAGAAGCAGACAGAATCAGAGAAATTTTAAAGAAAAAAGGCGTCATTTTGACTGACGAAAAAGGAGCCAGAGGAAGAGGCACTGAAGTCACTTCTTGGAAACATAAGAAAAACCAATAGATAATATTTAAAAGGTAAATTATTCCAAAAATGATAAGACTAGGTCTATAATTCAATATCCTTTTAATATGGAAATCCTATTATCTCAAAATCCACAACAATGCCAACTCTTTGGAAAACTAGGCTGGCTTATACAAGGACTCCTTGGAGCTGCATCATTTTCTTCACTTATTGGTACTTGTTTATTCAGTTAAAAGATACACAGAGCAGAACAGAAGAACTTGAAAAATCTGGTTCATGGATACTTCAAAGCAAGGATTTAGTGCAGGATTATTGCATATTTTGAATTTGCTGATATCATATTATATTGAAGGAAAAGAGCCTGGATCGGGCCAATGTACATGGTATTTTTTGACTTTTGTTGTAGATATATTTTTGGGTATGGCTATTGCGTATATTTTGTTAAATAGCCTTGAAAGATGCCTAAATGGGAGCGAAACGCTAAAATTTAAGTCAGGATTTTATGGAGAACCCCCAAGCTGAGGTTTGTGGGCTTACCAAATGTGACTGTGGCTAGGAATAATTCTTTTTACGAAATTCTGCTTAATAGGGACTATGGTTGTATTTAAAAGTCCATTACGATTTATAGGAGATTTGTTTTTGAAGCCTATAGAGAGGTTTCCGAATTTTGAACTGATAATGGTAATGATAATAATACCGGTAGTGATGAACTCTTTGATGTTTTGAATTACAGATAGCTTTTTGAAAAATGGAGAAAAAGTGGTTATAGCTACAGAAACCATCTCAATAGAGCTGCTAGAAAAAGATATAGATACTGAAGAAAATATTGCAATTAATAAAATATAGGAATTTACCATAAATATCTCTATGAACTTTTAAACAAAAAGCCATTTACACTATTATTGAAAAAGAAATACCAAATTTAATAGAATGGACTAAATTAATAATTCTTCCATTGAGTCATAAACATAGTCTGGCTCAAAATCGTATTTTTTATAGCTTTCTCTTGTTTCTGCTCCTGTCATCATAAGCACACTTGCTGCGCTATAATTTTTTGCTAATTTTATATCAGTAGCCATTTTATCCCCGAAGACAACAATTTTCCCCATATCCAACCTATCTCTTCTGCATATCATTTCTAAGAGATAAGTATTAGGTTTCCCTAAATTTTCGAACTCTTGGACTCCTGACGCACATCTCAAAGCATCAACAATGCATCCACATGATGGAGCATTGTATTTCCCAAACCTATCATAATGGTCATAATTCCCTGTCGCCAATTTTGCTCCACTTTGTATGCATTTCGACCCATAGCTAAGCATTGTGTAATTAAAATCAAAAGTAAAACCAGCTATGACCGCTTTTACGTCAGGGTCTACTTCTAGCTCTAAAAAGTCTCTATGTGCTGCAAAAACTGTATTTTTATAAGAATTCCCGTCAATCACTTCGTAGCCAGCTTCTTTTATTTCGTCAATTAATCCTTCACGGCCGATCACAAAAACCTTTGTATTTAAAGGATAGTTTTGGTGGAGGTAAAGAGAGCAAGAATAAGCTGCACATAAAATAGTGTCGAGCTCAGCTTGGATACCGATTTCGTTAAGGGCTTTTATAAAGTCTTTTCGTTTTCTGCTTGCGTTGTTTGAGATGTAGTAGACTTTTTTACCTAAAGCGTGTAGACGGTTGATAAAATCCACTGTTCCTGGCAATGCAGATTCTGCTTCTCATACAACTCCATCTAAATCGAAGAAAAAGCTGTCGTACTGCATCATCTCTGGGATTATCATATTAATTTTTATGAGATTATTAAAACTCCCTGTTTTCTACGAAATGGTAAAGAGGAATTTTAGATTGATTTCTTATTTTAAGTGGAAGAATAATTTTAATTTAGGCTGAGGAAATATAATTATAATGTTTGTGTTTTTGTGGACTTTTTATATATAGCCCCTGAGTTTTAATAGATTTATTAGCAATCCTTTTTAATTTTTAAAATAAATTTTTACTTGTCAATTATTTTGGAAAGCACAAATGAAAGTGACAAATTTCAGTTTATGCTTTGAGATGCCTAATCAGGTTTATACTATATAAGACAAGTATACTGGATCATATTTTTTTTCTGGCCGGTATTTCGCTTTACAAGCAATCTATTAAGTTACACAAACTATACAGATGTGCTTATAATGTCTCAATGGAATGCAAAAATATATTTAAGGAGTAAGAGGAATTGAAATTAGAGTCCAAAGTGCTAAAATGATATTCCATAAATTTAAGCCAGAATATAAGGCCTTTAATTAGTGGAATTATAAAAAAGTATATAGCCTTTAAAATGTTTAGATAATTTTTAATACTCTCTATATTTTATTTCTATTTACATCATTATTCTTTATGCAGTGCCCAATAAATTTTATGGACATACCTTGGGAAATCAGTTTTATCCATTTAAAAAACTTTTTACAATTCTTAAATGAGAAATTCCCCCCTTTCATGAGTGAAGAAAAAAAATTTGCTAGCTTATGGAGAGGTGAAAATAATCGTAAAGAATATATTAATTTTTTGTAAAATGCAAGCTGTTTAAATTAATAAAATTACCTAAAGATTTCATTATTAAATTATCACTTATATATCAAATTTTTTTTTCATAAATTTTTTATATTAAAAAAATTGTTGGTTCGCTTGAGGGTGGGTTAACCAAAAAAGTTATGTTTTAATCGTTTTTCGCTCACTGGGGGGAGTGATTAATTAGCCAAGCGCTTATTATTATATAAAAGTCTGCCTATTCACAACAAAATCTCTAATTGATTAGGGAGGTTTTATATTCACATTAAATCGTTTCATCATTTTTATATAAAAAACTTAAAAAATATTAGACTTTATGCTACTCCAAGTGACGGATTTGTTATATTCAGAATTAGATTTATATAAATTAAATTAATTCTTATAATTATTATATAAAGAAATTACCATATCGGCTATGTTTTTTAAATATCAATATGCTGTCTAAAATATATAATCTTTTCTAGGCTTGCTGTCTTTTTAGAAAAAGCACTTTATAAAATTACAATAACATGATTGCAACGCTCCATTTTTATTAATATAACAAATAGAAAATTAATGTGTTTTTTTTTTCGTTTAAATATCTTCCTTTCTTTAAAATGGTTTAATTCTAGAAAGATAGTTTTCAAAGTAATTTAGACATTTTTGAAATATTATTCCATTTTTGTGAATTTCATTATTAACTTTAAGTAAATTTTAATTCAGAATTAAATAGTCTGAATATTTAAAATCAACCGATGCTATTTAATTTATCTTAAATTTTAAAACGAAATTGTGCATATTTATAATCAAATGGATATATAGTTTTTTAATTATAAGCTTGCCCTCCTTTAAAGGCATTACTCTAATTTAGGCTCTAACAAAAACTTTGCTATGTCCTCTATCATATATAACTCACTTTTTTCTAAGTTATTCATGATATCATTGAAGGTAATAGCAGTCTTGGCATCTTCGTCATAATTTCGATCCCTTAGCTTAAGCTTTTTATTTGGCCTTCCTAGGTCTTGAAAATCTTCAATGTCTTTCCTTGCTCTCTTTTCCGTGCAATTTCCTTGAATTTTTGTTAATGGATAAAAAAATTGTAAATCCTTCTTTTTCCTCACCCCGATTAGGCTAGCCATTTGCTTTCCAATGTTTTCTGTATCTTCTATGCTTTCAGCTTCTTTGTAAGCTGCTCTTGCTTGGTCAAATTGATCAAAAATTTCATATAGTATACCAAGGTTTATCCAAGCCTCTCCTCTTTCTTGATTCAGCTTGATTGCTTTAACAAAACATTGAAATGCATCATATGGCATAAAGCCATTTGCATATTTTATTCCAAGCCTGCAAAGGCCTGGATAAGTATTACCAGTTCTCCCACCAACTAGCCTTAACGATTGCATGATTTGTTCAGTTCTGTTGATATGACAAATTATTGGATTTAAATACCTAAAAAAATGAGCTGAGGCTTCCAAGCAGAGAAACTTAGGCAAATAATCTTATAAGGTGTAAAAGTTCAAGAGTGACAATGCATTCATTATCAATTAAGAAACGGAATAAAACTATATGACCATTGTTTAGCAAAGGAGTTAAAAATGATAGAGAGAATTTAATACCTCTATGGGGACGAAAGGAAGAAATGTTTAATAGAGAATTGAACAATTGTATATAACTTTGTTTATTTGTATTTTCTTGTCAGATTCTAATAAAAAATAAGTGGCCATTAATACTCCATGCTGGTTTACAAATTTAAAAAATTAAGTAAATTAGCTATGTTAATTATTTAAGAAAATTTTATAATTAAAATTGGTACAATAATGATACTATAGCTAATATAAAATTTCTCATAATAATTCTTAAGGTTGTTGAATTTGTCTTTTATTTTTTGTATGAAATTTTCTTTTCCTAAATATGTAAAATTAAACCAGCCATCCTGGCATTTTTATATTTGATCTAGTTTGATTGGGCAGCTTATTGATTGCCGATTTAATGCTTATACTTTTAATCTAGGTATTTTGCAACTAATATTTCTATACTTTAAAGTATAAGATAATGATGGCAATTTTTAAGCTTTTTTTTAATTATTCATCTTTGCATATCACTTTATTAAATAATCAAGGAATTTTTTTATTATATAATTATTATTAGTTAATGCAAAAACTCCACATTAAACCCTTCACTAAACAAATCACTTTTTTTATTATCACTGCTGCTTTGGTCAATATAAATATAGCTAACAGAAGCTTCAATTCCTGCTTGAAATGGCGATTTTTTTGAAAGCTGAAACCTGAAGAGCCTTAAAATGTCTTGCCCTTTCGGAGACTCTAAAAATGATGGCAGTTTTCGTTTTTGATAAATAATTCCAATAATTCCTAGCAAAACCCAGCCAACACCTATAATTGACTCAGCAAAAACCATATTAAATTTTGCAACTTCACAGCAAATCCAAAGCCAAATGCAACAAAAAATAAAAATTGTGTATCATAAAGAAGCTCTATCGTAATTGTATGGCTTTTTAAATAATGTGAAAACTCCATAAATTGAGACGATGGAAACAAATGATACAGTATAAGCAATATCAGAGTAAGGCAAAAGAGTTGTATTCATCACAACTAAAACAATCTGCATAAAACTTTTAATTGCTGAGTTATAAGGCTGCTCTTTAAAGTGAAAAACTAAATTTCCAGTGTTATCTTTTCAAGAAGGTCGATAATACAAGCTTGCAGGCAAATAAAGCAAAATCGCTAAAGATGATCCTGCGATATATTTGATATGTTCATCTTGCCAACAAAAAATACTGCAGTCTTGATTGTGAAAACTGTCCTTAAAGTTGTCTCCTATGCTTTTTGTACATTGGAAAGTTAGTAATAAAAATCATGTTATCGGCAAAAATAAAATATCACCTATAATAGGGAGTAAAACATTGCCGATTTCACTTATTATTACAAACAGCTGAATTTTACATTTTCTTCAAACGTTAAATATTTTGCCAATAAGGAAAAAAAGCCATACTGCCAAAATAATTTCCATCATGATTATTTGGTATCATATTGTTCAGTCAAAACTTTTCGAAAAATTTCTGAAATCGAGTGCTGAAATTTTTATTATCTTTTTAAAAAACCCAGGAAATAAGTCTGTAAAATCTGGGCCTATGCAGATGTATTGGAAACATTCCACTATCATTGCAAAATACATAAGGTTGTCTAGTATATTTTCTTCGGTTTTACATTGGAGCATTAAATACTTTCTTGATAATGTAAATTCCAAATTTTTATAGAGAAAATATATATCAAAAATTAAAAAAGACCCTCCAATAATAAGAAGAATCAGATAGCCGTATAAAAATGATTGCTCTTGTTCAGATTTAAATGGGCAGGACAAGTCAGCTCCTATAATATCACTTGGGAGAATTCCATTATTATCAGTGTATCATGAAATATCAACTAAAGACTCATAGACAACCACTTTAGTAGGATCATTAATCCCACTCAATGTTAGCTGCCAATTCGAGTTGTTTCTAATCAAATTATAAACTCCAACCTTTATAGTTGACCTATCATTGCCACTTTTACTTATTTGGACATTTCCTGAGCATCCTGTGAACTGGACTTTTCTTATTCACTCTTCAATTCCTGAACTATTTAAATTAAATCCTCTGCTTATCATTGAATCTATTGCATATGCCCCTAGATAAGTTGCATCATAATATAAACACATATAATCATACACAACCTCATATTCTTTGAGAAATTCTCCATAAATCTGTTCCCCAAATGCGTTGTAATATGACAGAAAAGTAACATAAACTGATCCATCTCCGAGCTCTATTAGTTTATTATATGAATCTTCACCTATTACATATTGAACATTGCTTGTTAGGCCTAACCCTCCTCCAGAAATCAAATAAACGTCCCCTTTCCTCATTCCTAAATCATAAAGAGCCACTACAATAGAAAACATTTCAGTATTTGTTGCTTCAATTACTATATATCTTGTCTTTAAATCAACAATTTCTTTTACAAATGATTTGTCTGTGCCATTAAAGCCACTAGGAACTGCTTGATTTTTGTTCATAACTTCAATTTTATATGACTCTGCTCTATTAAGAAATTGCCTTTTGAAATTTTCGCCTCAAGGGTTATTAAGATATAGCAGAGAAACTTTGGTGATTCTAAAAGAGGCGAGGAGTAAAGCAATTGCATTTGCTGTGTATGTGTTTGAAAATGACACGCTTGCATATTGTGAGTGGAAATCGTTGCTAAGTGAGCTTGATGACTCAACTCCGAGTACTGGAACTGAAATATTTAAGGAGTTAAAAACAGTTAATGTACCTTCTGTCATGACAATTGGCTGAGCAGCGACATGAAAATACCCTAGCTCTGCTGAATGCCTACTAAAACAGCTACTTGCATAATTACTATCAAAGTAAGAAGCCCCACAGTCTGTTATATTGTTGATGACCAAATCAAAATTTTCAAGGATTTTTGACTGGGAATTAATAGAATCTATAGCATGAACTGAGCCAAGTTGACAGTATGCATTATACATATAAGTAGATCCATCTGGATTAATACTTCCTCCAGAAATACTTATAGGCAGTTTTAACTTTGAATTGTCAGGAGGTGTGGTTGTGTTTCCATTAAAAATAGGAGGGGTATAGAAAGAGACCACTCTATTGGTAATATTTCCAACTAATACTGGCTGACTGTTTTGGATATTAAAAATGTGGAACCTTTCAAGGTTAACTTGGGTAAGTATAAATCCATAAAACGTATATAGCGAAAAAGAGCCTTGTATTGGATAATATTTCATAAGATTCATTAAAAAATCTGCTGAGTAGTTAATTATAATTTCAGCATAATTCGCAACATTTTTAGGCATCCAAGCGTACTCTTCTAATGTAAGTGCTCCTTCAAGATATGCACTTCATCCGCTTTGATGGGGAAAAATATAAATATAGTCTTTTGTGTTCATTTCAGCTTCTATTATTGCTCGTTGAATTAGTTTAGACATATTATCATCTGTTGCTATTATGATTGTTTTTACCCCTAGAGGTTTGACTTCTTTTGAAACAATGATATATATGGTTTCATATGAAAGTCCGCTTGGAAGAATTGTAATAAAAACGATTTCAACTTCTGTCACAGATTGAAAATCCATCTCAGAGAAATCTTTACTAACAAAAACAATGATTTTTTGCCAACCGAAATGTTTCACTAAAGCAATTGTTCCATCTCTTATTAAAGTATATCTGGTGTGGTCATAATAAGTTAATGGTGGAATAGCATTTGGTGTATATCCAGATACCAAATGCATAAATAAAAACTGTGTTGCAAATGCATCAATATATGCACTTATTACTGATGAGTAAGTTATGTCATATAAAAATATAGCACATTTAATAAATTATCAATAGTATAACTTTATTTTTTTAATTTATAATACAAAAATGATTTGATTTGATATTAAGATATTATGCAAAATGGTATAAAATATCTTGTCCGACGATAAATTCCAGGAAATCATTAGCATCATTTACTTCCAAAGGAACGAAAAAATAATCCGCGTTGCCTATGCATCTTTCTGAGCTAAGATCTGGGCAATTATATTCTGTCAAAAGAACCTCTTTTATTATCTCAGGAGTATATTTGCTGTATAAAAGAGGAATTGTCATAAACTGGCCAAATGCTACTTCACAAAATAGCAGGAAGTAATATTTCATAGGGATGTGCATCATTTCCTATTAAATTATGTTAAATTATATAGTCATTCATTTAACCTGCAAAAAACTTTTTGAATTTTTAAACTTTTGTGTTGCAGAGCTAATTTTGCAATAAAATATGATTAAAATGTTTTAGCATAAATTTAGGTTAGTTTCAATTTTATTTAATTTTATAAGGACTTTTTAAGATAAAATATAAAATCGATTCTTATTGCAAATAAAAAAAAAAGTCTGAATAGAAAATAGGCTGGGAATATTAAAGAATCAATTTTGCTTTATTTAAGTAAAAATTTGAATTTTTATTGATAAATGCTAATTAGACTTAACGAATATATTTAATTTGAATTCTATGAGAGATGAGATGCTCTAGGCTTATTTGCTGTAATTATATAAGCAAAAATCAAGCTTATAAACATTAAAGTAATTTGCTGATATATTAATCTTAATTTTATCCAAATTTAATCAAGCTAAATTAATTATTTTTAGATTTAACTTTTGGATATCCTGCCTGGGTACTGCTGGCTCAATTTAACGATTTTCTTTAGGTCTCCGCTATCACAGGTGCCGTTTTGTGTGATTTCAAAGAAGTCTCTTTGTGGTATAAATGGTTTTTCGCTTGCAGAGGGTTAAGTAAACTTTTTTTATATTTATCATCAATTTTTTCCCGCTCCTGATAATTCTTATACCTAAGCTCATTCTTCTTTTGTTAAAACCTCTCTTTCTTTTTCATATCGATATTCCCTTATAAATTTAAAAAAATATTTTACATAATAATAGATTTGCTCTTTATTTTAGTAGTCTTTCGTAATTATTTATAAATAAAATTTATCCCACATTATTAGGCTATCAAAAGAATGCTTAATTATTGCAATTAGGAATCCAGTGAAATTCAGAATGCAGCTTTGACTTTTAATCTGAAATTTCAAGAGAGAAAATTTCATTAATTTGGTTGTTATCTTGGTTGTCTTGGCTAGCGTAATGGTACTTCACAGTATTTTGGATTCCGGCTTCTGAAGGAGAATTTCTAGAGAGCTGAAATTTAAACAGCTTTAAAATGTCTTGCCCTTTAGGATCTTCTAAAAATGATGGGAGTTTTAGTTTTTGATAAATATTTCCTATAAGTCCTAATAACAACCAGCCAATTCCAAGAGCGCACTGGGCAAAAATTATATTAAATTTAGCAATTTCACAACAAATTCAAAGCCAGACACAGCCAAAAATAAATATTGAGTATCATAGAGAAGCCCTTCCATAATTAAAAGGCATTTTAAGCAATGTAAATATCCCAAAAACCGCTATAATTGCTGCATAGCATATATTAAAGACAATTCTAGAATAAGGTAAAAGAGTTGTACTCAAAATAACTAGCACAATCTGTAAGAAACTTTTAACAATTAAATTTGTAGGCTGCTCATTAAAATGAAAATTTATATCCTCAAACAAATCTTTTCAATGCGGTCGATAATATAAGCTTGCAGGTAAATACAAATAGAGAAACACAAATGAAGAGGCAGCATAATTTTTATGCTCACCTTTTCAGCAGAAAATAGTGCAATCTTGGTTAAGAAAGCTTTTTTCAAAGGTATCTCCTATACTCTCTATGCATTGAAAATCCAAAAATAAAAAGTAAATGATAGGCAAGAAAAAAATATCAGCTACAGTCAAAAGAAAGCAATTTCCGACTCTAATAATCATTGATATCAATATAAATTTACAGTTTCTCAACCAATCAAAAATCTTTCTTAAAAGAAAAATTAATCATAGAGTTGAAATAATGTGAATCATAATCATTTGATAAAAAAATTTATAATGATCAACTTGGATAAACTCTCTAATGTCTAGTATTGAAATTTTAGAAAATTTAGTTAAGGATTCTGGCAATATATCAGTTAAATCTGGACCTATCGATATATATTGCAAACACTCTATAAGCATTGCTAAATATATAAAATAATCAAAAATATTTGCTTCAACTTTCTCTATAAGCATAGGAATCTGATTATTTGAAGAATTTTTAAAAAACCTATAAATCAAATATATATCAAAAGCTAGAAAAGAACTCCCAAAGATAATGAGGACTAAATAGCCATGAAAAAATTGTCTAACTTCTTCAAGTTTAAATGGGCATGATAAGTCTTCCCCAATAATGTCACTTGGAAGAATATCATCATTATCAGCATATCATAAAATTTTATTTATAGACTCATAATATACAGATTTTGTAGGATCGTTGATTCCACTTAGTGAGATACTTCAACTAGTGCTGTTTAACCTTAAACTATAGACTCCGACTTGTATAGTTGATCGGTCAGCTCCAGTTTTGCTTATCTGCACATTTCCTGAGCAGCCAGTAAATTTGATTTTTCTTATTCACTCTTCTATTCCTTGGCTATTTACGTTAAATCCTCTATTTATCATTGAATCTATTGCATACGCTCCGAGATAAGTTGCATCGTAAAATTGGCACATATAGTCATTTGCAAACCTATACTCTTCAAAAAACGCTTTACGAATGGATTTTCCAAATTTCCCATAATATGTTAGTGATGACATATAAAGAGCTCTGTCCCCAATTTCTGTTATTTTGTTGTATAAGTCAGAACTTATATAACTATTTGAAGCACTGAAGCCTCCTTCCCCTAGCACCAAATAAAGGTCTCCTCTCCTCATTCCTAAGTCATAAAAAGCTTCTATAATTGAAAAGTTTTCAGAATCAGAAACTTCCATAATGACATATCTTGTCTTCAAATCAACAATTTCTTGGATAATGGTTTTGTTCGTACCATCATATCCTTGAGGGACTGCTTGAATTTTGTTCAAAACTTCTAGATTATATTGCTTTGCTTGACTGATAAACTGATTTTTGAAATTTTGACCTCAAGAAGTATCAAGATATAGCAATGAGCATTTTTTAATTCCGAATGATGATAATAACAAAGCGACTGCTCTTGCTGTATATGCATTAGAAAAAGTAACGCTTGTGTATTGAGGATAATAATTATTTTCCATTAGAGCAGAAGATTTGATACCTATTACAGGGACTGAAATATTTAGAGACTCAAAAACTGTTAAAATACCATTAGCCATATAAAGTGGCTCAGGTGGAATATGAAAATATCCCAAATCATTGGAGTGCTTAGTGTAGCAATCGGTTGCATATTCACTCTCAAAATAAGAAGCCCCACAATCTTCTATATTGTTTATTACAAGTTCAAAGTTTTTAAGTATGTCAGAATCAGCATTTACATAATTCATGGCATAAATTGACCCATTCTGACATATAGAAATTTTCCATAGATGCGCTGTTTGCCCTTGATTTGCCCATGAGAAAAATTTTTTTTTTGACCAAACCATATGGGACTGGGTCGAACCAAAAAATTTTCCCAGTGGGCAAATCAAGGGCAAACAGCGCCATCTATGGGAAATTTCTATATCGCATTAAAATTATATGTGGATCCATCTGGATTACTTGCCCCTCCAGCTATACTTATGGGGATTTGTAACTTAGATTTATTGGGACTATTTGTTGTACCTCCTGGAAAAATAGGAGAAGATTGCAAATTAACAGCATTGTTTGTGATATTTCCTATAAGCACTCGCTGATTATTTTGAATATTGAAGAGGTAAAACCTTTCAGTATTGATTTGATTAATAAGAATACCATAAAATGAGTATAATGAAAAACTTCCTTGTATTAGACTCATATTCATAAACTTTAGTAAAAAGGTTGTTGCTCCTTCTATTAGAATTTCTATATAATTTTCTACTCCTGTAGGAATTCAATCATATTCTTCTATTAATATTGCTCCTTCCAGGTATGCAGTCCAAGCACTTTGATGTAGAAAGATAAAGACATAACCCTCCTTATTCATAGCAGCTTCTTCTATTGCTTTTTGTAACAGTTTTGAAATATTCTCGGTAGTTGCGATAATAATTATTTTAACTCCTAACGGCTTAACTTCCTTTGATACAATAAGAGAAATTGCTTCATAAGAGATTCCTGAAGGAATTACAGCTTCATAAGCAATTTCGACGTCACTTACATCCTTAAAACTCATCCCAAAGAGCTCTTGACTCAAAAACACTACAACTTTTTGGCAGCCAAAATATTTAACAAATGACACTGCAGCGTCTCTTATTATGATTTCTTGGGAGTCAGAAAAGTAAGTTAGCTGACGAGGGTTTTCTGGGGGAAAGCCATAGATTAAATGCATGAAGTTATATTGTTTTGCGTATGCGCTGATATGAGAAGTCATAATAGTTGAAAATGTTATGTCAAATAAATAAGTGATATCTCTATTAACTATAAGGTCTTCAAAGTCATTTATATGATTGATTTCTATTGGAATGTAAAATGCATTCGGATTCGATTTGCATGGCTCGAAGCCTAGACCTGGGCAAAAATACTGATTCACGACAATGTCTTTTATAGTGCTAGGAGTGAATTGGCTGTATAAAATAGGAACATTAAGGTATTGACCTAGAATGAAATTGAATAATATTCAAAATTTAAGCTTGATAATATTCAACATTCATAAAATTACTGAATATTTTTATCAATATATAAACAAATTTTAACATTAAATGAGATAATTTTTAAAACTTTAAATAGGAGAAAATTTACTATAAATTAATTTTAATTTTAGTTTTGATATTGATATTTCTTACTCCATCTCTGAGTAACCAAAAAATTTTTACTCACTCCCCCACCCTTAATGAGAGAGCAAAACCATTTGAAAAATCCCTATTTCTTGCCCAAAAACCACCCCTCCGTGAGCGAACAAAAATTTTTTAATAGAAAATTTTTTGTGTGGAAAATATTTCATATATAAATGATAATTATTATAATGAAAAATATCTAGCGAATTCTGTTTAAATTGCATTTTAAAGAATAAATTTTACACATTAAATAAATATTTGCTTTCCAATTTTTGCGAATTTGGATTTTTAAAATTTGAAAATAATTTTACTATAAAAATTATATTAGCCCCCCTCTATAAAGAATAAAAGCATTTTATTCGCTCACGAAGGGGGGAGTCTTATCTTATCTTATAGAATTTATATCGTTTAACGTCCACTACGGGGTGACAACCCCAGGTACTATCATTCGCCTTCGTCGCATCGGGCCCACAGGTCGCTGGGGATGGCCTGTTTTGATCACCAGGGTGCTTCTTGGGAAGAGTGTTGCCGGCTTCGACGGCTCATGGATGAGCTACTTGCTTGTACATGGGTTGCTTTTCCGAAAGCCCAAAAATGGATTTTCTGGTCAGCTGTCGGCAAAAAGGAAAAATACGTAGCCCGGGACGTAACGCCCAGTTTCACGCTAGGGAGTTGCCCGATTGGTCCTGAGGACTTTGCTGAGCTTCCCCTTTCAAACTCCGTACCCTCGAGGAAAAATCCACCCCTGAGATTAGACTAGGACTAGGCTCTGAACACCACCAGATTTGCTTGCCTAGTATTGCCGTCCATCTCTAGAATGGTAAAACCTTGCCTGATATAATTAAAATATGAGTCGAGGCTGCATGGCCGGGAGGCCATGCCCAGATGAAGACGCCATATTTTAATTATCCAAGGAGGGGGGAGTCAGTCATCAAGAGTTTTTTTTTTATAAATATATTTTTGTGCCTTGAGCGCCATTATGCGAGCCATACTGATGATATCAGCATGATATTTTTGCCACAAAGTATATTGCTTATATCTCCAGTATGATTCGCATACTGATAATCATAAATGCAAAGGCAGAACATTTTTTTTGGAAATTTAAAAAAAAAAGATTTAGAATTAGCTCGAAATTTATTATAATAATTGCCATTTATATATCAAAATGCTTTTATAAAATATCCCTATATTAAAAAATTGTTTCACTCCAAAAATGGTGGAATCTTTCAAATGTTTTGCTTGTTCACAGAGGGAGGGGGTAAGCACTTCTAAATATAATTTTTTGACGCAATTTCTTTATTTTCATTTTTTCATGTTAAAATCCTATATTTTAATAATAAAAAATGTTCATTTCTTAATAAGTAGAGTTAGATTTTTATATGTGAAGAGTCTTATTACTTTGAATAATTATAAATGAAATTGTTTTAAGGTTATGACTCCTTCCTCCGTTAGCAAAAAAAATTATTGGAAAAATCCCTATTTGTTTAACGAAAAAAATCTAATTCTTTTAAATTTTAAACATCTTGCATTCTTAAAATATAAAATTAAACTAAATTTTACTTTAATTTTTATCGAATTGGAATTGTTTTAAATTTTACAGGAAATTATATGTAAATATTTAAAAAAATTTAGCCCTTGATAAAGTAAACATTCATTCATTAAATATTGTAGAGATGTAAGCAGTTAGAACACTAATGGCTTCACAAAATCTCTTGCTTGCCAGCCTGATTGCGCAGCTTAACGCTTGTGTTGCTCCCTCCTGGCAAGGGCTTGCACTTGCTACCCGGAGGTAAAGACTCTGGGTCGCCGTGCAGTACTTCTGCGTGGTTACCTTTCCCGAAAATTCGAAAAGAGAAGTTTCTGGCTAGGTTATCGACCGAGATGAAATTTGTAGCCCAGACCACAACTCCCGGTATCATGCAAGGAAAATGCCTGATCTTGTTAGCCGTCTCTTTCCAATTTCCAAGTTTCATCCTAACTTGGGGTAAAACCTTGCCCTGAATGCGAGCTTGCCATAGGTTAGCCTGACATTTAGTCCATCAGGCCAAGTAAAAACCTGGACGAAAATACTCACCGAGCGCTGCTCTCCCTTCCTTCTGGTTCCCTGACTCCCTTTTGGCTACAGGTGCTAAGAGGGGAGCTGGTTTTCCACTCCATTTTTATGTGTCCGATAAAGTAAACAAAATTTTTTATTCGCTGGGAGGAGCAAGAAATTCCATATATATAAAAAAATAATCACCCATTTTTAGGAGATTATGTTTAAAAATTAAAGCAAAGGCAAAACAATTTTATTTATGTATTAAATTTATTTTCATATAAATGATTACATATAGTTGTTTTTTGTATGGAAAGAGCAGGAATCATAACTTAAGTAAGTTAATTACAGGTTGACTGCAGCTTATTGCTAACAATCATCAAGGATCCCCTAGGGGATTTACCCTTTTTGCAGTGCCACTATGGGAGCTTTTTGAGTTAGGATGATGAACTCGTTTGAAAATTAGCTCGATCAACGCCTTTCCTCTTCTTCATTGCTTAATGCCATGGCCTCTATAATAGGGTCCGATGGCTCAATCTTTTCCTTATTTATCAGCTCCAGTTTTGAGTGGTAAGGCTATGACTTCTTTTGGAATGTTGCTTAGACTGAACGAAAAAAACCCAAAAATTGAATTTTTAGCCGGCTCTTGGTCATCTGTCGATCAAGTTTGAAACTGGTAGCCCATGGCGCAATGCCTAGTATCGCGCTGGAAATCGTTCCCAATTAATCAGGAGTAGCTCCATTGATTTCAGGCAGATACCTTTCAAACTCCGAATCATAACTTTCCTAAGGCATAACTCTAAGGTGTTGCCCTAATGATCTAGGGATTGTTTGCTTGTAGACCGAGCTGAGGCTCTATCTCAGGTGCCAGAAAAATAAATAAGCTGAGAGGGTTATCTGTAATAAAATCATAGATTAAATGCATGAAGCTATATAGTTTTGCACATGCACTGATATGAGAAAACATAATTGTTGAAAATGTTACTTCATATAAGTGATATCTCTATTAGCTATAAGGTCTTCAACGCCATTTATATGATTTATTTCGATTTTGATGTAAAATGCATTAGGATTCGGTTTGCATGGCCCTAAGCCTAGACCTGACAATAATACTCATTCATAATAGTGTGTATTTATAGATGCAGGAGCGAATCGGCTGTATAAAATAAGAACAATGAGGCACTGACTCAATGCAAATTTATAAAAACTAAAACATGCCTCGATAATACTCGGAATATTGATAAAAATTAATGAAAATTTTTAATCAATTATATAAAACGGATAAGTCTAATTCAAGAAAATATAAAATTTAAATGTAATAAATGCAAGTTTTATGATTTTTAAAGCTTTTATTTTAGGCGACTACATTCTAGATTTTTATTTTTTAAGTTGAAAATTAATTTATCGTTAACTTTCCATTATTAGCATGCAAAATACTTTTCTCGCTAGCCTCAAGGAGTTCAATTAAAAATAATTTTTCGGATTTAAAAAATATAGTTTAATTTGAAATGGTTTGATGCAAGCAGTTTTAGGTTTAATAAAATTTGTTGGATTAATTATATTTTCATAAAATTTTTTTAATGAACGTTTTTTTGCTCGTAAAACCAAGCAGCTAATTTCCATAAAAATGGGTACTTTTATAATGGTCTACCTAGGAGTAAGAAAAATTTGTGATAAACTATAGGTATGCACAAAATTAGAATATTTATTAATTCTATAAAAATCGCATTTAAGGAGCTATTATTGAATATTACATTTGTTAAAATTAGTAATATTTATTAGTATTTAATTTATAAGTCAGCAATTGCTAAAAAAGCCATTATTTATTATTTAGAATCATTTAACTCCCCCCTCCGTTAGCGAGCAAAGCCATTGAAAAATTCCCTTTTTGCCTAAAAGCCCACCCTCCTTAAGCGAATAAAAAATTTTATATGAAAAAAATTTTGATCATTAGTATAAGTAAATATCTAGCTAATACTGTTAATTTAGAAACAAATTGCATTTTAAAACATAAATTTTTTATTAAATATTTATTTTTCAACTTTTGTGAATTGGGATTTTTTTAATTTTCGAAAACAAAAATTTGCTCTGAATTTTTTTCAAAAAATATTTTTCTGTTCGCTTACTGAGAGGTGGGGATTGAGCAGTTTAAATTTATAATCATACTTGATATTAATGCAAAAAACCTATAGAAAAATTTTCACTATTATTGTCGCTCTTTTTTATATCTCCACTGCTATTGTCCACATAACTATAAACTGCTGAAGACTGGATTCCAGCTTGAAAAGGCGATCTTCTAGATAACTGAAATTTAAATAGCCTCAAAATATCTTGCCCTTTTGGAGTCTCCAAAAATGAAGGAAGTTTTCTTTTTTGATAAATAACTCCAATAACAATTAGCAAAAACCAGCCAACCCCCATAATGCACTCCGAAAAAACCACATTAAATCTTGCAACCTCACAGCAAATTCAAAGCCAAACACAGCTAAAAATAAATAAGCTATACCATAGAGAAGCTCTATCATAGTTATAAGGCTTTTTATATAATGTAAACGCCCCAAAAGCTCCAATAATAAAAACAAAGCAGACTGTATAAGCAGTATCAGAATAAGGCAGCAATGCAACATTAAGAACAACTAAAAGAATCTGCATAAAGCTTTTGATAACTGAATGATAAGGCTGCTCTTTAAAGTGAAAAACCATATCCCCAGTATTATCTTTTCAAGCAGGTCTATAATATAAGCTTGCAGGCAAATAAAACAAAATTGAAGCAGCTGACCCAACTGCATATTTAATATGGTCATCTTTTCAGCAAAAAACAGTGCAGTCTTGATTATGAAAACTCTCTGTAAACTTATCCCCGATACTTTCTGTGCATTGAAAAGTCAGTAATAAAAACCAAATCATAGGCAAAAATAAAATATCTCCTATAATAGGAAGGCAGATTTTTCCAATTTCACTGACTATGATGATTAACGATATTTTCCATTTTCTCCAGAACTCAAAAATACTTAAAACCAAGAAAACAAGCCAAAGGCCTAAAATAGACTCCATTAAGGTAATTTGGTACCAGATTTTCCATTCATATTTTTGATTCCAGCCTCGTAGATCTAATGTTGAAATTTTAGTGATTCTATTAAAAGAGTTAATAACTATTAAAGAGTTCTGCAACGTAGTCACTAAGGGCCCATAAGAGCTCATCCACTTTGCACGCTGTCGATCAAGCTGGATTTGGTTAGATGAATTCCACAGCAAGAAAAGGGTTTGAGCCACCTTGCTGCATTCTTCGACCCCCGATGCCATGAGAGATCCGAGTGTTTGCTCTTTTTCTTGTGCCTCTTCTTTGCCTTTCTCCATTGTTAAGTGTGGGATTATATAAACTTCTGCGGCTGCTGTATGGGTTGTACGAAGATTGCTCGCACAAAAATCCTAAAAAATGGAATTTTTTGCCGACTTTCAGCAAAGTTCAAAGCCTGGAGTTTAACCTTGGGATTTACCTGATTGGTCTAGGCATCATCTGCATAACTTGCTGGGCTTCTCCTTTCCAACTGTGAAACTCCCCTTCCCTCGAGATAAGATCCAACTCTGAAAGTGGATTGGGCCGAGCTCCGAGCAGCATGGAATTGCTTACCTAGTATTTCTGCCTATTTCTAAATTGGGAAATCTTGTCAGATTTCATTAAATATGAGCTTGAAGCTGCACGGCCAGGATGCCATGCCCGGACTGAGACATCATATGCAATGTATGCTCTTAAAAGAGTCAGGAAATACATCTTTAAAATCAGGGCCAATAGCTATATACTGCAAGCATTCAATTATCATTATAAAATACTGTAAATGGTCTAATAAATTTTCTTCAGTTTTACACTGAAGCTGGGAAAATTTTCTCGCAACAGTACTGTCGAAACTTTTATAGAGAAAATAGATATCAAAAATAAGACAAGAGCCTCCAATGATAACGACAATTAAGTATCCATAAAGGAATGACCTAATTTCATCAGACTTAAATGGGCAAGATAAATCATCCCCAATAATCTCACTTGGAAGAACCCCATTGTTTTCAATATATCATGAAACATCTGCTAAAGCTTCTAAAACTACCACTTTTGTAGGGTCATGAACTCCGCTCAATATAATATCCCAGCTGGTGTTATTTAATTTTAAATTATAAACCCCTACCTTTATAGTAGACCTGTCATTTCCGCTTTTGCTTATTTGGACATTTCCAGAGCACCCTTTAAACTGGACTTTTCTTATCCATTCTTCAATCCCTGAGCTATTTAAATTAAATCCTCTGCTTATCATTGAATCTATTGCATAAGCTCCTAACTTCCCATCTCAGTAAGCGAACAAAAAAAAATTAGTTACTCCCCCCCCCCCCCCCTCCGTGAGCGAACAAAACCATTAGAAAAATCGCCATTTTTTGACCAAAAAACCCACCCTCCGTGAGTGAACAAAAATTTTTTTAATAGAAAAAATTTTAATGGAAAAAAATTTTGATATATAAGTGATAATTAGTATAATGAAATCTAGAGCTAATTCTGTTTAATTTTAAACAAATTGCGTTTTAAAACATAAATTTTGCAAATTAAATTAATATTTGCTTCCCAATTTTTGCAAATTAGGATTTTTTTTAAATTTCGAAAAAAATATTTTTTATAAAATTTATATATAAATTTTTTTTAAAAAAAAAAATTAACCCCCCTCCGTGAGCGAACAAAATTTTTTTGTTCGCTCACGGAGGGGGGGGGGGGGGAGTTAGAATTATTTTTTTTAAATTTATATTTTTTTGAAAATAAAAAAATTCCAATTCGTAAAAATTGAAACAAAATATTTATTAATTTGTGGATTTATGTTTTAAAATGCAATTTTTTCAAAATTAAATATTATTATCTAGATATTTCATATTAATAATTATTAATATATCAAAATTTTTTCAAAAAACGTTTTTGCTCACTCAGGGAGGGTGGATTTTTTCAATGTATTTGTTCGCTCACGGAGGGGGGGAGTAAATAAGTTGCATCATAAAATAGACACATGTAATCATATACGAGTCCATACTTTTGCTCAAATGTTGAATAAATTTGTTTTCCATATGATCCATAGAATGACAAAAATGTTATATAAAGAGATCCGTCTGCAATTTCAAATAGTTGTTTATACTGACTTTCAACGATATCTGAGTTTGATACACTAAAACCTCCTGCAAAAATTAAGTAAAGGTCTCCTTTTCTCATTCCTAAGTCATAGAAACCATTTATTACTGAAAACACTTCAGTATTGGTTACTTCTATTATGATATATCTCGATTTTATATCAATGATCTCTTGGAGCATGGATTTATCAGTCCCATTATAAGCACTTGGAATTGTTTGATTTTTATTTAAAATTTCAATTTTATACGCTTCTGCGTTCCTTCATGCAACGCCTACACCAAAAGAGTAATTTTTTTTCTTATACCTCTTTGGATAGTTTTTTAGTTTATTTTTTTTGCTTATTTGCTTTTTAGCTATAAATTTAGTATTTCTAATCATAAATTTTATTAATCATTTTAAATTTTTTTTTAAAATTTTGTGGCTATATTTAATGCCAATTAAAAAAGCCAGAAAAAAAATAAAAAAGCATGGGTGAGGTCAAAAATACCTACCTAGATAGGCTAAAAAAAGTGAAAAATCAAAAATAGTCTTTAATAGGTGTATTTGTATGAAGTTACGCTTCTGCTTGGCTTAAAAACTGATTTTTAAAATTGTTCCCTGAAGAAGTATCAAGGTGAAGTAATGAAACTCTGTTAATTCTATATGAAGCAAGAAGAAATACAATGGCATTTGCTGTATAAGTGTTGGAAAATGACACACTTGTATATTGAGGATAATAATCACTATTTAATGATGTTGAAGCTTGAACACCTAGTACAGGGACTGAAATATTTAAGGCTTTAAAAACAGTCATGGTGCCATCAATCATAGAAATTTGTTGAAAGGGGACGTGGAAATAGCCCAAATCATTTATATGTTTACTAATTTCCCATATGTGAGCTGTCAAAATAATAAAATAAAGTCTTATTTCAATAAAATTTTTTTATTTATTCTATAGAGTATTTTGATATCTCATCCTGAATTTTAAACATAATTTTATATATATTACATCCCTTTCGTATATCTTACTTGCTTAAATGAAAAAAAAATTCTCAAGGAAGGGGGATTAAAGCATGCACTTGCATAACTGCTATCAAAATAAGAAGCTCCACAATCTGTTATATTGTAAACAACAAGATCAAAATTCTCAAGAATATTAAACTCTGTATTAATAGCATTTACAGCACAAACTGACCCATATTGGCATTCTGAATTATAGAGATATATAGATCCATCTGGATTTGCATATCCACCTGAAATACTTATTGGGATTTTTATCTTTGAATTATCAGGAATCACTCCTCCTTTGAAGTTAATTGGAACATATGGGTTAACAATACTGTCAGTAATATTTCCTAACAAATTAACTTGATTATCTTGTATATTGAAAAAATAAAATCTCTTAAGACTGACTTGGCTTACTTTCCACATCCTTGAGTGAGCAAAGATTTTGCTCGTTATTTTATTTTATAATGAAAGTTGTTAAAATTCAACAGAATTCAGAATTTTAAGAATTACTTATATATTAATTATAATTAAAATCATTTTTGCTCACTCATAGAGTTTTTTTTCCAAAAAAGGACTTTTCCAATAGTTTTGCTCGTTAATGGAGTAGGAGTTAGCAAAAATCCATATATTGTATATAATGAATACGTCCCTGTAATAGGATATACATACATAAGACTCATTAAAAAACTGGTTACATGATTAATCAATATAGCTGCATACTCCTCACTCCTTCTTGGTAATTAATTCCATTCTATTTTTATTTTTTTAATATGTTTTTTATAAGCTAATATTTAATTAAGGAAATTCAAAATATAGTAAATTTAAGGCAGCTTTTGTAACAAAGAATCAGTTTATAAATTAAATTTAGATTTTTATTTCAAATATTCGCAAATTTTAAATCTAAAATCATTTTTTATTATATAAATTTAAAAAAGCCTCTCCATCGCCATATGAGGAGTCAGAGCTTTTAGATATTCATCAATAATCTTCGATTAAAAATGCTCCTTCAAGATAAGCAGTTCAAGCACTTTGGTGGATAAAAATATAGACATACTCGTCCTTATCCATCTCAGCTTCTATAATGGCTTGCTGGATTAACTTACAAAGATACTCATCAGTCGCAATAATAAGTGTTTTTATGCCAAGTGGCTTAATCTGTTTAGAAACAATGATATAAATGGTTTCATAAGAAAGTCCAGGTGGAAGAATTGTTTCAAAAACTACCTCAATATCAGAGGCAACTCGAAAATCCATCTCTGAGTTTTCTTGACTCAAAAGTACAACAACTTTTTGTAAGCCAAAATATTTTACTAAAGAAATGGCTCCATTTCGGAACTCACTGATATAAGCATCTGCGAAATAAGTTAAAGGTGGAATAATAGAGGGAGTATAGCCGGAAACGAGATGGATAAATCGATAAATTTCTGCATACGAACTGATATAGGAGCTTATAATTGACGAAAGAGTGATGTCCATAAGAAAAATAATATCTTGGCTTTCTATGAATTCTTCAAAATCTTTTAAGTCATTTATTTCTAAAGGTATGAAAAACGCATAGGGATTGCCACGGCATCTTTCATAGCTGATGTCTGGACAATTAAATTCTTTTCATATCATGTCTACCACAGACTTTGGTGTATATTCGCTATATAGAATAGGAACATTGAGAAATTGGCCTAATACGGTTCCACAAAGGATCAGAAGCCAAACTTTAATGGAACACCATAGCATTTTCTTTTTATTAAGCTTATGCATCTTAGTAATTGATAAGGATTATAAATTTCTTCAAAAGAAAGGTGAAAATATTTTATTAAAGATGATTTCTCCAATAGCCAGTCTAATTCAATTTAGAAGTTATTATGCATTATTGAGAGCTTAGATTTAAGCCCCAGCCTCTGCTTTGTCTTTCGTTAAAAATTAATTTTGAATTTTTTTTAAGATTAAACAAAATATTAGATCTAATAAAATTTGGCCTATCATATAGGCTACAAAACATATATGTAAAAATTTTCAATTATAATATAAATAAGCAATTTAAATTAGATTTTATTATAGGATAGGCTTAAGAAAATATATCATTCTTATTTTTATAAATACCAGCTGAAATATTTTTAATATAAAAAAATTTCAAAACTTTAATTTATAAAAAATTGATTTTCTTTAGCATTCAAAAAATGATTTTTCTATTCAATTGATCATGATTTTCCGAGGAGTATTAAAGTTAATTATCTTTATTATAATAGTCTAGCTAGTCATTTTGTCAAAGTAAATATGAGCACTGATATAATATTTTTTTATTATTTTGAAAGCGAAATATAGTTACTATAGCTAGTCTTATTCAATATAGGACGTATTATGCACTATTGATAGATTAGTTTAAGCCCAGCCTCTGATTTGTCTTTCGTTAAAAATTACTTTTTGAATTTTTTTAAGATTAAAATATATTTTAGATTCAATAAAATGATTTTTCTACTCAATTGTCATGATTTACTGAGCAGTATTAAAATTAATAAAGGTCTATCTAATGCATTTAATTATAAGTATATATGAGCGCTGATATAATATTTTTTTATTACTTTGAAAGCAAAATACAATTATTAGAAAAATGTCGATTTCAAAAATTTGATTTGTGACTTTAATTAAAATCTTCACTTAAAAATTCACTTTTTTTATCATCATAACTTTGATCAGCAAATTCATAATTTACTGACTCTTCCCTTCATAAGTTAGCAAATAATGAAAGAGCATCCTTCATGAGTGAAAAAAATATTTCGATATAAAGTTATAATTACTATAATGAAATGCCATAAATCTTACATATAAATTGATTTTCCAATTTCTGCAAATTGTGATTTTTAACACTATAAAATTAATATATATAAAATATTTTAAAAAATAATTAAACCCCCTTTATGAACAAACAAAATTTTTTGTTCACTTAAGGAAGAGTGTGGGGTGAACGAAGCACTCCAGCTTGAGAAGGTGATCTTTTTGACAATTGAAATTTAAAAAGACTAAGAATATCTTGCCCTTTTGGTGACTCCAAAAGAGATGGAAGATTTCTATATTGATAGATCATTCCTATAATCCCTAATAAAAGCCAACCTATTCCTATAAGAGATTTACCAGCAATTGCACTAAATCGAGCAATTTCACAGCAAATCCAAAGCCAGACACAGCCAAATATAAATGTTGTGTACCACAAGGAAGCCCTTTCGTAATTATATGGCTTCCTAAACAAAGTGAAAATCCCAAAAATAATTAAAATTATTGTGTAACAAGTATCATAAGCAATCTCGGAGTAAGGCAAAAGAACAGCATTCAATATAGCAAGTATAATCTGCAGAAAGCTTTTAATAGCTGAGTGAGCAGGCTGTTCCTTAAAATGAAAAATTAAATCCCCAGTATTTTCTTTTCAAGATGGTCTAAAGTGCAAACTAGTCGGCAAATAAAATAAAAGAGCCACAAGTGAAGCTACTGCATATTTGAGATGCTTACCTTGCCAACAAAAAATAGAGCAATCTTGATTAAGGAAACTTTTTTTGAAACTATCTTCAATGCTTTCTGTGCATTGAAAAGTTAAAAATAAAAAATAAAAAATTGGCAAAAATAAAACATCACCAATAATGGGCAGGGAATAATTACCGAGTTCGCCAATAATTGTAAGCAAAGAGAGCTTGCATCTTTTTCAGCAGTCAAAAATCCTTCCAAAGAGAAAAGTAAAAAATAAAATAACAATAATTCCAATCATAGATAGTTGATAAAGAAATTTAGAATCATTGGTGAAATCTCTTATGTCTATAATTGCAATTTTTATTACTTTTGTCAGAATATTTGGCATAATATCTGTAAATTTGGGACCTATTGATACATATTGCAAGCACTCTATAAGCATTGCTAACTCCCCTCACCGTGAGAAACAAAATTATTGAAAAATCCCTATTATTTGCCCAAAAGCCCAAGAATAAAATATTTTATAAAAAACTTCGTGATAATTAGTAAATGAAATCTCTAATTAATTCTATTTAATTTCAAACAGCTCGCATTTTCAAAGCATAATTTTACAAATTAAATTCTCCAATTTGGATTTTTTAAAATTTGAAAAACAAATTTTATATGAAATTTATTTAAAAAAATTAACCTCCCTCCGTGAGCGAACAAAATTTGTTTTTCACTCACGGAGGCTGGAGTAAGTACATAATTTGATCGAAAATATTTTCTTCAGCTTTTTCTATTATCATTGGAAATTGCCCAATTGGAGAATATTCAAAGCTTTTGTAAATAAAGAATAAATCAAAAATTATACCTACTTATAGAGATTATAAACATTCCTATTGATTACCGTTATCCTATATTCAGATAGTAAATAGAAAATGGCTAAAAAGTATGAATGCTTTCATTTATTGTAAATAGATATAAAAAAATTCCTCCTATAATAAGAAGAATTAAGTAGCCATAAAGAAAAGATCGGACTTCATCTGATTTAAATGGACATGATAAATCAGCCCCTATAATTTCACTAGGTAGAATTCCTTTATTATCTGAATATCATGAAATTCCTTCAATCATCTCAAAAACAACCACTTTAGTAGGATCATAAATCCCAGTTAAAACTAATTGCCATTCTGAGTTATTTTTTATCAAATTGTAAGTCCCAACCTTCACCGTTGACCTATCATTACCACTTTTGCTTATTTGCACATTTCCTGAGCACCCTGTGAATTGGACTTTTCTTACCCATTCTTCAATTCCTGAGCTGTTTAAATTAAACCCTCTGCTTATCATAGAATCAATAGCATACGCTCCTAAATAAGTCGCGTCATAAAATAAGCACATGTAGTCATAAGTAAACCCAAATTCTTGCAAAAAATCATTATAAATCTGTTTCCCAAAAACTCCATAATACGATAAAAATGTGACATAAAGGGACCCTTCTACAAGTTCTGTGATGCTTTTATAAGAATCTTGATGCAAAATATTTGCTTCTGAAGCTCTGAAACTCCCTTCTCCAAAAATAAAATAAAGGTCACCTTTTCTCATTCCTAAGTCATAAAAAGCATTAAGTACTGAAAAAATTTCAGTATTTGAGACTTCAATTATGACATATCTTGACTTTAAATCAACAATTTCTTGGATAAATGATTTATCGGTGCCATTATATCCGCTAGGAACTGCTTGATTTTTGTTTAAAATTTCAAGATTATACTTTTCTGCTTGACTGACGAATTGATTTTTAAAGCTAAGACCCCAATTTGTGTCTAGATATAGCAGAGAGCATTTGGCAATTCTAAACCAAGTTAATAGTAGAACAACTGCACTTGCAGTATAAGTATTAGAAAAGGACACACTTGTATGTCACTTTCTCAGCTTTAGATCGTTTTGATTATTAATTTTAAAATGGCAAAGCAATTCATTTTGCTTCAAATACCTAATTCTGCTTAATCGTATTGACTGTTAATTGTTTGGCTATATAGTGATCTAAAGCAAAAAATATGCTATATACTGAAGATTATCATCATCTTTTAATTTAGGGCATGATTGAGTACCAAGCACAGGGATTGAAATATTTAAAGACTGGAAAACTGTCATTGTGCCTTCTATCATTGCAACTTGTTGAGGGGAAACATGAAAATAGCCTAAGTCCTCTAAATGCTTGCTAAAACAGCTAGTTGCGTAGTCACTATCAAAATAAGAAGTTCCACAATCTGTTATATTGTTAATTACTAGCTGAAAATTTTCGAGGATTTTTGAATTAGTGTTTATTGAATTTGCCGCATAAACTGAGCCTTTATGGCAGTTTGCGTTAAAATCATAAGTGGAACCATCAGGGTTGCTTATCCCTCCAGCAATGCTGATAGGTATTTTTAGCCTGGAATTGTCTGGGATATTATTAGTACCTCCTGGAAACATAGGAGAAGAATATAAATTAACAACGCTGCTTGTAATGTTTCCGAAAGGTACTAGCTCACTATTTTGTATAGTGCTTTATATATATTTGCTTTCTATAGTGATATCAATTGTAAAGAATAACAGTTATCTCGTTTATGCATCAAAATTTGGCATTTTCATTTTATTTTTCTGCTATTATCTTTACTAATTCACTATTATAATAATAATTTGCAAAGAGAGAAATGCTTATAGAATGCAACACTGCAAAGATGCTATGCTTCAACTAATTTTGCGTAAGATCTATCCTGCTATTATTACAAAAAGCAAAATTAAAGGAAAAGCTATATATTGAAAAGGTAAAATCTTTCTATATTGACTCCATTAATTAGAAACGCATAAAATGCATATAATGAAAAGGCTCCTTGTATTATGTCCATATTCATAAACATCAGCAAAAAAATTGTTGTATTGTTAATTAGTATTTCTATATAATTTTCTACACCTGTAGGTGTCCAGTCGTATTGTTCTATCAAAATAGCCCCTTCAAGGTATGCAGTTCATGCGCTTTGATGGAGAAAAATGAAGACATAGCCTTCCTTGTTCATATCAGCTGCTTCTATTGCTTTTTGTATTAATTTTGAAATTTTTTCATTAGTTGCGATAATAATAGTTTTAACCCCTAACGGCTTTACTTCTTTAGATACAATAATAGATATCGCTTCATACGAAATCCTTGAGGGAAGGATTGCTTGATAAACAACTTCTATATCATTTACATCCTTAAAATCCATCCCATTAAGCTCTTGACTTAAAAAAACCACAGCTTTTTGCCACCCATAATGTTTCACAAATGACACCGCGGCATTTCTTATAATAATTTCTGAAGTATCAGAAAAATATGTAAGCTGAGGCCGATTGTCTGGAATAAACCCATATACTAAATGCATAAAGTTATATGGTTTGGCATATGCACTGATATGAGAGCTCATAATAGTTGAAAATGTCAAGTCAAATAAATACGTGATGTCTGAGCCTGCGATCAGCTCTTCAAAATCATTCACATCATTTATTTCCATTGGGATATAAAATGCATTAGGGTTGGATTTGCAAGGCAATGAGCTAAGATTTGGGCAATTATATTGATTCAAGACAACATCTTTTATTGCAGTAGGAGTAAATTGACTGTATAAAATAGGAACATTGAGGTATTGAGTTAATGCAAGATTTACAAATAGGTAAAATATCAGCTTGATAGCTAGCTGGAACATTCCTATTTAAATTAATGATTAGTTTTTTATTACTCTTTAAAAAAACGCATTATTCAAAATGCAAATATGTTTTAAAAATTTTGAATTGCTGGAGCTTTTCTCCAAAATATTATGAATAAATTCATTTTATTTAATATAAAAATCTCCATTATTAAGGAGAATATTACTTTTTATAAAAATTAATTCGTCTTTTTTGAGTTTTCGTGTATGTATATATATTTAAAATGTTGTAACATAAAATAAAAATATTACAGATTATTCGCTTTGAAGTCAAATTTTATTACAATTTTTAATTTCTCAGTGTTCACTTATAAATAATGAGCATAAAACCAATAGCAAGTTATATTTTTATACAAATAAATAAAATTCTTAAGGATTATTTAGAAATTTAACAAATTAAAGAATTAGCAAATCGACTTATATTTTTTAATTATTGCTTTGATCTAATAATTTTATGGTTTTACTATAAAAGAGTAATGGCAAAATTTCAATAGGAACCTTCATAAGTAAATACGAGATATAAAATGATGAAAAGTTCTTCTTATCATGAAATTAATATTTAAAATTTTATTTTCATAATCCTCTAAGCATATGTTTATCAAAATTTCGCAAATAATTCTAAAGATTTATGTGCTTAAAGTGTCTTTAAGGTGCGTTTCAAGTTTAAATTAAAAGTAATATTTTAAAAAAAATGAAAATTATAATAAAACTGCAGATTAAAAATGCGAGATCTATTAGAAGCAAATTTGTTTGTTGTGACGCGGCTTTATTTCTTTTTCTATCTCCACAATTTTTTCTTCGGTCTTTATGACTTGAATGTTTTTTGGCGATACAAACTTTCTCAATATTTCCAAAGATTTAAATAAACATTCTCTAGCTTCCTCATGATTTCCTAAGTTTTCTTCAAGCTTAGATTTGAGCTGGTATATATATGCAAAAAGAGGGTTTCTGTGTGGGAATTGTGAAATTATTGTGTCGAATAGTTTTTCAAGTAAATCATTCCAAAATTTTGATTCATTACAGGCTTTTTGAAAAGTTTGAAAAAAAGTTTTCATGCTTTCGGAGCAGGGGGGGGGAAGGGTTAATGTTCGAATTTCATTTTTTATACCTTCAAATGCTTGATCGTTTCTTAATAAACCATCGCCAGAAAAAATGTGTAGGGCTACTCTTGCCATATCAATAAAAAATTTGACATCAGAAACAAAATGATTATATTTTTCTGCTAAAATGTTTAAGACTTCTTCAGCTTTTTTGAAACGGGATGTAAAGATGTAAAACATTACTAAGAGAACACAAACATTTAAGAGGTTAAATAAATCAGATGCTTTTTATCACATCTAAATTAATCCTGCTAAAATAACTTTTCAGCTTGTTTTGTATCTCCAAATAAAAAATATAAAAATCCAACTTCACTATAGAGTCATCCAAGTATTCGATTTTGTATAGGAAGAACATAAAATCCACCGTTAATTTTTTTCAATAACTCATAAGATTCTTCCAATTCAAATTTAAATATGCTGAGCTTAAAGAATGCAACATCATAACGCTTTCCAGACCCATTTAATAAACTTTTACCTTTTTTTTAAATACTTTTCTCCATTCTCCAGTTGAAATTGGGTATATAAGGCAAATATCCAAGGACAAAGCATACTTTTTCTAAAAGCAATAATAAATTGCGTTTTTACAAATGGCTTTAGATTTTTTAAGATAATAGATGCCCTACATCAATTCTTAGCCTGGGTACTATACAAAAATCCTAAATAATAATACATAAGCGCATGATATAAAAATTGGCCAAGAGCTTTGAAAATATATTTTACTGGTTCTGAAGTATATGTCTGCCTTATCAAAATTATTTACATAAAAATTAATCAATCCCTTGCAAAAGCACAACCATCCATCATAATGATCTTCACTTCTAAAAGCCATTTTCGAAATTTGTGTAGTCTTTTTAAGAAATTCTTTTGGCTTATGTGATTCTCCCCAATTAACATAAGTGCTTGCAATAAAATCCAAAAAAATCAATAAAATAAGGACTTTCAAAGTTTTCTGGCCTTGGGGCAGGCTCATCTTTTCCGCAATTTGGATTAATTTTGTGTTGTGGATCATATACAAATAATAATCAATAAAAAAATAGTCAATTTGTGTGTGGTGTTTAATTTTCTCTAATATTTTCCTGCAATGCTTAAATAAGCATTTAGAGTTATAATACTCATCATCATTAAGCAAGCTTCCAGCAATGTTAAAAAGCTCCATAATTAGTTCTTTTTTCTTTTTGAATTTCCCCACCATGGAAATCTTCCTCATTTCCATCTAAATAATTATAATTATAAAGATGATTTTGGATTTTTTGCTATATCTTCTGATATAATTTCTAATGAAAACTCTGAGATATTTAGAGATGATGTGTATTTTTTTGTTTTTTTCTAATGGCTGCATCAAAAAATATTCAATAGGGTTATAGCAAATTTTAACAGGAAGTTTCGAGATTTTGATGGCGCTCATAATTAATTCATCACAATTTATGATGGTTTCATGGAATCTTTTGAAAAGAGAAGAGAAATCCTTTAATTATTTCCCAGAAAGATTTTTAACCTTCATATTGTTAGACTGAAAGTGATCTGCTTAACCAATGAGGGGTGAATTAAATACCTAAAAAATAACCTATTTTATTGCAATTTCTAAATAAGACTGCATATTATTATATTTACAAATGAAATTTCATTATAGAGCTATAGCTATGAATTTAATTAATATCTCAATATTAAGTGAATTAAAAGACGAAGATTTAAATAAGCCATTTTTTTAGTCAACTATTTAATAAATCTTACGTGTTTTTCGATATTTTATTTTCAGAAATGCAATAAATTTCCAAAATAAAAAGAATTATAAGAAACCTCAACTTAATTTATACCTTTTTTTATCTGATTTACATTCTCATAATGATAATAGTAATCCTTGTAAAATATTTAAGATTATCTAAATCAAAGAAATACTATATAAGTTTCTCTATATCATTGCATAAAATTCTATATAAAACCATTTATTCAAAAATATTTCAATTTTATTAGAAAGATGATTGTCGGGACTCTTTGACTTATCTTTTTAAGCCGTCGAAGCCGGCAACACTTGCCCCTAGGCGCACCCTGGAGATCGAAGCGGACCGGCCCAGAGGTCTGTGGGCCCGATGCGGCGAAAGGCGAGCGGAGATCTGGGCTTAGCCAACCCCGTAGTGGACGCTAAGCTTTATAATTAGTAAGTTAAGTTAAGACTTATCTTTCTAAACACTGGAATTTTCAGTATAGGTATAATCTTTTGAAATAGACTCTGAATCCGCAGGTTTGGGATCCAAATTCCTGGAATTTCTGAAAAATTTTCATCAGTTGGCCAAGTCATTAGCCATTTCTCCCCAATTCTTTGAAACTTTGACGAATCTTATTGAATTGAATACACAGGTGTGGAAGGCTACATATACTTATTATTCCAGCGCTACATGATCTCGCTTTTATTTATTTTTACCATGATTTCATTATTTGCCGCAATCCCAGCTACATTTACAAATACTACCGAAGAATTCACACTCATGAGCACTTCATCGCCAACTAATATGTCAAGCTACACTACATGGTTTCAAGTAGGAATGGTTTATTTATTCTCATCAGCTGTTTTTATGATGGTTTTTATGCTAAAGAAAAGAGTCGGTACCATGCTTCAAGAAAAAGCTAAAGAAAGAAGTCATGAAAAAGACCACGAGTGGCTTAAACTTCGAACAGTCCATGTCCGAGGTTTAGATATTTCTGACAGATCAGGAGAAGCTTTAGCAACTCAGATGAATTCATTTCTCAAAGACCGTGGAGGTCGAGTTGTCGAAGTGGTCCTTTTCCCAGATTTTCAAAAATTAATTAAACTCGAAATTGACCGTGAAAAAACTATTCTCATGAAAAATCTGTTTGAAAGTGATTATCCGCCTCCTCCAGTTCGCTGCCTGCCTAGAGCTGCACTTAATCATGAACATTATTTATTAGAACTAGACGAAATAGAAAAAGAAATCCAAGAAGCTACGATGACTCCTTATTGGAATTCAGGACATGCTGTAATTGCGTTTAATTCTCTAGAGAGTGTAGAAAAAGTCTTATATCATTATCGCCCCAGCTTAAGGAAAACTATTTTACTCGGCCTTTCTAATATTATAGAAAAATGAAAAGGGCTGCAAAGGCTTCGTGCTTTTTCAGCCACTTTTGAAAGATTTCCTGATGATAAAGATGCAGCGCATAAAGATATTGTGGTTACTCGAGCTGTAGATCCTTATGATTTAATCTGGGTAAACGTAGGCGGAACACGTGGTTTTTATTTTTTCCGCAGAGTTGGGGTGTTATTTTTAGCTGTTCTGGTTTTACTGTTTTTATCTACCCCAGCTGCTCTTTTAGCTGAGCTAAAATCAATAATCGGTACTGATGCTCAATGATTTGATAACTTGCCAGAGCCTGTCGAAAATTTAGTCCAAGCTTATTTTCCATCATTATTTATCATTATGCTCAATCAAGTATTATTGGTGCTTATTGATATTTCTGCATATATGGAAAGACATTACTGCCATACTGACGTACAAAGCTCAATTTTAAATGTTTCTGTGGTCTATTTAAGTTTAAATATGCTTATAATCCCAGGCGTCACTCTTGCAGCTACAAAATCCCTTGTCAAAATCCTCCAAGACCGAGAATATCTTTTAGCTGACATTTTAGGAGAACTTCATTTGGCAGATTCTGGGGCGTTTTTTATTAATGTTTTGCTGCAGAAAGCGACATATTCCTGCATGTTTTATTTATTAAGAGGTCCAGAAATAGGGATGAACTATTTTTCTATCTGACTTGGATATCAAACCCGAAAAGATTTAAATGAGCATGATAAGTGGCGAAGAGACGAGTCCCAGGTCTTCCAATATGGCTATTTTTATGCCCTTATGCTTACTTCTTTTGGGATTGTTATGACCTTTTGTTCAAGTGTCCCATTAGTAATTCCAGCCGGGCTATTTTTTTTCTTTTTAAAACACTCGGTTGATTCCTTTAATTTATTATGTGTACATGGTAAAGAAATTCATGGGGAAGGAAGACTATTAAGGTCAGTTATTTTTTATGCCTCACTTTTTGTGCTTTTTTATCAGATTTCTATGATTGGATTTTTTGCGTTAAATGAATTGAGGATTCATTCGTTTTTGGTGTTTATATTGCTGATGGGAAGCATTTTGGTGGCTTTAATGATAAGTGGAAGGCTATATGATATTGAAAAAGATGATGATGAATATTATGCGTCTATTAGAGAAGATAATGAAGATACGAAACACCAGTGGAGGAAATTGTATGCACATCCTTTAGCTATTTCTCATATTTAAGTGAAAATTAATTATCTAATAAATTAGTATATGAATAAGGTAGCTTAAAATATTTAATTTGAGGAATAAAATTATTAGATAAAATATTGTGATTGCAAAAGCTATATAGATTTTTTTAAATTATTATTTGGAGTAATGTAATTAATCCCTGTGATCTTTATCAGCAGACTTAGAAGTGCATTTTTTATCCACTGCTTTCAATTTAGGTGATGATTTAAAGTATGTTTTAGCTTGATTATTTTTTAGAATAAAAGCAGCATGCTGGCATTATGTCTCAATATAGCATAATAAAATTTATATGACTCTTGAATTTAATTTTTTGGGGATTATTTGTGAGGCAAATTTTTTCAAAAATTTGGCTCAGGATAGAGTAAGGAATTAAGGCACTTATTGAAATTAATATTATAAACTGGGTTACAAAATTCAAAAAATGGTTGGAGAAAAATTTTAAAAGCTTTTTAGTTATTCAGATAATTTCTTGATTAAAACTTTATATTTTATTTATATGCCATATTAAAAGTTTATGGTATTTAGCTTTGCATAAGATTATGTTTCAGTTTTTTAAGAAGCAGAATCATAAGGAAATTCTTTGCTAAAATTGCCAGTAAGGATTAAATTTATATTCTGCTGAATGAATGCCTTTAACTAGCTAGCCATAGAGTATTAAGAGTTTAAAATTTAAGAGTGATTTTCTAACTTTTTGTTTTCTTTCTTTAACCAAAAAATCGGGATTTTTCTAAGAGTTTTTCGCTCACAGAGTAAATAAACTATATTTTTAAGATTCATTTTTATCAATTGCTCTGAATTTCTATTATATTTCCTACTAATTCCTTAAAGTCTCATTGTGTTTAAACATAAGTAAAAATATATATACAAAAATCGTTTTACTCAGCCCTTCGGTTTTTGCTTTCTAGGATTAAAAATTAATTTTAAAATATCTTTCTCTTCAAGAATTATGCATTATTAAAGCCAAAAAGAAATGAATGCGTTCTTTTTACTTTAAGAAAATAATGAATCTTCCATTTTAGATGCTGATGAAATATACTTTTTAAATTATCTCTCCCTTAAGCAATCTCAGTTATAATTCGTAATACGACAAAAAGTACATCAAAATCCCTCATTCTTGGTCTTATTTATTGATGCAAAATATTTATGAGAGTTAAACGTGCTAAAATATTGCAAAATTTAACTCAAAAAAATAAATATCTTAAACACTTTCTATTCTTAAAAGTTTAAATTATTTCTATAAGAATCCCTGAAGTCTATAACTCAAGATTGCTTTAGCTTTTTAGATGTTTTTTTAATCCATTTTCATAATAATTAAATGTATTTTCATTTTATTCTCCTATTTCTTGGAGCAGTTTGAGCACAATCCACTCTACTGCAATGCAAAGGGGAGTGGATAAAAATCCTTGAATCAGCGAAAGGAATTATTGGCCCCTCTCCTTCTGATTATAGCAAGCAATTTTTATACACAGGCTTAAATGCTAATGAGTTAGGCCAATATGATTCATGCTTAGAATTAGACAATTCCAAATTCACACTTATACAGGCAAGTGATTCCCCAATAATTGCCTGGGGCTTATGTGGGCCTTCCATTTGCTCTGAAGCTGATTATTATTTACTGCTGCAAAGTCTTGCAGACCCAGAAGAAAAAAATGAAGAAATTCTAAAAACCTCGTTTAGTAAAATTGTTCAAGCCTCAGCTTTAGGCAGTCTCAAGATAGTTTTTCCTAAAGAGTATATAGATGACCATTTCAATAAATACAGCTCTGGAGAAACAATTATGTTTACAATCACCATAGTCATAATCTCCACTGCTGCTATAGGAACAGGAATAGATTATTGGATATATACTCAAAAAGAAGCTAAAAAAGATCAAGAAGCACTGAATTTTTTGCTGAAATTGTTCCTGTGCTTTTCTGTAATCACAAACTTTAAAAAAATCTTTAAAAGTCGTAGCGAAGAAAAATTTGGAGAAAAAAACACCTTTGAAATTTTAAATTCTGTTAGAGTTTTAGCAATTGGTTGGGTCATTTTTGGACAGTTTGTCAATATTATATCATCAAATGCTGCGTTAGTAAATTTTAATAAACTAATTACAATCGCAAAACTGACTATTATGATATTCCCTCTTACAAGTACTTTGGCTGTTGATACTTTTCTATGGCTTTCTGGGTTTTTATTAGGATATTTACTCCTTGTGGAAATAAATAAAGAAGAAAAAAAAATGAGCTGGATTTTGCTTTATATTCATAGGCTCTTTAGACTTTGGCCTCTTATGCTGTTTATTTTGTTTTTCTTTTGGGCTTTTCAAAAACATATTGGAAATGGCCCTTTATGGTATAATGGAGATTTATATAATAATGATTGTAAAGATTACTGGTGGTCAAGTATGCTTTTTATCAATAATTTCGTCCCTAATTGGAAAGGGAGTGGGTGCTTAGGCCAAGGATGGTATTTAGCGATGGACATGCAATTTTTTATTATAACTCCTCCAATCATTTATTTGTATCACAAGTACAATAAATACATTGGCTGGGCTATCATGGTATTTTTTATAGGACTAACTATAATAATATCAGCAGTCGTGGCCCATCATTTTACATTAAATATTGTCGTTCCTGCTTTGCCGAATGAAAACAACTATATGGATTACTACTTTACAAAGCCATATTGTAGAATTGGAGCTTATGCTATAGGAGTTTTATCTGCATTTATAGTATACTCCTATAAGCAGTTTAAAGAAAACGGTACAAAATATGACCCAATTGGTGTTTGAATCGGATTAAAGCTAGAAAATCGACGCATAAGATGAACTGTTGGGTTTATTGGCTATGCCTTAATAAACTTTATAATTTTCATTCAATATGACGCTTTTAAAAATCCTGGAGGGATGGAATTAACTTACCCAAATTGGACAGATGAAGAAAACCAAGCTTTTATAGCACTTCATAGAGTGGTTTTTACTTTTGCATTAGCAAGCTTACTTTTGCCAGCACTATTAGGCCACTTTTCGTGGATGACCCGATTTTTATCGTCACAGATATGAACTCCATTTTCAAGACTGACTTTTTGTGTGTTTTTGCTTCAACAGAATATGATAGAAATTGCTTATAGAAGCCAAAGAGCAGCTTTGTGGTTTGATCAATTTTCTGGGATTAAAGATTTGACGTGGTTCTTCTTGTTTTTATTTGTATGCTCTATTCCTTTTGTGATGCTTGTTGAAATCCCTGCATTTGAAATAGAAAAATTAATTTTCAAATCAAAAAGCCAAATTGTTGTGGAAGAGAAGAAATCACTTTTGATGATATCACTGGTGGAACAAGAAAAGAAGCCTTATTATGCTTAGCTTTAAGAATGATAAATAAAGCGTCAATAATTTACATTTGTTGAGCAAATATAATAAAATTTATGAAAATAAATATTATTTGATAGGGGAAAATTTCAATTTGCTTAATAACTCTTCGAATTTTGATTTTCTATAATAAAAATTTTTTAAAAATTGATTTATTCAGCAAATAATTCTGATTTTTGCAATTGTTATTTGGGTATCAGTGTCACATATATAAGTTGTATTTGAGAGAATTATTAATTTCAGCAATGCATTTTTACTACTATACAAGAAGTATTTTTATCTCAACATACTTATAACTTCGCCATAAAATTGTGAATTAATTTCTAAGCTAAATAAAATAAGACCTCAAGAATAATAGCTTAACTGGAATAAAATTACTTAATAATCGTTAAAATCCTATCTAAACTTCTTGCTGTGCAGATCCTCTAAATAAAGATTAAGAGTATATATCATCGAAATTAATCAATAATTTTCTCACCATTTTCCTGGATCAATTGTTGCCAAAAATAAATAAAAATGATTTTCATTTGGCTCATTTCTCTGAATCTTGCAGCTTCTTCCGTGACTGAATGTGAGATAGAATGATCAAAAATTATAGAGTCTGGTAAGGATCTGCTTTCTGCAAATCCTACAAACTATACCAAAATGTTTATGTATTCAGGGTTTACTATTAATAATCTCGGGCAATATGACTCTTGCAATGATCTTTCATACGCAAAGTATGTGCTGATTGAGCTATCCCCACAGCCAGCGTTGCTTTTAGCTTTATGTGGGCCAAAAATATGCAACGAGGCCGACTATCAAAATATTTTTAGTCATCTTTTATTAGAAAAATCAGATATTTCGTCATATAATGTATCATTGAAAGCTAGCAATCAGGGTCCATTTATAATGTTTCCTAAAGAATTTATTGATGACCACTTAAGTGATTACAGCGCAGGTGCTATTTTAATGTAATTTTTACTTCTATAGTGGCATCTATAGTTCTTCTAGCCACAGTTTACGAATATTGAATTTCCAATAAAAACCTCGTGAAAAACGAAATAGAAAATAATTCAAAGCCTCCACAATTATCAACCCCTGCTAAATATTTATTATGCTTTTCCCTAATTACTAACTCTAAAAAGCTCTTTTTAAGCCGCAGTCAAGAAAAATTAGGGAAAAAAGACACTCTTGAAATATTAAGTGCAATGAGAGTTTTGTCAATAGGATGGGTTATTCTTGGGCACACCTTAATGAATGCTATGACCCTTTCTATTTTAGCAAATCCTAACAAGATTCTTGATTTTCTATCAAAACCAGTAGCAGTTATTGTATTGTCTGGGTCATTTGCTGTTGACACCTTTTTCTGGATTTCTGGGTTTTTGGTTAGTTATCTATTGATAATCGAAATAAATAGTCCCAAAAAAATGAACTGGCTATTAATTTATGTCCATAGATACTTGAGAATAGTTCCTGTTTATTTATTTGTTATTTTATTTTCATGGGCTCTTCAAAAGCATATGGGAAATGGGCCATTGTGGTGGAATGAATATTATTATATACTTTTCTTGATTATTTTTGCATAAATATTTACAATATATTATTTTTTATAAAAGGCCAGATAGGTCTGGTATATAACAATGATTGCAAAAAATGGTGATGGACAAATATTTTATTTATCAATAATTTAGTCCCAGGTTGGAAAGGCAGCAATTGCTTAGGCCAATCCTGGTATCTCTCTGACGACATGCAATTTTTCATAATCACTCCGCCAATTATTTATTTATATCACAAATACAATAGATATATTGGCTGGGGAATTTTAACATTTTTTATTGGATTTTCTATCATAATTTCAGGCGTTATTGCTCATCATTTTACCCTAAACGCTGTAGGCTTTGCAGGAACGACCTGGGGAGATTATTATGACTATTATTACGTAAAGCCTTATTGTAGAATAGGGGTATATGCACTAGGTATTTTAACTGGAATTGTTGTTTATTCATATCGCCAATACGTGCATAAGCAAAAACATTATGATCCTATAGGTGTATGAATCGGAAAAAAATTAGAAAATAAACCAATTCGTTTTTTTATAGGCCTTTTAGGCCTTGCTCTAATTAATATTATTATTTTTGTCCAATATGACAGTACAAAACACCCAGGACCTTATATGAACTTCCCTCATTGAACTCATGAACAAAATGAAGCTTATGTAGCTTTCAGCCGATTTGTCTTTGGATTAGGACTTACACTGCTATTTTTACCTGCATTATTAGGACATTTTACATGGATGGCAGGATTTTTATCATTAGATATTTGGACTCCTTTAGCAAGACTGACTTTTTGTTGTTATTTGGTGCAGTCTGATATCATTGATATGATTTATCATGCACAAACGTCTGCAGTTTATTTAGACAATTTTTTGATATTTAAAGACTCAACTTGGTATTTTATGTTTTGCTTTTTGATGTCGGTACCATTTGTGCTGCTTATAGAAATGCCAGCACTCGCAGTGGAAAAATTGACATTTTCATCAATAAGAGCAAAACAAGTTGTTGAAGATGAAGAAAAAGGCAAATCTCTTTTAACAATGAAGGATAAAAACGCTGGTTAACTAAATTAAAAATCTTTAATTATTAAAATTGAAAATTATGCAATGTTAGAGAATATCTAGGAAAATAAAATAATAGGATAAATATTAAAAATTATTAAATTTTTAAAAATAAAACTTATAGATTAGATTAGACGCTGATATTTAAGGTCTCTACTTCCAGGCACGTGTCGACCTAAGCGAATTGGGTGCTTCTACCTCTGGCAACTCTAAACCCAGGCTGAAACCCCTGGTTTCTTGGGTAGTGGGCCGCAGACCGTCGCCAGGCACCACCATTTCCAACTCAGTCCCTTCGCCCTTATTACGCCAACTGTACCTACCCTGGCCAGAATCGCTCCGTTTTTGGAGCTCTTTTATGGAGGGACCGCCGTGTTGAACTTATGTCTAGCTCGCCTTCCCCTCTTTTCAGGTCATCTCTAGAAAGAACTCAACCACTTCCGTGATTCGGGGCGGGCCATCAAGAGCAGCTTGAGCAGGGAAGTCGCCCTGATCCATTTCGGGCATCTACTGGCTAGGACGCTGCTGGAAAAAGGAGTCACAAATAACTACCTATGGATCAGGCCACAAACCAACAGATCTGTTCTTAAGCCTATCGCCTCTAGGCTCCTGATTTTGTTGGGTATACTCATTTCCCCTGAAAACCATGCATGGATATACATGGGTTACCGTCACTGGGAGGACCGGCCAGACGTCATATACCATTTTATGTATATAAAATAAACTTATAAGTTAGCTAGACTGCTCAAAAGAGGATTTTGAGTTCTGCTTGAATGGCAAACATTGATTTTAGGTACTTCACAGTTCAGAAATTCTGAACAAATAAAATCAATTCTTTCAAGGACCATCGGAGATAAAATTGAATTTTTCTGGGAACTCGCAGTTAATGGGGTTGGAGACTCAAAATCATAGTTCGGGACCCAGCTGGCATCAGAAAATATTATTTTTTTATTTTTTGGGTTAGGCAGTGAAGTCGCCAAAGTGGTGTCTTCTGCATCCCTTGAAAAATCTTTCGAGACTGTGGACTCTTTAAGATCTGACATGTAGGGCGGAGACATTTGTAAAATATCGTCAACATAATAGTTATAATCGACTAGATCCTCATTGTAAGGAGATCTAAGCTTTTTATAAATACAGTTCAATTCTTTATCAGTAACTTCTAACTGACTTCTATTTCTCTGAGTTCACTGCATATAATTACTATAAAAATTCCCGATCTTTGAAGCTAGCTCCCTTGTTCTGAGAGTGAGCAAACCATTGGAGATATTCCTAACGAGCAAAACTTATATCGTAATACGTAATGGCAATTATTATAATGAAATCTCTAGCTGAATTTTAAAAAAACATTTTATGAATTCAGATATTTTTAAATTTATTTGCAATAAAATTTATATATAATAAAAATAGCATTCTCCGTAAGCAAAATTTGTTTGCTCACTAGGAGAGTAAGAAACTCAAATAAGGGCTTATATCTGAATTTGTATAGCCCTTTGCTGACAATGCTGAATAATACAAGACATAGTCAAGTTTCGCTATATTATCAGCCCACACGCAGCGGTCTAGAAAAATCGCTCATACTGATATTTCTATTTCATTTAAAGCTAAAGCATTGCAAGCGTCAACGAGAAGACGAAAAAGCGGCTGAGCACGAAATTCACAAGGGATTTTTGGATTTTGAATTATCCTTCTTAATAGTAAGAAACTTAGTTGGGATGGACCAGTTTGAAGGAACTCAGCGCGAAGGCTTTCATAATCCTCAAACTGCTCTTTGGTTTCTTTTTGACCTACATCGTCACCTACTGACAATTCGTCCAGCTCGAATTGAGGAAGTTCATATGAAAGCCCAGCTCTGTTGTTGAAAAACTGGGGCTTTTTATCTTGGCAGCTGGGATGATATTCAAATTTTTCACAATCCATTAATTTATTATTGATTACGTATATTAAAAAGATAATTAATTAAACCATTAATCCATCTTGCAATTTAAAAAGTTTCTGAAAGAAGATGATATGTATCAAAGAAATAATATAGAAAAATAATGTGGCGAAAAATCTAAGGACTGCTGGATTAAAAAATTAAAAGTTTAATGGCTCCATATTAAAAAAATTTCTAATTGCCCCTTTTAAGTTGGAATAAAAAATGTGTTCCAAGGGGAGTTCATTTTTATTAATATTAAAAATTTTATATAGCCTAAGGCAATCAATAATAGGCCCTGGCCTATATATAAACAAATTTTTTAAATTAAAAAATACCAATATTTTTGAATTATTTTTTGTAATTAATTATAAAAATAATCGATTCATTTGCATTTTTTTAATTTTCTTATTGAAAAGAATTGCTCCAATTTAAGGGGGTTTAAAGTACCCAAAAATCGAAAATTTACCAATCATTTACTCCAATTTAAAGGGTAGTAAGCATTGAGTTTTCATGTATCATTGCTAATTATGAAAAATAAACAAAAAATTAAAAATTGTCCAAAATGAGCGGAGGAAAAAGATAATTTCATAGGATCTTAAATTTTATGTGTAAAATTTTTTATTAATCTAAACTAATTTTCTCTCTTTCAGACCTTTTGGTTTTTCATTAAAAGCCGGTTCAGGAAGATTTACTGATCTTTCCTTCAGCCCACATGATCCAACATTTTCTATTTTTTTAACCTGCAGCAAAGCTGCAGGTATTCCTTTAGTCCAAAGGAACTGCTGATACTCTCTATAAACCTGCTGTATCAGCTTCTCAATTTCTTCACAAGCAAGCTGATACTTTCCAAAGTACTTTGAGCTCACACACATATGAAGCTGTTCAAAGCTTTCTTCTTGATTTGGTCCTTCCTTAAACCCTGAGCCTTTTCCTCTCAATCTCAACTTAATGATATCGTGAGCTTGGCAATTCATCCCTTTCGAGCAAATCTCTACAATCCTCTTCATATTAATTCCTTTAGGCCCAATTAGTCTTCTTGCTACTTGGAATTCTTTTTCATTATCAATTTGTATGTCAAATCTGCATGTATACTTTGAGCTGCAATCATTTACCAAATTATTTTGCTTTCCCCATACACTTAAAGAGCCTGGGACTCTGTTGGAAAGCTGCCAGGTTACTTCAAGATTGGCTTGGAGATTTTCAATGTTTCGGCTATGAAGGGTTTTTTGGGCGAAATAGGCAGAGCAGATATCGAGGAATTGGATATAGGCTTCAGATTCGAAGACTTCAATATGCTCAATTTCACCGTAAACGGAAAAAACACGTCTTAAATCTTCTTCTTCGAGTGTAAAAGTGTGTCCTTGGAGACCTTTGATTTCAAATTTCAGACATGGGATTGTTGGGATTCCGAGTGACTGGAGCTCTTCAATTACCTTTTCACGAACTCCAGGCTCATTGAGGAGACTTTGGATTCGGTCTTTGTGGGAAGAATAATCTGCAGGGCTTGTTAACATTTTTTAAATTTAATTATGAAGATATAGGTAAATGGAAAATTTAGGATGTTTGAATTATGAAAGGTAGCAGATATTCTGATGGAATATAATTAGGCTATTATTTATTAAAAAGCATTTATTTTATAGGCTAAAAATTATTATATAAAAAGGTATATAAAATACAACTAAATTTTACAACATAAAATTACTTATATTAGCTGTTTACTTCCTTTTGGCTGTTTGCTGATTTCTTGGCCTTAAAAGAGAAGGCTCATGTACAGATGACACTTTCGATGAGGTATCATCTAGCTCTTCTCGCTTCTTCGCAATTTCGTCTTCTTGAAGAACAACCCACACATGAGAATTTTCTGGAATTGTATCAGATATAATGCTGCCTACATCTAAAGCAGTTCCATCCTCCAGTTCAAGGGCTTTACAGACCCCTGTAGACACGTTAAAAAAATGCTCATATCGGAAAACTCCTACATCTCCCAGCCACTGCAGCCTTTGGCAGCCAGTTCCACACTGTATAGGAAAGATTTGATCTTTTATATGAACATGTACAATCATTTTGTTTATAAATGGAAAGAAAACCAAGCTTTTTCCCTGAATTCAAAGGATTCGTGTCTGGAGTTGTCGGGGCTTGGTGTGGGGTCATTGTTGGGCAGCCTTTTGACATCGTAAAAGTCAGGCTGCAAAATAGTGGCGGATCTGCATGAGTTACGTTAAAAACCCTGCTCCAAAATGAAGGGTTTTTTGCCTTGTGGAAAGGCTCATTGCCACCACTGATAGGCTTAGGATTAGGAAATTCGATATCGTTTGGCATCAATGAGAATGCTAAAAGAATTATAAGTTCTCATAATAAGCCTGGAGAAATATTAAGTTTGAATCAGCATGCCACTTGTGGAATTATTGCTGGATTTTCTAGAGCTTTTATTACATGTCCTGTTGAGAATGTAAGGATTAGGATACAGATTCAGGGGAGAATTGATCCTAGAGGAGATCCAATTTATAAAGGATCGGTGGACTGCTTTTTGACGATTTTGAAAAACCATGGAATTGTGGGGCTTTATAAAGGATTTTATATGACGATGATGAGAGAACTAATAGGCATGACAATGCTTTTTATACTATTTTAAGGGGTTTTATAGAAATGTAGAATTTATATATGTATAGAAATTGGGGATTTTTTAATTAAATATTTGGGAATACAATTTTTCAGTGGTCTGGGAGGAATATCTTTGGTACTACAAATGTAACTACTAAAGAGCTAAGTGTATGGAAAATTATGGTCTGTGGAGGTGTAGCTGGCTATGCCTATTGGATTGGTTTTCCATTTGACGTCCTCAAATCAAAAATTCAGTCAGACTCTTATGCAAATCCAAAATATAAAAATCTTAGAGAATGCGTCAGGCTTACTTATAAAGAATTTGGTATGGCTGGGTATTTTAAAGGCTTTGTACCCTGCATTTTAAGGGCTTTTCCTGTCAATGCAGCAGTTTTGACAGGATTCGAAGTGACGATGTCACTATTCGGGAGAACTTATAAGTAATTTAAAGTAAATGTCCTCGTTAAATTTATTATTTTCATTAGTGTATTTAATCATTTTTAATGAAATTCCACCATTTCTCGAATTCATACAATCTAAAATGAGTGCGAAAAATAATTATTATCTCGATTACAAATCATTTTTATCAGGTGTAGTAGCCTCATGAACCTCAATACTCGTCAGTCAGCCACTTGATATCATTAAAGTTCGCATGCAGAACACAGGCAGCTCCACAATTTTGACAATTTCCAGCCTAATAAAGCGTGAAGGATTTTTTGCTTTTTGAAAAGCTGCATCTGCCCCACTGGTAGGCTCGACTATTACAAGCTCATTATCATTAGGAATAAATGAAAATTTCAAAAAAATCTTTAAAAACCCATCAGATCCTACAGAAAGTTTGAAAATCTGGCAGCATGCATTGTGTGGCTCCATTTCTGGGATATCAAAATCGATTTTTGCGTGTCCTTTTGAGCATGTGGCTGTAAAAATCCAGGTGCAAGGGCAGCTTGGCTCTAGAGAAGATCATTATTATAAAAACCCAAGAGATTGCTTTATTTCTATATATAAAAATTATGGGGTAAAAGGACTGTATAGGGGATTCAATGTTTGTTTGTCTAGAGATATATTTGGATATGGACTGTTTTTTGCGGCATACCAAATGGCTGGGAAAAAGATTTTTGGAGGAGATTCCATAGATACACATCAATTACCTTTATGACAAATTATTATTTGTGGAGGACTTGCTGGAGTTGTTTATTGAATTGGGATTTTTGGATTTGATATAGTAAAAACAAAAATCCAAGCCGATTCCTTTACAAATCCAAGGTATAAAGGAGTTGCAGACTGTATCAAAATCACATTACAAAAAGGAGGCCTCTCTGGGTTCACAAAAGGGTGGCTTCCCGCATTACTGAGGGCTTTTCCTTCTAATGCAGCTTATATGGCTGGTTTTGAAGTTACCATGAAGTTTTTAGCAAGAGAAGATAAATAATCATGGAATTATTAATTTACTGTAAGAAAATGGATAACTTTTTTCTCGATTATAAAAGCTTCCTCTCAGGAATTGGCGCATCCTGAAGCGCTATTATGGTCGGCCAACCATTAGACATCATTAAAGTCCGCATGCAAAACACAGGAAACTCCACAATTTCGACTGTTTTAGCATTAGTGAGATATGAAGGAATTTTAGCATTTTGAAAAGCATCACTGCCGATCGTGGCTGGATCCACCATTACAAGCTCGGTATCCCTTGGTACAAATGAGAACACAAAAAGGTTTTTCAGAGACCCAAAAAATCCTGAAAAAAGCTTAAAAATTTGGCAGCATTCTATATGTGGAACTGCTTCAGGCTTTGTAAGGGCATTTGTGATATGTCCATTTGAGCATGTTGTGGTAAAAATGCAAACGCAAGGGAAAATAGATACCCGAGGAGATCCAAAATATAAAAATTCAGCTGACTGTTTTAAATATATTTTTAATAACTATGGAGTTAAAGGACTCTATAGAGGGCTAAAAGTGTCGTTTTTTCGAGACACTTTTGGAAATACAATTTTTTTCGGAGCTTACCAAGGGATTGCGAAAAAGATTTTTGGAGGGGATCATATAGACGCCCATCAGCTAAAAATGTGGCAGTGCATGATCTGTGGAGGAACTGCTGGAGTTATTTATTGGATAGGTATATTTTGGCTTGATATTATAAAATCTAAAATCCAAGCTGATTCGTTAACAAATCCAAGGTATAGTTCGGGAAAAGAGTGCTGAAAAATGACGGTAAAAGAGATGGGGTATGCTGGAATGACAAGAGGACTAATTCCTGCTTTGTTGAGAGCTTTTCCAGCAAATGCAGCATATATAGCGGGGTTTGAAATGATGATGAAAATATTAGGAAGGGATAAATAAAATACACATTTTCTAAATGCAAAAAAAATTCTATAAGGAATTATGCTTAGTTTTTTATTATTATTTGTGATGTTTTTCTTCTAATTTATTTATTATTATTTGTGATGTTTTTCTTCTAATTTATTATTAAAATCCCTTTTACCCTCAATAATCTAGGTAATAAATTCTGATTTTCTTAACTTAAAATGGCAGATTTATAAGAATATTGCAAAATTTTTAATTTATATGAATAATTATAAAATAATGATAACTTATCAAGAAAATAACTATTATTCGAAAGACAATTTAACTATTCTTGAATAAACATTTTTGAATTACAGATTTCTAGGTTTTTAAGCTTGATTTAGTGCCTTTTCTTGGTTTTTGATTAATTTCTATCTTAATACTATTGAAATTATGTTTCCAGATAAAAACATTTACAAAATTCTATGCCTTGATTCACATAATTTGAAATATCTGATTTTTCGAGTTAGCTTATTCAAAAAATTCATAGAGGATTTACCTAATTAAATATAAATTGCAAAAAAGTCCATTTTTAAGATTTATATTAAAGAATTTTTAAAGACTATTTTTCTTTAAAAAAAACTCTCCAATTCTTATATTCTTTCTCTGCTAACCCTGAAAAAATTATTTATATCATTTAAAATTTTAAGCATGCTATTCATAAAAGCTTTAATAGATGGCATCATAATTTAATGGCTAACGAAGAAATAAACCTGAATGAATCCCTCAGTGTACTCATAAAATTCGGAAACCCTCAAAATTTCAATACAGAATTGATTCCTTGTGTTCCTCAGTCCAACATCCAGTACAACTCAGCATCTGATCTTTTATTATGCCCTGTATTAACATATCTAAAGAGTCTAGGCTATGATCTTGAGCATTCAATGATGTGATATTATTCCCCAACTTCAGATTCAAATATTTATTGTGGCAATGACCCTTTGCCTTTATTTACATCGATCCCGTCTTATGAAATAGAAAACAACACAATAACTATTATTTGCCGAGAGGCGATTAGAAATTCTTTTGGAACTATTGCAACAGTAGGCAATAATTCAAATCCCAAGCTAAAACCACAACAAGAGGCCATCACAAAATCGCACGCAGCTAGAAGGACAAAAGAGCGAAAAATTGGTTTTATAATAGAAAGAGTCTCTACGTGAAGAAAACTTTATGCTGGGACTCAGGGAGAAAATGGGCTCCTTAATAAGCTAGCACTAGATAAAGCTGCTGACCAAGTTGGAATTTCAAAAAAATCCTTAGATGACTATTTATTGCAAATAAGATTTGGGAAGAAATTTGGATTTAATTTCCAAGAACATAAGGATGATAAAGTAGGGGTTTTGAGAGCTTATGTAAAAAAATGCAAAAACCTACAGGTGTATGCTGCACAGATTGAAGCTGGAGAAGATGTGCCAAAAGAAGTTTTGATGAGATTACAAGAGCCAGGGACTCCAGCTTGTAAACATAATAGATGTTGTGCTCCAGGATTTTCGCTCAAATTTAAAGGTGGAGAAATACAATATTAAATAAAATATTAGAGCTTAAGAAATGTTGTTAATTTTTTGATAATTTTGGAAAATTGTTCAATAGAAAATACTTAATATGAAGGAAAAGGTATGAAAAATACAAATGCAAGAAGAAGCTTAGGGATGCCGATTCCTATAATATGAAATCTCAAGTATAAGATATAGTGTTTTTTGCATATTTGCTTTAAAAAGCCCTGAGAATTGAATTAGAGGACGAAGCATATTTCGATGACATATATATTTAAACGAAGAAAAGAGAGTGACTTAATTGACTCTGCATTTTCTTGAAAATTAATTAATTCATCAGAAATAAAATAAATATAATTTAAAATAAAGAAAAATTTAAAAAATTAGCAAATGATCTAAATGGTCTTGCTTTCTATACGAACAAAATCATATAAAACTAATTTATATGAGATAAGAGCACGGCTTATTTTAAAAAATTTGTAACCCAATTTAAAATGATAAATTTCTACTTCTAATAAAGCTAGTGTCTTCTGTGGAAGTAGCTGTAAGAGAAACTATCATATCAGCTAACTCTGGCTGCGAGCTCATTCCAACAATTCCTTCATCCTATTTTCATCTAAACTCAGAATCTGATGCTTTACTATTTCCCATCATCTCATACCTCAAATAGATAGAGATATAGCTTAGAAAACACATTGATTTGATATGACTCACCAATCTCCAACTCAAATATCTACTGCGGAGCCGATCCTTTATGCCAGTTCATCATGGTGCCGTGGTATGAAATAGAAAATAATACTGTTACTGTATATTTAGAGAGGCAATGCAAAATAAATAAGGAACATATGATGTTTTGATAATTTTTCTCATTTTTGGAATTTAACCAAAAATTAAATTTTGCACATGAAATCAATTATGGTATCAAAAAGAGTTTAATAAAATTAGAAAAACATAATAACAAAAATCAGCAAGTCTTGAAAAAAAATAGGGTATGTAATAGAAAAATTTGCTAAATGGCGACAAATTTATGATGCCGAAAACAAGAAAAAAGATAATAAGCTTGAGGTAAAAAGGCAGTTAATGAACTATTCGGAAAAAAATTGGGCTTAATTTCAACTTCATAAGGACACAATATTTAAATGGCAGTTAGGGATAGGGACCTAGACCTAAAAGTCAGGCTAGCCCTATTATCCGAGCTTTTTGAGAGAAGTTCATGCTTCTTGAGAGTCTCGGCTTGAAGAGAAGAGGTCAGTGCTGAGTCTGGTACGGGCTAGAGGAGTCCGGAAGGGCTAAATAACTTTAACGGTTCGACGGTTAGGCCGATCAACTTACTGAGCTGTTATTGTAGCTGGATCTCAAGTAAAAGAGGGCTTAAGGCTTATTATGCTGGAGAAAGTCGATAAACTAAAACTTAAACTTCATAGGATGAATTTTCATGCTTATAGCTTATATCAGAAAATATAAAAAATTGGAAACTTTATCTTCTCAATCAATGGCGACAATCTACCTTTAGAAGTAATTAAAAGTCTAAGCGCCTGGAGCTATATCTTGCAATCATATAGATGTTGTGCTATAGAATTAAATAAGTAAAAATAGGTATTTTATATAAATTAAAAATGAGCTCCCTAATTTACAGAGTTTTCAGAAAAGCTTTCCCAGTCACTGTTATCGGCAGTTTCTGCTACTTCGCAAGCCAGCATTTATACACTGAAGTCCGAAAAGATATTATCAAAGATGCGAAAACTGGCGAAATAAAAGATGTTTTTGTAAATGCCTGACTTAAAGAAGTAGTTTTGAACAGAGTTGTGCTAAAAGACCAAGATATTAGAAAAAATACGCTAATAAAGCTCGAAGATATTGTAAAAGACCAAAGTTTCCAGCAGAAATCATTAGGCACTTTTACGAATGTCATGAATAGCCCAGAATGCGGCCAAAGAGGCAAAGATCTTTCTTTTCATATGAGCAAAACCATCATGATGTATGATAAAAGGTTCCATCAGAAAGGACAAGACGTAGGAAAAACGTCGGGGAATAAGAGTATTATTCCTCAATTTAAGGAACAGATTGGAATTGCGGAGATTCCGAAGGAAATTGAAGAAAGGGTGAAATCGTTATGCATATAAAGTTATGAGATCATTAAAATGTAATGATTAAATTAAGGAGTCAGCTTAGAACTCTAAGTAGAGTTGGTGATCTTTTTATAGGCAAGAGGAATAAAATTAAAAAAATATATATCAGCTTGCATCTATCAATTTTATAATTATTATAAGGAAACTTTAAGCATTCTTGTAAAGACAATAATATATTTCTTTACTTTTTAATTATTTAAATAAATGCTCCACATATACTTTTCCCATATAAATTGTGGATTCAAGAAGCAACCAATTTAATATTTATTTTTGCCCTTATACGCCTTTAAAAGCTAATTTTATTTTTTGTATTTTAAAATTCTCAAAAACTCATATAAAAAAACCTGACTTTATATACTTTCCAACTCTTTGTTAACTTATAAAAATCAAATTTGACATTATACAAAGAGAATAATTACTAAAAAGGTAGTTATAATGTTAAAAATCCACCAAATCAGCTTAGCAATTGTAATTGCCGAATACATCGCGATCTGCTTCAGCAACTTTGAGCCTTGGGACAATAACTACATCTACCTTTACTGCTCACTTCTAGCGAGTGGCCATATCTGGTTTATGATTGGGAGGTTAAACATGTCAAGAACTAATAGCAAGTTTGACTCAGATTGGTTTAAACAAGATTCAAGTTTACTTGAAAACAAGCACGAGGAATGGTTTCCTCTTGAACCCGTATAATTTTAGCTTTAATAAATGTTTACACACCTCCACTCCATTAATTCAAGCAAACATGATTCTTAATTAAATTTAATAGGAAAATGCACATAAGCAATGCTAAAACCAGTCTTATCCCTGACCAAAAAGAAAAACCGAGGAAAAATTCCAATCTACAAAAAATCACCTTTATGAAGCCTATACTTCTACAAATAACTCCCAAAATATCTTAATTTTAATCAATAAATGGCAAAATCAAAGGAAAAAGCATATAAATAAGCGACCAGTGTCAGCAGGAGTAATAAGAACGACTGGAACTGTAATTGATTTAATTCGGAAATTACACTCAAAGACTGATAAAAGTAAATTTGCAGAATATGTTGAAATTCACACACAAAAAATCGTAAAAGAAACCGAAGAACTCAAAGAAAAAATAAACAAACGGCAAAGCAGCTTACCAAGAACTACAGTTGCCCCATCTCCAAACAAGAAATCAGAAGAAGAAAAAGCAATTAAACATAGCGCCACTCTTCCACTCGGAAAACCCCCTACAGGCCGAAAACCAACAGCCCATGAGTCTAAAGAAGACCATAAAGCTGAGACAAATAGAAATCCTTTACTTAGGCCGCCATTACTTCAAAGGAGTCCATCTCCACAGTCAAAACAAGAAAACAGCCTCACAGACCCAAAATTCCGAGGTTCTGTTGAAGATTATACAGTAGGCACACAAGTGGGCCAAGGAGCTTATGCGTCTGTAAAAGTGGTAGTCCATAATCCTAGTAAACAAAAATGTGCATTTAAAACTTATGAAAAAACAAAACTGTTAGACCCACATCGGAAAAAAAATGTGATGAGGGAAATTGATATCATGAGAATGCTGGATCATCCGTACATAGTAAAGCTATATGAAGTTTTGGATACCCCGAGGCAGCTGCATCTTGTTATGGAATATGTGCAAGGATGCTCATTGCATGGGTATTTGAAGAGAAAACCTAATAGACGACTTGATGAGACTGAGGCAAAAAAACTGATAAAACAAGTTTTGGTGGCTTTGGATTATTGTCATAAGAAAAACATTGCGCATAGAGACATAAAATTGGAGAATTTGCTGCTGGATGAGCATTCAAATGTAAAATTATGCCTTGTTATAATAAATTCTGATGGAAAATATTATATAGGAGGTTGCTGGAATAGTTCATAGGCAGGGGTATAATAGATTTTGGGTTCTCTACACATATGCCGAATACTCAAAAAGCAAAAATCTTCTGCGGGACACCAAGCTATATGGCTCCAGAAATTGTATCTCGAAAAGAATACGCAGGGCCGCCCGTCGATATTTGAGCAGTTGGTGTCTTGATTTATGTATTTTTATGTGGGACATATCCATTCAGAGGCTCAAATGACACTGAATTGTATAGAAAAATTCAACAAGGCTATTTTACAGTTCCTCAGCATGTCTCAGCTGGAGCTAAAAGTTTGATTTTGAAAAATATTCTATATCCCTTTACCAATAATTATAATATTTCTTATTTATTTCTCTGCCCTTTCCATATAAAAAAGCTATATTAAAATTAGACCCAAATCGACGGCCAAGTGTAGCAGACGTTTTAAAAGACCCATGACTTAACACCTCAGGGATTTTTGCAATGGGCGCTGACGAAGAAATGACACAGACTTTTGAATACGCCTCCAGTATCAATGGTGACGCCTTAGATTTAGATATCGTCTGCAGCATGAAGAAATTAGGTTACAACGAAAGTCAGCTTCTTCAAGAGCTTCAGAACGAAAACAGCCAAATCTCTAAGCTTTATAAGAAAATCAAGCTGTCAAGAGGCCAATCTACAGAGTGGGATAAAAAGAAATTCATGAGCGCAGGGATTAGTTAGCATAATTAAGAACTAGATTTTGCTCTTATTGATTCTCTAAAATACACGTGCTCTCCTGCCAGAGCTCTTGCGAATTCTTCTTGGATTTCTGTAGAGTTTAAGCTAAACTTGATAGGCTTGATGCTAGGAATTACGTTTAAAAGCTCGTCGGGGATGTTTTCTTCATCTTCACTGTTTTGCAGCATTAATTAATTAATTTCTTATGAGGCGCTCTAGCTTATAAATTTATTTGCAACAGGCTAAATTCTATTATGTATCGCAATAATTTCTTATCATGCATATGCATGTCAATTTGAATTTGGTATGTGAAAACCAAATATGCGTTTCAAAACGCAGATTTTAGTGCGGCAAATTCATAATTTGAAATTTCATATGAAAATTGCGAGTATAACGTCCATAAGAAATTTATGTACGCATAATACCATTTTATTTAATTTTGCAGCAAATCGATAAAATTTTCAAGCGTGTTCATACTTTTCAACAAAAATTGGTGATATTTTGTGATCTCTTCATTAACGCTTGCCATTATATCTTCTTTTATCATAAACAGCCGGTTCTGCATGGTTTCTTTATACAGTTTCACTTTATAGTCCATTACATCTAAAATAGTCAATAGCATGTCTAGCTCAGGATGCAAGCTATTTTCTTCTTGGCAGACGCAGGGACTCCCAATCGGTATTTCTCTATTGCATATTTGACAATTTTCCATAGTCTTTTAAAATTCCATATATTCCGATATTAATCATCCACTGATTAACCCTAATATAAATGGAGCTTAAAGACTTTAAAATCCCACTGCTCAGTAACTTCAATGACATCATTGACTTCTCAGGCACTGGTATGAGTGAAGAAGAGCCACAGGTTACTATGGAAGATGCTGTAAAGGAAATCGAATGCATGATTAACGACAGCTTGGCTCAATCTTATACCATGATGGACGAAATTATCAGTGTAAGAGTTACTAATGATGAAAAATCCTTATCCTCCTATTAAAATTTATATATAAAACTATATCAAAATATTATATAAAAACAAGGGAATTTTTTTATAATAAAATGTTTGTAAGAAGGAGTTAGTTTATATCACAGAAACAGACTTGGTTATTTGGGATCGACAGTCCAAAGAGAGGAAAAACAAGCAACTTCCCTTCGTTCCGCAGTATTTAGAGCTCTGCAAAGGCGATAAAATCGCTTTGGTCTCTAGAAGAGGAGAAACCAAAATTAACGCTTATGGGATTCCTGGGCTAGAGTTCATGAAAGTCTTAGACACCCACAAGTCAAAAATTAAAAACATGTTTCTGTCCCCAAACCAAAGAATTCTGGTGACTCCAATGGAGGAAGAAGAAGTGCTGAAATGGGACTTGGATACTTTAGGAAGAAGCCAAGAGGTAACTTCAGAAGAGTTCGAGATGGCTAGCTTTTCACATAATAGTGAAAGGGTTCTACTTATAAACGACAAGAAAGTCGCCCTTTATCCACTCAACGTTAAGTACGCTGAAGTTTCTGCTAACTCCCCCCACCCCATCCTAGATCGAATGATTGACTGTAAAAATTCCTAAAAATTGGGAAAATTAACCCCCATCCTTGATCGAACGATTTTTATATTATGCAAATTTTTATATATAAAAAAATATATTAGTTATCAAAAGCTTGGGAAGATGTACATAATGAAGTTGTTTTCAAAGACTTTGAGACGACAGAAAGCTACGATATTAACCATCCAAAGTGATTTAGTCATCAACCTAAGCTTAAAAAACTCAATAATCTAAAAAATAGAGATTCTTTAAAATTAAAATTTTTTTATTCAATAAGAAATAAATTAAAATTTACACAGTTTAAAAGGGTATCCAAAAAATCAAAATATTAAAAATTGGTATTTTTATGAAATTAATTCAATTTTTTTGCTGTAAAATCTTATTAAACACTCTTAACCCTCTTATTTAATATATAAAATTTTTCCCAAAAAAATTTTTTTTACCCCCCATCCTTGATCGAACGATGGCGAATTGTTCGATCAAGGATGAGGGCGGAGTGAGCAGAAATTAGAATCAAGTGTGATTTCTGCCAAATTTGCTCCTTCTGATTCTTTTATTGCACTTTTTTTCAAGCAGTCGATAAAAATGATAAATTCTTCTAGCTTAGAGCCAATTTGTGACATCCCTCTCCAAGAGTCCATCAGGACCGCTGTCATTGCCCAGTATGAAGATATCATCGTGATGGGGACTGAAAGTGGAAAAGTCATCGTTTTTGACAACAAAAACAAACGTGATCTCATCAATATGACTGTCCATAACTCCCCAGTTACCCACATTTCTCTTAGCAATGATGAAAAAATGATCTTTTCTACTGAAGTTGAGCAGAAAAAAAAGGTCTTCTATACAAAATTCCCAGAACTGAACTTATATAAAAGGATTGATAAGTCCTCAGGAATTTTAGGCTTCAGTCCTATGAATTCTTTATTCGCAAAATTCTCAAGAGAAATCAAGATGCTGGACCTGAAGACGAATGAAGAAACTTTGCTTGGAGAAATTGTAGGAGTGCAAAGCGTTATTTATGCAGGCTCAAATAAAATAGTAATTTGCCATAACGAAAACATTTCAGTCATAAACAATGAAACCAGCGAAAGAAAAATGGTCTCTGATAAAATCGATTTGGATACACCTGTTTGTGCAGTCGCAAATCAGGAAGGCAACTTGCTGTTTACTGGAGGAAAGCAAAAAATCAAGGTTTGGGACTTAGAATTAGTAGACTTTAAGAGTGAGTGGAAAGCTCATGAAGACATTGTCACTTGTTTATTGATGGCAAAAAATGATACGAGATTGATATCAGGAAGCCAAGACAACCAAATTAAGATTTGGGAGTATGTAGAAGGAGTTAGCGAGCTGGCACCACTTCAGACGTTATTTGGGCATTTAGGGGTCATTAATTCAATAAAGCTGACTATTGATGAAAAATACTTGATTTCGGGAGGTAGCGACAAAACAATGAGAATTTGGAACTGGGAAGCAGAAACTTGAGAACTTTTAGATTTTTTTTTATTTTTTATTAAAATTTTTATAAAAAAATAAAGGAACAGAAACTTTATTAGTTACATTGGTAGAGTCTGATGAAGTTACAGGGCTATATGCAACACAAGATGGGAAATATATCATTTCTTCAAGTAATGATGGAAAAATCAATTATTGGAGCACGAAGACTTTTACCAAGATTTTCTACAATCAAGTCCAAGCCAACAGCATAAAGAAGCTTTTTGTGTCCCCTAATGAAGCTTATATTGCTTTTATTCTACAAGCAGGAGACTGCTATGCTGTCGCCAACCCCTTAGCTTCTAAAACAATGACAGTTTCAGGGCCAAACATGGATTACTACGCCTACCTCCGAGGGTCACCTGGATAAAAATCCAGATAGTTTTTTTTATGCTGACTTTTACCGTTAGAAAGAAGGAGTTTTTTTCCAGGAAAAAACTCAAAAAACTATGCCAAAAAAACCTTTTTTTACAAAGTATATTATAAGGATCCAGAGGTTTCATTAATTTATTTAATTTTTATTATAAGGATCCAGTTTATTTTAGCAGCAGGATCTAATTTATTTTAGCAGCACTGTCAGAAAAAAAAATCTGAAACTTTTTCAAGTTCTTCGCATACACATTTTTGAAGAAATGGGCAATTTATAATGCGGCAAATAAAAGATAAAAATAATGCTCATATGATCTTGAATTTAGAAGATCCAAAAATCGAAGAATGCAAGGATCCTGCAAAGAGAAAAAAATGTTTCGGATTGAAAAACCATTGGTATTTTTCCTGGAAAAAAAGGAAAAAACTCTGACTGTGCAAAGGCTGATAACCCTACCTCCGATACCTCAAAAGCATCATCAATCTTGTTGATATTCCTGACCACACCCCTTCTATGGACGACTGGGTCATTCTTCCCTACTTCTTAACCGCTCCTCATTTCTACACCTATTCCAACTTGTCTGCTTACCTCCGTTCTTCCTTAGAAACAGAGTTCAAGACCGTTGAGTCTTCCTTTGGAGAAACCACTCTGTCGATTTCTATGGACAAAGACTACCGTGACTGCAGAAACATTATAATGAAATCCATGATTAAAAACTACCGAGACAATCCATTTGCAGTAGCTTGTGTCACAAAAGAGTGCTTTATTCAGCTGAATAAAGAAGGAAGCAGGTTTTTAGTTAAACTCTATGACTTGATATTCAGGAGATGTGTAGGCTATAACTTGCCAAAAATGATATCATCATCACAAGGGACTCCTGCTTATTTTAGGTCGAAAGATGTGATTCCTTATGCTGTGAATTTCTTCCCACCTAAGGTAAAACCAGCCATTACAAGTCCTGCTGAAGTTCCTGATAGTGCTGTAGCTCCTTATGACAGTGCAACTCCAGGCGCACAAAGTGGCAGCTTGCAAGATGATAAATTAGCAAGTATTGCAGGCGCACAGAGTAGCAGCTTGCAAGAGGACAACTTAGCAAATATTAATGCAGGAAGCGGGGTAGTTGATCTACCTGAAAAGTCTGCTGGCGCAGGTGAAACTGCAACACCACCAGCAGCAGCCCCAGAAGAAGTTCTTGATAAATCAGTGTTTTTCATGCACTCATTGGTGCCATTCAATATTTCGGCAGGGTCTATTGAGTCTATTGAATTCCTGAAAAGCACCCTTGATTCCCCTAACCAAGACATTTTCAGGACAAAATTTATACAGTCCATTTTGCAAGGGAAATGGAAACAAGTGAGGTGGCTCATGTACACCCAAGGCCTTCTCTATGTCCTTTACTTACTCCCCCCCCCCTCCGTGAGTGAACAAAAAAATTTTGTTCACTCACGGAGGGCGGTTAATTTTTTTTTTTTAAAAAAATTTATATATAAATTTTATAAAAAAAAATTTTTTTTCGAAATTAAAAAAAATCTAATTCGCAAAAATTTGAAAGCAAATATTAATTTAATTTATAAAATTTTATGTTTTAAAAAGCAATTCGTTTGAAATTAAACAGAATTAGCTCTAGATTTCATTATAATAATTATCATTTATATATCAATTTTTTTTTCCATAAAAATATTTTCTATTAAAAAATTTTTGTTCACTCGCGGAGGGTGGGTTTTTGGGCAAAAAATAGCGATTTTTCTAATGGTTTTGTTCACTCACGGAGGGGGGGAGTTTAGTAACGCTATCTCTTTTTGTGCTATACTGGCAAGACAACCAAATAATGCTCGTCATTCCATTTGTCCTTACTCCCACATCCTTGTCGAGCCAATCTATAGGTCGATTAAGAATGGGTTGTATTATAAATATTATATTTATTATTAAAATTTTCCATATAAATTATTTTATGCATTGTTAAAATAAATTAAGAAATGTGTTTAAAATCACACTAATTGCTTATGAGAGCTATATAGCATCTAATGTTCATTATTATTTAAGATAGGCAATTATATTAATGCAAGATAGGGAGAAGCCATATAAAAATCGTTCAAGATGGTATAATTTTCTTGATTTTATAAGAAATTGTTAATGGATAGGAAACTTAGCATTATTTTGACCTCTTATGAAGTTTATCAAGCCGTACTATCACCTATTGACTATTTAGAAGACATTTGGAACTATATAGATATATCAAGAGCTGTGCTATTTATTGTTTATACAATTATGAACTGGACTGACGGCGACGAAAGCGTTGTATATACATTTTTGATGGTCACCTCCTTTATATCATGGGTCAGAGGTATCAGCTATTTCCGTCTGTACCCACCTACTAGGTATATGGTCAACCTCTTGTCTGAAGTCTTTAAAGACATGATGAGTTTCCTGATTTTGCTGTTTTACTCTACCCTAGCTTTTTCATTTATCTTTTTGGTTCTCGATGTACCAACTGAAAGAGATTCATTGATGAGCTATGTAAGTTACTCATATTTAATCAATTTAGGGACTTATAGCTTAGACGGGATGACTTATACCAATTTATATAGTATAATATGTATTTATTTATATTAGCCCGCAGCATTTATTTATTTAAAAAAATGATATATGCAGTCTTTAATGTTCTTTATTGTTACTATGATCAACCAAGTCGTCATGATGAACTTGCTGATCTCAATCGTCGGAGACACCCACGACAGAGTCCAAGAGTCCTTAGAAATCGCTGACAATATGGAGCTGGCCGAAATGATTTTAGAAGTCGAGACCTTGTGCTTTTGGAAACGAAACGTCAAAGACGACACCTATCTCCAAATTTGCCTAGAAGATGAGTATGGTGAAGGCGCAGGATGGGCAGGAAAAGTCAGAGAACTTAAAGTGATGATGAAAGGAATCAAAGAAGCCCAAGCCAAAGCAGCGGTACAGTCAAGCGAAGAAGTCAAAGAAATCAGGGAACAAATTTTCCAGATTGAAAAGTCGGTGATGGACGACAATTTGAAGCTGAAAGAGTATATTGAGCAGATCAAGAAGAACCAGCTAGAAATCATGAGAAGAATGGGCAAATAAATTAACCTAATTCTTTTATTTAAGGAAAATATATTAGTGTTAATTGTCTTCGTCATTTTTATTTTTGCTGGATTTTGATGCTTTCATTAATCTTGATATTTCTTCGTCTAGTCCTGCGAATGGGCTTCTTAAGGGTTTCAATTTTCTTCCTTTTGATTCCCCTTGAGGTACTTCAAATGGGTTTTGGAAACCTTTTAATTTGTGTCCTTTTATTACTTCTTCTATTTCCTTTAGTGACTCTGCAAAGTCTCTGAATTTTCCCCCTTTTATATCTTCTTCTATATCATTTAACGGTTTTGCAAATTCTTTTGATTTTTTGTCTTTTATTTCTTGTCTATTTATCTTCTTCTTTTCTTTTACTTCCTTTTTTTCTTCCTCTTCTGAGGCAATTTGATTTTCATCTTCTTGCTCCAGCTCATCTGGTTCTTCTATTTCATCAGGTTCTTTTGATTTTTTGGCTGTTCTTCTTCTTCTTCTTTTTCTTTTCTTTTTTCTTCTTGCCTGATCTGATTCAAAATATCCTTCATCTTGCAGCTCAAGATCTTCTTCTTCTTCTTCCTCTTCTTCATCTGAATACTCCTCGATTGGTATTTCTATCTTATTTTTTTTCTTCGCTGTTTCTCCTTCCCTCTCTTTTTGTTTTTTCTCAATATACTCCTGAACCATTTTATCAAAATCTTTTGACTCCAGCTTAGAGTCTGCTTGTGTGAATTCCCATACAAATTCTTTGACCATTTCTTTTTCTTTTTTTGAAATTTCTTTTATGTCATAGACTTCTCTTGCTTTTTCCATCCAGTCTGATAAGTTTTCGTCAGGGTTATTTGGGTCTCTTATATCTTTATACATATTATTTTTTTTCATTTTTTCAAGCTCAGCTGTCATACTTTCAACTTTATTTTCAGCGTCTTTAATAGCTTTTTCTACCTTTTGTTGAGTCTTGCTTAATGTTTCAGCTTCTCTTTTAAGTCCTTCATTTTCTTTCTGCTTGTTTTTGATGTCTTCTTTTTGTTTTTCAATTATATCAAATAATTTTCGTAATTTATTTTGGTTATCAGCTACGATTTCGTCCATATTTATATCGTCGGCTAAAGCTTTGAGGTCTCCAAAAGGCACTTCTCTTAAATCTTCAAATTGAAATTTTTCTAGATAATTAAGATTTGCTGCTTCATATAAAATTTCAGTTTTTCTCCGGATTTCTCTTTGCACATTGATGATTTTATTGTATTCTTTATCCATTTTACTTAAGCTTTCACTTCTATATGTAGTTAAGGGCTCATTAGGATCGTATTCGTAGAACCCTTGACTTGTTTTTCTCCCTAGCATTCCAGCTGAGACTAAATTTACAAGTAATGGGCAAGGTCTATATTTATCGTCACCAGTATCTCTATGTAGTGTTTTTAAGATGTCAAGGACTTCGTCAAGACCAATAAAGTCAGCAAATTCTAATGGTCCGACGTTCATACACAAGGTCCCACACAGCGACGTGTCAATGTCTTCTTTTCTTGCTATTCCTTCATGCAGTATCCAAATGGCTTCATTTATTATCACACAAATTGACTTATTTGCTATAAACCCAGGCCTATCAAAACAAATAGAAGGCTTTAGCCCTATTTTCTTTGCATAATTCCTTGCTGTCGCTATTGCTTCATTTGAGCTTTTTATAGTCGCTACAATTTCACATACATTTGACATCCATGGGAAATGTGTATAATTTAGCCCAAGAATCCTATCAGGAAATTGTGTGTTTTGGGCTATTTTTGTGATAGAAATATGACTGGTAGTGCTAGCAATTACAATATCACTGTCGACGATTTTTTCGATCTGCTGGATTATTTCGTTTTTTTGTGACAAATTTTCAGTGATACTTTCAACGACAAAGTCTGAGTACTCAATATCCTCAAGGTGAGGTGAAACTGTGATTCTTTCTAAAATATCATAGATATCTTCTCGAGGCGGGCCGTATAATTTTTCGTCTAAATTGAATCAATGCTCGAATAGGATGCTGGACTGAGATAATTTTTCTTCTGAAGTGTCAATAAGCTTTACGATAGATTTTGAGTGTCAACTTGCTAAGTATGCAAGAGCAGCACCGTAGTTTCCGGCTCCAACGATTGAGAGAACGAACCGAGACATATTATAATTGCATTTTATAAATAAAATAAAGGGTGATTATTTTAAAGTTTATAGTGATAAAAATTTTATAATCATAAAGTGGGAGATATTCTTAAGGTGCTGATCTGTTGATAGTGATAGCTACTCTGGATTTTATGATATGAGGCTTAGTTTTACATGGGAATGCTATCCTGATAAAAACAGGGAAGCAACTTAAAGGGGAGCTGCTTTCCTTTTGGTTTGTCCCAAGGGAATCTAAAAGATCTGTGGTTTCTCAATTTCAATCCTGAAGAAGTGAAGGAGCTTTGGGTCGTCACACTGCGTCAAGGAAGACAGAAGACGCTCAATCGCGAAGCGTCGAAGCTGACAATTTTATTTGAAGTGTGTTAACCTAGGCGACCTGTGGCTTTATCCAAGCAAGGGATATAAAGCGCTATAATATAATTTAGTTAAGATAAAAATTTTCTAAGCAAAACAATTTTTTGCCTCGGTGGTTTGATATATTATTTAATTTGTGTTCAAGATCAATTTTTAGGACCTCCCTCCCATTGATAAGCAAGCAAATTTTTTGGCTAATTGTTTTATATTAAAATTATATATACTAAATAAAATTTTCTAATGAGCTAAATGAGGGAGTAGGAAATTGATGATCTAATTATAAATAATGAGTTATTTTTTATTTTAGTAGTTATCTTTGATATGGCTAAAGCCCAAATATATAAGATGCAGAAGTATATATGCTGCAGGCAAAATAATCATTATTCAAAAGCAAATTATTTGTAGCGCTATATAATCGCTTTTAAAATAAAAAGGATCATCCATAAAAATCACTTGAATAAATGTTGAGTGCTCAGTAGGGTAATCAAGCTTATATCCTACTGGAATTTCTTTCACACTATCAATCTGATTATGTGGGGTTTTTAAGAAATATTTGCAGTCTTTTTCTTCTTGGCTTAAAAATTGAGTGCATTTATTGCATTCATTGCAAAACCAAGCTGGCATTAACAGCATATTTCCACATACCTTATCATTTTTGCAAATGGAATATTGATAAGAATATGCGCCATCAAGTACAGTCTCAGCTGTCAATGCAGTCGCATGTGAACACCCACAAGCAAAACCTTGAACCCAATGTCCTGCGATATTAACTCTTACATCAAACAAGCTATAATAAACATAGGTCGTGGATCCATTGTCGTCAGTATTTGAATGTATTTTATAACGCTTGATTGAGTCAACCATGCACTTTGAGCTTTTCCATTCTCGATCAAAATATGGTTGAAAGATTGAATACTGGATAGGGAAGTAAAGCATGCAGCCTGTCATTAAAGTAATTCATGCACAGATAAAAAACTGATAAAGGATCAAATTTCATTTAGAGTATATAAAAAGTGAATTTGGTTTTATTAATTCTGCTCAATAAAAGATGGAAGATAGGAAAAGGTGGTTGCAGGGATAAAGAGTATTTGAAGACAATTTAAAAAAAAAGAGTTGTGTCGTTTCTATAGTAATTTGCAAATTTTTTCGAAAATTGAAGTGGTTATTGTCTCAATTTCTCAAGAATATGAATCTATAAACTATATGTCAATGGATTATTACCTTAGAAAAAATTCTATGCCTAGTTATGAGCCTATTAATTAAAAAATTGCACCAGGTTTATATGTATTGCGAAATTATGAGAGAGAGATTGTAATTAGAGGAGTTAAATAAGGATTAATTTAGCCTTGAACAATCTAGCTTTAGCTTCACGCTTATAGAGCTAGGCACTAAAGCCACCTAACCCTTTTCGGCCACAAAAAATGTTGATGCCTTCAGTCTTGCGAAAATCTCACCCAAACCATCTTAAGCCTTATTTTCAGGATAGAACTCTCTTAACCCTTAAAATCTTAAAATGCGCAGGGTATGGGGGAAGCATCAAAGCCTCCATCTGGAACTACCTCCATTATTTATAGCAAAATACTACTTTAGAAGTGTGATCTAATTATGCACTATCAGTGTCTAGTCTATTATCCAAGGAGAAAAACTCAGTTAGCCAGGCTAAAATCCCGCCTCAGATGAGCTGTCAAATATGAGCCAGTTGGCGCTTAGACCAGGATCCTTTTTAATGGTACAGAGTTGCGGGAGCCACGAATTATGAGAAGAATGCAAAGATGCTTTATTTAACAAATATTGATACATTTGAAAGGCAAATAAGCTATTTTGATGGAAGTTTTCCTACATCAATTAGTATTCTGTTTCTTTCAAAAATCACCTATAAATGCATTTTAATATGAAAATCTAGTTATAATTTCGTGCAAATTAAAATCTTCTTATGTATTTAAAATAAATAATCTAAATTCATATTTATTCAAATTTCTTACTTCATCTCTTTAAACTGGAACAAAAATCTGCTCCAATAAGAAGGGGTTAAAAAAAATTAATAAAAATTTTCCATAACAAAAAATTATTTAAATTTAAATAATATAAATTGAATGTAAAAGTTTTGAATTTTAATCAATTTATATAAATAATTAATTTAAAATATTAATCGATTCAGCATTTCAAGTATTTGCATAATGTTTTTCTTGCAAAACTATTTATATAAAAAAATTAATTATTTTATCTAAAATTTTATTCCAACTTAAAATAGTGTAATTTATCCAAAAAAAAAAAAAAAATTTACCTATAATTTGCTGAATTTAAGGGTGGGAGCTAGTCAAATTAATTCTGAAATACCTTTAATCCTAAAGCTTCCAATCCAATTTGTGAAACCAAACAAGTGTCGCAGTTCGTTCCTTTGTATTCTTTATGATAAAGACTTCCACAGAATGGGCATCTTGCTGTCGGCACTGCAGGGCTCACTTGGGTAAACGTTCTCTGACATAGCATTGACGCAATATCTGGGCTATTTTCAGGCAGCTCCACACCTAGCGATAAATCATTAGTAAATACCTGTTGGCAGTACACCAATAATTTCTTATGTTTATCAATAACCTGTTTAGCATCTCCTTGTACCACCTGTGGGTGTTGATTTGCAAGCTCCAAAAATCTCTTGCACAGACTAGTACACGTGATATAATTTTTATACTTATAAGCTGTCGCAATTATACTTCTCAACGTCAAGCTTTGATGAGGAGGCTGAAGTTTACACAAAGTCATATAATACCCCAGTTCTAGAGCTCTTGCAATATTTCCTTTATTAGCTTCAGCTTGTCTAGTCAGTTCAAGTCTCATGCACGCTATATATTCTACACAGATTTTTATCAAATCCTTCACCTCAGCCACTTCATTTTCACTAAAAACACTTAAAAACAGTATAGACTGCAAAATATTCACAAAAATAGCCAAAGCGTCAGCAAACTTACCTTGGGTTGTCAATTTATAAGCGTTTTTAATCTGTACTGAGAGTTGGGATAAAGTAATAGTAACGTGAGGCCTTGCTTGGGCTGGGGTTTTAATACGAGTTATATATGCGTCTGTAATAGGTTTTAAGTGTGGCAATAAAGGTAAAGAAACACTGCCCCCCATGTATACGTTTAATATGTGGTTTTTCAATGGGGCGAAGTTTACGACTCCAGCTGTTCTGGTAAGAAGCTGCATGGCTGCTTGGAAAGCTCCTGCCGCAACAAGTTCTCCAGGGACTTGACAAGTTCTTGCCCACTTCTGCTGCAATGAAATGCCAGACGTTAAAGTGTTGACCTCAGATTTCCCTTCCTCTTCTTTAATATCAGGGACGTCAAAGTCATCATTTCCCCATGCAGGCGCTGCAGATGGCTCTGCAATCTCAAAATCTAGGTCTGGACCGCCCCATCCGCTGCTTTCTACATTTCCTACATCAGTGAAATTGTGCTCTTCTTGTCTATGGGACTCAGCTGCATTGACTGCATATGGATTGGCAGGGTCGACTTGGTTTTTAAGCAGCTCAAATTCACTAGTAATCACATGGTGAAGTGGCCAATTTTCGTCACCGCCTTGTTTTGATGTAAAAATAGGGACTGGTGGGTATAATGCTTTAGGCTGAGGAAGCTTTGAGATGTAGTCTTCAAGCTTTTGGACGCCTTGCTCGCCTAATGACTGCTCCAAAGGACCATTTAGCATGTGTTGGATACCATGGATACGGGCTGTAATATAAGCTAATGGGACTTGGCCAGCTTCTGCAAGCATTTCTACACGTTTTTCGATGTCTCCTCTGAGCAAGGTGTTGTGGAAAAGTCTAAGCTTATCGCCACGAGTTTCTGCGATTTGCTGCATTTTTGAGAGTTTATTAAGGTTTCCTGTGATCATATAAAGCACTGATAAGCGGTCTAGATTTCTAGTTTTCTGATAGGCCATTTCAACAATTTGGCTGTTTCCTTGTCTTAAAGCTTCACTTCCAAGCTTAAGCCAGCATTCTTTATCATTAAGCTTATAAGCGCTTTGTAAAGCAATTTCAATAATCCCAGCTTGGATTGCTAAATTAAATCTGGTTTTTTCATCCTCAACGAAATATAGTGCGATTTCTGAAAACCCGCGGTCTTGAAGGTATTTTACGACGCCGTTTCCTATTAATCCTCCACTTTCTAATATAAGTTTGACTTCATTATATCTTTTACAGTGTAAAGCAAGCTTAAACCTATATTCTAAATTTGAGGTAGGGAGTTTTACTATGTCGCCTTCTCTGTCTACGCCTACAGCTTCTTTATCATCAATACTTACTAAATAAATAGGCTTATCAAGAGACCTGACTGTCCCATTATCACCATTCACAATTATATATCTCAAATGGGTAGCTGTAGAATACACAAAAACACCACATGGATCCCAAACCCCTGATTTTATATTAATTCTTTCCCTAGGGCTTGTGCACAACACATCAAGGTTCTTAGAAATCAAAGTGATATTTTCACTTGAAAGAATTGCGGCGTACTCATTAGTAAGAGTCCATATAACTTGCTTTATAGTAGCTGACAAAGCGACAGTCTTAATGATTTCTTTTGCTGAAATGTCAAAAAGTGACAAGCTGTCGTCGTGTTTTATTAAAATCCTATTAATTCCAGCTGGATAAATAGCTGAAGGAGTAAAGCCAAAGGTCAGCTTCTTTTTGACGGCGTTGCTGAAATCCATAACTTGGACTTCTTTTTGTTTAGTCAAAATCACGAACCTATCTTTTCCTATAAAGCATGAGCTTGTAGAGGCTCCTGTTATATTGACTGCTGATTTGTCGCCTGAAAAATCTTTATTAAAGGAAAACAGAAAATAAACGCCGCCTTCTTGCTGGTATTGAAGTAGGACGTGATAGTCGCCGCTTGAAATTTGGTTCACAAAGATGTGGGAAGGGTTGTTTTTGTATACTTCTCGCTTAGATGGAGGCTTTAATGTAGCTAAAACAGTCTCTCTGCCTTGCTCGTCAACTTTTCTTAGTGTCTTTTTGGCCACAATATAAATATTTCCTCTGGTTTTTACTGCTGGGACTCTTTCTTTTTCACATTTAAATATAGAGGTTTCCTCTATATAGCGCTAAAAGCGCAGACATTTTCCCCAGGAGCTTTCCAAGTTCGTCGGACCAAATCGCTTTTTGGTCCGACCAAGGCATTGATTTGGTGCAACCTACCGATAAATTCCGATCAGAATTTATCGGCCTTACAGCGCCAAAACATAGGAAACTTCTATATCAAAAATCCTGAATCAAAGCCGGCTGCTACCAAATTGTTAGTAGGGTGTATCGCTAACACCCAAAACCTGTCATTTTCTCTTTTATAAGTATGGATTGTGCTTCTTCGGTTCATATCCCAGATCCTCAATGACTTATCTTCACTGTCACTAATAATAACTTCTAAATTTGGATGGAAAAGGGCACAGGAGACATTATTGCTGTGGCCTCTCATGGTTTCGACTTCCCAAGACTTGGACTCTGTATACCTCCACAGCCTCACTGTTCTATCGTCAGCAGCACTTACTATATAAGGTGAATTAGGGTGGAAAATTGCCCAGTTCACCCCTCTGTCATGGCCTTCCAGCACAAATTTCACGACCACGTCAGTGCCCATAATGATTTCTGAGCTTCTGCCTCCTGCTGAATAAAATTTCTGCCTGAGATTTTTAAAGTCCCAAACCCTTATAGTCTGGTCCAAGCTTGAGGAGACGATCATATCTTCCTTAGGATGAAACTGAGCACACATGATATAGTGGTTATGCCCTGTCAAAATAGCAAGACAGCTTCGAGACTGCCAATTCCATATACGGATTGTCTGGTCATCTGAACAACTCATAAGCCAAGGCAGTTCATGATGGAAACAGACAGTACGAATGTAGTCAAGGTGGCCATCCAAGGTAACGATGCACTTTTATTGAGGGTGCATATATAAAAAAATGCAAGCATATTTTGTTTTTCTATAAAAAAAATTTAATAAAAATTTTCTATAGGAGATTTTTACGCTGGACCCTTTTTTTGTTTGAAATTCCAAAGCTTGACTTTATAGTCGTCACCACCTGAAGCGAAGAGAGGCTGAGTAGGATGAAATGCAATTCCTCGCACAGGACCGTCGTGTTCTTCGTATTTATCGAGGAGAGCTTCCATAAAGTAATCCCAAAGCTGGATGCAGCCGTTGTGAAGAGACGCGAGGATCCAATGGCGAGTGGGATGAAATGCAAGACCTTTCACGCGTGTACTTTGAGTCTCGAACTTTTGCTGCATATTTATTATAGTTGAAAATGACTAGGAAATAAAGGAATAAAAAATCAGAGAAATCTGAGGGAAATACAGAAATTAGTCGAAGATAACAGATTAGAATGGGTAGGTAAATAACATTATAGGAATTTTTAGATTTTTATATAGACACATATGAAATTTTTAAGAAATTCTGACTGGACATTAAGATTTTCGTGAGATAATTTTTTAATATACTTAATTCTCCCCCCTTTAATTTGGAACAAAATATTGGTAAATTTGCATTTTTTGGGGCACTTTAACCCCTTTTAAATCGGAACAAAATTCATTTTCAATAGGGAAAATGTTATCAATGAAAATGCTAATTTTTATAAAATTAGTTTGACCCAATATAATAGGCAAAATGCAAGTAGAATGCTACTTAAATAGTTTTCACCCTATATTGATTAATTTTTTATAAAAAATAAATTAAAATTCAAATTGCTCAATTTACATTTTAAAAAAAATTTAAAGATTAAACACTAGGAGCAATTAGAACGTTGCTTAAACAGTTTTTAACATTGAATCAATAAATTTTTTTAATTATTTTTATAAGCTTTTTTATTTCCAATTTAAAGGGGGGAGTAAATATATATTATTCATGCAGTAGGATTAAGATTCTAAAAAATTAAAAAATAAATCAAAAAGACTGATCAAAATATCATTCTTTATAAAAGAGTATATTTTATGTCCCGTTTGAACATCGAAAATTTAGCTTGAATTCGTTTTACTTTAAATTATTCAACCCTAAATTCAAAAAGAATAGCTTATGATGCCAATTTCAGTAATAAATGAATAGTTGCAGGTCCAGTTATTCCGCATTCAGATAAAAGCTCATTTGGATTTTCTTCCCCAATTGGCTTGCCTGCAAAGATCAGTCTTTGCTGGGCTATTGGAGTCCCATCTAAATCTTGAATTTTCGACCTCAAATGATTAACTCCATCGCCTTGTTTTACCTCAACTTTCAAAGTTTTCCCAGTCAAAAATCGAATTATAACAGTAAATGTTTTGCCTTCATTGCTTGGCTCTTGTGTTTCGCTGATTATTGGAGCGTCGTTATGATCAATTTCAGACTCCATGCATGAGCACTTCATCTGCAGCTTTCGAGCCCAGCCCCAGAAACCGCCTGACATTTAATTGATTATTTTTATTACTTGTGATAAATTTTTAATCTATTATAGATAGTTTCCAGATGAAGTGTCTAGGGTAAAAAGAATGTCTGATATAACAGGCTTAAGTAAGAAGCTTGACAATATTATTGTCTGAAATAAAGATTTTAAAATATTTTTGACTAATCAAATTTGATAGAAAATGAAATTATTGGCGTCTTATTATTCATTTTATTTACCATAAAGATAGTCTCTATCTTATAATTTGTCTATGTCAGTTTCAGTCTAGTTTATAGCAAAATTTTTAATAGGAAAATATTTTATATAACTTGACTGTATTAAAAAAATAATACATCCTTGCAATTTCGATAGCCTCAAAAGCTCTAAGCTGGAAAAATTATAAGCTTTAATAATTTTATATGCCATTATTGCAATTCAATTTCAAGCTGGTAGGTTTGAGCTCTCCCTAGATCTTGTAATAAGATTTTAAGACCTGCCTTCTCATCTACAATTTTTGTTTATTTGACACGTCAGGACATTTTTTCCTATCAATATGCGCTTTACATTTTTTACAATTTAATAGAAACAATTATTAAATTAAATTAATTTATCATTTCGCTTCCGCTGGGATAATGGGTCAAGTGGTTTACCTTATATTATAAGCTATATTTGGCATTGTGGATAAAGGTGCACAAATTAAACCGAACCCATAATAATAAAATTCGAGGATGAGGAAAGGTTTACGGTAAACCATTTTCGTACATAGCCATTTTATTATTATTATTATAATAGAGAAGCAATTATAAATGCTTTTTTCAAGACTTTCCAGAATTTTTAAGCTCAGATCACTTCTTTTCAGCTCTGAAAATACACAAAGCCAGTCCAAAACTCCTCTAATTAGCTTTCTGTTTGCTTTAGCCGGCACCTATGCTACTCTGGATTACCAAAAAAAGTTGATCGAAAACTGTGGAATCGTCGGGTACATAGGGTCAACCCCCAAAGCTGCCGAAGTCCTTTTGAACGGGCTGACTGAGGTCCAAAACAGAGGCTACGACTCAGCAGGAATTGCCACTTATCATGAAGGGGAAATAAAAGTTACCAAATACGCTAGCGATAAATTAAAAATTTCTGACTCAATAAAGAGACTAAAAGCAGACTCAGTCCCTAAGCACTCCAACAGCACCTTAGGCATCGGACATACCCGATGGGCTACACATGGAGGAGTTACAGACGAAAACGCTCATCCTCATTCAGATCACCGAAACAGAATTTCTCTAGTCCACAACGGGACAATTACAAATACTCACGAAATCCGGTCAATATTAGCACAACATAATATTCCTATTAAGACAGAAACTGATACAGAGCTTATAGCTTTACTTATAGGGATGTATATGGATGAAGGCCATAGTCTCAAAATTTCCACAAAATTGGCTTTGCAGAGGCTTAATGGGACCTGGGGACTTGCAATAATTAGTAAAGAAGAACCTGATCATATAATTGTTGCGAGAAAAGGGAGCCCTATGCTGGTAGGGATAGGCCATAATGAACTTTTTGTAGGTAGCGAACAAGCTGCATTTAGCAAATTTACTAAAAAATTTATAGCCCTAGAAGAAGGCGAGGTCTGGTCATTAGACCCGAAGAAAATGGAAATTGAAAAAAATCGGATAGAAACTATGCATGACTCCTCTGATGTTTCCTTACTCCTGCAAGCGAGCCAAGCCATTGGAAAACCAATCTCCATTAGTCAAAATAAATTGATTTATTATAACTTTTTTAATATAGTGTTAATTATTGCAATGATATATTTAATTTTAACTTAAAAAATTATATAGAATCAAAAAAATATAAATTTTGGTAAAAATTATCCTCTGCAGAAGGGAAGTTAGGAAACTACCCTCACTGGACTCTGAAAGAAATCGAAGAGCAGCCTGAATCAGCTGCCAGAGCTATGAACTTCGGAGCAAGGCTAACTAGAGATTCAGCTAAACTCGGAGGAATTGAAGAAGTCAAGGACAAACTTCTAGCTGTTAAAAATCTCGTCATTATGGGATGTGGAACTTCTATGCACGCTGCTATGTTTGGAGCCCATCTAATAAAGTCTTTTGAAGTTATGAACAGTGTCCAAGTATTAGACGGCTCAGAAACTACATATCTTGATATTCCTAAAGACCACCCAGGAATTATTGCTATCAGCCAAAGTGGCGAAACCAGAGATGTTGTAGAGCCACTTGGGAGACTAGTAGAAAAAGATGTATTTTCGCTTTCTGTAGTCAATGTAGTCGGCTCACAGCTATCCAGACTTACAAAGCATGGGGTTTATATGAACTCCGGAAGAGAAATCGCAGTGGCTTCTACAAAAAGCTTTATGAACTCTTGCATAATTTTAGCTGAAATCGCCCTGTGACTGTCTGCACAGTCAAAGCCAGAAGACTTTGCGAAAAGGCAAGTCTTGGTGAACTGTTTGCTAAAATTCCCAATGCAGATCGGTTCAGTAATAGCACAGACCAAAGAGCCAATAAAAGAGCTTGCTGCAGAACTTGTCCATGACCAGCACATGTTTATTTTAGGCCGAGGCTTAGCTGAGTCTATTGCAAAAGAAGGAGCATTGAAGATTAAAGAACTGACCAGACTTCATGCTGAAGGCTACCCAGGAGGTGCATTAAAGCATGGACCTTTTGCCTTGATAAATGAAGGGACACCTATAATTTTGATTATTTTGAACGACGAGCATAAAGAATTGATGAATTTAGCCTTAGCTGAAGTCACTGGAAGAGGAGCAAGAGCTATTGTGATCACTTCGAACCCAGACTTAATCACATCTTCAAAGCCACCTTACAAAGTGATCAAAATTGAAGAAAGTGGGCCTCTAACAGCTTTGCTAGCTGTTATACCTATGCAGCTTCTTGCATATTACTTGAGCATTGCTAGAGACCTTGACCCTGACCACCCAAGAGGCCTTGCAAAGGTGGTTACTGTCAGTTAAAAAAAATTTAGTAATTTTAATTAATTTTTTATTCATAGTTTTTGAATATAAAAGAAATGAAATTAAGCACATCAGAAGACCCAAGTGAAGTTTTCGAGCTGAAAAACCAAGTTCATAAGCATAAAAAACTGGTTGCAAAGCTCAAACAGCAGCTAGAAGCGAAAGCACAAACATTAGCCACGTATGAGTATCTACTTAAGCAGCCATCTACGTCAGTTTATATGCATAGGAGCATGCTTGACAATAAAGCTGCAAAATGCCCATACTGCTCAAAGTGCTTTATGGGGACTGATTTTCTGGAAAAGCATCTCAGCAGAAGACATCCAAGTAATGCTCCTCCTCATAAAGAGCAAGAAAGACCTCAAACAGAACCAATCCCAAAAATTAATAATCTGGATCAAATATTAGAAAGCATGCAAAATATAGTCACAACACAAGCGAGCATTCTGAAGCAGTCATTTGATAAGCAAGCCACAGAGCTGCAAGGCATTTTTGAGCGCCATATTCAGGATTCTTCAAGAAATAGGAGTTTTAATGAGACGGAGTATTACACTCAGACCCCTTTGTCATTTCAGCAAAGTATAAGTACTATAAAGCTTGAAAAACTATCTCAGCTCCAGGAGCAGAATGAATCAATTCTTAAAGAACAAGAATCAGAATTACAAGTCTTAAAAGCTGAAAACATGGCGTTAAGGAACGAATACGCAACTTTGCATCTCCATTTAAGCCAGTCAGGAAAGCTCAGCCCTTCATCAATGCATAATAAATACAAAGGAAAAGAAGTCATCAAGCCAAAACTCAGCAGATACCGAAGTGAGTCAGGAGAAGAACAAGACACTGATCTGCTTTGAAATAATTTTGAGCATGAGATAAGGCTAGATGGAGACAGAAGTCCTTATCGCAATAAAATAGAACGATTAGAAGAGGTATCTTTTACCAGAAAAGGACCTGCTTTAGGAAGCGAGCTGCACAGTGACAACTTTACGTATTCAGGAGAATTGACTTTTTCTGATATCCCAGAATCTGACGAAAGCAGCCCTGACCAATACTTGCACCCCATTTCAGACCCAACTACTAAAGATATCATCAAAGCAGCCAAAGTTTTGCGGATGGACCCCAAAAAAGACGCCCAGTATTTAAATGTGGCAGTGGAATTTTTAAAAAACCCTTTGCAGAAGCCCTGGACATATTTTGAGGATAATGGAATAATCAGATTTAGGAATCTAGAAACAGGAGAAGTCACAGAAAAACACCCAGGAATTGAATGATTTATTGATTTATATACAAAACTGAAGGCGAAGAAACTAAATACTATTGCCAAGGCGAGGAGTCTGATGCAGAATAAGCGAAATTATATTTTACAAGAAAAATACAACAGCGGGATTCAAGTGTTTTTCAAGCATGAAAAAGCAGCTTTTCAGGCAAAAAGAGCGAAAACTGACCAATTGATAGACGACTATATGAAGAAAATAAAGCAGACTCATAGCTTGATTATGAAAATTGAAGAAGAAAGGGAAAAGAAAATCGCAAGTGGGTCAATTTATGTTAGGGCTAATGATCTGATTAATGCTGAGGTCTTGGCTCTGGTTAATTCGTATAAGCTCCGTAATGCTTAGATATATCGCAATATAAGCTAAATCTAAACTGTCTATCACATATAGCCAGAACACCTTTATGGCTTCGGCTTCTCGATCTTTCCAGAAGGCAAAGAGGAAGCTGGTTTAAACTAGCTAATATTGGTTAGGCCAACTCCTTAAGTGATGAAACTACATAATGCAGGGTTTCTGCCATTAGCTTGTGAAGCCAACCCTCCTCTTTCTTGTCAGGAAAGATCGGAACCTAGAGCCATAAAGAGCTTAGGCTATAGTATTTTTATAATTCTATAAGGACAATCAAAAAGGTATTAAAATAAATTAAAGCCACTTTCAAATAAGAATCAGTAATTTTCATTAAAAATAATGAATAATTACAAAGAGACTTTTCTATTACAGTTCAGTATCTTTTTTCATTCATTTCAAACTTGAAATATTTGGATTTATCTTTTACCTTTACACCTGATATATATTGCTCCTATATTGAATAAACGATCCATTAGAAAATCTTTAGAATATATTATTTGGTCAGCCAAGCATTGCATCCCTCAATTTTGCTTTAATCTAAATTAAATACAATCTCCTTTCTGCATTTATAATGATCTTTATAGTCTCTTTTGTAAAATCATAAGTAGCTGTCGAGAAAGAGTTGCTCTGATAATTTGCAAGAGTGTAGTCTGGCTTGAGATATTACATTTCCCTCATACATCTATAATAAGAAGATTTATTTAATAAAACACTTACTGCAAGCGGTTAGATATTATTAAAACTAGATCTTCTCTATTTAACAGGCTAGATATATACTAATTGCTAACGTTACTCTCCCAAATTTTAAAAAATCATATTTCAAACATTTTCATGAGTAGTATGGAACCCATTCACGACGACCTCGAGTCCAATACTTATCTTTGATTATAATTAATCATAAATGATTACAGTATATCTGTGCGATGCAACTATAATTCTATTTTAGCATATATACTGCATGCACTACTTTTCGAGGGTAGTGCACAAAATTTTTTACATGGGATTCTAATTTTTTTATCTTGATCGAACAATGGTGGTTCTTTCAAATAAGAAGCAGGGAGAGTTAGAATTCCTTTATTAAATTCTTTAGTAGGATGAATAAGCATCAGATCAACTCGTACACTGACACTTCTTCCATCACTTTTATCAGTATTTTAATGAAATCCAAAAAAGTAAAGCCCAAGTTGTTAAAGACCTTAAGGCATGAAATATCTCTCTGCATTGACTCAAATTATCATTAGTTTACTTAAATTATCTATGATTTTATATCGGAATTTCTATAGCAAATCCAGATTTTTTTGAAATAAAAAGATATTTAGGACATAAAAAATCTTGTATTAGTTTAAGCAAGTTTATTCTATTTAATATCTCCAGTCAAAAAATCAGGAACCTCCTCAAACGTTTGGGATCTTGTCCCATTTTGATAATAGTTTCTTTGCTCTTGATAATACCTTGGCTCTTCTCTTTGGTAGCTCCTTTCTTCTCTTTGATAATATCCTCTATCTTGGTTGTAATTTATTTCTTTCTGGTACCCAAACGTTCGATTTGGTTCCGCCCTATTGTAATTAAAATACTTCTGATCTTGTTTAGGCTGCATAATAATTAAATATGGCGTCTCATCAGGGCTCCCGGCCATCCAGCCTCAAACACATATTTAATTATATCTGGCAAGAAGAAGAAAAAGTTTACTTATACCCTACCCTACCTTATTATTGTTGATTTTTTCTACTTGCTTCCAATTCGAGTAGCTTCCAACTTCACTTTCATAGATTGAGCCGTTTTTGCATTCAATCAAATATAGTCTCTCTGCATTCAGTCAATATAGTCTCTCTGCATTTGCCAGATCTCTCCAATAAATCCCACAACACCAGGGCTCCCACAACTCCTAGAATTCCCAAAACTCCCCGGAGCATCGACCCCAAAGAGCCATCACTGGCAATTTTCTCTGGGCAGCAAGCCCTTCCCCGCGGCGACCTTCCGGCTGGCCACTAGGTAGGGAGTATATCTGGGAAGGTTTTGCAAACCAGAAATGGATAGAAATGTTAGGTAAACAATTCCGCAGAGTTCAGATCCTAGACCAGGTCTTATTTAGGATTGGATTTAATAAATCTAATATATACATGTTTCGGCTGCATCAAATTTTCATCCTTTTTTCAGCTAAACTCACCTTGAGGTGGTACATAGTTTCCCTTCGGCTGTCCTCCATACTGAGAATTATCCTTAACATTATACAACTTCTCCCCTACATCATTAGGCAGATCATCAATATCTCTATACAAAGAAGGCTTCCCTTTTACTTTATTATAAGCTGCATAAGCTCCTTCAGACACATATCCTCCAACTGTACTTAGTGCGTCTAATGATTTTTCCCCAATATTAGTTTCCCTTATTTTGTCAGCCAAATTTCCACCTATTTCTTTGGATTTGTCTAGCACAACAGATGCCCTGCTTTTGATGCTCCCAATAAGTCCATTGTCTTTTACTGTTTCTACAGCGAGAGAAGTCCATTCAGAAGCTTTAGAAACAGCCCCACCAAGGAGTGCTTTTGAAGTTCCCCACCATGATGAATTTTCATCAGATCGAGAATAATCAGATCTGCAATTTGTCGAGAAATTAGGGTTTTCTATTGATGTACGAGTATCCACAGGACGAGGAACTTGAGGCCTAGGAGAAGGGGCTTGAGCATAAGGCTGAAGGGCTATAGAAGGGGTGGGAGGTGGATAGCTTAATTGACGCCTTTCGACCTCAGCTTTGAGAAGCTCTCTATAATATTCAGCTGCTTTTGTATAATACTTGAATTGAATTGTACTGCACTGGGGCATAGAATAAGAGGTAAAATATTCCCTAAGTCGCCTGTTTCCTCCGTTAGACATAAGCTGAAGCTGCTTGGGAGACCATGTGTCCATTGTGAGAGATCTTACGTAACTTATGTGAACTCCTAAAGAACGGTGCTGGCCTGAACACTCTAAGCAGAGGAAGATGCCATGAGAAACTGAAGCCCATTGAGCTCCAGCTTTTCCGCAGTCAAAGCAGCGAGTATTTTCTTTATCGGCTTGCAGCTGTCGAAATATATCGCTTGCTGACATTTTTATAAGAGTGATCTAGTGAATTCTGAAGGGCTGGAAAGCCAGAAAAAATAGTTTTTATTAGGATTGTTATAAAGGGTTAGGAGATAGTGGGCGTAGTTAATTTTGGTGATTAGAAATTAAGGAAAATTGAAATTAATGAGAGTTGTCAAAATTTATGGAATTTTGGTATGGGCTTTTTATTGAATATTGAATAGTCATTGAAGCTTCTTCTTATATGTATTACTGAAAAATGCATTTTTCTAAAAGAAAACACCTAAAAGAAGTGCTTTTTACAAAGAAACTGTTAAAATGGATTCAAGAGTAATTGCATATATAACTTATTAATTATTACAAATAATAAACTTTTTCATATAAATATTTAGCATTATAATTAATATTCTTAAAATATTCATATGAATTTGCAATATAGACAATTTTATTTATAAAATTTATAATCAATAGCATGAGCTGTGATAATTTAATCCGATTAGCTATAAAGACCTTATTAGCATAGTAAAATGAGCATTTAAAGCCATAGCCAAGTGCTAGGATTATTATCTTATACCTATCAATTGAATTTATTGCTCTAGAGATTCCATGCGATTTCTAAGACGAGTTTGGATATTTGGGTTGCTTTCTCCTTTAGTGGAGTTAAGATTAGAGCCTGCAGTTAGATACATATTTCTGGTCAATGCAAGACCTTGCTTTTGGTACTTGGAAGATACTTTTTCATAATTTCTTGTCATTTCGTGTTCGATTTTGATTGCATCTTCACATAGAGCTTCGCTATATCTCCCAAAGCTAGGCTTCTTGAAAAAAGGATCAATATAGTGCTTGTTTTTGATGTATCCTTGATTTAGATTGTACACTGTAACAATATATAGGGTTGAAGCAATTACAAGGGATTCCTTAAATGTTAAAAGAAATAAATGAAGATGCTGACGGAAATTGAACTCCGAGGTACACTTCCCATGCAGCAGTTAGGATTCATCCTGATGAGGATGAAAGAAAAGCCTCTGTCACTATTTGATGTAGGCCTACAGGTTTTGGGATGGCTTACTAAAGAGGAAAATTTTACGTCTCCTCTGAAAGTTTTCCCGCCCCTCCCCAAATGGGATAGGCAGTTTTTGCCTACTATATGGTCTTCTCTCATCTGGACGCATGGTCTTCTCTCATCTTGATCATCGGGGTATTTACAGATAGGAGCTGATCCCTTGGACAGGTGGCTTAGGACAGAAATCCAAAATTTCGCTGTTTTGGAGCCAAGACGGACAACAGCTAGTGGGTCTACCCTTTATGGTCTAGCGTAGCCTTTTAATTTTAATTTAAATGTTAAACCCATTTATATATCTAAAATATATAATCGGATTCAGTCTGCATAGCATTGAGACCAACAAAAGAAAGCTTCGTTCATCACATTTATAAAAATCCCAGATTTGCATCGTGTAGCTAATATAAATATTATTTTTTGAGGTATGATGGTCTGATCTGCGAGGCTTAATTAGAATATTCAATTCGAGTATTTTGAATTTCTATAGATTATGCTTTCATTCTCTTACTGATTATCTTATTTCTTATTCAGAGAACACTTTACTCCCCCCCTCCATGAGTGAGCAAAAAAATTTTGTTCACTCACAGAGGGAGGTTAATTTATTTTTTTTTAAAAAAATTTATATATAAATTTTTATAGAAAATCAGTTTTTTCGAAATTTAAAAAAATCCTAATTCGCAAAAATTGGAAAGCAAATATTAATTTAATTTATAAAAATTTATGTTTTAAAAAGCAATTCGTTTGAAATTAAACAGAATTAGCTCTATATTTCATTATACTAATTATCATTTATATATCAAAAATTTTCTATTAAAAAAATTTTTGTTCATTCACGGAGGGTGGGTTTTTGGGCAAAAAATAGCGATTTTTCTAATGGTTTTGTTCACTCACGGAGGGGGAGTTAGATTTCAAATAATGTAAAGCCACAATTATAAAAATACCTGTCCTAGATTAATAAAACTGCATTCCCCTTATAAAAATTATTTGGAGGTAGCATGGATTTTAAAACAAAAAAATAGCATTAAATTTATTATAAATATTGGAATTCACTTGGTAAATTTGAATTGCTTAAATTTCAGTTAGCCTCAATTTTTTTTTGATTATTATATACAATTTATTACATTAATAGATATCGATGGATTACATCTAGAAGACTTTTTGGGTTTCCTGGCTTAATCAGACATTCTTTCATCCCAGACTCCAAACAAAGAGCTAAATCAGCTTCTGAAGTAAAAGCAGTATACCCAATAACTACAGGCAAGTTTGTTATTACTTTTGATTTGTGTAGCAAAGTAATTCGTTTTGTGGCGTCTCAACCGTTCATCTCTGGCATGCTTCCGTCCATTATCACTATACTCAGATACACAAATTGTGTGCCAGGCTTCGCTCTTAAGAAAATTTTTCACTTGTGAAGTCTCTACAATTAAATGGCTCCAGACCTGAAAAAAATTCTATACACAATTTGTGTATCGCATAATATTTGATAAGGTCGACCCTTCTTATCCATCTCAATCACTATATCAACTGCCTGTTTCCCTGTACAAACTTCATTATACAAAATATTGCTACTTTTCAAAATTTCTCCTAAAATCATCCGATTAAATTCATTATCATCAACGATTAATACTTTATTCCCCCCCCCATCCTTGATCGAACGATTGACTGTAAAAATTCCTAAAAATTGGGGAAATTAACCCCCATCCTTGATCGAACAATTTTCATATTATGCGAAATTTTATATATATAAAAAATATTATTAGTTAGCAAAAGCTTGACAAGATGTACATAATGAAGTTGTTTTCAAAGACTTTGAGACGATAGAAAGCTTCGAAGTCAACTATCCGAAGTGATTTAGTCATCAACCTAGGCTTAAAAACCCAATAATCTAATAAAATAGAGATTCTTTAAAATTTTAAAAAAAAAAATTAATTTAATGAGGAGCAAATTAAAATTTATACAGTTTAAAGGTGTAGCTAATAAATCAAAATATTAAAAATTGGTATTTTTATGAAATTAATTCAATTTTTTGCTGTAAAAATAATTATGAAATACTCTTAACACTCTTATTTAAAAGTAAATAAAATATATATATATATTTATTTTATTTTATATATAAATTGTTTTTCCAAAACAATTTTTTTAACCCCCATCCTTGATCGAACGACGGCGAGTCGTTCGATCAAGGATGGGGGGGAGTTAGCAAAATCTTTTTCATTCCTGATTTTATTAATATCTTTAATAGATATTGAGTATTTTTCTTCTGAAATAGACCTTAAATCAGTCTCCTCAGCAATTCTTACTTCTACTGGAGATTCTTCCATTATGTCGACTACGAAGCTAAATATTGATCCTTCGTCAACTATAGACTCGAGTTCAATAGCTTGGCCACCTAGTGCCTTTGCTATTCTATTTGATATATTTAGACCTAGTCCACATCCATTTGGATTATTTGGACTTCTTATTGTATGGAACTCTTCAAAAATGCTTTTCACTTTTTCTTGCTCTACACCAATTCCAGTGTCACACACTGCAAGTTTTAGCTTGGATTCTGCACAAAATGTGCAGCATACTTCAATAAACCCTTTTAATGTGAATTTAAGAGAGTTGCTGAGAAGATTTAGAAGGATTTGGCTCAATCTGAGAGGGTCTGTGAACGCAAAATCAGGTAGTTCAGGATCAATTCTAGTTATAACAGAAAGACCTTTTTTTTCTGCTTGAATCTTTATCAGCTGAATTGTATTAGAAATCACATCTCTCAGCAGGAATTTAGATTTTTGAACAGTAAAGACCCCCAGTTAGCATTCTTGAATAGTCAAGTAAATTGTTGATTAATGAAATGAGCAACTTGGAGGACACAGAATTCATATTTAGCTTTTCCTTCCACTCAATATTTTCAGCTATTGATGACTCAGACAGTAAAGACTCAGCCAAAAATGAAATGACATTAATAGGAGTTCGCAGCTCATGAGAAACTGATCTCAAAAGAATATTTTTTAGTTTATTATCTGAAAGAGCCTGCTCCAATTGAATAATATTGTTTGCATTGTGAGCAATTATTAGCACAGCTTCCTTTTCATCCCATAGCACTTTCTTTCCTTTCATTCTAAATTATTTCCCCTGACATTGCTCAGCCCAAAGCAGATTTCTTGATTCACTTGTAAAGTGCTTATTCAATTAATATCATCAATAAGATAATTTGAAGGTGTCAAAGTTGTGTATTTTCTGCCCTGGCTATATTCAATAGTTTCTAGAATTGTTAAAATCTCATTTTGGCTGCATCCAAGCAAGTCATTGAAATGCGCATTTGAATACAAGATCTGATTATTCTCAGAAATAATCAAAATCCCATCAGTAAATAAATTTATAACTACGTTTAACCTTTCTTCAGCACTCTTTTTAGACAAAAACCTTTCAAATGATTTTGCTGAAATATAATAAGAGTTCAAATTATACAAATATAAAATACAAATTGTAATTAAATGAGGCATATAATCAATGAGAAGCTCCGTTTTACCATTGAAATAATTGATGTAATGATATAAAAATAAGTGCTTGCAAATTATTAAACTTTTTATCCAAGAAGATTCAATAAAAGGAAGCTCAAAGCTATTGATGTAAATTATAGAAAGTGTTGAAAGAAGGACATCTGAAATTTTGCAATGATTAAGTCCCAACATTCAAATATTTTAAGCAGCAACCCTCAGAGTAGGCTACAGAAACTATAGTTTTCCAAATCACTCCTTTTTTGCTTGCATATCAAATTAGAGTGCACAAAATAGTAAACAAAATTGAATAAGGAATATATATAATTACAAGATTCATCTTTTCAGGCATCATCAAAGCTCAAATCAGCTGCGTTATAGTTCCAAAGACCCATATAGAAGAACTAAATTTCTTGAGAACCTGAAATTTGATATTTACTTCTTCTCTCCACCAAAGTTTATGCAAATTTTCCATTGCTAGTCAATTATTATTTGCAAGCGAAAACTATCCATTTCAAATTACCTTTAAATTAACCATAAATTAAATTTAAATATTAAATTGCAAGTTTATTTTATTAAGTTAGAAGAATGTAACCAACATAAAAAAAGATTTAAATACAATTTAATAAGGCAGCAAAGCCTTTATAGATACTTTGATCAATATTAAAAATTATTATAGAGTGCTTAACAACTATTCAAAAAATATTAATATATAATTTTAGAATACTTAAGAATTCGCATAAAAAAAAGAAATTTTGTATTATGTGTGTGATTTGCAATAAAGCATGCTCTCAATCTAAATATATTTTAAGATTTATAAATTAAATATTAAAAATCCTCATAATGACATTATTTTTTTACATGTTTAAATAGTAATTAGCTAAATAAATAATTAATAAATTATTAGTTATTAGGTAAAAATTTAATTCTGTTAGGGTGTTAGGGTGTTAGGGTGTTAGGGTGTTAGGGTGTTAGGGTGTTAGGGTGTTAGGGTGTTAGGGTGTTAGGGTGTTAGGGTGTTAGGGTGTTAGGGTGTTAGGGTGTTAGGGTGTTAGGGTGTTAGGGTGTTAGGGTGTTAGGGTGTTAGGGTGTTAGGGTGTTAGGGTGTTAGGGTGTTAGGGTGTTAGGGTGTTAGGGTGTTAGGGTGTTAGGGTGTTAGGGTGTTAGGGTGTTAGGGTGTTAGGGTGTTAGGGTGTTAGGGTGTTAGGGTGTTAGGGTGTTAGGGTGTTAGGGTGTTAGGGTGTTAGGGTGTTAGGGTGTTAGGGTGTTAGGGTGTTAGGGTGTTAGGGTGTTAGGGTGTTAGGGTGTTAGGGTGTTAGGGTGTTAGGGTGTTAGGGTGTTAGGGTGTTAGGGTGTTAGGGTGTTAGGGTGTTAGGGTGTTAGGGTGTTAGGGTGTTAGGGTGTTAGGGTGTTAGGGTGTTAGGGTGTTAGGGTGTTAGGGTGTTAGGGTGTTAGGGTGTTAGGGTGTTAGGGTGTTAGGGTGTTAGGGTGTTAGGGTGTTAGGGTGTTAGGGTGTTAGGGTGTTAGGGTGTTAGGGTGTTAGGGTGTTAGGGTGTTAGGGTGTTAGGGTGTTAGGGTGTTAGGGTGTTAGGGTGTTAGGGTGTTAGGGTGTTAGGGTGTTAGGGTGTTAGGGTGTTAGGGTGTTAGGGTGTTAGGGTGTTAGGGTGTTAGGGTGTTAGGGTGTTAGGGTGTTAGGGTGTTAGGGTGTTAGGGTGTTAGGGTGTTAGGGTGTTAGGGTGTTAGGGTGTTAGGGTGTTAGGGTGTTAGGGTGTTAGGGTGTTAGGGTGTTAGGGTGTTAGGGTGTTAGGGTGTTAGGGTGTTAGGGTGTTAGGGTGTTAGGGTGTTAGGGTGTTAGGGTGTTAGGGTGTTAGGGTGTTAGGGTGTTAGGGTGTTAGGGTGTTAGGGTGTTAGGGTGTTAGGGTGTTAGGGTGTTAGGGTGTTAGGGTGTTAGGGTGTTAGGGTGTTAGGGTGTTAGGGTGT